ATATTATCGGATATTGGGATCGCTCACTACCGCCATATAAGACACATCCGGTGGCAATGCATAAGAGTAAATTTCGACCGGTTTTCGTTCAAATCAGTGTCAACGTTTATACCTTTTAACCATTTATTTCGATCACTCGTAACGAGAGACATTTTTATTGCTTGTTTCATCGAGAAATTCACATTTTTGCGTTTGTATTATCATCAAACGTTCGTTTATTAATGATTTATTGCTAGTCTGGTGATGAAGGTATTAATTGAATTCGGGGGAATTTTTGGTGATTTTTTGTTAAATTTAGCGTGACTCTGTCATTTTAGGTGCACATGCCAAAAAATTGGATTTTGATAATTTATTAAAATGCAGATAAAGTGAAATAATTTTGTTTCGATTTGTTGAGGAGATTCTGGTCGGGGGATTTTGTTTAGGATATTTTATCTCGGGTGAATAACTCTGGACACCAAATTTCTAACGATTTTTTTTCCTCCGAGAATAAATAACGTGCGTCAAATGTATCGAGTGAACGATCACCCCTGAAAGGTGGAATTCTTTATCAAAAGCCAATTGTCATTATCCTTATCAAAAGCTCTAGACGATGATCCCGGGAAGGCGAACGATGGCTGTTCATCCTTCACTCTGTTAATCCCGTAAGCTCGAGTCCTTTATATCGTAACTACAGCCTATTATCACCACTGGAGTTAATTGAGATAAGAGGGGTCAGTCGAGATTTCCAACCACCGATTGTAATGCAGTAAAAACCCTGCGATTAATTCGAGTTAATGGTTCGATCGATCCTTGAATCATCAAAAATCGGTGGAACATATTCGAAGTAACTAGACCGTCCCGAAAAATTTAATTTACCAAAATGAATTTTGACATTTCACAATGGTCCACCCTTTCACAATTTTCTGTAACCCAAAATGTAAAAATTGATGAATGCTAAAAAAATTAAAAGTAATAGGAGTAAAAATTGTGGGCAAAGTAGTAATTCATGGAGGGTTGCCCGATTGCTAAATGTCAAAATTTTTGAAATTTTTGGAGTCAATTTGATAAAATATTTCCGTGTGTGATTTTGATGGTGAATCTGTCGGAAGATTTGATTGAACAATTGAAAGCGTCGATATTCAGCCAGATGCCGAGCTTATCCCACCACCTGAATGTGGTTGGTCTGTCGTAGCCACCGTATCCGGTCGTGAATTTTATTTCAACCACAGTTGCGCTGGTCGATTTAATGAGAAAAACCGAAGAAAACGCGACGACGCGTGGCAGGCGTACTCTCTTCGTCAATGTGTCTCGCAAGCATCTGCGCGCGCCAACTTTATTAACCATTTGCCAAGGAAAAAGAATCCAGTCAGCTGGGCACAATTAGAAAAATCATCCTAGCAGCTGGAGCAGGCTACAGGTTCATCGTGTTCATGCGGTTGTACATGTACTGTCATCCCGTTGAAACCTGTTGGGTACTATCACTTTCCGTTTTACTCGTCGCTCTTCGACTTTTTCAAACCTTCTAATTTTTCGCGCCAAATTTTCCAAATTTTTATCGTTCCGCAGAATCTGGACTTCCATTAAAAATTCAAATCACGAGTGAAAAAATCAAGCAGAACCGAATTTCCATTGTCACTCTCCCCGGAAAATGAACAGAAAATCTAGAATTCGATTTAGGGGCGGAAAAATAAGTAGAAATATTTATAAGATGGCTTCAGAGAAAAGTTCACTTCACAGGAACAGGATGAACCGATCTGAAGACATTTTGAAGAGTCTGAATAATTTTAGTAATTGTTTAAAAATACGAGGTGGAAGCGCCCCGCATTTTTTTACATTAAAAAACAATTTCTTATCTATATCCAATATGAAAACCGCGATTTCTTTGAATTTTCAGAACAAATCCAAAATTTAGTGACTCTTCTTAATAAAAATTAAATACAAACTCACTTAATTGAAAATTCAAATCATTCTGTGCCGGAAATTCCGAGAAATTCTAATTTATGATTATTAATTATTAAGAAGGTATCCGGTTTATTATATTCTCGCGGGAAAAATACATTTTTTTCTCAGTACACCACACGTTGAAAAGGAATCTGGCTACTGCTGAGACTTTAAATATGCAAGATCTGGACTTCCTTGCCCATGGCGACAGCATGAAAGTGATATAATTGGTGCGCTTGAAACGCACTGGATAAATACAGATGATAATTACCCCAATACAGTTGTTCATCCACTGGAAAATATTTAGCGCAAACAATAAATAATTTCAAACGCCAGCGAAAAAAAAAGGGGCACTCGAAATATCTGACGGCAATAATAATCAAATAATCAAATGAATTACAAAAACGAGTAAATTATGGCGACTGCACGTTGTTCACAATACAGTGGATATTTAATTGATCAATCAACTCAGAACTCGATGAAGACAACTTGTTTCTCATTCACTCGATTGACATATCGAAATTGGAGAAACAGCTTTTTGCCTGGAGTGCGCAGCCATTCTCCGCGATTTCTCATTCGTCGTGGATTTATTTTACCGATAGCATCAGAATTATCTGATTCAACGGATTTACCTCTCGTTTTGTTTCGATAGGAATTAGTTGAGTTTTTTCGGAATATTCCATATATACCCCAAAAAAATTAAGGAATTCATTGCAATTGTAATTTTCGTGTGAAATTGAGAAAAATCAATGCCGGGGATGATTTCGCTATGGATTATTTTTCTCCGTAAAGGTTTTTCGATGCAAAAATGATCAAAGAACCTGGGAAAAAGCCCGACACGATAAATTCACAAAAACAACTTTTTCCCAAGGACTTACATAGTCCCAGGAGTCCGTAAAAGTCGAGTGGATGTGCTGCCATTAAGTGTGTGAACACAGCGGTTGTCGCATCCCTCATCCGATCAAAAAGTGCGGTGACTTTTCTAGAGCACTCGATAACTCCTCATCGAGAGTTGAGGGGGAAAAAATGTGTTTTTCAAATAACAATAACAGTTTTCATCGAAAAATCTCACGCAACTTTTTTAAGAACCCACAGGAAATTATCCGACAATCGATACTTCTTGGGCTTCTTTCATTTACTTTTGTTTTCGATGTACAGATTTTTTCGTAAATTGAATCACTCAGTGTGATGAATCAATCCTGAAAAGCCGTCGGGGTTTCGTTTTATTTATCGGTATGAAAGGACCTGCGTCCTACTGTTCGAACAAATTTGATTTTATCGATGGGCTTTCAGAGGCAAGCGAAATTTCGCCATTCGCTACCGGTTTTCAACGGTTTTATTTTTTTTTTCTCAATCAAAGCGGTTTTTGTCACAAATTGATACATTTTTGGGTCATAAAATTCGTTACAATGTTGAAACATGTCCTTAACATTTTCGATCTTAGAAATTCTCAACAAGCGATAATTCCACTGAATTCACAAAAAATTTTATCATAAATTTTTCAAGGAATAATTCTGAGAATTCTGAGAAAGTTGGCAAAATTTTTGTAAAGACTTCTTCTTTAGTCCTGATTACACTCTATAAAAAAGGTCTCGACATAAATATCGCTATTTCATTCAGATTTGAAGGTATTCCTCCGAGATTCAGTCGATATTTTTTTATAAAGTGCATTCATTGCTGTCTACTTGTGAATAATTCCACTTGCAGGAAAAATTCCCCAGATTAGTATCAAATATCAGACATCCTTGAAGGAGATGAATTCAAAATGTTCACACCTCTGGAAATTATCAAAAATAGAATGGATTACGAGGTTTTAGGGTCTCATTCATATGCAGACAAGAAACATTCAGACACTCGAGCGTCAACTCAATCCCCCGTTGGGTCGACAAATCTCTTGAAAAATTCAGAACGCATATTATGCATCCCTCAACCGATATTTTGAGGACAATCGAAACCTTGGGAGACATGAACAAGGACATACAGTAGGTTATACGGGCTATTTGAAGCCTTTTTTGCCTCTGTACTTGTTGCACAATGTAATATTACCGCTCAATCACGGTGTAACTCCTTTGTAACTAAGTCTAAGTGTCTCATGAGCACACGGGACAAAGCAAAATACCATTTCACCTATTTACTCGAACTTCTGCAATTCACCGCGCAATCAATTCGGAATCGAAGAAAAAACGCAAACACTTGCAAAATGGCTGTAAAAAGTTGTTCACTACACACGAACAGGGCATAAAAAATTGAGAGCAATTTATCGAGGATAAATAATTTAAATAATTGTCTGAAAATACGAGGTGGGAGTGCCGCCATCTTTGAATTAATTACAGGCCTTTAGAGATATTTTCCTTGAGGATAACGGAAATATTCTCAGAGCAATTAAAAAGTCACTGATTTCCAGATTTTTGCCCTGAATTTTGGAATAAATTCAGATTGCGATGGTTGTTCTTCCGAAAGTAGCCAATAGTTCGAAATATTTCAATTAACGAAGACGCAATGAAGCAACAATGTCTTCTGAACAAAGTATTCATCTCGTTTGTAGTTTGGGGCTCGCATAAATGCACAGCAGGGGGGCCCCCCTGAAATTCACAACTCGAGAGATTCGGTACTTGATACGAGGGCTACGGCAGAGGATAATAGTAGCACAAGTTTTTTCAGTGTTTCAAATCGCTCTAACCTCAGTCGAACTCGTGGCTATTATTCTTTCAGTATTTCAGTCCCAGAAAAAATTATTGGATTACCCAAGATTTCCAACCCCCCGGAATAATTATCCGGAAGTGATGCCTATTTGATGTCATATTCATTTTCAGTTATAATACTCATTCTAATTAACAAATGGTATTATAATTAATATTCAGTGATAATAAATATCAATGAGTGATTGAAGTTAACGTGTGCATTACTCGTTGAATTGAATCGTAAAATACGATTTTTCAATTACTGATTGATTATTTTTTTTCGTCCAGCTGATTTGGTAAAATATTTAGAATCCTGAATTGAAAGAAAATTACCGAACAACTGGAGTCTCTCGACCCCCCGGAATATTTTTCAATTCTTCTTCCAGAAGTGAAATGATGGAGAAAACAGGCCCTCAGGATCATGAGCGGGTGATAAATATCCCAGTAACAAGAGGCACAGAGACTAGGTGAGTCAATAAAATAAATAGCCGTCGATAATAAAATAATGGTGAGAATTATACAGAAAGCTCCTGATAGATCGACTGGAAAATCTAGTGCTAGTGATAATCAGGCAAATAACGAGTGGACAATTGCCAAAAATTGATAATTTATGTTCGGACATTGTACCCGGTGGAGTGGAATTCGGTGTGAGTGACAATGGAGAGGATTTGAGTGATGAGACAGCTACCTGCGGGAAAAGCCATTCAGGTGAAATCGAGGAAGACGGTGGGATCAATCAAGGTAGATGTGTCGTGGACTTTTCACACAAGAGGGGAAAACTCAAGTTGGCACTCATGATGACAGTCGCTGCCAAAGCCCATAAGTTACTCATTGCTGGAGAGTTTCAGACCAAGAGGTCTATGTTTTATGAGCTCAAAGGTGGTCTCATTGGCAGATTTATTGACAAGCAGAGCACAACTGATGGAATTATTAATAATGTTGCTAGAATTCTCCTGTGCAACACCTGGGAACTAGGTGAATCCTATTTAATCGTCAATTCATTTTTGAAGAATTTGGAAAAAATACGGAAGAATTATTAATAACTTCATACTGATATCTACAATTATTCCGAATTTTTCTGGAATATTGTGGGATCTTTTAATGCAGCACTAAAAAAACCGTAAAATTTTTGGCGGCAGTTCTGACCGTCACGCCCTTTATCAGAATTTTTCTCGACAATTCCTCTCGCCGTAGGTTTCGTTGCAACTGCGAAAGGATTGGTATCGGGTACTTTGGAGTTAACCCTTCAAACTGGAGAGATCCTGAATTGTGAAGCACCTGGAGGTGTCCTGATTCCTCAAATGTCGTCGCACATAATGGGGATTAAATCTCGTGCTTCCTCGATAATTGTAGTGGAGAAAGACGCAGTCTTCCAGAGACTTCTTGAAGAAGATTGCACTCGCAAGATGAAGTGTATTTTGGTCACGGGGAAGGGATACCCTGACGCTGCGACGAGGGCATTTGTCAAGATGTTGATCGACCACTTGGAGATTCCCGCATACATCCTGGTTGACGCCGATCCTCACGGGATCGACATCATGTGTGTTTATAAGTGAGTTTGAGAGAAAGAATTGGATAATGCGTATATTTAACTCCGAAGAATTTTTCTGCGAGACTACATAAATTAATTGACCATTTAATAAATGAACTAAGGAAAATGACGAATCGTGAATAAAATTGAGTTGGACTCGATTAGATAATTTTCCATTTGATTTTTATTCAATATTTCGATTAGTCCCTATTGATTCAACTCCAGGTACGGATCATCTTCATTATCATGGGAACAAGAACACCTCGCCTGTCCGACAATTAAATGGATCGGGATCTACCCGTCGGAGGTATCGAAATTGAGAGTGCAGAGAATGCCATTGACCGATGCAGACGTGACAAAATTACGGGGTCTCAAGAGAAGAAGCTACTTGGATGAACAATTGCGAGAGGAGCTGGACTTTCTCTGGCTCGGGAAAGCGGAAATCGAGGGAATGGCGGAGATATCCTTATGCTTCCTGACATCTCTCTATTTTCCAACGAAAATCTGATGTCAAAGACGTCCTTCACCTAAAATCGCAATCGATCGAATTAATGTATATTCTATGATCCGGGATGAGGGCTTTATTACTTTTGACTTGAAATATCGGCTCGAATTTTTCTATCAGAGCAATACGTTGGGGCTCTTCTCGGTTGGTCTCCAGATCGATGAATCGCGGAATTTTTCGATATGTCCCTAGGCAGATAACATTGGGCTCTGGGGTTGTCCTGTGGGTTTTATCGGTCACTAGTAAGGAAGGGTGACGAGAGGTTTTCGAACGAGTTGCGTACGGATGTTCATGATTTCTGAATTAAAAAATGAAAATTGAAAATTACAACAGATTAAATTGAGAAATGACAAAATAGAAATGTTCAAAATAAATTTCGATTTATTATTTCAAAAAAAATTTAAGAGAATAATTTATTAATACGCCGTTATTATTACTAATAATAATAATTGCTCTTGAATTACTTGATATACTTCTGTGCATCGGAGGACTCGTTAGGTAATTGCGAAGTAGGAAATCGTTTCCTCTGTCGAAAACTCGTATTTCTTCGTAATTGTTTTTTCTTTCCTCTCAAATAATATCGACTCATCATACGCCGATGAATTTTGAGATTTATTTCGGCTGAAATTTTGAGGTCGATGGGTTTTTGTCATCATTACTCCACTCCGCGCCATCTTCACATCTCCATCCTTGTGAAGTTGTTTATATTACCGATGTTGGGTATACAACCCCAAAGAAATTATTTATTAACACCAATTTCAATCAAATGAGTTTTAATTAATTCGGATAAACCGAAGAATCTCCAACGATTCGATAAATCCCACAAAATCCGGAGTGATAATCGCGAATTCATGCTGCCAGATGTCTTGATCTCCTCCAGTCACCTCCTGATTGGTTGTGGATCGTCGATTTATCGATTAATCAATCACTCCTCTGATCATTACTTCGACGTTCTACCCGAGTTTATTTTTGCATCTACGGGAATTGCAGCGATTGCGGGAAAATGTCTGTTCAGTCTGGGGTATCATTTATTCTGGCGAAAATACCGTGAGTTCTCGGGAAAGCGAATTCTTAATTAAATAACCGATTAAAAAAATTCATTAATCAATAAAGATGAATGAATTTTGATGAATTTTCGATCCATATCCCCGTTAAAATTCCACCTCCATTCCTAGCAATCGATCCCCTCTTAATCGAGGAGGACATAAATTCCCGACGAAACGAGAGAAATGTCATAGACTCGAGCCTCTCAATATTCGGATTAGCAAGTCTCATCTACGCTCTGTATCACCACCACGATTACCAAGCGACAGGTGTCATAATTATTTCATCGCTAGCACTCGCTGAATTTTTTTTCATGAGTGAAGATCTTCTGAAATCCCAGAGTCACACTCCCCCAGAGGATAAAAAATCAACTGATAACCATCTCAAGTGGCTGTGGATCCTCTCCTTCGGGACATTCGGGTACCGTGATCCTGTGATATCACCAGTGACACCCCTTAAAAGCTGCCTGATTCTTTCAGATGTGCAATGAATAACAATTACGCTCGTCTAGCAACAGTTCCCTGCGTAATTTCCAATCTAATTTACCCACCTGATGCCTTCTCCCACGGCTGGTCCCTCAGAAACTGCCTCATGGACTATATGACGTTACTCTACATCATTCTGATGACTGAAGCCATCTGTCAATGACCTTGAACACAAGTGGAATCAATGCAGAACGAAACTGAAACAAATCGGGCAACTCTTGAATTATTCTGTAATCCTGTTAAAAATGGGAGAAAATCGGAACGCGTGTCTTTGAAATTTAAATAAAGCGGGAGTTATGTGACAGGATCGCAGGAGAATTAAAGGGCAACTAGACTTTTTACCTTTTGGACTTCACGATTTCTGAAGAAAAAAAAAAGAAAAGGAAGGAAAAGCCGCTTGTAATGAAAATTGATTTATTGCACTTGACTCATTCTCACAATCAGAATTCACTCATGCCAACGTAACATCATCAACTATAAATGACTACGTGAATAACAATCGATCTATTAATTAATACTCATCAACATAACAGGCACACGACGTCTTAATCCATTCATTTATTAATCTCTTACTGAATTATCAGTGTCATAATTAAATAACTGGGTATCACATACGAAACGATAGAACACGTCGTACACAAGGTAGTGAAAAATTCGCTCCTAGTAATCATCCAAAGTCTTTTAGCTACCCAAAACTCTTGAATGTTACATCTTTGAGTTGGAGTTGGTGCTCCAGCCGACGTTACCCATAGGCTGAAGCCTGACGCTGTTCCTGGGGCTGTTGTCAGCTTCGTAGCCACCATTCACCTGTCCAGCATCGGCGAATACGTCTTTGACAGATATCTGACTGCTGCGAGTGGGTCTAGGTTGAATCCCCAGAGGATTACCAGCGACTCCGTAAATATTATTAGCCCCCAGGGTCTGCATCTGGGACTTTCTCCTGAGTGCGATGAGACTGTTGCGACGAGCCTCGAAGGCCTTGGATGCCTTCATCGAGCGACGCGTCGAGATATTCCTGGGGAGACCTTAAGAAAGCGAGACAAGATGCAGAGATAATCGAGAGAGTTGATTAAAAGAGGAATTAAATTTACGAACCTAGGATTGCCTCGCCGTTTCCTTCGGTCATGCTGAAGAACCTCTGTCTGAAGGCTACGTCAAGGGTATTGATCGCCTGCGTCTTTCTTCTGCTCTTCTCTAGGTTTCGGATGGTCTTCCTGCGACCTGGACCACTGCCACTGCCTTCGTCGTAGTCACCCTCCATGCCGTCGAGCCTCTGGAGATCTCTGACGATCTCCACCGCGTGCTTCGACAGCAGAGCCTCCTCCGAGAGGTCTTTGGGCTGATCAAAAATAATTGGTCAATCAATTCAGTCCTATGATTATTCCACAATCCTCGAAAAAACTTACTTTCTTACAGCAGTACCAACTCAGAACAGTGCTCGATAAAATATGAGCGAATGTTCCAAATCGATGGAACAACATAGCAGTGAACTGAATAACCAAGATGAGGGCGAAGAAGAACACGAAGACAAGACCGATAGGCTCCAGTTGTAGATATTCCTTCGAGACGTGCACCTGCAAATGTCACGGTAATTAGCATTGGGAATTGGAGTCGTAATGACAATCAGATGCCCCCCGTTTAATCCACAAGATTATTATGTACACCGAACCGACGTTATGATAACCATCAAGCGTCGTTCGCCTCAGAGTTAGACACAAGACCATTGGAAGCTCAACCATGAGACTCCACTCCAGACCCAGTCAATAAATGCAGCTGTGTGATAAAACTGCAACCACGTGATTATTAGTCATCCATTTCCTTGTGTGAAGAATTTTAAAGGAATTGGTCAACGAAATTTTGATAATTTTGGGAGATGCTGTCAAATTATTTTTATGAGTGAATTGTCGTGTGACAACTTGAGGATCAGGTGTGAAGAAAATTCTAGATATGATCGCCAGAGATATATTGAATTGTGTGAGGGAAGTTAATGGACTTCCTTATCTAAAACTAGACTCCAGGGACTCGTGCGAATCGCCACCTTGTACCATTGGTTAAAAAAACAGGCAGTGGATTCAGATGTGAGACATGTAAGGAAGATAGACACATAGAGTAATTAGAGTTGAGGCCGGTATGCCGGTACCTCTGAGGTTTCCTCATCGAAGGTGATGTTGGTCTTGACCCCAAGTGGCCAAACAACGTGCAGCTGATCTTTGTTCAATTGAAGTAGAAATACTATCAGTACAAATAGAGCATTGAACATTAAAAACGCGAATACACTCTTGTTCCGGAGTTCAATGAGATCTCCCGCGATGCGTGCCTGTTTCCATATCCATCAACAAAAAAAAAGACAAAAAGCATATTCATTAGTAATATAATAGAAAAGCTCCACTGATGTCCTTGTACTCGATCCTGGGAAAATGCTCCTGTACATTGGAGTATGAAAATAAATTCTCGCATTGACAAGAGGAATGAGTACATGGCAACAGTAGAGCGGTAATTTACCTCTTGGGAACTCTCGTCATACGTGATGTTGGTCTTGATACCAAAGGGCCATTTAACGTGCAGAAGGTCTTTGTTCAACTGTAGCAGGAAGACTATCAGGACGAATAGTGCATTCAGCATAAAGAACGCGAAAACACTTTTGTCGCGTAGGTCCTTGAGATCGTTAGCTATTCTCGCCTGATATCACCATCAAATTATTATCATCCATGAGACAGGGCTGGGTAACGTCAGACGAGATTACCCAGCTCTGACTGAATAACTTGAAAAAAACTATTGAGTAATTTTGAAAACGATATGAAGAGGGACAGGGAGACGAGAGGGTTGGGATCACGGGTCTTTTACCTTCTCTGCTTTGTCCTCGTCGATGGGGTAGAGGTATTGGGCAAGGAGATCCTTCCAGAAGGATTCCTCCTGCATCGAGAGGACATCGACTTCGCCCTTCTTCAGGCCCTCGTCGGTCAGCCAATAAGGACGAGAGAGATTCTCGTCTCGTCTGATGTCCTCTTGCTCGCTCGACTCGTCAGAATCGCTGTTGTGCTCTTGATCCTCCTGCGAGGCTTCATTTATCGGACCCAGATGATCTCCACCTCGAGAACCTGCTGATGAGCCACGACGGCGGACTGCGCTGTGAGCGTGAGGATCCACCGCCCTGGATCATAATCCAAATCAATCCTGATTTTCCTTCAAGGAAAACAGAACAAGTCGAAATAATCAACTCTAGATATTACCTCTCAATCGTCTCTAATCGTTTTCCCAATTGCTCCAGAGACTCTGCAATAGCTACAAGCTGTTGCTTCTCCTCCGAAGGTTTGCCGTGAGTGCACAACATACATTTGAATAATCCAGCGAGAGAAATCTCGATAGACCCCTGATCGTCGTCATTATTTCCAGATCCATTCTGGAGAAATCCTAACAGCGATTTTGTCTTGGCCTTCTTCTTCGCCTCTTCTGCCTCCTTTTTCTCTTGCTCTAATTCCTATCATCAAAGTATTTAATGAACCAGATCTTCAGGGTCCAGTGCATTAGTAAATTAGTCATTAGTATTTACCGCCTTTGTTTTCTTCACTGTTACTTCCCGCGTGCCCCACGTTATGTTATTCAAATTGACGAGTGAATATATAATTAATACGGCATACATCGAGGGTACCGTTATGTAGTAAATTATTCCATGCACAAGGCAACCGATTTCTTGCGGATGTAGACATCCAGCAATTGCTATCTGCGTTGTCACCAGAAGGATGAACAAACTCGAGGGTGAGAGTAGACCGTCGTCAATGACATTTATAGCTATCGCTATTATAACAGCTACCATTACGAGCGCGTAGATTACACTGAGAATAGCAGCGAAAAGGACCTGTCAGTGCATTCAAAAGAATCTATTTCATGACTGAATTTGTCCTAGAGAATCCTCCGTCACCTCCGGATTAACCCATCACCACAACCAGTTCAAGCAATAAAAAATCTCCTGACAATAATCAACGCTCCAAACGAGACAAACCTTCTTCGTCTTCTTCACTTGGACTTCCCTCGTTCCCCACGTTACGACATTGAGATTTATGATCGAGTAAAGAATGAGAAGCAGGTACATCGAGGGAATAGACAGGAGGTAAATGATACCGGGTACGACACACCAAAACTCCTGGGGATGTAGGCAAGCTGCTATGAAAAATGAACTCGACAGCGACATCAGGAATATCGCCGATGGCGAGCCTATCCCATCCTCACCAAGTTGTAGAGCAGTACCAACTATCACTGCCATCATGATCATTGCATAGAGCGTTGACAATATTTGGGCGCAGAGAAGCTGAAAGGATAATACCATACCATACCATACAATTGCCAAATCACAATTAAATGAGAACTGCAATTGAGGAATACGTAATCCAAAATAATAAATATAAATAATTCGTGATACAGGGTTTTGTGATGAATCCGTGATAAGTAGTGGAGACACCAATCCCAGACAATACAAGTACACGACGATGAGAATAATGAATAAATATTACCTGTATATTAGATTTGCAAGTGAAGCAAACGACCATAAATAATAGAATCGGAAAGATATTGTAGTAGAAGCTGGTCCAGTTGTCGATTTTGAAGGCAGCCACGAAGGCACCCACCAACATGAGAAAAATGGTGCCAGGTCCGAGAATGGTGCCACCCATGAGGAGAATCTGATACGATATATAGGGCATAGAGATATTATCGTTGATTTTGATAGTTCTTTTGGCGTCCATGAGGAGATCCATGATATTAGCCATGGTAGAAGGGACCCATCGTCTTCGCTGATTGTAGAATTCATTGAAACCCTCAGGAGCATGAGTGTAGGCATCACTGGCAGCGGAGTATTCGACTCGATATCCCCTCTGAAGTAGGAGAGTGCACAGCCATCGATCCTCACCTTGATCATACTGAACGTAATGCCTTGCATCCTCAGACTTGGTCGTGTACTTCTTCATGACGTTGTCGTCCATAAGTGCTTTACCCCTGAAAAGGGAAAAACAACCAGGACTACAGAGTACACATCCGATCATGTGCTCCGTGGCTTTCTGGAGCCAGTGACCAATGGCGTACTCGAACATCTGATACCAGACCATGGGGCCAGAGCCGACTGGATGAATTCTACCGCAGGCAGCACCTAAATTCTTATTCTTCTTCATCAAGTCAACGAGTAGCTTGACAGCGGCTGGTTGGAAGTCAATGTCACCGTCTAGAGTCAGGAGATACGTGTTCTCGGCGATTATCTCCTTCCTGTCAACACTGATTGGCAGCTCCATCAAGCGATGACCCAGCAAGTAGTACATGTACATCACTTGGCTCCACCGTTTTCTGTGACGAATCTTGTTCTTGTCCTTCAAGTGAGCAATCATCTTGGACTTGCCAGGTAAAGTCCACACAAGTCGACCACCGTAAGGAGTTGGAATTTTCTTCGGTGCTCTCACGTGCATTCTTGTCTGATGCACGTCAGAGGCGGCTTCGTCCAGTGTTCCCACTAACAGCTTGACAAAACGATTCACTTGTGTCTCGTTCTCGTCGTGATCAGCCAATTCGAAAGCATCATCGAAGAATATGTGAGTCTCGAATTCGTAGTAATCTGGGTCAACGACCTTCAAGTATTTCTGTGCTGTACGCCTTGCGCACTGATCCTCATCAAGCCGTAAAATACTCTTCAAGAACTCAATCATCTCTTCCTTGTTCTCGTGCCACATCGTGGCACACGCATAAATACGTGTTACGTGATCGCTGTTCTTGACAGCTGATGGTGGTGTCGTTGATCCGTCAGTTTGCTCGTAGATGGTCTCGTAATCACCGTCCCCCTTTTCTCTCTCGATCTCGGCAAGATCCTCGACCTTCACCTCCGGTTGATCGTCACGTTTGCGATTTAGTCCGAGGGACTGGTCTATCAGGAGGGAGTCGTACATGGGGACGACGAAGAGCTTCTCCGTGGCAGCCAGACGCTCGCACTTTGGCGTCCATATGTGGATGGTGAACCAGGTCTGCGAGAGCAGCCACAGCAGCCACACCCACGCGTACTGCTTCGATACGAAGTCGTTTAGGAAGTAGGGTGGAGGTGACTCGTAGAAGAGGTAGTCAGGAATTGTTCCGTGGAAGAAGCAAGGATCGGTGTTGCGGAGGCCACAGGCCGCGATGAGGAGGGAGATCAGGACGGGAATGGTCAGACTCACTGGGAAAGCGTAACTGAAGCCCTGGATTAAAATTTTACACGCGAATTTACCTGTGGAAGATTTATAATTAATGAGGAATTTCAATTAACAGAGAAATCGTTGAATTTGTCGAATGCATTCATCGACTCAGATTGTCAAAAATTCTTTGACTCACCAAATATGTAAGCGAAGTAAGACGCGAAGATCTGAATCAACAGAACATACATGGCTGAATTGAGGTCAGCATCGACTGTTTCAGTCTCGCCATTTGGCAGAAACTCGGAGATGTCGGGAATTGTTCCCAGAGCATTTTGACGTACAGCTGTCACGGTGATCTTGTGCTCTCCAAAAGCACTACCGAACATTGTGAACAGGTGACCAACGGTTTCACCTCTCGCGTGGAGAATTATCAATGAGCTTATGAAGAAGGCAATGATTTTCCAGATGGAAACGAATAAGTAGGTGAAGTATCTCGTCAATCGGAGATCCTTCTTAACTCTGTTGAGAGTCCTGACAAGACCTAGGGGACAAAGCCGAGATGGTTAATGAAAAATTTTCCCAATACAATGACTTCAATAATAAATTAAACGTATGCGCAAGGTAGCCAGTGAAATCGAAATATACCAATGGGGCTCTGCATGGAGACGTAGTTCTCCCACCAACCACAGGATACGAGGATCAAAGAGGCTGGAATGAGCCAGAGGCTGTGTCTGGAGCTCTCCAGCAGTGGCCAGACAACAAAACCACTGGCTTGTGCTGCCAGTGCTGCGAGATCAACGAGCACCAGGACAAATCTCTTGGATTCGTCTTTGCTCTTGTTCCTGGAGAGTAGACCCAGGAGACCTGGTACGAAGCACACACAATTGGTCAGCATAGCCCCCCTGATGACATCCAGGTCAGGTAGCACCGAGAAGAACATCAGAGCAAGTCCCAGTACGTGAAATGTCTCCATCATGAAGACCAAGAGGAAGTGCGAGGACAGGGGCTTCTTGCATGACTTGAAGGTGCACATTCTGCAGCTCCTGATGAAGGTGCCAATCTCGGGCACTGCGAAGGCTATTATTATGCACCACATCCAGCCAATTCTCTCTTCCTCGGGGAGGCTAACCACGAACTGGCGGTCTCTACCTAATTGACGATTGCAGTACACCATCACTCGACCTGGACGCAGCTGCGATGTCATGAAGAGTACTGTACCCTTTGCCAGGACACCACAACCAAGGACAATGACGAACACTAGGAGGTAGACTATTACTTTTGTTATTTGAACTGTCGCGTCCAGGCATTTTTGGTTTGCCATGGAGCCAGAGTCTATCTTTGGAGGGGGATCTCTGAAGACGTCCCATGCTTTTGTCTCTACGACTGTTCGCTGACTGAAATCAGGGAGGATCAGGATTAAATGAAATTGCACATTTTTTTTTCAATTCGAAATTCCACAAAACTTCAGGGAGAGTGTGAAATTCTTCGCCGTGGGAGGAATTTCTTCAGTTTCTCGTTCTCACTTTAGTAAAATCATTACCTTCCACCGTAATCCTGGGTCAAGGGTGTTGTATCATCATCTGAAAAATCGTCATGACTCCCTCCTCCGGGGACAACCCCATTCTGCTGCTGGTGCTGCATTTCCACTGGTCAATCCTAAACAAGAAAAATTAGCAACAAAATTATGTCGTCCTAAAAAAAAATACAGCGAGTCCAGGAAAAATTGCATTATTGCTCCCGGATGAGTCCCCAAAAAATAGCAATAAAATATAGCAAGTGTCAATATAAAATTTCCGCATTCCTCCGTAATTTTGTCGGTCACTCGATTCTCATCCCCTTGATTGCGTCATACACCGATTTTCTCCGAGATGCATCAGCTTAATGACCACCGATACTAACGGTACCCGCTCATATTTCTAATCGGCTAATGAAACATTTCTAGTTGCGGTTGCCGTATAATGGCACAAACGCGTGAATTGAATTTACGCATACGTGTCTGCTACCGAGTCGATTATATCATCAGGCAGCAACCGCAAGACGTGTAATTTTTTTGATTGATTAAAAGGTGAAAGTAGAAGCATCATCGGTTAATGCAATAGTTTACGATGTGTCATGGACGTAATTACTGAAAATTCCGTGAATCCATTTTGCCTTCAATTTCTGTTGACTGAATTTTCTAAATTTTTCAATTTAGTACAACATTTACCGCAACATTCGAGTAAAAATTATAGATTTCCGCTAACAATTGCCGATACGCAATTAGAGTAGGTGCGATTTCTCCGATTGCCAAATGATTGGATCAAGTGGTGATGTTCGAAGCTAGAAATGCCTGTAATTGATCATTACATCGTCATCAATCAATGCGTTCGTGGCCATATGGTATAAATTGATCGGACATAACGTTATAGTATCTTTGTTCTCGAAAGAGGCTGACAAAGGAGGGAGAGTGAGATTTTTAACTGGTTCCTTCAGCTCTTGAAAGTGAAAGGCAACAGAAAACAAGGCAGATAACGTAGCAAGGACGTCCACTGCAACATACTGTAACCGCCCTCGAGCCTCGTCACCGTCTACCCCACCACCAGGACCTCCCTACTTTCTTTCCTCGCTTATTTATTTGTATTTCGGTAGGTTTCTTTTATTTTTATCCGTTTCCCCCTTCAACATTGGAGTTTCAATGGACGTGCATCCTGAATTCCATTACTGTGTCAATGATCTGGGGATATTTTAACTCCAGGATGAGGTGAGGTTTGCCTTCACCGGGGGTCAGTCGTTATTTTTAGAGGCCAACTTCTCCGAGAGGGCAGAATAAATTCCAATCGTTTTTCCATTTTTTTCATTTTCGCAATCAGTTGCAATTAACAAATGATCAGCAAATGGTTTGACGCCTAATTAATGACTAAGAAATCACACGAGTAATGAATCTTGATGATTAATCAGTGAATTTGAATATGGATCTGCTTAATGAACGTATAATAGATTGGAGGATTTATTTCCCTTGAGGGAAGAACTCGATCGATCGAATTCGTTATTGGGGATCGGACGGTATCATCTCAAGTGCTCGATTACGTTTTCTCTTGTTCGCAATTTTTTCTCGTGAGAAAATCCTCTCCCCAGTTTTTGCTGTAATAAAATACCCCCCCATGCCTGTCATCATTACAGCTATTAAATTATTACGCATGTACAAAACAACTGGCGATGGTTTTTCTTTGATTCAATGCGCCTCGAGGACTTTCTTATTGGATTCATTCAAACACTGATTTCTCGAGCCCAGGGGCTACGAATTCCTTTGGTAATAGAGTTCGAAGGGATTTCGATATTTTCGGGGCTTTCGGATTTTTCTTGTCGACGAGAAAAGAGGAAATTATTCTTCAGTCATTTGAACACACGTCATGTTTCGCTCCAGTAATCACCGGTCACGAAAATTATATAGGAAATATTTCTTTCACTCCGAGTTTTAAAGCTGAAATATCCATGAGTAGCTCGAATCATCTTCAGAGCGATTTCCAATGGGAATTTTCATTTTTCATGCTGTATTATTATTTATTTATAATTAATTAATCGATAAAATCAGTACTTTATTCATTAATTATTATAATTATAGATTTTGATAGGAAAATATCCTCTGGTATGAATTATTTCTCACAATCAAATTTTCCTATTCGATTTTGGAAAATAAGATTTTACAACAAAAAAATTTTTTTTTCTGGTAATTATGCCCCGGGAAAATTGACACTGATTTTCTTCCCGAGAATATTACATGGAGTTGAAAAGGAGCAAACTTGAAATTCCGTTTCTCTCCCAATAAACAACGGAGTTATCCATAAACACCGGAGTTATCCATAAACACCGGAGTTTCTGCATTGTGACCACTTCCTGATCATTCCGTAAAACTAAAACGCTAAAAGCCCCACGCCTCCATAAATATATCGTACATTACATATAAGAGGTATCGAAATGTTACGAGCGAGAAAACAGGCGTGCCTGGTTTGTCATGGCGATTGAAAAATATAAAAATAAAATCGAGCAACTGGCGAAGGAACAGACTGGCTTTTTCACTGACATAGCTCAAGCATTTTCCAGTTGCAAAATCCTGGAGTGGCACGCCGACAATTCCACCCGGAACCTAGAATATCGACGGATATGGAATAATGATTGACGTGAGAATCCTTTCAGGAGGAAGAGTCACAATGCAACAAAAAGGAAAAAAATAATAATAATCACAATGAAGATTTTTTTTCCCTTTGAATCCGCATTTCCACTTTGAAACTGCCACTTCCCAGGGACTGACCTTCGACATTACAAAGATATCTTCCGCCTCAGATAGTCATTGAGGAGAAAGAATTTGTGATAAAAGGATTACGATATCTGCTGAGCGATAGCTAATGCAATGCAATTCCATTTTTATTCGAGATATTCGAGATATTATCATTTCTTTTACGATTACAACTCGATTATCGCGATCTAATCGAGTGTGAAAAATCCATGCAGTAACCTATCGAAACTGGAAATCACTGAAATTTTTCTGGTGCTCTCACCGCGTTGCAAATGGAGTGAAATGAAAAAAAATGAAACTGTTTCGCTGTTTCATAATCGACAGGATTGTTAGAGTCACAAAGACTTGACTCATGTATCCTAACTGTATTATTTATATTGGAGTTAATTTGAAGCAATATTTATTTGCGCAATCGACGCAATAAAAATAACATTCCCTTTTAAAACGCTCAGCGCTCGGGAATTCTCACATTTTTTGTTCGGATTTAATAAGTGTTTTATGAAATCGAATTATCTCGGTGAGGATTGATCATACGAGAAAGTGTCATTGACCTTTTTTGTCGAGTGCTTTCCGATCTAGAAAAAATTCCTCTGTCGTTTTTCGGTGAATTCATTAGTTTCCGGGATATTTGCGAAATTATCTCCAAGAATTTTTCCCACTTTTCCAGTTAGACTGAAAACTCGTTTGCCAATTCTCGAAATATCTCGGTAACGACTGGTCCTAGGGAAAAAAAGTGAAAGAGATCTTACGTTGAAAATTGGTTGATCTACTAAAAAGGTTGTTGACATTTTCCTGTAATTCCATTGGTGTTGCGAGTAAAATCGAATTGAATTTGATTAATTGAATTTGATTGGATTGATCGAGTGTCCTCACTTCAAAAATCATCCACTTCACCGTATATCTAAACTTATTGAAGTCTCCATTACATACGTTCCAGTCAGTACGTAATCCTCGCCTTTCTAAAAATCCTCGAAATTATAGAGTTGCAAGAAGACCGGTCATGGGGAACGCCGAGAGTCAGTCAATTGGAAATTATACCTCGGTCACGTACCACGCGACTTCCTTTCTGATCAGCCACATCTCCCTCTACAGAAGAAGTCTCATATATCCGGAAATCATATCCTTGACAGCCTAGACCAACCAAACACACCCTAATAGTCATTGCAATTGCAATTCTCGTAATAGTTCTATCCGGGCCTCCCTGTAAATTTTCACCAAAATTCCACGTAAAGATACTTTATACATTTTGGACTATTGAGTGAATTCTGAATCAATTAACTTCGATGTTAATTAATTAACAAATTTAATGAAAGAAATCGATGGCATGTTTTCCTGCATGTACCATTGAAGGAGTTTATTGCAACAGTCTCATCCAACATTCCTCCACAGTATTTCGAAATAATTCAACCGCAATCCCAAAACTTCTACGACCTCGAAAATCTCATCACTCGTTTCTCGATTCCCACCGTCATCCAATCTACTTCCTCCCTCGGTCATTAATCAACCGTCGCTGATTCACGGATAAACTTTTCATCGAAATTATGCGGGAAAAATCCAAATGTCTTCCGCTGATGAGTGAAAGGTGTCGAAATAACGGAGGGAAACCCGGAGTCGATCTAAATCGCTGGGGAAATCGGTTGCACTGATTTCCATATTCAACCGGAAAGCAGCGGTTATCAAGAGTATTCTAGGGCAAACCGAAGAAAGATTAACATCCAGAGATGAATTACTGCCGAGTAAACTGTTTGAAAATTATTCATTAAAGTGAGATATTTCAAAAAATTTATGACAACGTAAACTTATCCGTCCCAAATATGCACTCGGAATCTTACCATAAAATCCCCATTTAAATTCTAGTGTCAAATAAATTTATTTCGCGAATTAACGAATTTAATTCACATAAATAATATTTTCACTCGGCGTAATAAGTAGTCTCTCAAGAATCGTTGTTCATCGAGTCCTAAATCCCCTCTCCCTTTCATCATTCGTCTGAACAGTCGGATGATTCTACAGATGTTGCCTAATAAGTCCTCGCTAATTGATTCGCCACATTAATTCTTCATCAAAACACCAAAACACGGGATTTTCATTTTTTCTCGTTATTTAAAATTCTAATTTATGCACTTCAATGTCTAACACATGACATTTCATCTGAATTTGCAAATTTGGTCAAATGTCATGGAAAAATCTATGGAACTGATCAATTGCCATCAAATAATTTCCCAAAAATCAATAAAAAATTAAAGAACAGGAAAATTCATAATCAAATTCTAATTTCTCCCATTAAAATTCGTATGCGCCTAAAAAAATCTATTCGCAATAAAAAAACATAACGGTAAATTCAATCCTCTACATTTTCTTGACAGAAGTGATTTTTTCTCTCTCTCCAATTTTTTTCCTCCAAATTCCAAAAACCAAGTAAAAGAATTCATGTTCTAAAAAAATCCAGAAATTCCACTTTGACAGTTCCACGCGCTCCCCCACCAAAACCCACATATTTTCTGATACTCCGTTCCTCATTGACATACGAAGTCTCCTAACGGAACAATCACCGGGGTACATCTGTCCCAGGAAAAAAAAAAATCAAAAATCGTGCGCTCACCGTGCGTTGAATCCAAGACGAAAGTATTCCCTCGTGTCTCAGCGGATCATGTCGCTGGTATCACCTCCGCACTTTGAATCAGTTTAAAAATCAATCGGTGGGAAGATTGATAAATCCACTAAGAACCGATAGAACCGATAGAACCGATCACTCGCGGATCAATCAGCGCATCCTCTAATCCTGACTGATAGTAAACCGTTGAAAAACCGGTGTAAAATTGTTGGACTAAATAATTGCAATTAATGGAGGGCATATAAATGTAAAATAAATATAATATGGAAATATGAAAATATGGAGGGACTGGATCGGAGAGGTGAAAGCCGAGGTGAACGTTAGCGCACGACTGTCCGTTCCAAGTTGTTCTCAAAGAAGGAACGGTGCTCTCTTCCCCACCGATATGCTACACCATCAGGTTTATAACTACGGGTTACTTTCACAAAACTTCTCACTCGTGGAGCCGTTGGATTTTCACATGAGCGCGGCATAAAGGGAATAACACTCGGGTCTATTATCATTGCGAAGACACTCGACATGACGTCAGAATGGAAAAACGTCCAGGTATTCCTCTCACGTGGGTGGAGGAGTCAAGCCAAATGAAAGAGGGAGGTCTTTTGCCTTCCGATCGCGGGGAATATCCTCGAGGGTCGACGATCCCGGTTACCTCAAGGTCCTCTCATCCTCGATCATCCTTGGCAGAGGATTCCCCGAGGATTTCACACACTTTTTTTCATCATCCCCAGGTGATAGATTATTTCGTGGCATATCTCTATTTTATTTCTTCTTTAATTCCGAGAACTCATCACAACCCTCAAGTCCGGATCATTTGGGGATCAACGATTATTTTAGAAAATGTGTGTCGGTTATTACAGCTCCTCTGAATTTTTATATTTTTTGTTTTACGAGTAATTGATGGGGTTGAAATTTTTTCGGCAAGGTCGTATTTTAGGTGAAATCTAATTCAAAAATTTACTTGAAATTTCAACGATTTGATAGTCCAAAGAAATTGATGTCACGATTTTATCTGAAAAACTTCATTAGTGAATTTCCATTTTCCATTCTAGAATGATTTTTTTCTCATAATAATATGATTGGCAGTCTTTTATTAATATCTTCTCCGAGGGAAAGGGTAAAGTGACATTTATAAACGATCTCCTGACTTTTATCGATCCTCAATGCTTCGAAACTCGAATAACCGTTTTTGTTCGAGGATGAGATGCTCGAGGAATTTGTAAAAGTTGGGATGCACGCTCGATCCTTCGAGAGACTCAAGGACCCTTGGATTTCTAATTAGACTCCTGTTTCACGTTACCATATTGCAGGGGCAAATACCAAATACGGGGGGAAAGAAACTGGAGATGAAATTCTGGGAAAATCTTGAAGACCTTGAAGAATCCCTTCAGACAAATTTATTTTAATAAATCCCTTTTATTAATCAGTAAAGTCGTCACAATTTCAAAAATCTGATTGAAATGTGAATTTTACAATTTTGCTGCTGACACATCGAATTCTACTGGTCTTTACCGTTCGTTCATTAAAAATGACTGCCAGAGATTTCTAAGAGGCTGGAGTTGATGCGGTTGACAAACCGTGAGACAATGTTACTCAATCAATTCTCTATCATCGATAGAGAATTCATCGTGACATTTACCCTGATTCGATCTTCCGCAGATTCTGCGACGTTTATCACCCCTCAGCTCCCAAGAATCATCTCCAATGAAATATCGAACTCCTCGACATTTATGGTCGATCTGTCGAAAGATTTACAGACTTCACTATCCCAATCGCCCTGTCTCGACCTCTTATGCATTCTCGACATATCGCTATGCAATAAAAAACACATTTTCTTGAATTTTTTTTTCAAGTTATCACGCATACATATATATATACATATTATATCCATACAATTCTCACAAGAAAAATTAGAATATTTATAAGATGAAATAGAAGAAGTCTCATCATGAGAAAATTCAATACAAAAAATTGAAATTAACTCAATAATTCTAATCTCATCAACAATAAAATTTCACTATCGACTGAATCTCACACTAGACTTGAAAAAAATACACCCCAATGTCCACGAATCCCTCACTGTCGCTCCATCGAGAGATTGAGTGATTCCTCTCCCTTCTTGATGCCCCCCAGATCAAGCATAGCTCCAAAATCAGGTCTGACACTGGATATGGAGAGCTCCTCAGCGGTTGTGAAGTCAGTTCTCTTCTCCTCTTTCTTCCTCTCAGCCATGATATCCTCGTAACCAGTGAGCCCCTCTCCACCGAACTCCTTCCTCTCGCCAGCGAGATCCTTGAGCTGACCAGGAGTCAGAGGTACCCCCTTTGCAAGTGGTCCAAACAGGTTTGCTATGTTTCTCGCGTAAACCGAGGATGGGCTCTTTGTCAATTCGCTCAACGAGAAGCCGGACAATTTAGCGAGGTCAGCTGGTGTGAAACTTGCGATTTTACTGAGATCCGGGATTATCTGCTGGGAGAGATCAGGGAGGGGAAAATCCGGTGGTAAATTTGCTCGCATTTTGTTGAGTGTTTCCAGGGAGAGTGGAGCTAGTTTTGAAAAATCCACTGGCGGTGGCTCAAACTCCATTTTGGAGCTCTTCACAGATACCGTCAACTCACCAGACCTGAAGGTGCCCATGTCCCTCTCCTTGAACCTCTCCTTCAGGTCATCATTCTCCTTCTCAATTCTTCCCTCTCTGCTCGAGGTAGAGGGATGAAGAGCAAATTTCGTTACCGAGCTCGTGATTGTGGTATCAGGTTTAAAATTCACCGGTGCCAGGAATACATTATTTGGAGGCTGACTTCCTGGTGTTTGAGCTAGGGGTTCAGCCAGGGGTAGAGGGGGATAGGGCACAGAGTAATCAGTATCTTCTTTCGATCCAGGGCAGATCATCTCCTTGATGACCTCCCAGTAACCACTGCTTGTCCCTCGATTCCTTGGGAGCTTCGAGGCCAGTGAACTCCGCAGTCGATCCAAATACGTCGTGGTGGCTGTGAACTTGGACTTGAAGTCAATCCCACCCTCGGATTTGTAGTACTCTATGCACTTTTTTATCTCGTCCAGGGCGTCCTGGGGGAGGAATGGCTCCTGGGTTATTGTGTAAGAGAGCAGCATTGGACGTGGGTACTCGTGGGGACGGTTCTCTGGTGGTGGCATCGACCAAAAAACATTGAAATTGGACTCGTAACAATTTCCTTCCGCGTTGTATGGAGAGCATATTAATCCAACACAGGGTGTGTACCCATTGTCACTGGGTCCCTTCATCTTTATCTGGTAATCCAGCTGGTAATCAACATCTCTGAGGGATGGGGCAGCGTGTGATCGTGGATGGGAGTGATACCAACCAACGAGAGTTACCCTGTGCCACTCCATGGCCTTGGCAATCTCAGCCTCTACCATGCTGGCAGCAGTCTTGTCCTTTCCGGCGTATCGACAGGGGAAGGCATTTGTTATCGATAAATTGTGGGAATTTATGTCCCAGTGGCCACCCAAGTAACCGCACACCTCTTTGTCGGTCAGGTGACAGTGGAGATCGACAATAAGAGCGGCTGTCGTTGATATTGTCACCAGGAAGGGCTGGATTTTTCCCAGGGTGCTGAATGACGTCAGCTCCACCATGGTGCTCATATCCATCGCAGGACTTCTGATTCCTAGATTTGTGTGCTTCACTGGGACTCTCACGACGATCGAAGGATTCACCTGGGGCTTCTCCTGCTCTTCCTCCGTCGTCTCACTCGCTGCATCCATCGTATCCACTTTCGTACCCTGAAAAAATTAATTGACCAATCAAAATCACCAAAAAATGGGGAAAAATTTAAGGACAACAAATTCCATTGAAAAATAAATGTCTCTTGACTTCTTTTGCTTTAAATATTGAATAACAAAGGGCCGAAATAGAATTACATAATCTCGTATAGAATTGGCGTAAAAAACGAACGAGAAATGTTAATTAAATATTTTACCGAATTTTCTAGAGAAAGCATTGGGTTTTTCTATGAATTTGACGTACATGTAACCCCTAAAACGTTCGACCATTAATTTGTTTAACATTCAAAAATAATACCGGATGCATTCTCAGCTGATATCCAATTCCAGGAACAGCAGGGAATTTCCAAAATCAGGTCAATGACACTATTTAATTATCAAACCCAAATATTCACTTCCGCGAATGTTAAAAATTATTGTTGACGTCCAAAGACGCGTCGGGACTCACAAACACAAACCAAAACCTCCTGCTATCGTGATCGATCGCTGAAACGTCAGAATTTCAAGTGAAGAAGTGAATTTAATACTGAAGTGGTAAAACAGTGAGAAATTTCAAGATGGCGTTTTGTCGGTGAATCTGTCACTCTTTCCGCCTGTCAAACGCGCCAGACTGACGAGAAATAGTGGAATAAAATGTATTTTTAATTCACGATAGTCACAAATACTCGAGAAAATACAACAAAATGCACGACGCCTACGAAGCAACTCCTATCCTCAAGGTGTCAGTCCAAATCGAGTCGATGGCAGCCTATGGTACAGTATTAACCTCCCCTCCAATTTCCATTATTCATTATTAACTCATTGTTGTTGTAGACGACAATTTGTTAATTGGAACGAGAGAGGGACATTTGCTCATCTACAATGTACCACCGAAATTCAATGAGTATGGAAAGTTGGAACTGTTAAGTTACAGTAAAAATTTCAGCAAGAAAAGAATTGTGCAGGTGGATGTTGTCCCTGAGTTCAATCTACTTATTTTATTGTCAGGTGAAAATTCCCAGAGTATTACCTATATTTTCTCAAAATATCTCAATTTCCGAATGAATTCCAAATTTCGCAATTTGCTTTGATAGACGACATAATCTGCGTGCACGACCTGAACTCGTTAAATATCCAACAAATAAATCAACTCCCGAAAACAAAAGGAGCAACGCTCTTCGCCCTGGACGTCCAGGAGGCGGAGAGTCTAACCGGTGAGAAGAATACAGTGGTACGTCTCTGTGTGGCTGTTAAACGAAAGCTGCAGCTGTATTATTGGAAGGGTCGAGAGAATCAGTTCAAAGATCTGGGAGTTGAATCCCGAAATGAATTATCACTGCCAGATGTTCCAAGGGAGCTTGCCTGGTGCGGTGAGACATTGATAGTGGGTTTTCACGGTATTTCGTACACACTACTATCCCTAGAAGGCAAGATGAAGGAGCTCTTTCCAACAGGCAAGCCCCCAAAGCCCAGTATCACAAAACTATCGGATTCGTCATTTGCCCTGGGAAAAGACTCCCAATCGATAATAATGGACACCTCTGGAGAATTGATCCAGCACAATCCAGTGAAATGGACAGATTCTCCGAGTGCCACTGCCTGGGACGATCCCTATCTCCTGGGGATAGTCCACGATACTCTAGAGGTCTACACCCTGGAGGGATCCCTGCACATCCAGACTCTCCAGGATCTCAACAAATCTCGACTACTCTGCAGATGCAAACAGGGACGAGTCTATATTGCCTCAATCAGTCAGGTCTGGTGTGTTTCCTCAGTGGACGTTGAACTTCAGATTAGAAAGCTCCTGGAGCAGAATCAGTTCCAACTGGCCCTGAAGCTGACCAGCCTCTCAGACGCCACAGACGACGACAAACAGAAGAGAACGTATAAAATCCAGACTCTGTACGCCCATCACTTGTTCTGCAGCAAAAAATTCCAGGAGGCGATGAAGCAATTCCACGACTTGGGGACAGATCCATATGAGGTAATCAGGCTTTTTCCTCACCTGGTAGATTCTGGGGGAGCCAATGACGTGAACGAACCAGTGACAAGTCTCCCCAAGCTGCAGGATCGAGACCTGGAGAATGGATTACTGGCACTGATTGGTTTTCTGACGGAGGTAAGGCATAACTTGATGGGGGGCACAGATGTAAAGGAGAAGGACGGAAAAAGGGAGGATGGGAAGAAGGACAGGAAGAGTATGACAGCAGCTGCAACGGAGCAGCTCCTAAAGATAATTGACACGACACTTTTGAAGTGTTATCTCCAGACTAACGACGCCCTAGTAGCGCCTCTCCTCAGGCTCAACCACTGTCACCTCGCTGAGGCTGAAAAAACACTTCTGCAACACCAGAAGTACCCCGAGCTCATAATCCTGTATCAGACGAAGGGCCAGCACAAGAAAGCCCTCGAACTCCTGGAGAAACAGAGCAAACAGAGTGACTCCAGCCTCAAGGGCACTGAGAGAACCATTCAGTATCTCCAGCACCTGGGAAAGGAGCACATCGAACTGATCCTTAAATTCTCTGGATGGGTGCTGGAGCAGGACCCTGAACAGGGTCTCAGAATATTCATCGAGGACATTCAGGAGGTTGAGCAACTCCCCAGGCCAAAAGTTCTTGATTATCTACTGAGGCAGCACAAGAGTCTCGTCATCACGTACCTGGAGTACGTGGTGAGAGTCTGGGAGGATGAGAACTCGTTGTTTCACAATATTTTGGTCCATCAGTACAAGGAGAAGTGTCTCGCCGGAATGAGCCCAACTGCGACACCTGCGGAAAGGCAGAATGCTGAGCACGTTAGGCAGAAACTGCAGCAGTTCCTTGAAAAAAGTGTTCACTACACTCCTGAGACGGTTCTCGTTCAGTTCCCCTCTGATAGCCTCTTCGAGGAGAGGGCTATTATACTTGGCAGACTTGGCAGGCATCATCAGGCCATTTCTATTTATGTTAATTTACTTAATGACGTGCCCAGGGCCATAAAATACTGTCATAACGTCTACGCTGGGTTCGAGGGCCAGAGGAGTGGTGATGGGGTAAAATCGACTGATGGAGCTGATGAGGTGTACGTGACACTCATTCAACAGTTATTGAAGCCAGAGCCTGTATTTATGGCTGGAAATTCGGAAATACAAAAAACTGCTCAGCCTGATCTCGAGACAGCTCTGGAACTCCTGGAGCAATACGCCCCGAAGGTATCACCAATTAAGGCCTTGGAGGTGTTACCAGATACTGTGCCAATCGGCAGGATCAGGCACTTCCTGGAGGCGTCTCTGCAAAATCAATTGAACGAAAGGAGGAGAACTCAAATTTTAAAGGGTCTTCTTCATGCTGAACATCTGCAGGTGCAAGAGCAGAGAATGCATTATGAGTCACAGAGTGTTCTCATGACTGAGTTCAATATTTGCTCTGTTTGCAAGAAGAGATTTGGAAATCAGAGGTGAGAATCAATATTTCAGTAGATTTATCGTTTCCGTAGCAAAGGGGTATAATGAAAATTTTTCAACTTTCCAGTGCATTCGCCAGATATTCCAACGGCGAGATTGTCCATTACTCCTGCCAGGAGCGAAAGTCATAGGTAAAACGAAATAATTTCATTGAAATTCTAACTGCAATGTAACATATTCAACTAGTTGATTATTTTCAAATTTTTATGAATAAAAAAGTATTATAAAATCGATGAGAACTGCGCTCTAGAGATCTCTGAATTGATCTAGATCTACCTATTGAAATTCCTCTGAAATTTAAATCCATTCTTCCGGGGTTTATTTCCAGTTTCTATCCAAAAATATCTCCAATCTATAATCTCGATTGATAGAAAATTGAATTGATTAGGGCATGTGGGGAAATGGGGCATTTGATCGTTGCAGGTGATTGCAGATTCCACCGGTTGTGATTCTTTAATGATTGAGGGTGAAATTATTCAGTAAAAAATCAGGAATAACAAACGGTGATGAAGGATGGGGCGTGCCCGGTCCAGAAAACGTGTAAACGGGGCTGATGATGTCATAGACATGAGTTGTGTATCCCTCCGCCATATCGTACAAGTCGCATTATACTTGTGTAGGTGTACACAGCAATAAATTGAAGCAGGTACGACTTGAATTTCACCTGCACCCCTACACCATTTAAAAATCATCGCATCGTTTTTATTTATCATTTCTAATGATCCAAATCGATGAGATTATTAACATTAAAAATTACTGATTAACTGATATTGATATTAAATTTTTATATCATTCTAGACGGTTATTATTAATATTGATTTGATAATAATTGGAGAGATGAGAAGTGACAAGTGAGGAATAAAAAGTTTTAGTCAATGAGAACATTTTTTTGGAGGCATCTGATGGTACGGTCCAAAGAGGATTGACTAAAGTAGAGGGTCAGATCTGGGGGTTGGAGTGACCCCAGCGGCATCGTAGTACTGCACCCCAAGAGAGGGAGGGCGCTACACGTAATGGGGGGGTCAACCCGTCAGCCGACTCGGTAATTGCCTCAGTAGTAGTCTCGCTGTCAGAGGGATAGGGTCGGGGTAGACACCCCACCATAGGGTGCGGTCCCCCTCTTTCTCTTGGGGTGAGGTACTACAATGCCGGTGGGGTCACTCAAACCCCCACTTAGCGGCTCAGTTCTGGGGGGAGTACCTCACCCCAAAAGAAAGAGGGGGCCGCACCCAATGGTGGGGGGGTGTCTACCCGTCTGCCGACTCGGTAACTGCTTCAGTCGCAGTCCCGCTGTCAGAGGGACTAGTTGACTTGGTGAATTTTATTTTTTGAAAATTTTCAATTTTTCAATTTCAATGAATGCCTCCTCGATTTTCATGCTCCTCTGATGGCTTTATGAAAAATTTGAATTTTCAAATTTTGGTGAAATACCTCCTCGTTTTTCATGCTCCCCTGATACTTTTTTGAAAATTTTTAATTTTTCAATTTCAGTGAATACCTCCTCTATTTTTATGCTCCTCTGATACTTTTTTGAAAATTTTTCATTTTTCAATTTTAGTGAATACTTGCTTGATTTTCATGCTCCCCTGATACTTTTTTGAAAATTTTTAATTTTTCAATTTCAGTGAACACCTCCTCCATTTTCATGCTCCTCTGATACTTTTTTGAAAATTTTTCATTTTTCAATTTTAGTGAATACTAATTTCGTAACACATAAAATAAAATTCACCCAGTTGACTGGTCGACACCCCCATTGCGTATGGCGCCCTCCCTCTCTTGGGGTCCAGTACTACGCTGCCGCTGGGTCACTCAAACCCCCAGAACTGAGCCTCTACTTCAGTCAATCCTCTTGGAAGGTCTATCAAAAACCGCGACGATCTAAAAAAAATTGAGATAACGTGAAAGATTGGGAAATAACATCTTTGGAAATTTCACCAATCTCTTCTTCTTTTTCAAAACATTACAAAACAAATTCTCAATACACCCGAAATATGAAAAGTTGAATTTTTCAAAAATCTCACAACTGGAAGAGAGGAGGTGCGCATGCGTAATGGCGGTGAATTTAACCGGGCACTACTTTGCGGTGGCGTACTTATCAGGTTGGGCATTAGTGTAGTGCGCAGGGTTGGAGTTGGCGAGTTGTGTTGGCTAGGCGATGGATTAAAAACCCGTGGTGTAGAGTGGTGTGTGAGAAAATATTCAAGAAATTGAAAAAAGAAAAAGAAAGATCGAGAGGAGAAAGACAACCGTGACGAGAGAAATCAACACTAGGATATAATTTTCATGTGCCCACTGGATTTGTGACGGATTAACCGGGCTATTCCCCTGTGCAAGTAAGTACCAGTTATTGTAATCATTCGTGTGATTGTTGGGGCGAGATGCGGCGAGTGTCGCCCCGTTAAAAATGGCCGTTCGTTTTCTCGATGTGTTTTTTTTTCACCGCCAGATTTTACTGGGACAAACGGATAATTATTGATAGCCCGGAAATCCCGGGGATGACCCTGGAGGTAGGGATTATTCTCCCACCTGAATCGGGCAAGACGATTTCTCTGCCCGGGGAATAATCCTCCGGCAAAAAGCTAGTCATTTTCTAAAGCAACTTTTTATCATTTACAAATGACAATTTCTCCAGCATTCAAACGAAAGAAAGCTTTTTATCGTTTGCTCTGGGGATGAGTTGGCTTTATTCACCTGTCAAAACCCACTGTCCCATTGGTGACCCAATTCTCTGTTTCATTGATATCCTATTGTTGAATCCATGGATGAAAAGCTAGTCATTTTTCCCAACTCCTCAGGTATTTATTCTTCGATAACTCCAGTCGATTCGAATGGGTCATGATTCCAGTGATATTATCTCGGGAATGAGTGGATTTATTGAAAATTTTGATAAGCGATTTTATGTGCGAAATTTCGCGGGCTTCATTAAAAGATGTGTGACATTTTATCGTGGCATCAGTTGTTATCGAGATATTCGCGATTTTGTATTTTGCTGGATATACTTAGATGGTTGCTCACATTTTGTTAATTTTGTAATTATCTCTGTAACGAGTGGATTTGGGGGAAAATGTCACAAAACATTTCATGTGGAGAATTCCCACAGCCATAAAAAATGTCAAGTGAAATTCCCTCGTAAACCTACTCATTACTGAGATATTGAATTTTTTTTTGTTGGAGTATTGATTTTGTCACCCAATGGGTGGGAATTATTTTCGGCTAATTCCGAACTTGACACTCGCCAATGAGGGATTGTCAGGAGTTATTATTATCGGTGAGATAACCACAATATATATTCTCGAGTGGAATTAAATGGTGGGGCAATTGATGGGTCTTTTAATCGGGCGATTAAACTCTTAAAAAAATTGTTTGGGTGGAGTTTTTAAGACAGACTTTGTTTTTTGATCATCTGACGTATGAATTTGACAGATGGCTGTCCTCGTGGCCCCTCCCCGAGCACTCGGGATTAGTCATAGTCCCAAAAATTTCAAGCGAAAGTCAAGATGTTTACTATTATGTCAGGCGATGTGTCTCCCGAGTATCCCAAGCTCGGAATTATTGAATACATTAGAGAGATGGGATCGTCAGTCGTCAATTAACGGGACTTTAATATTCCTGACGTGCCCAATGGTCATTCATAGAATTTATCACTCAGCGCTTTAACTTTTCTTCACTGATAATGATAGAATTTTGTAATACTGATTACAATACACTTGATATTTTCATTACTGTCATTAAAATAACTTTATTCATACGAATATCTCACTACCTTCGAGAGATAGAGAATTTTTCATTTCAAACAATTGGTAGATCTGCCCGAGAGTTGCAAAAAAGCTTCTACAAAAAATTTTGTATTTCGATTAATTCAGAAGATATCAATTAGAAATATCGGCAATAACGAGCTGAATATTGAAGTCCTTCATCTACAGATTTTGGGATTCGTTTTTGGAAAGTATCTCGTTATCCATCGACGACAACGACATTTTTATCAGAGACTTTTTCATCTAGAATTTCATGAGCTAGAAAAAAGTTAATTATGTAAATATCGCTATCTGTGACAGATACCGAGATATTCTCCAAAAACTGAAGACTCGTTGAACTGAAAATGATTAACAATATTTTTCTGGGGGAAAAATTATGTAGGACAGTAAACAAAGGGGGAGATGCGTACTGAGGTGAAGAAATGAGAGCGAGTACTCGGAAAACCGTGAACATTACAGTCAACACGTTTCGAAGAGTCAATACAATTATTACAAAAAATCGTTAACCCGAGGGTATGCTCAATTTTTTTTTTCAATTTTGATGGCAGAATAAACGAAGAGAAATCTCTATTTTATTGGAAAATCGTGAGTTCCCCAATGGGTTATCTTCTAAATATAAACCACTTTCCCTCCCCTAGGATGATCCAATTTATTCGAGCGTTGGAGAACTTTCCTGTGTACACAACTAAAATAATTACTCAGTCTCATGACTGAAGAAAAGGGAAACCTCGGAGTAATTCATTACGGAATGAAGATAACTGTTGAAGTACTGGAATTATCTTCGTGATCGAAATATAGGATCCATTATACGATATACTTGAGGACGTGATAACACTGAGATAATGAGGGAGACACTCGCAAGTGAATTAATTATTTTCGCTTACGAAAAAAGGATTATTATTTTTATTCTGTCGGATAAAAAAAGACTTTTGTATACACAGGAGTCACCTTTCGGTTACTGGATTCCATTACTTCACTGTACAGTGATTTTCTATTTCAAGGTCTCGGTAAAATACCCTCTGGCGACATTCACAAGGGAATTCAATTCGTGCCTCCGGTTACCTGGTATATCTCTGATGCTAAAAGAGATTTCAAAAAAATTGTAGGACCTTTTTTGTAGAAAAAATTCCAGGCTACAAAAAAGACTTATAAAAAATTTCGCTAGCTCCTTCACATTTCGAGATATCCTCAAAAAAATGATCTTCAATTTCGTAGATCTACAGAAAGAAGAATCAACTCTTTCACATTCAATTCTTCGTGAATATCTCGGAAACCTGGAGAGATAGGAAACATTTCATAAGGACTTCATTTCTAGCTCCCAATTTTCTCGACCAAAAAGGTCCTTACAAAAAATTTACTATCTCCACCGGTTACCAATATATTTCGGTTCTACAATTTCTTGCCTTTATTCGGTTCGTTAATTGTAGATAATTGAAACAACGCTCATTAATTGGTAATTTACAAATGACAATTAATGGGTAATCACTGATATTTTCCCTCAATTCTCAACAAGCGTTTGAACAACCTGACTTCCGAGCTAGATTAACGCAAATGCGGACGTGACGTTGAACTGTTACGTGTTGAAAAGGGCGATTCGACAGTTATCCCTCACGATTAATTTCTTTCTCATATTTTTTTCTCCTTGGGATATGACTGGTATCACGTACTTTGATCGAGTTAAAAATTGTAATTGGGGGCGTTGCCTTGGGCCAAGAAGGTCAGCCGAATACCGACCCTTACCCTCTTCCTCTCATTCCTCCAAGGAAGACCCAGTTAATGACCCCTAAACCGAGTTCCCCTAAATACTATTCGAAATATTAATGACCCCCCCATGATAACTATTAAATTCTGTATTAAACTAGCCACCGGAGATGAGATTCCTGCCAAAATCGTCTTTGAAACTCATTAACCACAGGAAAAACATTATTACTCAAATTATTTTAACCTCCCACAAAATCCGAAGATAAAAAATTATAGAAATATCTGAAAATTTTCCACTTTTCACTCAATTCTCATTCCATTTTTATTAAATTATAATTTATTGAAATACGGAATGAATTGGTGAATATTAGTTGCTCTTGTAAAATTATTAAAGGCATTATTAAATCACGGAGTGATTATATTAGTATAAACAGGTATTTATGCATAATAAAAAGTTCATTGGGATTTCCAGAATAATTGACAGTAATTGTTTGAGAATTAGGATTGATCGTGGGATTTCAGAAGGAAAGGAGGAAAATTCCTCTATTGTTCTAGTTGGACCGTTACTTTGATAGTTAAAATGTTGAAAAACAGTTGACCGGAAGCGAGAGACGGCAGGTGTATGTGATGATGACAGGGAATGGAGTTGAGGTCTTTCAGTGCTTGTAAATACAGCCATGGGGATTTTTTATTCTCATTGCTGTGTGTGTACGTGAAGTACGGCGCCGCATTGACTGCATTGAAAAATCAATAGTCGTGGTTTAGTGTGTGCGTGTGTCTCGTATCACCTTGATAGTACAGGGCAGAGGAAGGGCCTCTGTTTCTGGCTGGGATTTACTAATCAGTCAAATTTTTTTCCCTCAACCTTCAAATTTTTCTCGAGTATCTCCGGATCTATAGGAGGTAGCCGAATTTTTATAGGAACTTTTTTCTAGATAAAGAGTCAAGCTGCAAAAAAGGTCGTACGAACATTTTTCTAGCTGTATTAATTTCAAAGATATGCGACGAAAACCAATCTTGAAAATTTGGGTTTTGATTTGTTTTGGAATTACGAATTTGGGGGATAGTTATGAAACCGTGTGAGATAGCGGAATTTGGATTCTACCTTTTTCGTAGCTCTCTTCATTATCTAGAAAATATGTTCTATGAAAATTTTTCTATCTGTAGTCATTTTGAAGGTATGCGATAAAAACTGAACTTTGAAATTATCATTTAATCATTAGATTCTAATGTCATTCACTTGATGATTCATGAGGGTTCACCCTCTAAGAGGCAAACGTGCCTCTTATTGTTTGAGACGAGCTCCCGAGGATGGGCCCTCGGTACTTCGTCATTGCTCATGACATGAACGAGTGACCAGTGGTCTCGGTGCATTAATTCATGACGCCAAGAGTAATTGATCTAAATTTACTGCACTCATTACGTAGGCGCGGAATTTTCATTCATGAAATAGCTCAGCTTTTCATTGTTGAAATAAAAAAAATATCTCGGGTGATGTAACAATTACATCGGTTGATTGAAAAATTTCTGATGGTCGGACATTAATTACGGGGCGCATGTGCGTGACCCAGAGATTCCTTGCTGATAAACTAGATTAGTAGAGACGAGATTGTGTAGGTGTGGAGGTTTAGCACCTCAGCCCTGGAAAATTATATTTACTGAGGACAAACTATTCTGGAATTATTGCCTCTTGTTAAAACAAGAATTTATTTGTTATTTTTGAAAAAAAAAAAACAGCGAAAACTGGACTTTAGTCAAATTATTTAATAACAATTGATAAAAAATCGTTTTTTCAAGGAATATCCCTCAATTTAAAAAAGACGAGATCTAAAATTGAAAAGATTAAACAAATTTCGCTATTTGACATAAATGGAAATAATGAAACTGTCAACTCCCTTCAAATCTAAATTTGGAAAACATCAATTCCGGAACATTGAATTACCCAGTTCCCCACATCTTTCACTCCATTTTAGTAAATCCACATCGGTGTAGTTTTCCTCGTAGAATGAGTCTCCCAGGATCTGAAAAACTCATTTAACTCGCCTGAGAATAATTTTAGCGTCTGAAAGACACAAGAGGCCCATTCAATACTCGACAAATCGCGATAACTAGATAAACTCCAACTGATAGTTCTTTGTTATCTGAAAATAAAAGGCTTTGAGACAAACAACACGGTTAAACTTTTCTCAGAATAACAAATCGAGGCGATTCCTCATCAAAATGCGAAAATTAATTATATCCAAGTGTTTTTAAATGTTTCCACACGTTTTCCGATTTTCCTTACGTTTCACTATTTAATTTACTGTATTGAATATTTAATTTAATTTTTCAATTATTATTTTTTAATTCTCAAAATTTTCCGGAGAAAAGGGAAACCCCGAAAAAGTGGTTTTTCCTATTTTCCCAGATATTCTGGGATTGAATTATTACTTTATTTTTTATGGCAGAGAGGAATGACTTCTTTGAGAGTAAAAAATATTCCTCAAATAAATAAAAATATCCAGTGATTTATGGAAAAGAAAGTCGTCAAGGTGTTTGAGTCTGCTCGTGGACCCGTGAAAATCAATTGTAGAAACGAGAAAGTTGGCACCGAGACATAACTGTACTCGTATCCTCCCAATAATTTTCAAAGAGCAACAAGCTCGAACCGTTTTTAATAGTCGCGTAAATATATCTACGTGATATCATACGAGTGACGTAATCCACGAATGATGATGATGATGTCGAGTGGGAATGCTGGCTGGAGTGCCCCCCACGTTATTATGAGCTCTACAATACTCCTCTTTCAAGAATTAACCTCGCCCGTTACCAAACTGTACATTAAGAGAAATTATTCAAAAAATTTAACTGACAAAAATAGAAAAAAAAGAAAAACATTCTACTCGAAATTTCTCTCAATACGCGAATTTTTCTCATATTAATTATCACATTAATGGCGAATTCATTTGAACTATATTTCAAATAATTTAAATGCCGTTAAGAAATTCATTAACATTGATATAATTAATTAAATCATGTGGCAGCAATTACTGGTTGCAATTTGAATTTATCCTTGACATAAAGCGTAAAAATAAATTAAATGAATCTAATAAATTAATTAATCATTAGGCATCAATGTAATGAAAATGTCTATGCGCAGTGAATTTACGTACACATCCAGAAGTTAATGAAAAACCGTTTGTGCTGTATAAAAATAGAGTGATGAATAATTCACGTGAGGTATAAAGAACCAATTGAAGATGATTGCATAACAGAGGAACTTGGGGTGCATGGGGATAATATTTTAATGCATATTGATACCTTTCAGGACGGCCCTCTGGTGAAGGGGTTTAATCACGAGGTGATTGAGCTGTTGGTCCGATTGGCAGAATGACGACCGACATCTCGGTGGTGCGTACAGGATGGGATCCTACGTTACAACAGGAGATTGTCGACGAGTACGAATACGACGGAGGAAACTCGAGCTCAAGACTATTCGAACGATCGAGAATCAAGGCCTTAGCCGGTGAGTTTATCGTTATATCGAGGGTTTATTATCAATGGAGAACAGGGAAGTCAAGCCACATCCGATGATAAGATTTATGGAAAAATTGTGGAGTGAAGTTTTCAGATACTAATTAGCAGCGAAGTTGTAAAGTCATACAATTGCGCTCAAATTTTTTCGCTGCATATTATCGATTTATCTCGGGAACTATCGATTTGAGGAAGAAACGCAAAAGGACTTTTTTGTAGTTCAGTGAATTTTGGATGAAAAATGTTTTTTCGTGTTTCTTCCTAAAATTAACGTTCTTTGAGATAATTTGATATGTAATAAAATTAATATTAGACTTGCCCTGTTAGATCCGGAGTTTTATTTAAATTGATATGGAAAATTGTGAAAATTAATTAATTATTGTTAGGAATTGTTTGATATACTATGATATATGCATCTGAAGTCGCAACATTATAAATGTTGATTAATTGAAAATTAAATAAATAATGTGAAGTGGCGATCAGAAGGGAATTCCTCGATTTAATTGTGTAACTAGTCCTCGCGTTAGGTAAATTACAATGACGTATAGATTCTCAGTTAGTGAGTCCTTGGAAGGATATTACGACAAAGTGGTTGAAGATTTACGAGGTGAACGATAAATCCCCGTTAATCGCAAACCGCAAAATTTCGAAATAAAAATTAATTTTCCAGGCGAACGTGAATCCGTTCAAAAAAAGACCTTTCAAAAATGGGTCAACTCCCACCTGGTGCGTTGCTCCTGTCGAATAGGTGATCTTTACGTTGACCTTCGCGATGGAAAAATGCTAATAAAACTCCTGGAGATTCTCTCCGGGGAGCGTTTGCCACGTCCGACAAAAGGCAAAATGAGAATTCACTGCCTAGAGAATGTGGACAAGGCCCTGCAATTCCTCCGCGAGCAACGAGTCCACCTGGAGAACATGGGCTCTCACGACATCGTCGACGGCAATCCCCGTCTGTCTCTGGGTCTGATCTGGACGATAATTCTGCGTTTCCAGATTCAAGATATCACGATCGAGGAGACTGACAACCAAGAAACTAAGTCCGCTAAAGACGCTCTGCTGCTGTGGTGCCAGATGAAAACAGCTGGTTATCACAACGTTAACGTCAGAAACTTCACGACCTCCTGGAGGGATGGATTGGCCTTCAATGCCATTATACATAAACACCGACCAGACTTGATTCACTTCGACAAATTGTCAAAGTCCAATGCAATTTATAACTTGAATAACGCCTTTAATGTAGCTGAGGACAAGCTGGGGCTCACTAAGCTCCTGGACGCTGAGGACATATTCGTGGACCATCCGGACGAGAAGTCCATTATCACGTACGTCGTAACTTATTATCACTACTTCTCGAAGATGAAGCAGGAGACAGTCCATGGTAAACGTATCGGAAAGGTCGTGGGAATTGCAATGGAGAACGACAGGATGATTCACGAGTACGAGAGTATGACGAGTGATTTATTACGCTGGATCGAGGGTACAATCGAGGCCCTGGGGGATCGTAATTTTGCCAATTCCCTCGTGGGTGTGCAGTCACAGCTGTCGCAGTTCTCGAATTACAGGACGATTGAGAAACCACCAAAGTTCGTGGAGAAGGGAAATCTCGAGGTGCTTCTGTTCACGTTGCAATCCAAGATGAGGGCGAACAATCAGAAGCCCTATACCCCGAAGGAAGGGAAAATGATATCCGATATAAATAAAGCATGGGAGAGACTGGAGAAGGCAGAGCACGAGCGAGAGCTCGCCCTGAGAGAGGAGCTCATACGCCAGGAGAAACTCGAGCAATTGGCAGCGAGATTCAACAGAAAGGCGAGCATGAGGGAGACATGGCTGTCTGAGAACCAGAGGCTAGTCTCTCAGGATAACTTTGGATTTGATCTTGCAGCGGTGGAGGCAGCAGCCAAGAAGCACGAGGCAATTGAGACAGATATATTTGCTTATGAGGAGCGAGTCCAGGCGGTGATGGCTGTATCCCAGGAGTTGGAGACTGAGAATTATCACGACATTCTCAAGATCAATGAGAGAAAGGTGAATGTTCTACGTTTGTGGAATTATCTTCTTGAGCTGTTGAGAGCCAGGAGGATGAGGCTGGAGTTATCCCTCCAGCTGCAGCAGAACTTCCAAGAGATGCTGTATATTCTGGACAGCATGGAGGAGCTTAAGCAGAGACTTTTGACTGACGATTATGGAAAGCACCTGATGGGAGTGGAGGATCTTCTCCAGAAGCATTCACTGGTGGAGGCTGATATAAATGTTCTGGGCGAACGTGTCAAGGCTGTGGTGCAGCAGAGTCAGAGATTCCTCGAGCCAGGGGAGGATTATCGTCCATGCGATCCAGCGATTATTGTCGAACGTGTCCAGCAGCTGGAGGACGCCTACTCTGAGCTCGTACGTCTGGCTGTCGAGCGTCGGGCTAGACTCGAGGAGTCCAGAAAGCTGTGGCAATTCTACTGGGACATGGCTGACGAGGAGAATTGGATCAAGGAGAAGGAGCAGATTGTCTCAACAGGTGATATTGGACACGATCTTACGACCATTAATTTACTGCTGTCTAAGCACAAGGCACTCGAGAATGAGATTCAATCTCACGAGACTCAGCTGATGTCAGTGGCTGCTGTTGGGGATGAGCTAGTTAGACAGGAGCACTTCGGTTCGAGAAGTATTCAGGAGAGACTGAAGGAGATTCTCTCCATGTGGAATCATCTACTGGATCTTGCCTCCTTCAGGAGAAAACGCCTCGAGGAAGCTGTTGATTTCCATCAGCTGTTTGCCGACGCAGATGACATCGACATCTGGATGCTTGATACACTCAGGCTGGTATCCTCCGAGGACGTTGGTAGGGACGAGGCTAATGTCCAATCACTCCTGAAGAAGCACAATGATGTTACTGATGAATTGAAAAATTACGCTGCAACAATCGAACAGCTACACCAGCAGGCATCAGGCCTTGGTGAGCACGATGCCAAATCTCCAGAGGTACTTGAGAGACTCGCATCCATCGATTTTCGGTACAAGGAACTCCTGGAGCTTGCAAAACTGCGAAAACAGAGACTCCTGGATGCATTGTCATTGTACAAGCTCTTCAGTGAGTCCGATGGTGTGGAGCAGTGGATTGGGGAGAAGAACAGAATGTTGGATACGATGGTGCCAGCTAAAGATATCGAGGACGTTGAGATAATGAAACATCGGTACGACGGTTTTGAGAAAGAGATGAATGCCAATGCCTCCAGAGTAGCTGTTGTCAATCAATTGGCGAGACAGCTGCTGCACGTTGAGCATCCAAACTCCACTGAGATCGTTAAACGTCAGAATGAACTCAATCAGAAGTGGGCGGATCTCAGGGAGAAGGCTGAGGGTAAAAGAGAGGCTCTCAATTCAGCTCATGGTGTACAGACATTCCACATTGAGTGCAGAGAAACTGTTTCTTGGATTGAGGACAAGAAGAGAATTCTACAACAGACTGACAGCCTCGAGATGGATCTCACCGGTGTCATGACACTTCAGAGAAGACTCAGTGGAATGGAGAGAGATTTGGCTGCCATTCAGGCGAAATTGGATGCCCTTGAGAAAGAGGCCCAGTCCATTGAGCAAGAACATCCTGAAGAGGCTGCACTCATTCGAGAGAGAATCACTCAGATTCAAACAATTTGGGAAGAACTCACACAGATGCTGAAGGAACGCGATGCCAAGCTCGAGGAGGCTGGCGATCTCCACAGATTCCTCAGGGATCTCGATCACTTCCAGACCTGGCTCACCAAGACCCAGACGGATGTTGCCAGTGAGGATACACCAACGAGTCTCGCTGACGCTGAGAAACTTCTCACCCAGCATCGAAATATCAAAGAAGAGATCGATAATTATACCGATGACTACACGAAGATGATGGAGTATGGGGAGAGACTGACTGCTGAGGCTGGTGATGGTGATACCCAGTACATGTTCCTCAGGGAGCGTCTCAATGCCCTCAAGATGGGTTGGGAGGAGTTGCACCAGATGTGGGCCAACAGGCAGAATCTTCTCTCGAATTCCCTGAATCTCCAGGTGTTTGATCGTGACGCCAGACAAGCAGAAGTCCTCTTATCCCAGCAGGAGCATCATCTCGCTAAAGACGAGACGCCATCCAATTTCGAACAGGCAGAGAACATGATAAAGAGGCATGAGGCATTCATGACGACGATGGACGCCAACGATGAGAAAATCAACTCTGTCGTCCAGTTTGCAACTAGACTAGTGGATGAGGGACACTTTGCCGCTGATAAAGTCAGGAAGAAGGCTGAGAATATCAATGAGAGAAGGAATATTAATCACGAGAAGGCTGATCAGCTCATGGAGAGACTGAAGGATCAGCTCCAGCTGCAGATGTTCCTGCAGGACTGTGAGGAATTGGGTGAATGGGTCCAGGAGAAGCACATAACCGCGCAAGATGAGACCTACAGGAGTGCCAAGACAGTGCACAGCAAGTGGACCCGTCATCAGGCATTCGAGGCCGAAATAGCGAGCAATAAGGATCGTCTGGAACAGCTGCAGAGGGCTGCCGATGAGTTGATCAGCCAGAAGCCCGAGCTCACTGATATAATTAAGCCCAAAGTGTCAGAGCTTGCTGATCAGTTCGAGGAGCTCGAGACAACGACTCACGATAAGGGAGAACGACTCTTTGATGCTAATCGAGAGGTTCTCATTCATCAGACCTGCGATGACATCGACTCCTGGATGAATGAACTCGAGAAGCAAATCGAGAGCACTGATACTGGATCTGATCTGGCGTCTGTGAATATTCTCATGCAGAAGCAGCAGATGATTGAAACACAGATGGCTGTCAAGGCTCGTCAAGTCACTGAATTGGATAAACAAGCTGAGCATCTCCAGAGAACGACTCCAGATGATAAAATGGAGGAGATTAAGTTCAAGAAGGAGAAAGTGGCGCAGAGATTTGCACAGTTGAAGGAACCATTGGTGGATCGTCAGCGTCAGCTGGAGAAGAAGAAGGAAGCCTTCCAGTTTCGTCGTGACGTCGAGGACGAGAAGCTCTGGATCGCGGAGAAGATGCCACAGGCCACCAGCAATGAGTACGGAAATTCCCTGTTCAATGTTCATATGCTGAAGAAGAAGAATCAGTCACTGAGAACAGAAATAGAAAATCACGAGCCCAGAATCAACGCTGTATGCAGCAATGGCCAGAAACTCATCGACGAGGGACACGAGGCAACACACGAATTCCAAGGATTGATATCAGAGCTGAATGAGAAGTGGAGAGAGCTGAAGGATGCGATAAGCGACAGGAACAAACATCTGTTGCAGAATGAGAAGGCACAGCAGTATTTCTTCGATTCGACAGAGGCTGAGTCCTGGATGAGTGAGCAGGAGCTCTACATGATGGTTGAGGATCGTGGAAAGGACGAGATATCGGCGCAAAATCTCATGAAAAAGCACGAATCACTGGAGCACGCCGTCGAGGATTATGCTGAAACAATCAGACAGCTCGGTGAGACAGCACGTCAGCTGATAAACGATCGGCATCCACTGGCTGATCAGATTGCAGTTAAGCAGTCACAAGTGGACAAATTGTACGCTGGGCTGAAGGATCTTGCTGGGGAACGAAGGGCTAAGCTCGACGAGGCTCTACAGCTGTTCATGCTTAATCGTGAGGTCGATGATCTCGAGCAGTGGATCAATGAACGAGAATTGGTGGCTAGCAGCCAAGAGCTTGGACAGGACTACGATCACGTCACTCTCCTCTGGGAGAGATTCAAGGAATTCGCGAGGGACACTGAGACCATTGGCTCTGAGAGAGTGGCTGCTGTCAATGGAATTGCCGATTCCTTGATTGCAACAGGACACTCTGATGCTGCGACAATCGCTGAATGGAAGGATGGCCTGAATGAGGTATGGCAGGATCTTCTCGAGCTCATCGAAACGAGAACGCAGATGCTGGCTGCCAGCAGGGAGCTCCACAAGTTCTTCCATGATTGCAAGGATGTTCTCGGGAGAATTCTCGAGAAACAGAATGCAATGTCCGATGAGCTTGGCCGTGATGCTGGCTCGGTGTCAGCTCTTCAGAGAAAGCATGGAAACTTTATTCAGGATCTGTCGACTCTTCAGAATCAGGTGACGCAGATTCAGGAGGAGTCCGCTAAGCTGCAGGCTAGTTATGCTGGGGATAAGGCCAGTGAGATCACTAATAGAGAGGCCGAAGTTGTGGCTGCTTGGAATAATCTGCAGGCCCTCTGCGAGGGGAGAAAGTCCAAGCTCGAGGACACTGGGGATCTCTTCAGGTTCTTCAATATGGTCAGAACCCTCATGATATGGATGGACGATGTCATCAGGCAGATGAATACTTCTGAGAAGCCCAGGGATGTGTCTGGTGTGGAATTGCTGATGAATAATCATCAGAGCTTGAAGGCTGAGATTGATACCAGGGAGGATAATTTGTTGACCTGCATTAATCTGGGGAAAGATCTGCTTTCCAGAAATCATTATGCTAGCTCTCAGATAAAGGAGAAACTCACTGCACTCACTGATCACAGAAATGCTCTGTTGCATCGATGGGAGGAACGCTGGGAAAATCTACAGCTTATCCTTGAGGTCTATCAGTTTGCTAGGGATGCAGCTGTCGCTGAGGCCTGGCTTATTGCACAGGAACCGTATCTCATGAGCCAGGAATTGGGCCACACCATCGATGAGGTGGAGAATCTCATCAAGAAACACGAGGCGTTCGAGAAGTCCGCTGCTGCACAGGAGGAACGGTTCAGTGCCTTGGAACGACTTACTACGGTATTTATGAAAACGCTTGGAATTCCTGTTGATGTAGTTCTGGTGGTTTGGCAATGGGGGGGAGGAATGGATTTTGAGATTTTAATAGGGATGAAACCATGTGATGAGTGAATACGATAAAATTCTCGAGAAATGAGAGAATCGGAAAAATCAGAAAAATAGCGACGAAGAGTCTTAATTCGATTTATAATTCCACGTTTGCACTGGTTGAAATTAACGAATATCTTGATAATGAGTGGTTTCGAAGAAAAATGTCATAAAACTTTTTTTGTAGCGGATGAAATTCTCTACAAGAAATGTCTGAAAAATTTTGTTCTGAAATCACTTGTTATCGAGGTAATATGATATTTGAGAAATAAAAAAATTGAGTAGTTGTTTCTATTTCACTCCTCGCTCAATCCTGACGCTTGAATTTTAATTCTAATGTATGTTGTTGGTACTTGGTGATACTTACCCTAGCCCGAGACGATGCATGGTAGTGACTTCTCGAGCATGACGGTGATGGGACTCACAAACACGCACACCATTCCCATTATTCACCCACCAGTCTCAAAAATTTCCCTCACAATTCCCAAAAAAAGGATCCGTCCTCTTGAAATTGTTGTGCGTGATATTATTTTCGACTCGGATCGATTTTACTCACCCCTGAGGGCTCGCAGACGAGAGACAACGTCCACAGGGACGAGACTCAGTCCCAGAGGAGGAGACCGGGTCGATCGTTCAGAATCAAGACCCAAATCTTTCCTCTGGGACTCTAGCTGGAGCAGACATAACTCTGTCCTGTCCAGTGCTGATTCTGTCAGTATCAGATCTAATGATAACTCTGTCTTTGAGGAGAGCCCTGAGGAGGTAGACACACAGGTAATCGAGACTAGTAAAATTTGTAAATATGAAAATCCCATGTTTTCTAAAATGCCTGGATTTTGAAGACTACATTTTTAATAATCATGGGTATTTTTTAAAAATGCTCAAAAAGGAAAATTTTTGCAAATAAATGTTCTTCTCTTAAAATTCTTCATTTTACGATACCGGAATAAAATTCGTTGAGGCTGATCTGATGAAGGTCAATAATTTTACGGAATATTCAAAAATACAAGGTGATTAATAGAATTGGTTCTCACCATTTTACTCAATACCTGCGCCATCTTGTCTAAAAAATTTTGAAGATGGCAGGGTCTACACCTCGTACTTTTGAACAATTATTAAAATGAATTGCCTTTTTAGATCATCCTCAACATTTGACATCTTATTTCTCTGTAGTGAACAATTATTTTAAACCATCTTGCAGAAATTTTTTTTTCGGCTGAGAATTCTTGACTCGAATATTCTTCCGCATTTCAGTAGCTTCTTTTTTCCAGAGTATTAAAATTATTAAAATCCAAATTATTATGAAAATGAAAAATTATTACTTGATTGAATATTCGATTGCTAAGAGACGGATCCTTTTTCCTTTTTCATAACCCAAAAATAATCTAACAGGTGAGTTATACACTGAGCTTTTTGTTTTTTGCACATAAAGAATAGTAAATATTGCGTAGTGTAAAATCATTGAGTGATGAATAGATTTGAAAATTAATAGCCCTGATTAAATTCGAATGAATGGTTTTTTTAGTTCGAGCTGAAAGAATTGAAGAGACGAGAGCAAGAACGAGAAGAGGAGGAGAGACGTAAAAAGGAAGAAGCAGCAGCAGCTGAGGCAGCGAGATTGGCTAAAGCAACACCAGTAACGAGTCCAGATGAACCCACGAGCGAACGGTAAATTTAATAAATGAGAAATGAAAATAATAGTGAAAAAATTTTCTGATTATTCATTGAGCTGTTCTTCTTTCCCCAGAGCCGAAGCAGATGGTGTGACGAGTGGTGAGCAGGACGACCACGGTAAGTTCTCTTATTATTATTTCCATCAATATTAACATTGCGGTTTTAATGAGTAATGATTTGCACCTCTGGGTGAGACACTGAGCGAATGGCTGACAGCAATGAAGAACTTCTGAGATGATGTCACTCATTCCAATTCCATTTTCCGTCACTCGTGATGAAATATTTTAATCTATCGAGTAAAGGAAAATCATGATGAAGTTGAGAATAGTCAAGTGATTTGAAATTCTTCTGAAGTTCAATCCTATCGATTTTTTCATTAATTCATCAGATGAATCCGCAGATTTTAAATCGGAAATTCGATAAATAATTGCCGTAAATTTTAATAATCAGAATTAAAAATACACTTGGATATTCTCAAATCAAAAATTTCGGTACCTGGGGCAGTAAAATCTGAAAGTCTGAATTGAAACAAGCCGTAACAATTATAAATGCTGAATATAGCATGAACAAGCTACTAAACGCACGTCTGTTTCTCCTTCACCCCTCCCATATCTCTCAAATCCTAATAAAAAAAAATAATAAACCCATGAAAAATTCCTCGTGCACCCAAATAATGCGGCACGGAATTGCACAAACGCAGTGGCATTGCGTAAGGCTTCTACACGAACACCGCCATCCCAAGAAAAGCCCAAGGAAGGTGAGTGTTCGGTGAAGTTGAGACAAATAATATTTAATCATTGAATTGATATCACCTGTTACCACATTCGCACATTTCCCTGACATTCTCCGACCGGCTGACGTCACCATGATTTTTTGCATGACCTCGTAGTGTTCATTGAGACATTCGTAATTTTATGGTTGCAAATGGATAGATTTTAGAATAGAGGGGCCACACGAAACGAGCTTCTAGGCCAAGGTAAGGTGGCATGTTTCCTCTTATCACAGTTATCGTGATGATTTATGATTCATGATCTTCAAGTCCATCGCCTTGTTGTGATTTTATTCGGACTGAACTTGTGCAAAAAAAAAACTGAGGATAAATGAGAATTAATTAATAAATTTGTGATTTGACGATCGTACCTCCTAGGTAGCGCCTCCTGGAGCATCACGATGACTGACGATTGAAAATTTTGAGTTTGTCCCCAGGAATTTTAAACAGTTCACACAATACTTTAATTTCTATTATAATTTAATCAGTAGTTAGCAGTTCGATTTTTCTCGCATGAAAATGTTGTATTGGTATTGGTGTAGTGCATGCTAAGAGACCGGACCGACTGACTCTATCCGAGGCCAAGGGACCAGTCATCCAGACAACCCCAAGGTCTCACCTCTCGGTACCGCCGACGCCGCCAAGTAAGTGTTAAATTGAGTCAACGGATTTGGGAGTTTGATTTGTCTAAATCGATTGATTCCCATTCTCTCCAAACGCTCAAAAAAAATCGTCCGCAATACCAACTACTCTCAACTACTCTCAATTAATCTAGGCAAATCATCTCCAGGAATATTCCATAAACGTCATAACACTCAGATAAAAATTATTTCTCGCAATTAAATTTACGAGTGTCAAAGAAATTTAATATCCTTAATAGAAATGGAGATATCCAAATATTGAAGATACACATTTTACTCGTATATTTATTTGACAGAAATAACATTTTTTTCTCAGTTTCGAATTGAATTGAGCAGCGGTGAAACTATTCCTATTCATTGTCCTCGAGTTTGGGCGCGAGTTCCTCGGTTTCCAAATTTGTTGAGCGCATGGGGCATACTGTTCCGTATTTATCGACGAATTGACAAGCCTCGATCACCCTGAGCACCTCATCAACAGACCTGGGTAACGCCATATCAGTTATTGACATGTGTCTGAGCTTCTGCTGTTTGTCGATTATAAAAACAGCTTTCGAGGCAACACCCAGTTGTTCGTCGAGAACCCCATAGCGTCTTGATATCTTCTGGTTTTTGTCGGAGAGAATCGGAATACTCATTCCTCCCAGCCCCCCCTGCTTCCTGGGGGTCGTCACCCACGCGAGGTGCGTGTATTGAGAATCCGTGGATATCGCCACGACTTCGCAGTCTGAAAATTTTCATCAAAAATTATATTTCGGGATTGAGGAGTTATTGCTGACATTTTTTACTGAGATATTGCACTTTAAATGAACTTGATTCTTGAATTATTATTATTTTATCATCTATTTAAATTACCCAGGTCTTGAAACTCCTCGATTCTATCGTTGAATTGTATCAACTCGGTTGGACAGATTATGGTAAAGTCATACGGATAGAAAACGAGAGCCAGATATTTTCCAGAGAAATCTCTCATCGTGAGATTAACAATTTTGGCGTTGTGAACAGCTGGACCACGCCAGAAAGGTGCGGGTCTCATTAATGGGGGTGTCCCTCTGGCATTTATCACCACCTGACCCCCGCACTCCTCGTCACAGGGCAGTTCACTCATTTCATTTGACAAAATCAAAAGACAACTAGATTCTACCGAAAATTGCTTTTGCTATTCTTTAAAAATGGGAATAGTTTCACGGATGTTCAATTGTTTCAAAGCTTCCCAGTGGTCCGTAGCCGTATTCAATCATTTCAGTTGAATGAAATAAATTATTTCCAAATGACGTTGTTCCTTCACACACGATCGAGTCTTTTCGAGTCTTATTGTCTTTGCAAAAATATTGTTATAAAAATTTGCATGAGCATGTAGCATGTGAAAAATGCAGAATTCTTCGAGACAACATCTATGGAATGTATGGAAAACTCTGGGAGCGGCGATAACACGACTAAAATCGTAAAATAAAAAGAAGCTAAGTAGAATTGTAATTGAACCGTGTTGTCCACTGATAAGCTCCAAAGGGTAGCAGCTCGGAGTCTGGTACCCTGAAACGTAAGGAGAGAAGTCGCAGCAAATCGCCATTCAGGAGTTTCCGATGGAAAAAATCCCCGAAATCACCGAGCTTAGATCGTAGCGGTGTGAGCGATGATGAACACAGTTTTGGTGAGTAGCCTCTGAGAATGCGCCAATGCTATTTGTTGATGCTTTGAACGTAAACGAAACCCTCCTGAGTTGATTGGCATGTTAATTAGGTGATTAAGTCAGTGACGATGCGATTGGAGACCCAATTTCAAAATAAAAGCGATTTTTTTCCCTGATTAATCATTAATCAGCAGCGAAGTGTTGAAGCGACATAATTCCAATTCTTTCTGTATTGAATTATCTCGAAAATGATAAATTTCAGAAAAAAATATCAAGAGAGCTTTTTTGTCGGAAATTTAATCATCGACAAAAATGGGCTTTTGGTATTTCCACGTTAAGTTATCTGGAAAGCTAAAAAATACTGCTTGCATGAAGCAAGATTAATTTAAGATGAATTTTCAACGCGATTTATTTCACTTTAACGCTCAACCGCTGGAATAGTCGCACTGCTTTAAAAATTGATTATTAATTGGTTAATTAGGAATAGTTGATGGAGAGATATTTCAGATTTGGAAGGCGGCGAGCTGCGGTAGAAATTAATCCCCAGATCTGCATTCTGACTAATGACAAAGCGGATTTGATAATTAGGAAGTCTAGAGCTAGTGCTTGATCAATTGAGCTCGTGTTTCCGTGTACGGGAGTTTAATATTATTGACTGTATTCGCAGAGGCCAGAAGCCCCTCTGACGATGAATTCGAGGGTGCACTGTCCCGCAAGCACGAGTGGGAGAGCACCACGAAGAAGGCGTCCAACCGATCCTGGGATAGGATCTACATGGTCATTCGGGGACAGACTCTTGTGGCTTACAAAGACCAGAAGACCTGCAAATCATCACCAGATCAGACTTACAAGGGTGAAGCCGCTATTGATCTTCGAAGCGCCACTATCGTCATCGCTACTGATTACACGAAGAAGAAACATGTCTTCCGGGTCAAGTGAGTACTCAAAATAAATTGTCCTGATTATTTATTCCACAAGATATTCCCAGAAATGGCGAAGAATTAAATAATTACTCAAATTTCAATGGAAATTCGGAAGAAATTAAATAAAAAATGAGAATGAGCGTAAATTAAATTGCAATTCAATTTCAATCCAATTCCAATCCAATTCCAATCGAATTTTAATCCAATTTCAAATCGATTAATCAGTGATTTAATTAAATCAAGAGTGTTTTAATTTTTTTTTTTATATTTTGAATTTCAGGTCCCAGAGCGGTTCAGATTTTCTGTTCCAAGCCAAGGACGACGCCGAGATGAATAAATGGGTGAACGTGCTGAATCAGGCAGCCCAGGGAACAACTGGTGCAAGTACGTCCAGAGCGCACACCCTCCCAGCACCCACCCAAGCCGAGACGAAACGACGCAGTTTCTTCACTCTCAAGAAAAAGTAAGCATCCCATTATTTTACAAAAATAAAATATCAATCCCATAAACGTCTATCGACATCTCCCCGCGAGGTCTTCCTGTAGTGCAAAATCATGAGTTAGGATCATCATAAATTAATGACAATCATCACACGCATCCGCATTCGATCATTGCATATTCTTTAACCATATTTTTAGAAAAGCCAAAAAGTAGAAGGCGATAAGCCAATAAAGTACACAATTGGAACAACATTTTCATGCGGTGAGTCGCATATGAAGCCTTTTTATAGATTGTGAACGTCGTATTTATGCACGATATTTAAAAAAACCCTTTATTTCAGTTATTCCCGTCATTTTCGTACATTTCATTTATCTCATTCTGTTTATTTCAGTCTAATTATTGTGACAGTCGCCCTGAAATGCCATTTACCTTTACACGTCGATTTTTCTTATTCAGTTTTCAGTGAATATCGTGAATTCTAAGCTCTATATCGATATTTCTGCAATAACCTTTTTCGTAGAGATAAATTTAGTCTACAGACAAGTTTCTTATCATAATCGCGTTATCTCCTTTAGATTCCGAGATATTCCTCAAAACAGCAAGTACGAACAAAGTCGATTTCAATTTTTAGACGAATTTACTTCTCCATTGGATAACGGAAAAGAATAAATGGGATTTCAGGGCTTGAATAACTCAACAGTGTATACTGATGAGGCGAAAGGAATGTTCTTCCAATTGTGAATGCATTTACGAGGTTCCATCGAAAAATAAATTAGACTAATCGAAAATATCGAAAATATATATTTTTTTTGTGGGAGGTGACTGGATTAACCACAAGTCTTTCAGTTTATTTATTCAGTTATTTTTTTTTAGTAGATAATGCATCATCGTTAGCTTATGTCTCATTCTCATCACATGCTTAATCATCGTTTCCTTTATTTCTGCTTACGCTTGTACCATTTATCGTGAAAGTTATCGTTTCATAATTAGTCATTCATGAGATAAACTGAGATTTCTTCAAAATGATTGAGGAGATCCAAGAATAATTCAGAGAATTAATAGTCGAGTATTCGAGGAATACCTCCCAATCTAAAAGAGATTGAATATTTCTGCGAATGTGTTTTGTCGTGTGGAATGAGAGCTACAAAAAAGATTCATATATTAATTTCATTATTTTTCTGAGACTGTAGTCAATTAATTTCTCTCAAAATTGCTTCGGTAATGATTTCATGAAAAAAACTGTCAAAACTCCTGGATCACCTCAAAATAAGTTTTTCCCACGAGAGTATGTGAATTTCTCAGGAGAATCTGAAAACCAACTCACAATGACATTTTATTTTTCAGCTAAATGGGAGGAGTAGAGCCGAAGTAAAAATGTAATAACAGCAAATAATTCCACCAAGACTGGTGTATTACCCCAAGATATTGAAAACCGAGGAAGGATTCGTCGTTCGTTGATTAACAAAGTTTTAGGAGTAACAAAACAGACAAACGATTTCAACAATCAGGCCATAGAAGTCTCGAGAATCAATCGAATGTCAGATTACATACGAGAACAAGAGGAGAATTAAAATCTGACGTTTCACTGAATTTCAGGCTGTCTGCAATATCGCTAAGATAGGGAAAAAAAAGAGATATGTAACATTCAAAAGTCCCAGGTGAGCTCTGTCGATTCTCCTTCAATTGATTTCCATTCTCCATTAGTGTTCTGACCGAAACCTCACGAATGACACGAAAAAATGAAGTTTGGCGCTCGTCTGATTTTTAAATAATCCAGAGAACTTTGACAAATCTATAAATTGAGGTTTCTCGATTAACGTGACATATCGATACATTTTATCGATAGAAATAACTGATTTGCTATTCAAATTTATACTTTGTATCTGAATTTTATTGTTTGGGGCGCAGGGTGTTTTCAATAAGCGCACAACACGTACAAGAGCCCGTAAAGAGGAGATAATGTAGATTATCTGCATTAATCATAATATTAATTATAACGAGGAAAAGGTTAAAATACCCTGAATTATTATTAATCACTGGAAAAAGTGGTTTATTGGTTTTTTTATGAGTTTATTGCGTTATTCCTGATTGATCGAATTGGGAGGTTTGCGTTTTGATGACTGCCATATATTTTAGGGATTGTGCTCACCTGGGATGGGAATTTATTATATTAAAAGAGTAGCTTTTAACGAATGTTATAGAATGCTATTTGCCCGATGGGATAAAGTCGTATTTGAAATGGTACACTGAAATTAAGATGAAATATTGAATATTGTAATAATGAGAGTTTCCTCCTTACGATCATTAATAATAGAATGTGAAAATCATACAGAACGATTTTTAAGGGCGAATTTGGGGGGGAAGTGGAGAAGAAGGAGATTTTTCATTTTTATTCGGTAATTTGCAATTCTTGAGTTGAAGACTCGAGTCTTTCAAATTTGACAGCAATGAAATTCCTCATCTTAAACACATCTTCCCCTCCCCTTGAAAATCAATATTTAATTCTCTCGAAATCGAAGAATTTTTCGAATCGATATCCCTCCCCCCCACATAATGTAATAACAAATCAGTATCACGCGAGCCTCCGAATAAACAAATTGCAAGCTCTACACTGCAATTTTCTTACGATTTAAATAAACAAAAATTAAAAGCTTGTGAGCTACATTTAAATATTTTCCGAATGTTAATTATCTTTCTTTTGTAGTATTTATCACGTGCATACTGTTTTATTTTATAGATACGTAAGATGAGAAATATTAAGTAAAATTCTTTATCCTGAATACCTTGTTTTATTTTAATGTTTCAATGGAATTCAGTCATTCACTAAAACATTTCGAGTGAGTTCCCCTCGAGGGAATTAATCTTCGAGTGATGCTCCCACTCCTGACCTTGTCTCCATTCTTATGAGAATTTTTTATGAACAACTTTGAGAATTTATTGAGACTATAGTGAAGACATTGAGATCACTTTGCGGGAGTAATAAAGGGGCTATTGCACGTGGTACTTGTACATAGCACAAGATGCACGTGGAAATATCTTCATTTATTTTTCAATTCAGAGAAAGATTCGGGAGCTTTTAAAAATCCTGGAGTAGACGAATGATGAATCGATATAGTTGAGAAATTCCAGGATTTTTGTTTTTTTTTCGAAATATTCTCTGAGCAACAGAAACATCTCCAGCTTTGTAATTTTGGTAAAGTAATTTGTATTAGTTTGCGACACGATGTGTCCTTTCTATTCTTTTTTAATGAAAATCGAGAATATATAGAGATTATTGACCTAGAATTAAGACGATACGAGAAACAAAAGTAATATAGATAATATATAATTGTGAACTTGCAGCTTTATCGTCTCTTTCGTTTTGTTTAGAATTCCTCGACGGTGTGAATTGTTATGGAATAATTCAGAGGTGGAATGAATTTCTACGAGTGAGTCCTGAGTGAATGCGAGAGATGGCTTGTGTCCATTTTAGTTATTGATTGATATGTTAATGGAGCTTTTAATGTTCTGCAGCTTTTATTCGTATTGAAGGAATAATGGAAGGGAAGTTGAAGGAAATTCTGGGAGAGGAAAATTCAGGAGCGAAGGGAAATCGAAAAGGAATTGGTAAAATGCAATTAGTCAAATTTGACAGTTTTCCATATCGATTTATCCTCTCAACCGTTAATTTTCAGAGAAAATATGAGAAGACCCCTTCTGTTGGAAATTTAATCAACTACAAACATCCCCTTTAATGCTTTCACTCCTGCATAATAGTAATAGTGGATTTATCTCGAGAATGAGAGGATCTACGGAAAAAAGTGGCTAGAGCATTCTTGTAGCTGAGGAAATTCCTACAAGAAGGATCCATTGACTTTTTTCCTGGTCCATTTGTTTGGCAGATAGACCGATGATTAAGGAAGTGTTGGAGGGTTTTTTTTTTCTGGTTTAGAAGCTGCGCTCCTGAATTTTTCTTGTTATTATTTTTGCTTCGTCGTTTATCATGAGTTTGTAGGTGATTGGGAGAAGATCATGATCAAATTTGTGGCGTCATGGATGTAATCTTCATTGAAAAACAGAAATAAAGATGATAAAACGTTGAGACTTCAATCAATCCAACGATATCACTTTTTTCATTCTCTCGATAAATCGAAATATCTGAGCTGCTGGGGTTCAAAGCACTGTTGAAAGCCAGTGTCGGGCTGGTGTTTGAATGGAATTGATGAGAGGAGGGATAGAGAGGGGAGTCGGGTTGGACATCAGGAAATGGAAGCCATTATCTAATATACTTTTATTGCATCTAGGGGCTCTACTCATTATTAAAAGGGACGGTTCAGTCACTCACTCCATCCTGAAACCATTTATTTCACTCCGGAATTTTCTCCTCTTCATTCCCACTCCATACGTACCAATCGATTCCTCTTCAATCGATTTTATTTCGATTTCCGTAAAAAAAAAATGAAATTCGCCCATTCAATCCTGTAAATATCCCAAAAACTGCTCATCCATTCAAAAACTTTTTGATTGAAAAAACTTTGCAATTCACCTTTTTTCTAATTTAAAAACCAAAAATAATATTCACCTCAAAAATTACAAACCTACAAAAATCCGCCGTTAATTCCCAAAAATTTCCAAAACCACCGGAGATACGAATAAAAATCATAGCAATTTTTTGTAGCTTGTGAAATTCTCCACAAAAAATTCCTGTATCATTTTCCCATATAATGACTAACCGCCGAGATAATTCACCATCGCCAAGGAAAACTTGCAAAACGCTTAAAAATTTTCAAATACTCCCCCCATCTTCCCCCACTGGCGGCCTACAGGCCATTGGCTCTCCGTTGGAAGGGGAATTTCCACTCGGCCAATCACATGAGAGGTCTCCCCCATAATTCCTAAACAGAGCGCCTCGAGCTGCAGTCACCCCAGTGCATGAAGCGTCGCCCAAGTGTAAAGACAGTGACAGACGAAATAAAACATTTACAAATATCCCGTGATAATCCCCCGAGATCATTCTCCCCCTCACCCACACCTCGATGTGTACGTCGTAAAACTCCTGGGGTAAAAGAAAAATAACAGTCAGTCTGTACAAGATGGCCGCTCGGTTGACATCGGCCTTCTACCACTTCACCCTTATACTGCATTTGTTTTTACTGATTAACTACAATTATGGAGAGCGAATTGGCGACAAAGCTGGTACACTCCACATCAGCGAGGATAAAGATAATCCGAGAGTGAGAAGAAGTTTTATCATCGACAGGAATGATTTTGATTTTGAAACGTCATCTGTCCGAAATCGAAGGGATACCACGAAAAACTCCACCAACGGTACACCCTACGTCAGTCCCAACATCACAACAACGGTGAGTACCTGGTGAAATTATGGGTTGATTAATTAATTAGTCGAGTTGATAGCAACAATGTCTACGTCCCAATGATTGACGATGAAAACTAGAAATGTAAAAATATGCTAATCGTCACCAGAGACGAGTGCTTCAACGAGAATATCTCTAGAACGGCTGAGTGCATTTCCACGATTTTAGTTTTATTTTTATGGTATTTTTTGTACCTCAAAATTGAATCGGACTGCGAGATATTGATGATTGCATGCTGTTTGCACTTGGGGAAATTGAGGCGTGAAATTAGGAAATGGAAAATCGATTGTTTGGGAGATAATTACGGCGTATGCGGGTTATTAAGCTGGTTCTGATTATTTTGGTAAATCCGGGATGACTTATTCAGTCGTAATTTCGTTTTTTTCGTCGAACCTAAATAATTGCATGTCACGTCTTTGTGAGGCGCAACAATAGATGGTTTATTACCCCTAGGGTTTTCGGGGAACTTGGGACTTGTACCTGATTTTGGGGGAAAAGGGCCACTTGTAAACAGTGGGATCGATAGTGGGGGAGGGGATGTGTCACGTTGTAAATTGGGAATTGTTGGGGGGCTGCAATAGGGATTTGTGTCGAGGGTCCGTTTCTGTGGGAGCAATATCCCCGTACCAAGTGGTCATACACAAAAATTCCAAATAAATATTTTATTGAAAATTCCATCGGCTACAAAAATGGTCCCACAACACCATCCCCTGGAACCACTCGTTACCGAGATAATTCACTATCTAATACAATCCGCAGCTGCATTTCCTGTGGTATCGAATGTCAAGCCTTCGATAATCATGCAAATATCTCGAAAACAAGTGACTTCATGGAAAAATGTTATGAATCTTTTCTGCAGCTGTGAAAATTTCCCCGAAAAAAGGTTGAACAAAATTTCTTCTAAATCCCCTCCTTTTCAAGATAATCGACCAGGCCTCTTTCCTCTCGTCTCTGATTTCGGTCACTATCATCATGAATAATTCATTCTCAATCAAATCCAACAAATTAGCATGATCTTTGCGCCACAATTATCTCAAAAATGAAATAAAATTAGCTCCACAGATTTTTTAAACTTTTATCCGCCACAATTTTATCACCTCTGCATTTACTCACCCAATTTGACAAACTACTGCACAAAGCACTGGGTTGTTGAGTGTCATGTGATACCCGTTATCACTGTAATTATACCAAGAGGAAGAATAAGGGGGGGAGGGGAGTTTTGTCCTTTCAAGAAGACCGATGGCTGATTGATAAAGAAAGACTCACTCAACTGTTGGTATTTTTTCCTCTGCTTTTGAGCCAATAAAATTCGTATAATTTTTACACCATTGTGAGGCCCAGAGTTGCCGGAGCCCTCGATTATTACGCCTCAATGGGCCATTCATCACGATTAGATTTTCTAGAATCTTCATTTTATTGAAGGCATGCATTTGTCCTACAGTTAATGGATTGAATATAATGAACAATAGTTCGTTGAGTAATGAGTTCCGACAGATTCACGGAGAATATTCCTGATAATGCAATCTCCCATTTTTTTTATCGAATCAGCTGGTCTTATCTGCCCCACAGACAAATGTTTTCACAATTTATTAGTGACAAATTTCTTTTGCTTCGCAATTGAGAATGTTCCATCTTGAGCAATTTGGGATATTTATAGATTCAACATCACGAGTTGTTGAAATAAAAAACTTTTCTTTGTTGATCGCTCCATTCGGGACATGACACTCATCTGTCCAAAGATCGCAATGGCTGTGACTAATCGTAGCTCATTTCATTATCCTCAGCATGGATGTATTCCATGTCCCTGGAATTCCAAAATATGAAGCAGTCTCGCGTGTTTGGTTGAGTGAATTCGAAAAGCCGGTGGTAATGAATAATTATCAGGCACCGTGCAGGCAGGCTTTAATGCAGATAATAATTCAAGAGATTAGTCCAGAGTAAAAAAAAAAATTCCAGAGCATGAGTAAAACTGTTTTATGCCGCTCGTTAAACTGAGGAGAATTTGAAGCTGATTTTTCGCGTAGTTTTGTGTTAACTGTCTCAGTGATGAGGGATTTACAGAAAAATTTCACGTTTGTATTTTCAAATTTTTCTGAAAATTCCCGAGCGCGTAATTGTGGAATATTTTCCGGTGAGTTGGAAGCAATCGATAACTCGCGGTCATCGGAATTTGTTGCTATCCTCGGAGAATCGATAATTCCGGGGAAATCGGATGTGAAAAATGCAGTTTCAATTGTGATGACAGTTACGAGTATTCGTAAATATCAGCTGTGAGAAATTTAGGTGGGTATCGCATTTCAGGCTCGATATTAACTGGCTTATTACTCGCCCAGTGGTTGAGTGCTGATGCAATGAGTTCACATGACTCACGGAAATTATTACGTTATGTATATCTTGCAACCTCAGTCTTCCGGCTTTCTTGCCCTCAACGCTGAAAAAAATAAACAGAAATGGGAGATGAAGTGAGAAAATTTTCTTTACCTCGCCTTCACTGGTCCATGAATATCTCGAGATTCGCGATAGATATAAAAATCTTTATTTGACACTTTTCGTAGAACTCTCTAGGCCCTACAAAAAATTTTTCTATATAAATTTTCGTATTTTCATTAGATTTCGAGATATTCAGCGATAACTAAACTGTGGAGTATTGGAGTGAATCAAATCCCAGATTTTTTCGCAACGCACAGAGAATAAAAAAAAAAATGTTATCAATTGCAGGTGAATGTGTTGAACGACTCTCATCAACAGCTGATGGTCCACTGGGTGGGTGAAAAATCAGATGTGATAATCTGCCTAGCCAGGGACAGCTCTTCCTCGATGCGTTCTCCAGCGAATAAAGCTGCTGTTCCATCGAATCCAAGTGCTGTCTACATCAGCTACGACTACGGCGATTCCTTCGAGAACAAAACTGAATTCTTCAAGATAAATACTGATCAGCCCGAAGGATCTGGTGCTGCCTACGCTACACTGGATAAATTCTACAATCACCCGAAATTCAATGAATACGTAAGAACAAAAAATATTCCATTGAAAAATAAACAATCAGATAGTAAAATAATTTATATGAAAGAAACGATTGATCTCACCTGAAATCACTAGAGGACTTTTTTGTAGCTTATTAAATTCCCTTCAAAAAAGGTCCTTTGGGGTTTTCTCATAAACTCAACTGTTCTTGAGATCCATCGGCATTTTCTGGAATATACGAGAAGAGCTCTTTTATTCTTGTACAAAAATCACTCGACGAAGATTTATGACGCACTGGGAAAGGAGTCCAGGAAAAGGGACTAATTTACGATCCGTTGTGCTTCAAACTCTAGAACGGTTTACTGCCCAGCAAATGCTGAAATTTGAAGAAAGACTGTGTCCTCCAGAGTCATAAACTTTTTTTTTTGACTTCTCTGTTTTCTCCAGTACGATTTTTCTCACTGGGTTATAGGAGAGTGTTTGGACAATATTCTTTTAGTGGTACTTTCCTCGTGGGAATAAAGGGATATAGAATATCTCATTGCTTCGTTACATTTATTCTCTTACTCGGCATCGCAGTAGAATTTAACAAAACTTGTAAATGTGATTTTCATGTTTTACTTAAATTTTCACTTGGTTAACTCGATTCGATTACGACGTGTGTGTAAAGAAAATTCAGATGATTCATAGTCGAGCCAAAACACCTTTATCTGTTATTGTTTGAAATTTTACCTCATCCAAAAATATAGGAATTATTCGAGTAACAAGAGATAAAGGCTCCACGTGACAGATAAACCTTCAAAACAAAATCGTAAGGATCAAAAAGAATTTTCTATCTTTTCCAGTGTATCTTCGCGGACTCCACGAACAAAGTGATCTTCACAACTTGGGACAATGGCAAAAACATCACGAGGGTGGACCTTCCCTTTCATCCAAGTGAGATATCCTTCTATGATAAGGCCCCCCGAATCGTCCTGGCCCTCGACAAGATTGATCCTGAGCGACATCTCTGGATTTCTTTCGATATGGGTAGAAACTGGGTGAAAATTCACGAATACGTGAAGGCCTTCTTCTGGTCGACCTTGCGCCCTACCAGTGTCCTGATAGAGCGAGCAGAGCCCTCGGGAAAAAATACAGTGGTCGATGTGAATATTATCTCCGCAAGCCGAGGTAAACACGAGCCAAAATTGGTAATCGATAATGTCCGGGATTTTGAAATTAGGGGTGATTACATGTTCGCTACGAAATCCTCTGTTCACCAGAGTGATAACAAGACGTCAGAGGATCTGGAGTTTCTCGTATCCTACAAGGACTCGGCTTTTGTCGCAGCAAAATTCAACACAGAATTGGATAGAAGGGATTATCACATAGCAGACGTATCCAATGACCGTGTATTCGTCGCTGTTTCACACTCCTCAAATCAATCAAATCTTTACGTATCGGAGGGAGTGGATCAGTGGACCTCGACGTTCTTCCTCTCCCTCGAGGGAGTCCTGGCATTTTTTCCCAATACAACGTGGCAGTCTACGTGGCTGAATGATGTGGCAGACGAGGCATTCACTGATCTATACAAAGTCGAGGGATTGAAGGGGATATACATCGCCTCTCAGGTGAAGGAGATACCCAAGAGTGCAATTGGTCCTGAACACTTGATATCCCTGATAAGTTTCGATCATGGTGCCACCTGGAGCAAGATAAAAGCCCCAACGGTTAATCATGAGGGCTTCTACTCCCACTGCCCCAACGATTGCTCTCTCCATTTGAGCCAGAGGTTCAGTCAGCTGTATCCAGTTACTAGATCGGCTTCAATAATGAGTTCAAAGTCAGCACCTGGAATTATAATGGCAACTGGGGTAATGGGAAATTCTCTCAAGGGCCATCCAGCCCTCTACGTATCGAGGGATGCTGGTCTCACCTGGAAGCAAGTCCTCAAGGACTACTACTTCTTCAATATGGGGGATCATGGGGGTGTCCTTGTAGCTGTCAAGTATTTCAAGTCAAGAGGAGAAACCAGGGATATCCTTTACTCTACAGACGAGGGGAGAACCTGGCAGACTTACAAGTTCAATCAGGATATGCTGAGGGTTTATGGCTTGATGACTGAACCTGGTGAGAACACCACTGTCTTCACAATGTTTGGATCGAATCCTGGACAGCACAAGTGGCTCATCATCAAGGTGGATCTTCGAAAGGTCTTTGAGAGGCAGTGTACGAAGGATGACTTCAAGCTGTGGACACCCGCCAGCTCTGATCAGCCTGGCATGTCCTGCGTCCTTGGAAAGAAAGAGACTTTTTACAGGAGAGCATTAACTTCCAATTGCTACACTGGGGTAGATTTTGACAGACCTGTTCGAGTGCAGATCTGCCCCTGTGATTCTATGGATTACACCTGTGATTTGGGATTCATCAGGACTGGAAATCCTCTTCAGTGTGTGAGGGATTCTCTCAACAAGTGGTACGATCCATACGCTATTCCCAGGAGCTGTGAACCTGGAAAATTCTACAACAGAACGAAAGGCTACAGGAAGATTAGTGATGACGAGTGTATGGGAGGAAATGACAGGAAGTACGAGCCTGATGAGATTCCCTGTCCCATTGATGAGGTGTCAGAGTTCCTGTTGGTGGCACAGAGGGAGATCATCTCTAGGATTGATTTGAGGACCGAGAAGAGGGAAATCCTGCCTGTACTCAATTTGAAAAATGTAATTGCCATTGAATATGATATGAATAATAATTGCCTCTACTGGGCTGATATCGTCAATGATACGATTGGGAGGCAGTGCTTCAAGGATGGGACGAGTTATCCTGAGATTATGGTGGAAACTGATCTGAGTTCTATTGAGGGAATGGCGTACGACTGGGTGTCCAAGGTGTTGTATTTCGTGGATGGAGTGAAAATGAGAATTCAGATCATCAGGACTGACCTGAAGACCGCTGGAAGAATGAGGAGAACTATCCTGGGACCAAATAATTTACAGAAACCCAGGGGAATAGCTGTTCATCCGATGATGGGGTACATGTTCTGGACGGACTGGACACCAGGAAATGCGTCTGTGTCGAGGGCTAATCTAGATGGATCCAATGTCAAGAGGCTGTTCACAAAACCTACGGTGGAGTGGCCCAATGGTATCACTATTGATCACATCTCTGAAAGAATTTACTGGGTTGATGCCAGAGAGGATTACATCGGATCCTCCGATTACGAGGGCAAGAGATTCAAGAAAATAATAGTTCTTGATGACAGGGTGTCGCATCCCTTCGCTGTTGCGGTATTCAAAGACACCATGTACTGGGATGATTGGAAGCAGTCGAAAATATTTCTCGCTGATAAAGAGCATGGAGTTGGAATAACATCAAAATTAGGAACACTCACTGGTCTCATGGATCTCAAAGTGTTTGCACACAGTGTTCAGAGTGGAACAAACAAGTGCGAGAACAGCACATGCTCTCATATCTGCCTTGGGGCACCTCACGACAGCTTCGTCTGCCTCTGCCCCGACGGCATGGAAATGCACGCCGGCAAGTGCATGTGTCCCGGTGGTATCGCTCCATTTGATAATTCCACCTGTCCCAAAGTCGCCAGTACCTGTGCTCCCAATCAATTTGCGTGTAAAAATGGAATTTGCATTCCTGAATTCTGGAAGTGTGATGGAGACAACGACTGCGGTGACAATTCTGATGAATCCACCTGCAAGAAGTCAACATGCAGTCCTAATAGTTTCAAGTGCGATGAGGAAAAGTGCATACCCAAGTACTGGGTCTGTGATTTTGATAAGGACTGCAAGGATGGACGGGACGAGGCGAATTGCACTTACTTCAAGTGCACAGATTCACAATTCACTTGTGATAATGGCAAGTGCATTGTTTACAGGTGGCAGTGCGACGGAGAAGATGACTGCAAGGACGGATCAGACGAGAAGAATTGTTCAATACCTATTTTACCCATAACCTGCAAGTCCGATGAATTCGTATGCGCCTCGGATCACACGTGTATCTCCAGGGCGTGGCAGTGCGATGGTGAAAAAGATTGCGAGGATGGCTCAGACGAGAAGGATTGCGCTAAAAAGGTGTGCGAGGAGTGGCAGTTCACGTGTGACACTGGCACAGAATCTCAGATGTGTATCTACAAGTCGTGGCTGTGCGATGGAGAAAATGACTGCAAGGATGGCGCCGACGAGGCAAACTGCACCATAACAACGGCTGCACCACCTCCAGAAATTCTTCCCACCGATTCCTGCAACGAATGGATGTTCTTGTGCAATAACAACAAGTGCGTTCCCTACTGGTGGAAGTGCGACAGGGTTGATGACTGTGGAGATCAGTCTGATGAGTTGGGCTGTAACTCAACAAATCTGCCTGAATGGGTCCCCACAACTGACAGCCCCAAGCCCCACAAGCTCTGCGATCAGCAACAGTTCCAGTGTTACGATGGAAAATGTGTGGCCGCTGCATGGGTGTGCGATGGAACTCCCGATTGTAACCTTGGTGAGGATGAGCTCCACTGTCACGGCATGCACAGGGGCTGCAGGGAAGATCAATTTATGTGCAGAGTGGACGGCTCATGCATACCATTATCCACTACTTGCAATGGAGTTGAGGATTGTCCTGACAAGTCCGATGAATTAGGTTGTAACGAGAGTCAACAACCGAGTCCTGCAGCCACACCATCCTGTTACCCTGGTTTCTTTCCGTGCGATGAAACCAGATGTTTGCCATCATCGTCCTACTGCGATGGAAAACAGGACTGCTTCGATTGGTTCGACGAGAACAACTGCGAGAAGAATAACACACATGTCTATCAGAAAATGATGCTGGGTGTGGATGAGCGTGCAGCCAACTCCACGAGTCTTCTATTTTACTGGTGGATGTCCATTCCCACAAATATCACATTTGAATTTTTACCATCGATACTGAAGATCGTGCCAGGATCTAAGTGGCAGAATACAAGCAATTGGATTGAGGATACGGAGTACAGGTTCAATGATCTGGAGCCTTATACGACTTATAATCTCACTGTGTACGTCAGGTTGAAGGGACAGACGGTAGATTATCCCTCACCTAAATACTGGGTTGCAAAGACGTCGGAAGGAGTTCCTTCGGAGCCCTGGAATGTCACGGCTGTCCAGAGGAATGGATCGAGAGTGGAAGTCTCCTGGAAGGTCCCGCTCCAGCCAAATGGTCCTATCAGTGGTTACGACGTCTACATGTCACCTCCAAATCTAAATTTCTCCACCCAGAAGACATCTTATGTCATCGATATTCCCTACACAGCCGGTCAGACTTATTTGTTCTGGGTGATTGCTAAAAATCGAGACCTACAGTCCAACTCGTCGATCATTGCTAAGTTAACGTTCGATGGCTCTGCAAACATCGACGATATCAGAGGCCTCAGGATTATTGATACAACCAACAACTCAGTTCACTTAACGTGGGATAAACACGTTGGAGTCGATGGTTATCACGTAACTCCTCGTGCTTCAGTGCCATACCCAGTATTGAAGACCTATTCAACTCTGGATAACGACTTTGTGGTACCAAATTTGGCTCCTGGTGTGCAATACATATTCGAGGTGAATGCCATGAAGAAGACGTACATCGGTAAAATTGTGCAGATCAGTGGAACGACCAAGGGGACACCGCTCCCTGTATTAACTGAATTTGTTACGATATCCAAGAAGTCTGATGGTACAACTGTGAAGATCAGCTGGGATCCACCGAAAAATGGAAGAAAAATCAAGTGGCAGTACGCAGTGCATTATGGATTGAGCATGCAGGATTTGTTCCAGGAGCCGAAGCTAGTGACGCCTAACCTGACGACTTCGATTAAAGATCTCGAGGCCTGCGAGACGTATCTGTTTGCAGTGGGTCTGTATGGGCCGTATGGAGCTGGACCCCTGTCTCCCCCGAAGAAAGTACCTACTCACTACAATAGCAGAGCACCACCAAAGGACCTGCGTGTTACAGCCTCGAGCAAGGCAGACACTGTTATTGTCTCGTGGAGTGCCAGTTGTGTTACACTTGATGAGGCAATCAGGTACACCATAACTGTCACTGATATGATGAAGAACAAGACGACTGTGGTGACACTTCCAGCTACCAATGAGACTGTCATCAGGCACACGTTTAAAACGATAAAGCATGGAGGGCAGTACAGGGTAACTGTTGCCACTGACGCAAATGATGCAAAATCCAGTCAACCTGTCATATACGTGGCACCACCGATACCATCACCTCATCAGCTTCACGTTATGCCTGACGATGACAAGTACATCGTCTACTGGCAGGAGAGGGAACTCCCCAGCACACTGGAGAATACCACGAAATATCACTACGAGCTGCTCGTTAATGAGGACTCACGCACGATCAATGAGTCGAGTGCTAAAATTTTTGAGTGTGATCAACCACCGTTTATCTATAAAGATGCAAAACCCAGTGTTATTTACTCGTTCGCTGTCAGACTGGTCACGGATGAGGGATACAGCAGCCTCTTGAGCGAAATCCAGAGCATTAGAACGTCTTCTCTTGCTCCATGGCCTGCCACTATAAATTCAACTAATATGCTCTCTATTGCCATTCCTATTTGCCTCCTGATCGTCGCTCTCGGCGTTGGACTGGCTTATTTCTTCGTGAGGCACAGGAGACTGTCTAATAGTTTCACACAATTTGCCAACAGCCATTATGACACTAGACGCGGTCAGGCCACTTTCCCGGGGACAACTGATGCCCTAGGTTTGTAAAAATCTTATTCTTATCATTATTTACGATGTATGCTTTTTTCTTTTATTTTTGTAGAATGAAACAATTTGTGGAGGTTAGAACTTTGACTTTAAGATCTCACGGTTAATTCTCATAATTCAATAGCTGAGAAAGAACTCTTCCCACAATTTTATTTACTTCCCGCTTCAGACCACTTATTTTTTATTTTTGTGTTTCAGATGAAGAAGACAGTCCTGTGATTCGAGGCTTCTCCGATGATGAGCCACTGGTAATAGCGTAAAATTGTGGATGAAAATTATTAAAGAAATTATGATATTTCAAACGTATACAGTAAAATTACGTAAGCATTATTGTAACGGAAAAGACACTACTACTACTGATTAATTTTTTGGAATAGGTAACAGTTTTGAAAATGACCGGTGGGGGAACGAACAGATCACGCGAATTTATTAATTGTCTTTTTCAATTAAATTTAGTTGTAGAGATGGAAAATAAATGGAAGTCATGTCTTGCTCTGCGAATATCTCGAGAAATTTAGGTTTTGGGAGAAAAGCGTATAGATAACTTTTTGAAGTCCGAATAATTTCAAATGAAATTGGTCCCTTAAATTTTTTTTCTGGGAGCAATGGTTTCCGAGATATTCAGGGATGGAGGGAAATCGTTTGTTTTCACATTTATCGCTTTTGTACAGAGTCAAGAAAATTCATTTGTATTAATTAAAATAATTACCTCGTAATTACGGTTCGTTTTCCGTGGGGGGCGTCGAAGTGTCGGGACCCTGTAAATATTTAAATCATTTTATTTCACGACGAATTTTTCCTATAATTTTTCTCGTCAACCTTGTTAATTCTTGTTCTACTGGTGAATATTGTTACGTCGAATTTTAATTTGCGATGATTGTATTCTCTGCTTCTCATTGTCAGTCTGATTCCCGCGACTAAGCCATAACCAAATTTTTTATTGAAAAAGGTGAGAATATTGGAGAAAATTGCCGTCCGGAATTTTATCGGTTGAATTTCAGGAGCGCAACAGCTAATTGTAAAAATTTGATTTGGTCAATAATCAAGTTTTCAACAAATAACTTGTCATCCAAGAGAGATAGAAAAATCTCGTAGAGATCTTTTTTGTGGCGCTAATTCCGCTCTACAAAAAATGTCCTGAGAAAATTTTCGTTATTTTTCTTAGATCGACAGATATTCCTCGAGAACCCGACAATGGAACAAGTCGATTTTTACCGTTTACCTCGTGGCTACTGAGTTCTTAATTTTTTTTCTGGTTTATTGCATTTGAAAGATAAGAGGGGTAGTGGTATTTAGTTAAGACTGGAAATGTGCCACAAAATCAAGTGGTCATTGGGTGAAAAATAAAATAATTGGCTTTTCTTTTTCACACCGTAATGACCTGAAGTTTTTTTTTCTCGTATAAGCACGTGTTTTTATGCACTTTTGTAATGAATTCGATGAGAAAACGTGTCGATGGGAAATTTCCTTCGTTGAATATTTTATATGTGTTCCTACGGGTTTATTACGCAGATGATGAGAAACTTTAATACGAAAAAAATGAAAATTAGGGGAGAAAGACAGTCGGATTTGGGCTGAGGGAAATGAACGCTTGCCAGTGCAATAATTCATTTATTTAAATAATTATTCTGCAATGAATAGAGATTGTCGCTTTTCGTTAATTGCGTGGAGATTTCCTTCACCCAATATTCAGCGAGATAATTCGATTAGACAATTCACAGTTATACTGATTGCCCATTTACCTCTTCTTTTTACTAATTTACCTCTGATTTTGTTGATAAATCAAATAATCCGACTGTCATGCGTGTGAATGAATCAATTTAACCCCTGGAATCATCATGTCTTAGTGACTGACACGTAATTTTCTTTCGCAATTAGCGAGAATGAGATAAAGTTGAAGGGGAAACAGAGAGAATACGATTGTAGTCGTTACGTGTAAATCTTCGAGGAGTATAATGATAACAGTGATATAATATATTGTGAGTGTAAATAAACGAAGTTGAGGAAAAGCAGAACAAGTGGTTACAGTCATTGGTTTTATTTTTCTTGAGTGATGGACGAGAGCTATCTCGCCAAGTATTTCCATATATATTTTTTTAGTTCACAGAATTTATAGTCCTTGGATGCAGCTCTGGGAAGTTGGCAGCGCCTGGTATTGCGTTTATTACACATTCATGACCGGATCATTTCAACTGCATCGATGAATCATGACCTGGTGAATTTAAATTGTAGAGCACATTCCAAATATCGTCAAGGATTTTTCATTCTTCTATTTTTATCAGGAGCATTTAATTTAAATCACTAAAAACTTCAGGTTAAAAATATCAATTCATTTTTTCCGTTAATGCAATGGACAAATGAATAATAATTATAAAATCGACTAGACGATTTTCTTGACATGACTTCTCACTCGGGGAATAAAAATCATGAAAACAGAGAAGATCAATTGTCTACACCGGAAGTCACCAAAAAACACCTGCTAATGGAAAAAAAATTCTGACAAAAAATCACCGAAATAGTGACTCGGAGAAACACGAAAGTGTAATTTTCACATTAGTACCGGTAACAATGGATTTCCGTTTGTGTATCGAATCCGTTACAAACCCCGGGATGACGCATTTCCCTATTTTTCCTGGTGAGCACCGGATTATGTTCTCCATCCGCTGTGCAGTTGATGTGAGATCCCTGCGGTGAGGATTTTTATGTGATATCCAGTCCCAATGATCGGATAGCACATGATTTCCGGTCAATAACTCCGGTTTTACGTGCCATTGCCATTTACCGAGACTTTACGCATTTCCAATAATTGCTGTGACATTTCAATTAATTCCGTCAATCGAGTGACAGCTCAATCGAAGAATTGATCGATCAATATTTATGTAAAACACATAAAAAATGAATATATATAATTTATATACAATTAAAAAATGAAGATAAAAATTTTATTCAATTGAAACAAATACTTTTTCCGATGCCGCAATGAATTGAAAAAGTTTATTAACATCTTGAATTAAAGAGAAATTTTTATAAAGTCGAGGGAAAGACTGTCCACAATAGAATCACCTCTTTTCCATAATTTTTTAATGTCCCTTTAATTAACTCCATGATAAAAAAAAGCGTATTCATTGCCTCTTAACTGAAACACAATGAGATGATGAATGAAGACGTTTATTCATTTTTTGTCGGAGAGATAGTGGGTCTTCTGGCATTTGTTCGTCTCAATTCTCGGCTAATTCGTTCAACGCCACAAAAAGCTACCTTCTGAGAAACTCATGCACGTGGAGATTTACCGTACGTCTAATTGTTACGTGCAATTATTGCAGTGTGAGGCGCTCCAGGAGAATTAACTGCCTGATGCATACCCACATGAAGATCATCCAGGTGATCTCCATCATTCAAATGTTGTCTTCAAGAAATCCGACACACAATCATTTATTTCATTCAATACCAATAATTAATTACTGAATTATTAATGATTTCTAGATAATTAATGAATAATCAATTTTAAGAATTGCTTCAGGAGAAAGAAAAATCATTCAACGGAATATTTTATCAGTTGGATGTGGGCGTTTATTCTTGGTTTCGTGAGGGAAACGAAATGCTAAAAACTCCCGGTGAACTCCCCCTGGGCATTCATCCCCGAGAAAGAGGTCAATGGCCTCGGGCTGTCCATTGTCACTGGATATTTAACCATAGGACATGATATTTTACTTAACAATTGGCCTCCGGCACTCGAAATCGTCACAATGCGAGTGAATTCTCGGGCGACTAACTCGTGGGAAAAGCAAATCCTAGAGTTGGTATTCCAGAGCGACCACCAGTGGTAGAGGGGCGATCTCCAGGTCCTGGTGTCTAGGACAAGTGCAAAAGAAGGGATTAAAACCCCCACCTATTAAATACAAGGAAGTAGTACCAAGTGTGGCATGGGAAAGCGAGCCACATCGGGGGCGTTCTTCGCTATCCAGCCTCAGTGTAATTCCAGACATCCACTATCACTGTTCTCAGACTGATTATCACTATTTCACGTCATCCGTAAAAATCAACTCGACATCACCACCAGCGACTGCAGCAAAATAAATCGATAAACCTCAACTGGATCATTCCGAGAACTTCAGCTGTCAGGATTCAGCCGTGATTATCACAACCACATCATCGCCAAGGACAACTTTTTGAGAGAAATCGTCATCGCCAAGGACAACTTTCTGAGAGAAATCGTTATCGCCACTGGAAGCTCTTCATTAATGCATCTCCACTGGATCATAACGAGAAATTGGCATCATCATTTTCATTCCAATTGGTTCTAGCCATCGAGGATGACGGGGGTAAAGACGATGTGAATGAAACCGAGAGGAATCGTCATCGGTTGAATCGGCAACTTAATGAACAAAACGAGATAAACAAAGTTTACGAAGAAAATTTAAAACGATTAAAATCGAAGCACACGTCTGGAATAGTTGAGAAGATCGAAGACAATTTGAGAGAATCATCATAATTATCATCTAATTACCAATTAGTATCATTTTAATTTTCAACAATAAAAATCACCAGAAATTTTATTATTTCTGATAATAAAGAAAATAAAAAGACGATTGAAAAGAGTAAAAATCGAATGAATCATTGAAGCCATTGAAATCATCGAGAAATATAAATAATCGGAGTATAAATAATAATAGCTACAATCAAAATAAAAATTAAATCAAAATTATCACTAAATTTGAAGATATAATTGAAAGATTATTGTCAAGAGGACCAGGAGCTTCTGGAGATGACTGATGACGTCAAACAATCTCTTTGATTCGCCTGATGGAGAATGAGATAAGAGTCATTGATAATTGGAGGAGTCATTCTTGTGGCGAATTGCTTCATTGATTTCTGTGTAACGGGGATTAACGTGAGAGGAAAGGGTGAATTCTGTGAGGAACGGTGGAGCTGCTGGAGATCATGGAGGATTGAGTGGTAAGGATTCTCGAGAGTTTCATAATAATTCGATTGTTTGTAATAACAATAGAATAATTGGTGCGAGAATTTCTTAATGTTCTGCGATTGAAAATTCTCCGATTCTTAATTTGTTTTTTGGTACCATTTAATCTGATATGAATTATCTGGATTAGGACCTAATGGACGAGTCGCCACAATCAGACGAGAGCGGAGGATCTGAAGAGTGTCGGCACCTGTGGATCATCTCAACGTGCGAAAACCGTGAGTAGTATTCAATTTTTATAATTTTTATCCGCAGAATTTATAACTTTATCGAATTTGCATTATGCACCAGCCGTTCGGACATTCAATTATCTGAAATTATTATTCTCCTCGGTGCATACGGGAATTTTGTTTTAAAATACATTTAACATATTTTTATAATGTTTATAATTCAATCCTGCAGAAATGGACGATGATAAATAAAAATTGTATGATCTGCAGCAACGGTATCCAAACAGTAGTCCGACGCGTTTAATGTTTACAAACAGAGTTGCACGCGATTGCATTCCACCGGACACGGAGAATAGCGAGAAGCCCAGGGCATCGTTCTCGTCCTGAATAAATCCGTCGATCTGAATGCCTGAAGAAAAAAAATAATCGAGTCCCCGGGTAATCGCGTAATCGCGTAATCGCGTAATCGCGTAATCGCGTAATTGTGAAGTGACTAAAAAGTCGATAGCCCCTCGGAATAAACGGGCAATAGCAATAGCAATAGCAATACCCCGTAAAATCATGCATGATCGAATTGCTGGGTGTAATGGTGTGATCCACCGTCACGCAGAGGTAAATAATAGTTGAGTACTGAGAGGCATGCGATAAGACGAGTCATAGAGTGACTGGGTATGTAGGTACTCAGGGATTTACTCCACAGTTGGTTAGCGGTATTAACTACCTGCTGACTTATTCATAAACTTATCCTCATGCTGACCATACATCCCACTAACTACGCCATCCAATCAGTCCTCTGTGTACACTTCATTGACACATTGTAATTATCGATCCAGTGGGGCTGGAAATAATCAAACGGTAGCATTTCCTGGTGATCCAACACACCGTTAATCAACGCATTTTTTTTACACACTTCCTCCGCCATTTTTAACAGCTAGTATTCAAATAATAATATAATTCAAATAATAATATTCCAACGGATATTTTTTGGTTTTATTCTATTGATAATAATTGGGTTTAAAAAATCATTTGATGAACTGAATTTTTTGTTTTATCTCATATTCATTAATGCATTATCTGGAGTTGTAGATATTTATTATTTATTCTGTAGCTTTTTGATTTGTTTAGGGCAAGGGGAATTGAAGAGATTACGGCGTTACAATTAGTCTGATATAATTTAATGAAATTTAATGAAATTTGATGATTAAGAAAATTATTAGTACCTTCACTGGAGTTTCGACTGTTCCCGTAAATACTCATTATCTTGTGGTAATTCTCGTTCTCGTATGAATTACAAAATAAGAGAAACATTGAAATTTCATTTGAAATGAAATAAAATGTTTAGTGGATTAGGAATTTCTCTAGTAGTAAACGAATTAACTGCCCCTTCAATCAGGGAAAATAAAGATGCAGAGAAAAGGAGTGAAGAATAGCTTTTCCTAATTGCGCATTGCGAAGGAACAACTGCTGAGAAGTTCCTCTCATTGAAACATGAATAATTCCGCGTTTTATTGCTTATCACGATTTTATTCCGTTCTTTTATTTCGTCTAATTTCTGAGGAATCGTTTTTTTTTACGATCGAGTTTCCCTATTTTCCCCGGGATGCAGGTGCAACTGTAACCGGTGGTTTCCCATAGATCACATCTGGCGGTTTCATGACTTCAATAAAAATAACAAAAATAAAATGTGGACAATTGATTCGTCGGACTTGCGTGAGTACTTGGCGTTGTGAACAGTTGGTTCGTCGGCGTATCGAATTCCGTCGAGGCATTTCGAGTTATTTTACAGTTGCTCGATCCCGCGACTTACGTCGATAATTGTAAGCCTAGGAAAATATATAAAAAGTCCCCTGATACTTTTTTGAAATTTTCGAATTTTCAAATTTCAGTGAATACCTCCTCGATCTTCATGCTCTACTGATACTTTTTCAAAAATTTCGAATTTTTCAATTTCAGCGAATACCTCCTCGATTTTCATGTTCCTCTGATACTTTTTTGAAATTTTCGAATTTTTCAACTTCAGTGAATGCCTCCTCGATTTTTATGCGCCCCTGATACTTTTTTGAAAATTTCGAATTTTTCAATTTCAGCGAATATCTCCTCGATGTTCATGCTCCTTTGATACATTTTGAAAATTTTTGAATTTTCAAATTTCAGTGAATAGCTCCTCGATTTTCATGCTCCCCTGATACTTTTCTGAAAATTTCGAATTTTCAGACTTCAGTGAATACCTCCTCGACATTCATACTCCCCTGATACTTTTTGAAAATTTTTGAATTTTCCAATTTTAGTGAATAGCTCTTCGATTTTCATGCTCCCCTGATACTTTTTTAAAAATTTCGAATTTTCAGATTTCAGGGAATACCTCCTCGACCTTCATGCTCCCCTGATACATTTCGAAAATTTTTGAATTTTTTAATTTCAGCGAATGCCTCCTCGATTTTTATGCGCCCCTGATACTTTTTTGAAAATTTCGAATTTTCAGATTTCAGTGAATACCTCCTCGACCTTCATGCTCCCCTGATACATTTCGATAATTTTTGAATTTTCCAATTTCAGTGAATAACTCCTCGATTTTCATGCTGAAATGTTTTGAAAATCTAGAAAAAATATTCCGATTACAATTTTTTTTTATCCGGGTATATATAATGATAATATAAACTGGGAGAACAGGATTGCCCACTGAATATTCCACTGGATTTCGAATGCACTCATAATAAATGTAGAGTACAAGTATAAAATTCTCACTTCCTCGGCTCCTGTTTTCATTAAACCATAATCCAATGTTTAACTACTCGACTCCCCCGTAATTTCTCGCCATTAATCACGACGAGCCCCTCGTGATACGCAATGCGATCAGGATAAATGTTGCGAATTAAATTAATGCCCAACAAAACGACTTTATCTCCTGCTCTGCATCAATTACGATTCGATGTTGTTACAACGTGATGTGTCTAGTAATCATCACAACAATCAGACAATAAATCACTGTCGATTTACAATAACATTTTTTATTAATCCTGAATTAATGACAAATTATTGAATAAATGAATTTTCTCTAAAAAGTGAAGAATAAGTCAATGACAATAATGATAATGAATAATTGTTATTGCTATAATTATACTTGTCACTATGATTATCAACAATAATTATAATTTGTTTATTATTAATTATGAACATGAGATGACTGAGAATAAAAAAATCGTTGCGATAAATTTGAAATGATATTTATACATACTTCCACCTTGAGGTGTGCTTTTTTATTTAAATAATCGGTGAATAATTAATTATTGACCTTGCAACAATGCAAATTTAATAGAAAATATTAATGGATATAAAAATAATGCCATAAAAATATTCAGTAAAACGAACATAAATGGAGAATATAAATTTAAAATTTCCTTTCTATTCTCCCATAATATATGTGATAATTTAGAGATCGCGAAATGTTGAAAAAAAAATCATAAATTAGTAATTTCTCGGTGTGATCTTGAGATAGCGCGATGATTTAAATTTTGCAACGAAAAAATGACACGTTTGAAACGATCTCTCCAGAATGATGATAATCTCCTGCCCACCATGAGCAGCTGGAACGCATTATAACTCGAGTGTTCGGTGAAGACACAAGATGTTTATAAGCATATCAAACACTGGGTGAGTTCCGCTATGTCCCAGATAACGATGGCTCACGATTCGAGGTGGAGAATTAGAATTTCATTGGAAAAATAGTTGAGGATAAATGCCTGAGTGTTCTCCATCGGATCAGTTCACTCCTGTTCTCATGATGACATTTAAACGGGATCTCCCACGGTGGTGACGTATTCACGCAGATTCCAGTGGAGATACTCCCTGTCACCCCTGATTTATCCGGGAAAAACATCTCGAATCGCATTGTACTCTGGAACTTGGAATTTATTATGAAACACTCGTGCCTCACTCCTGCATTTTGTTTATAACGGGATTGAAAATACTTGATATCCCGCCCACGGCTGCGGGTGTTGTTCATACATGCGTTGATGTCTCCGACTGCATAGAGAAAAATAATGTCTTCTCTGAAATATACTCGAGGTATCACCTCAAATTAATAAGAGCAAAATCTCCACTTAAATCTACGTGCACCCCATTTTTTATTTAAACTTCCCGGGTAAAAAAAATTGTAATCGGAATATTTTTGTCAAATTTTCAAAAAATTTCTGGAAAATTTTTCAGAAATTTTTTTTTTATGAAACAAAAAAGATTGGAAAACAAAACAATTTTATTCTTGGGAAAGCTTTTGAAAAATTTTTCAAAACAATTGTTTTGTTTCCCGATTTTTTTTGTTTCAAAAAAAAAATTTCTGAAAAGTTTTCCCGAAATTTTTGAAAATTTAGAAAAAATATTCCGTTTACAATTTTTTTTTACCCGGGTTAAATATAAATAAAATGAAGACTTAAATTGTAATCAATGGGCAATACCCCCTAATTACTTTAAATAAACTTATTATTGTCATTCATTAATGCGCGTTAATGTGAAAATGTTATTTTTATATGGGATCCCCAGGTTCATTTATCCTTGGAGGACATCAGAGTACTGGTTGCGGGAGTCTTTCAAGGTGCCACAGCATCCAACACCTCCCATCCATCCACCCCCTTTCTCCCTCCCCCCTCGTTTAAATGGACTCTGAGTTACACCACCAAAGAGAGCATCTCCTTAGCATACGTACACCTAAGGTTATTCAACCCGGCATTCGAATAAAGACTGACGGCCCCTTCGAAGCTAACGGGTTTGGGGATAAAACTCCATCGGACCCCATACCTTCCCAACCTGTGTCCAGTAGTGGTGTACAACGGACACTCGGTCAGCCGTGCACCTTCAGTCCAAAGATTTTCCTCAACGTATCAGCTTTACAAATTTTCCTCCGGTACCCCGTGTTTTTTATTTATTTTTTTTATCACGAATTTCTCCATCATTTTTCGCGTACCCCAGGTGATTGTGGTGTTAATGAGGTCGAGTTGATCGGGTCATTTTAATTCGGTGAGTTTCAGATTTATTTCAATCCCTTTTTTTAATTAATTACAATATTTTTGAGATGGTCACGCGATTTTGAGGATTTATTGTGTGTCATTTTTATTTATTTCTGGATTATTTAGTTGGATTATTTTTTGCACTAGAATTACACTTCCTAGGGAAATTACAATGTTTCAAGTGAATTTTCACTATAAAAATTATTATTTTTGTTTATGAGCCGAAATTTCTTTGAATTTTCAACTTGTAAAATTCTCTAGCGATGAGAATTCCATGAATAAACAACGGTAATTATTACACTGTAAAAAATGTATTAAAATTTCACTTGCAATCTTCCAAGAATTTATTACAATGTCACAAATCGTAAATTCAGGGTAAATTTCCCTATAAATTATGTGTACGTGGGAGAAAATGATGTAATATTCATGATATACTTATGCATTACGCCACGTAAAGACAAAAAACAGAATGAAACAGTAATAATTCTCGGGTCGTTAACTGAGATTAGTGAATAAAGCTCACGCATGCTAGTGTACGATGTTAATTACCTCTCGTTACACATGCGAATTTTCACTTGATGCGTATTGACCCAGTCCGATAAATCCAACTGTTTATCCCCGTTTTCCTCTTGTTTTTGTTTTGATTGTAATTCTGATTTTTTTTTTTTCGGTGTAAGAGCATGCTTGCACTGGACGTGAGTCAGTGCTCGGGATAATTCGAGGCAAGAGTCCGCAACTTATTTACAATTCCGAGGGATTTTCATTGCATACAGATGGGAAAAACAATCGGTTATGCCTGGGAAATTTTCGGTACCGTGGAAATATCCGCAGTTCATCGATTGAACTGGTTTACACCGATTAATTACCGATTCTTCTACGAGATCGTTAAAATAATTAATAATAATAAATTATTATTTGTAATGATTTATCAGCAATTAATAAACAGTAACCGATTGTTTCGACTAAACCCCAAATAAACCCCAAAAATAACCAATTAAAAAAAAAAACAAACGAAAATTGTTAACCGAAAATTAAACAAACCCAAAAAAATTCCTTATCACTTCTTCTCGAAATCGATAGTTCTCGAAATAAATCGGTAATGAAAAATTTTGAATTCGACTTATATCTACGTTTTGAATTTTTTATTGCGATTTTATAGTGGAATGATTGCTCGGATTTTTTTTATGTCGAGTATTGGGATAGAAGAATTATTACTACCGATTTGTTTATTGTTGAGGGATTTTCTATTCATTTTAATCGAACATTCGTTTCAGCTCGCTGAACTGAATCGATGGCTGGAGATCATTCTCACATATTTGCTCTGTGTGAAATATTGCTGGACTCGTTATACTAATTTCGATTATTCCTCCTTCAATCCATCGGTTGGAAAATTTTTCACGGGAATTAAGGCGTGACGGCGAGACGACACATGCAAAACGGAGCGTCGCAGCTCAGGAACGCTGGTACCGTTAGCGGACGCGATTTAAAAGAAAAAAATATGATATGAAGTATAAAAAACATGAATCAATTATGAAAAAAAAACTACAGGATAAACGGTAAAACAATTTGATGGAAAATTCGGCCCGCGAGTCCAAAATTAATTCAATATCGAAAACGTGAAATGAGATGAATCAGAATTTTCAATCTCGTTAAATCGATTGATCTCCAAAAGTATTGATTTTTCGAGAAAATATGAAAACATCTTTTTTGTATAAAATTTTATTAGGTAAAAAAAAGTCCTTCACTGTTTTCCCCGGAAATCCACAGTTTGTGAGATAAATCAATGCTTCTGTTGCGAATCGACAAACCAGTTCAAGGCGATTTTCATTGCCGATGAGTTTTCAGTGAATAACTCGGAATTCACGGGGGTTATCGAAATTCTTGTGATGACCTTTTTTGCAGAGCCGATTGAAACCTGCAAAAATGGTCATTACAAAAATTCCGCTATCTCCCTTGGCTTCGGAGAATTCTGCGGTTTGCGGCTGTTGTGTTATATTGAGAAGTAAAATCCGCGGATTGGACGGGCGGAAAAATTCAGTTGAAGATGTTTCGACTTTCGAGGGACGTAAGATCATGACTTTTTTAAATTGCATTGACATTGACGCGGGACCGAGCGACGAGTATCGAATACAAACGAGATTATCGAATTGCCGGCCATGAATTAGTTTTAAAAAACGATAAAAAATTCCCATCAGGCGGTCCCACCGTCTTCGTAAAGACAAATGTATTTTTTTCACGTCATCACATGTCATTGTGGCAAGCATCTCATTTCCATGGTTTTTCGTCGTTTCACATTGCAATGGTGACCGATTTTTTGAGGTAACCCACGAGATTTCAAAACATTTTTCGTTCACGGCCCCTCGAGGACAAAACCGATCTTCAAATTTATCTCACGTAAATGATATTAAAGACGAATAACTATCTCCCCTATTTCTTTTTCCCGATGAAACCTAGTGCTATTGATATTGGATTATTTTATTTCATGAACGAACTCCGAATTAAACCGCCGATTTTTCTGTTTCAGTATGAAAATGCGACTAAAAATGATATCCCCTGTGGTCTGGGCGCTGCTGTTGTCCCAGGTTGCCTCAAGACCTCAGCAAACAGGTAAATAAATATTTATTCAACCTTCATGAAGAATTCACCATTTCATCCTCCCAAAAATTCTAGTACCTGATACAAGGACACAGAAATATTATAAAAAACAAGCTATCGTAGTATAATAAATTTTGCCCACTCATTAACTTCAATAATAATTAAAACTCCAATAAAATGCTCATCTAAGATTTTCCCGCAAATTCCCTGTGATACCGCAGAAATCCTGAGACCCCTCATCAATTCGTAATGACCCTCTCAGTGCAACCTAATGAGTATCAACTAATCACCCTATAATTTTTTCCCACAGTGCCAGCAACGCGGACATCCCAAGTGACGAAACACCCGGACGAAGATGCACGTAGCAGGTACAGAGCGTCCCACATCGCCTCTCGCAATCTTAATGAATTTTACAATAAGCTATACGCCGGTGGTTTTACACCAGGTATCATGTCGAGTATTAGGCAATCATTTCCGCCTGACGACATGCCCATACATCCGCCGTCAAAATCAATATTGATTCCCCGATGGAGTCCTCTCTCAATCCCCTCCTCTCCTGATCAGGCATCAAAGTCACCGATTACCGACCGAGTGCTCGTGTCCCCGAAGAGATCTCGGAATTCAGGCCGCTGGGCTACAACAAAGTCACCGATCTCCGGGAAAAACCGCGTGGTAATAAAACCCTCGATCTTTCCGTCCCCCTCTTTCCCCACAAAGAAACGCCCAGCGGGTGTCCCACCTTCGCGAAAAGTATCTAAACCCGATAACACAACTCCGGAACCTGCCTTGTCGACACCTAATCAAAAAACTTGGCCAAACACCCCTCCTGAGGATATCCTGGACCTCTACAACTACGAGAAATACACGAGTCTCCTGGAACCCTCAAAAAAACCTACACCTGCTTCGAACCCTTCCAGTGATCTTGAGATAACAACAGAGAACCCCAAGGTCACGGTTTCCCAGCTACAGCCCGCGATTCCGACGCTAAAGCCGTCACCGAATATCCAGGAGATCATCCAGTGGCTCCAGATCCCCCCGTTCACGTCGACCGTCAATCAGAGCTACTTCCTCGCGGATACGAAGCCTGGGCAGAGCCTATCGAATACTTTCTCCCCTGTCTTTGACCCAAACCGACCGTTGGTAACACAAACGGACCCGGATCAAACCCAAAACTATGATGAGGAGGTTAATGATTTCCACTTTTCGGAGGCTCAACCCTCGGATATCCCGTCGACCTTGCAATCCAGCTTGGCGCCACTTCCGCCGGAACCGGCGATTCAAGGGGATACTTTACCAGGTCTGTCCAATGAGGGGTCCGCAAATCCCACTGTGGTCCCAAAACGGCCCCTCTTCAAGCCCATCTCTGAAATATCTCAAAACACTGTAGTTCACATAATCAATCCCATGTCCAAAAGGCCCAATGTTACTGTGAGTGAGGGCCAGCAAAACGTATCCACCCTTAAGCCACCCCCGAATGTCCACATAATGTTTATGTCACAAGCTAATGACACCAAACAGTCTCTCAAGGACTCAGTGAATCAGTTGCCCTTCGATAAGACCCCAGATTGCCCTATTATCACTATCAACTCAATTACCAAAGTCAATAATACAATTCAGAGTAAAGAGGGTTGCACTGATCTGAACATCGTCATCAATTCTCAACTCCTCAGTACAAATAATTTTGGGCCTGAGGTGATCGGATTGGACGAGGCTGGGTCTGATAAGTACGGGGACAGTCTAAACCCGACTGATTACTCAACGATGTACGTGACAAATCCCTCGGAGGGTTTCCCTTCAACTGCGTTAGCGTCGACGGGACCAGTTAGGGATGTCAATGGTACATTGGAGGGCCCCTCATCTGAACCCTCGGATTCAACTCTTTCGAATCCAAATTTTGATGTTAATCAGGCGACGGATATTGAGTATGAAGTGGAGCCGGAGGCGGCGGGGAATGCAGCTGAGGTTCTGGGGCAGTTGGATGCAGCTGGGCCTCAGGCCTCCGTGGCAGATGCACCCGGCGTGGCGTCTGCAGCGGTTCGACCTGTGGCTCCAGCTGCAGCGGCTCTGGAGCAGTCCAGTGGTGCTGTTGGGGATCCAATCGGGCCCGCAATAGCATCTGGAGGCACTTTAGCCGCTGGGGCCCCGGCTGGGCCCGCGTCCACTGCTTTATCGACTGTCGATGATGAGGATGATGACGATGACGACGATGATGATGAGTTTGATCTTTCACCTGCTGGAATCATGGACGGCATGGGCTCAATATTCACGTATTTCACATTTATGAATCCTCTAAATTACGGAATATTCAGTTTCGCGGCTGCACCATTCGCTGCTCTAGCTGCTGGCATCCTCGGCATTGCTGCTATCTCATTTCCTTACGCGTTCACTGGGAGTCTCGATTTCGGTCGTTCCGCGGACAGGGTTTCCCCGAAGTTTAGATCAAACCTCGAAGAGGTCGTCACGCAGTCCATTCACGATTATAGAAATTGGCAGGAGTGGAAGAGTAAACGGAGGAAGCGCAGGCGATGATCTTTTTTTTCTTTAACTATGCCCCATTCAGGGGACCTATTTTCAGGTTATTACAGAACGTTTATTTATTCATTAATCTTTATTTATTATATTACTGTCTCTTCTTGCTCTGCTTGTTAATGTAGAAATTATATAATTATAGGTTATTTGTTGTTTTGATCCTAGGCTTGTCACTTAACAGAGGGAATCCCCGGATTATTTTCGTTTGTTTTCATGATTGATCATGTTTAAATTATGGAGTTTTACCAAGTGACCAGTCTAGGTTTAAATAAATTCTTTTCCGAAGTTTCAGGGGCATTAATGAGAAAGACAATTGATTTGTATTGTTAATAAAACATTGGAAATTACAACGCTTGTCATTTTATTCTAAAATCATCTTTTACATCTAATTAATTTAGAACTTCGTGATCTGCATAAAACGTGAATGTTAATTATAATTTATAACCGCAGAACACAAAGTTTTAAGCAAGAAACCTAAAAATGTAAATTTTAATTTAAAAAAATTGAACAGGTGAGTATCGAAAATATCAGAGAAAAGTGGGAAATCTCCAGTAACGAATTCAACATTCGAATCGTTTGTTTGCAGGTTGGAGCCGCAGAAAAATTCTGATCTGAAGGACTACATGGACCAGTCCCTGAGAACCGTAGCCACTCAACTGCTGAATGTCTCCGGTCCAGAAGGACCAGCTGAGCCGAAAAATGACACGATAAAACCGAAACAGGGGCTGCTCATTCGGAAGCCTGACCGGACGATTCCTCCAGCGCAAGAGTCACCGATCATCGAAGAGATGGAGCGGATAAAGGGAGTGACACCAGACATGACTGCTGCAGGGCGCCCGGTCAACTCCAAGTACAATTACTTCGAGGTTAGCCACCCGGGTCAGGCGATGGCGATGACCGACGAGGACTTGGAGCGAGAAGTGGCGGCCACGAGGTACCCGAGTTACAAGAACCAACAGACGACGACCGGAGGGCTGTCCACCTGGATCCTGCTGAATCCACCCTCATCCACGAATTCCCCAGACGACGTAGACAAAACCGTCCCTCCGAAGTCTTCTTCCTCAACGCACCCTGAGGAAGCTGTAACGACTCCAAGAGCTACAGTGAAGACGACCTCCCCGCCGCAGAAGACGACACAGAAGACAACGAAGCTCGTCAGTTCAAAGAAGACAACGCCAAGCCCCGAAAAGAGTTCATCATCTCCTGGAGTCGTTACCCCGAGATCTGAGCCTGCAGCGAAGATGGACGAAGAGACGACGGCGAAGGCAACAACTAAGAAGACGACTCCAACGAAGACCACCTCCAAGCCGAAGACAACGACAGGACGCCCAACAACAGTTCTCACTAAGACAACTACCATGAAGATCGTCAAGTCACAGCCTCGTCCCTCCAAGCCAGCGATTCGAAAGACCACGACGACAAGAGCGGAAGTGAAGACCAACTTCACTTCAAAAATTGAGAAGGTGACATTCAAGCCAGTTCTGATGATTACAACACCGAAGAGTCTTGTTGAGTCCATCTCAAAACCCATCTTCAACGCTAAAGTCCAGGGATCGATAAAGACAGATCACAAGCCCTTACCCATCGAGTCAACCCCGAAGCCGACGAATGTCTTGAAACTTCACCTGAAAAAACCAGTGGACACTCCGACCACCATCCAGATCGATCCGATCAAAGTTAGCGCTCCAGTGCTGACGATTGAGAAGCTCAGCATCCCAGAAGACCCGGAGGACAAACGCACAAGTCTGGAACCAGTACCGCTGACCAATTCTCAAATTGATGTCAAATTCGACTTCAACCCTGAGTCGACGAGAGTCGAGACATCCACGGAGACGACCACCAAGCGATCGAAGGCAGCCTCCAAGAGGAAGAAGCACAAGACCCGTAGACGCAAGCCTGCCACGACGTCTTCACCTTCTTCTACAGCCGCCACACCTGCTGAAGATTCACCATTGAAGGAGCCGATCAAGACATCGACTCCCGCTTCCGGAGAAACCTCCCTCCAGGAATCGAAAATAGTTCCGGACGCTAACACGAAGCAGAAGAAGAAGCAAGTCGCCAAACCGATCACCACGCAGATTTACAATTTCATAAGTCGTGAGGTAATGCCGAGTGTGGGAGTGATGTCGCTGGTGGGTCTAGGTCTCGGGCTGGCCTCGTACTTCCTCTACCCCTTCGGTGGGGCGATATCCAGACGAAATTACGAGGTAGAGCCCAATTACAAGTACAACCTCGACGAATACGGCGGGAACTACGGCCAGCGTGAAGAGGAGGTTTTCACGAAGGTGCTCCAGGGGATGAATTCTAACGACGGAAAGTACGGTGGTATCAAGGACTTCAACAAGAACTACTATAGGTATCAAGCTTACGACGGTGGCTACACGGACACCACCAGGAGAACCGATCCGCGATTCCCCGCGTCGTCGGTTCCAGTCTTTCGCCCCGAGAAGACGTCCACCGTCTACGACATGAAATACAGAAACACCGGGTTCAAGTACTCTGACGGCTCGACGACACCGAGTTATTACGATCGTTCCAAGGGCTCTGACTTTGTTGAGACCAATGTCGATCGGCAGTTCGTGGTCGGGAACATCCCGAAGGAGTACTCCAGCGAGGAGAAGGCGAAATTCCCCATCGACGCGAGCACTCAACCCTCTGGTGTCGACTTCGAGAAGCAGATAGCTCAGAGTCTTCACTTCAGGCAGACTCAAGCTGATGATCAGGTCTTCGATCAACCAAATGCACAGGCTTTGAAGTCTGAGAGCTATGAGGACGTTGAGATCACGCCGGCAGCTGTCGCGGTCGAGCACGGACCGAGATCTCTCAATTCAGAATCCGGGGATTCCCACCGGGATGTTCATGGAATTAAGAAGCGAATGAGAAGGGATTCCGTTATCCAATTCATCCCGTCCCGCAGTGAGATTGAGAGGGAGGAGAGGGAAATGGAGGATGAAGAGCCCTTGAGCAATGAGATCCTCGATATAATCGATTCAGCGTTACCCGGAGAAATGACCGACGTGAAAAAAGAGACAAAGAAAACGGAAATTGTACCGGAATCGGAGAAATCGACCACTAGCCCCACGCCCCAGGCGGCGGAGGAGACCGAAAGTGAAAAGTCTTCGACGAAGAGTCTTGAGACGACGTCGCCAGGGACTGAGGCCACGAACGCCGAGGTATCAGAAAATTCCAGCGGAGGGGATGAAACTTTTACTACCACCCCGGAAACACCTGCAGAGGGCTTTAACGTCCTGAATTTTGTCAAGAGACTTGCGGAGGTCAAGTTCAGGCTCGGCCTGACCATCCTCAAGCACGCCTCTGAGAGTTTCGCACGATATCTCGGACATGTCCAGAAGAGGATAAATGGGGATGAATAGATTTTCGGGTTTTAATCGTTTAAAGTAAAACCGAATGCTGCATTGCGTATTAATAGACACTTCCGGCAGTACTGCATTCCTATTTTTCGTCACGCTCATTAAAGGAAGAAATCTGCAGAGAAAAAAAAATTATTTCGCATATCTGACGTTTAGGAAAACTTCGGGAAGAATTTGGATGGGACACGGACGTGGAGTTATTCTCAATATGAATATTAAGGAATTTTTATGTGAATAAAACTTAGATTATGCTTGCAGCACGGGGCGCCATTTTGGGAAGAACCCGCCATTTAGCACCATCTTTCGAAATTCTGGGAAATTTCCGACGATTTTTCGGTTTTTTAATAAATTCGAGATACGAATTGCTAAAAATATATTTTAAATATGCGATTTTCTCATTTATGTAGCGATCCATGTCTTTTATAGCGCGACGAAGACGGAATACCTAGAATAATAAATCTCTCAAAACAGAATGAAATAAAATAATTTATTGTAAAGTACTCTAATTAACGTTTTGTAAGCACTTTATTATTGTAAATAAATATCAAATATCCAGAATAAATATTTCTACTCGTGAAAAAATTGTCATCAATCGCCACCGAAACGAAACTATGGCAAAAATAAATAAAAAAGGGTTGTCAACATAAAAATTCGTCGATATATTTAATTACGGAAGTAGTGAAGAGACATACGTAGACTGGATTTCTCTTAATCATCGATTTATCACATAAACTATCGGTTTGAGAAGAAAACATTGCAGAACTTTCTTGAAGCTGATTAAATTTGCGATAAAAAATGTCTTTTCGTATTTTCTCCTCAGATCAATGCGTTTTAGATAAATCGATAAATCGTTAACAGAGAAATCTTTTACGTATTTCGCCTCACGACTTTAGTGTTTTCAACACCTGATAACATAATATATTTTCTCCTCGTCTCCAAATAAATAATTCTATCAACTACCCAAATACATTGTTGAAAATACTTGACCGAATTTTCCAGGTTTTTTGGAGTGACACTCGACTTTCAGGAAATATTGCCGATAAAAAATGAAAATAAAACATAAAAATAAAAATCTATTTACCATTTCTATTCCCCATAAAAATTTCACAACAAATAATTGAATTTTCAATTGATCGATTCCCAAAATTTCGAATTTTTCCAAGAAAATCAACCGATTGATTAGGAAATAATTTCCCCGAAACATGACGCGCTAAAATTGTCAATGATTTTCCGCTCCAACTCGTCCAGTAATTCTCTACAACCCCGAAAAATTCGTCAACCATTTCACTACCACAATTAAACTACTGACTTATGGAAAAATTGCGCCCTCCTCCATCCCTAGGCCCCGCGGATCGTCTCCTCCTCCCCAGCATCATGGGTATCATCATCGCCATGGTAGCAGGAAGCATTCCAGCCCCAACAGCAGCAAGAACCGCTGAATTAGAAGGTCTCGCTGCAACAGAAGTCCTGATGGGCCTCTTCTTATCGACCTTCTGCGTCAACTTTCCCGCCTCAAACTCTCTCTGGCTCTGATCGACCGTCTTAAAAGTCCTCTCAACCTCAAGCAGCCCCCCATGTGACGTTGTCGTATTAGTTCCATTCAACGACGGTAAAACCGTCAGACGTACCTGAATGTTTCATCGATCAAAAATTAGACATCGATCACCGTTGCAACCGGTGAAAAACAATAATCCGATAAATCGCTGAATTAGTTGATGTTGCCAAAGACTTGTCAAAGCAATTGTTCACTGGTTTTTTATATAATTTTCATGAATAGATAGATGAGCAGAGAGTCAAGCAGGAAGGGAGAAAGAGGTGCGTCGTTTCACTATCGAAGTTGAAACTAGAGACGAAGTGGATTTATCGGGTTATGACCAACCTGTCGTTTGGATGTCATCACAGGTATAGCTGGATCATTATCATCATTTTTTTTCGTGCCATTTGGCATGAGATTGATGTTGTCAATCGTCTCAAACTTGAGAGAGCGTTGACGTGACTTTTGATAGCCACGATTAGTCGATAGAAGAATCCACTCGCCATCACCAGTTGATGGGTGTGACGGTGGATGTCGGTTGTCGTAGTTGTATTGAGAGTAAAAGGGTCTCGTTGGCTTTGGTTGGTCAAATTTGTTGGGATACGATGGCCAGTCGTTGCCGGTTTCCTCCGGGTCCGTCGAATATCTGTCGTGGAATGTGTAACCCGGTTTTGATAGCTGGTCGTACTTGTCCCAAGTGCTGACGGGGAAGTTTGCTGGTCTGTTGTCGGTTATTATGTCACTCTGGGGGCGATGGGATGAGGGGAATGTCTCCCAGGCGGAGTTTGGACGCTCTGGGGGCCACTTTTGCGTCTGTGACACCGATTCGTACTGATCGTGAGGGTAAGGACGACCTGGCTGCGGCTTTGGGCGTGTCTGCGGCTGATCGAAGTCTGGCCACTGCGGTTTTGGCTTGTCGTACCTGTTTCAAGTGCTTTTTTTCTTAGGACATTCGCATTTTCGATTTTATGGAAATAGCGGGGATTTTTGCAAATGGTTGAATTTTTTGAGAAGCTGGGGGGAGTATTACCATGGCTTGTTGTTCTCGTAATGAGGCCTCGAGGAGAAATCGTTAGCCCAGGGCTTTCCACCACTCGGTTTATCCCACTTCGTGGCCTCTGGCCAGGGCCGTTGGGAGTTGGGATTCGCCTGCCATTTCGAGATTTTACTCTTCGACCAGGGGACGGCCTCCAGAGTAACCCAGCCGTCTCGGTTGTCATTCCCCTGGCTGCTGTAGAATTTATTCCTCTTCACGGTGTCATTCAGGCTCTGAAAATCGAAAAACTTGAATGAAACTATTTTAATCCGCAGGGAAATTAATTCCGAAATTTCACTGGAACTTTCAGTTGAAGATATTTATTGATTTCCAACAATTTTCATTTTTTTGAATTCAAGAGAAATCAAGAAAATTCGGTTTTTGATGGTAAATTGGAATTGTAAATTATAATTATCGATTTATCTGGAAAACCATCGACGTCACGTGAAAATATGAAAAGACTCTTTTCGCAGCGAATTAAATTTCCGACCGAAAATGTTTTTTCAGATTTTTTCATAAATCCCCCCGTTTTTGGATTAACCGATATTGAACTGGACTGTTATTCGTTACGAAATAGTAAATTGGATTTCGTTTGATTAATATTAATAATAACAATAAAAAATATTTTCAGGGGGTATTGGTGGTTTTTTTAGAGACCCTGAAAATCACCTCAATATTGTCCAGAGGATTGATCGATCCCTCCGTCGAGGCAGGTGCCTCTGTACTTTTTTTTCCATCGATCTCCAGCAGAGTCACTCCAGGCATTTTCGTTGTCTTCAAATGATAGAACGATTTCTCCGTTGTACTCCTAATTTTATTAGCGTACTCATCTAGAAACTTGTTGAGCACATCGGGATCGAAGGTGGAACTCTCGACGAACGAGTTGCGCTTGTCATTATTAACTTTCATAGCATCTCTGATGGAATCGGCATCCTCGAGCCGATAAATCGCCCTGGACTTTTCCTTCTCACCACTCTCCTGTGGCTGAGCTATTTTCAGGTCATCAGACTGACGTTTAATGAAGTAACGAGTATCACCAATCGTCCCATCAACCACCAGGACCACAAGCAGCATCAGAAGTCTTAACTCCATCTGTTTTTTAATTTTTATTTAGACAAAAATCTTTAGCGATCAATCAACAATCAACAGCTTGCGATCTCCACGAATTATTAAATGAAAAAATCGACTTCCAGTCGTAATAATTACATTTCCCAATGAAAAAAAAAACCTTTGATTTCAATTGTTTATCGATTTTTTAATAAAATCGGCGAAAAAGATTTAGATTTCTATAGGAATTTTTTGATAACGTTTATCAACAAAGTTGTAATTCATATGATTTAATAATTAATTAAATAGATAGAGAAAATTGTATAGAAAGTTTTTTGTAGCTTTTAAAATTTCCAACAAAAAAGGTTCCCCCAAAATTTCTGTATCTTCCCCAGGTTTCGAGATACTCCCGAAAAACACTTTTCGACTGGAGGATGATAATAATGATTGCGAGGATAATTACAATATTACAACAAATTGTGATCACAATACACTATAACAATAACAAGAAGATGCTCACGTTTGATTGCTCACACCCGTGATAATTTCATGAATGGATGAATCAGCGTAAAACGAGGGGATTGAACAAAAAAAAAATCACGAAGTGGCCAAAAATTCAAAGTTATACTTGATGACCTCAACTGCTCAAGGTCCGAGATGGCTGTGGGTCTCGGTCTATGTCCTCGTTTGCTTTTAATCCAGATCCCCACTTCCTCGAACGAATGGTCCATTTTCCTTCTCACTCCTTTCACGCGCCAAAGCGAATTGTCTCCTCACATTCTCCCCCATCCTCTGATTCACAATTGTCCTGGAACGAAAAAATAAAAATAAATAGATGAAAAATAAAAACAAACATCCGTTAAGAATTCGCAGCAATTCCTCATCAGACATTTCAATTATTCCAGGGGGAGGTTTATGGGACAAATGCAATCAGTCGTAAATTTCTTTTTTCTTAGGTACGGGTAATGGGCTCGCGCGCACTGGGAGGTGATGCTGATGGAGATGTTGGCCTTTTTTTTTTTTGATAATTATATTTTTTAAGGATTTTATGTGACACGCAGCAATCGTCAACTCTTCATCGTCACGGTCTAATTGTACTGGAGGCAACTGAAACCTCGGTTTGAGTCCTCGACGTGTCTTCTACTCTCCTTTCCCCGGGTGCCATCCACTCTCCAACGAAATTATCGTTTTCTAGAGGAATACTATGGGTGAAATAGGGTTTCGGTTGCGATTGAATTGTTTATGACTGACTTTTATTCAACAACTTTGCCTGCTATTGTTTCAAATGGTTTTTTTTTATTTTTTCAACCTTTTTTACAAGCGTACCATCAAATTTATACATCAGTTCTTGGAGAAAAGTAAATCAATAAACTTTTGTGGAATTAAGCAGTGATTATTTGAGATTGCGTTGAAGATATTTTTACGATTTCACGAATTACGGTGAATTTCAGTTAAAGGGAATTCTCCTGGAAGACGAATTCATTTTCTTAGCTAAAATTTTTTTGATTTTTCAATCTTTCCTCATTTTTATTCGCCCTAAGAATTATCGTAATGAAATTGAATTTTTATAATTTATAATTACGATTAAATAATGAATTCCAAATTTGAATAATCCTCGAGATTTCACTGTAACTGAGATTAAAAAAATAGTAAAAAAAAATGAGAGGATTTATTTCTTGAATGATTAATGAATAATCGTGAGAGCCAATATTACATAAAATAATAATTCATCCCATTTTCTATTCAGAATTGAGTAAAAAATAATATTTGTTATCTTCGGTGCACGCAGGATGGGAAATGATCCTAAACTTTCACCGGTGCACAATTTAGACGCCCTCAAACTGGTTTTATCATCTCAAGAGAAAAATTAAACTCGATTCTAATGGTGAGGGAGGTGAGGAGGAGGCAATGATTGTTGATCACTTGCAATTGATACACCTGAGGATTGAGGTAGGTCACCGCGTGCTCGCACGTATTCTCTCGTCATCCGCAAGATCTTCTCGCTGTTATTTTCTTCCTCTGGTGGTTTTTTTTTTTAAAACCGGTGGAGTTTAATCGTTCGACTTTCACGTGTAAATTCATTTTCTCTGTCGAGTGCACTCTCCAGTTTTATCGGTTGTTATTTTTTTCCAAGGGAAACTGGAGATCTCCGAGGTATTAACATGATTCCGTTTCGCTATTTTCCAAGAGTTTTATGGATCCTCTTATTTAAAAATACTCATCGCTTTTTTTCACATTCTTTCTTTGAAGAGCCAAAACGGTGATGCAGTTCCTGGAATTTTATTTCAACTGCATTAATTATTGTTTAATTACGAATTTATTCAGTTTTTGTTTATTTTTTATTTAAATTGTCGAGATTAGGTTGAGTGCAGCGGTAAATTATGAAAAATAAAAGAATAATTCAAAATAAATTTTGAATTTAAATCTGGGAAGAGGATTTGAGAGGGGGTAATAGGGGTAATAGGAATGTGAGAGATTTGGAGAATTAGTAATTAGTAGGAATTATTTTTTTGTACAGTAATCAGGCCGCAAGTACCTGAAGAAAACTAAAACATCCGGGAGAAATGAAATTTCAAAGAATCTTGGAAAACACTTTCGGTATGCACTTTGAACTCAATCCACCTACCCACTCCTCAAATTAACTCATTATTAATATAAAAAAACACCGCCCATTCACTTCCGGGAAAGTTTTTCTACTCCAGAGTCACTTGGTCAGTAAATTTGGTGATTAAATGGCGTTAATTTTGAAAATATCTCCAGAAATAAAAATCCCAAGAAAAAAATAATGGACTTTCCAATATTCTTTAGATTTAAATAATTTTATTCTCAGATGAAAAAGTGAAAAATTTAAATCGATGAAACAATAACAAAGTACTAAAACCGTAAGTCCCAAAAAAATGGTATGAAATTGAAAAATCAATTTAGATTCTGTCGATTTTTTTTATTGAAATCGGGTTCAAACCGATTCAATTGAAAATTCATATAAAATTCCCTAACGAATTAAAAATTGTTTAAAAAAATTAAAGACTTGGCCGAGTGTATGGGGGGCGTCCGCTCCAGCATTTTATCACCAAAGAGAATCATTAAAGAACTAGTGCAAACAAAGAGAGGAATCGATAGCAGTAGATCACGACCCTCTCACCGTACTTTTTTTTCAGCTCTCTTGACCGAGAAATTGTGCCGATTGTTCGTCATTTCCAGGACAAAAGTATCATTTCCCGAGGCCAGAGTAAAAGAAATCCGGATCGATTCCACCAATTGCTCGATCCCAATAGATGATAATCGAGTGTAGTACGGAAAAATGAAATTTTACGATGGTTGGGATATTTACAGCTCACCCCATCAGCGGGGTAGTTATAAAAATAGTGTCCAATGTTTGTGGTTGGTAAGGGGGTCAGAGCATCATGATTACAGCAAAAACTCATCGAATATGAAGGAAGGGAACGACGAGTAAATGTGCATCAAACAGGCGCAAATGCTACTTTCATTGTCGGTCACTCCACTCACTCTGACCATCTCCACGGAATCGTTTCCACCACTGGGTGAAGTGTTTTTTCCACTTTGAATGATTGTTGAACATAAAGAGTGTGTGAAAATAAAGAGATGAGGATAACAACGAGAGAAAAACTTTCTAGCGAAATTCAGGTGTGTTGACCCGGTTCCACTGCTCCGTATTCATCCTCCCGACCTCAAGTCGGAAAAAAAAAAATACATTTCAGATTATACATCGATGGACAAATTTATTCATCATTTTTAAACAATTTTTTTCGGTAAAACGTCAGTGAGCAAGAGGGAAAGGGTAATGAGGGTTTTTTTCAGGTGCGTTTTCACGAAATATCTGAGGATCTGGGAGGGATAGCGAAATTTTTGTAATAACCTTTTTTTGAATTCTCATTCTCCTCTACAAAAGTTGTTTCGATGAAAATTTTGTTATCTCGCTTGGATACAGAGATATCCCTTGAAAACTGAATTAAGAGACGAATCGAATCGTGAGGCTTTATCTCTTCGTTACTCACATGAGAAAATTCTTTGTTTTCCATAGATAATTGAATAATTAAAATGTTGGTGATAAATGAAATAAATGTTTGGTGGCAATTTCTATTTTTGTTTGTTAAGACGTCCGAAAAATGTGAAAATCACGTGACATCTTTCGCAACAAAAAGAAAGAGAATGAAAACGTCTGACGGAACAAAATGTCTCTTGCGCATCTGATGATTGATGCCACCTGGACAATTGGAGTGAGCAACGATTAAAGTGAATTATGTTACTCGCGTTAGATTTTCACGCTTTTTAAAAAATCTCATCACGAGGCGGTGACAATAAGACCGGGGAACCCCCAGTGAAACGGTTTAGTCGACGAATTGACCGAACAGTAGAAAGACGTGTTTTCAAATGAGTTAAAGTTCGATCGCACTATGGCGAATAAGATCGTCAGGATATTGTGTCTAATTATGATAATGACAGGAGCAACCGCTGAATCATCAACATGGGGTCACAATCCCCCAGTGAGTGAGGACGTGAGAGAGTTGGAAATAACGACGTCATCCCCATCGTCGTCGGTCATTATCACTTCAACATCATCATCATCAACATCCATCCCCACATCATCATCATTAACATCATCAACATCATCAACATCATCACCATCATCAACAGCATCGACATTATCGACATCGCAGATGCCTGAAGCCCCTGCAAAGGATCAATCCCTGAAAGCATCGGACAAGACGTTCAACCCGAGTGTCTACCTCGGTGAGATAAAGGAGATCGAGTCTGAACCACGAATATCGACATCAGTTCCCTTCAACAACGTTCAACACGTTCGATTCGAGGGATCTATCGGCGTAGATGGCGACACCGGAGCGATCTATCGACCGCTCGATCCTCATAGCCACCATACCGATCATCGGCAAGTGGATTATCGTTCGCCAGCTTACGCCGAGGGTTATATCACCGTGGAGATGCCTGCAAAACCGGTGTATTACACGTCCGAAGAGCCCGAGCACTACATTAATGTTGAGGTTCATTCGCCTCATCAGCATCTTTCAGGTGTTCACGAAATTCACGCTCATCATCTGCCAGGAGTTCCCGAAGTTCACACTCATCATCATGATTCAGGGATTCAGGAGGTTCAACCTCATCATCATGTTTCAGGGGTTCACGAGGTTCACGAGATTCACACACATCATCTACCAGGTGTTCCCGAAGTTCACACGCATCATCATGGTTCAGGGATTCAGGAGGCTCATCCCCATCACCACGTTTCAGGGATTCATGAGATTCACACACATCATCTTCCAGTACATCAGAATATTCACTCACATCGTCATGTTCAGGGGGTGCAGGCCGTTCATCCTCTTCATCTCTCGGAGGTGCCGAAAGTTTCGGCTCCTCTGCATTTTTCAGGGGCTCAGACTGCTCTGCCCCATTCACATGATCATCAACATCAGACAACGTACGAATTCGAACCGATTCACTATCAACATATATCCCCGTCTAATTACTATCATTACACCAGTCAGCTTCCGCCTGTCAGACCGGAAGTGACCCTGAGTAAACCGGATACGCAATTGCTTTACCTCCACTCACATCGGGAAACTCAATTGATGAAGACTCGAAAGTCTCCGTACAAGTATTATCAGCCGAACGATGACATTCCGATTCATTACATCGAACAAGGACACGCTTTCCCCACCCAGCAGACACGGTGAGCTCAGTGGGTGGAGATTATTATTTTATTACGCCACGTGAATTTATTTATTATTTTATTATTTATTTATCCATTGGAGAACGGTCGTCTTCCTGTCCCGAATTAATTTCCAGATTTAGAGGGAAAAATCCGGGAATTTTTCCCGATAAATTGTGATTATTGAAAATCAGGAATATTTAAGGCGTTGGAAATTCGAATGGCGATTAATTATTCGGTGTGATTAATTGGGTAAAAAAAAATTGTCATCGGAATATTTTTTTTCCAAATTTTCAAAAAATTTCTGGAAAACCTTTCAGATTTTTTTTTTTAACAAAAAAAAATCGGGAAACCGATCAATTGTATTTTTAGGAAATGTTTTGAAAAATTTTTCAAAAATTTGTTTCGTAAATTTTTTTTTACCGGAAACTTTTCAGAGTTTCACCCTGGAAGAAGTTGATACATCTGATCGGGGCTTTTCTGCCGTTTGGACTTCTTCTCGCGGCCCTCAGGCCGAATGTAAGGATCGATAATAATACAACGTGAGTTAAGGAGGAAAATATTCTCTTCGTCCACTGACACATACGCTTTTTAATATTCGACACATGTCCCCGATACAGACAGCCAAACATCGTCCTCTCGAAGTGGAGAGGTGTTGACCTGCCACTGGAGCACAAGCAAGACGTGGATGACATCTGCGAGGATAGATCACTCTGCGAAATTATTCTCAGCGGATCCGCAGAGGATGCCGAGCTCATCCCGAATATCCTCTGGAATTTCGCTGTCAAGTAAGAAGAATCCCCTAAAAAATTCATAAATTGAATAAACCCTCGTACCCAAAACGACTTTTCCCAAAATTATTTTCATTACACCTAAAGAAAGGTGGAGTGATACTTTTTTTTATCGAGACCAGTCATCTGGAACTTGATGATTCAATTAAGATCAGGTGATTCCCTCAGAGTCCCGTAAATCATTTTGTTTCAAGGTCAACGGATGCAGAGACCCGGGAAAACGGTCTCGAGGAGATATTCACTGGTGTGAAGAAAAAAGACTGCAGCTCGATAAGATGTTGAATTTCGCCGAATCCCTGAAGACATTTCTAATTCTCACTCTTCCCTGGAGACCAAACCAATGGCTGAGAGCGTGAGAAAGTACCATCTGGGAATGAAACTAAAAAGTGAAAGAAGTGGAGGAAAAAAAAGGGAAACCGAGAGCTACTAGATCTGGAGGACCCTTTTGCATCATTCATTTTTTCCATTCATTTTATCCATTTTCATTCCACTTCTGTCTCACTCTTTTCACCTTATTCGTCCAACATCGAGGTACATACTAGTGAAAGTAGTTGGAAGTGGGTCAGACTTGTGTGCCAGTGGTGCCTTGAGAATTTCGTTCTCACTAGCCGAATGCCACACGATTATACCATCTTCAACGTGACCTCCCAACGAGATGTGAGACACCGGAAGCCAACACCTTCCTGCACCAACCATTCAAAATTCCTTTAGCCAACATTATTTATTGTACATTTATTATAAAAAAAATTGATAGATTTCTATTTCAAGCAAGTATTATATTGTATTCGTTCAATGGAAATTCAGGTGACAATTTTACTCACTGAATGCCAATTTTTTACGGTTTTCTTACGTTTTTATTATTTATTGTTCGTGTATTCTCAATTATTATTGCCGTTGGGAATGATTATATTTTAGGATTAATGAGGTAATTGGGAAATGGGAGAGTACAACTATTGGCCAGCTACCTGCGCTGGAAAAATAATGTATTTTGATCGTATATCATCGTGATAACTGAAAGACAGGGGAGCATGTTGGAAAGCGTTGCAAAGTCCCACTTTGGAGATAAGTGAAAAAGGAAGAATTTGAGAGATACGAGAAAAAAAAAATTGGAGTTATCGCTTGACCACGAACCGGTCCAATGAGATTAGTCCAGTGCAAGCTGAATTCCTGACGAGTTTTCCTTTGGTTTCACTCGAGTTTCAATAGTGTTTTCATTGGAGATGATTTTAAACTCACGGCTTTCGGTGAGAGTGATTCATGGAAGTTTAATGGAACGATACATCATCAATCACTTGGCATAATTTTGCTTTTGATGGCACACGGGAATTTATTTCCAAATTATCAGCGAGAAGAGCGCAATTCGGATAATGTCGGATGCTTCATTTGCCATAGCAGTTCATAAATTAGAAACTCAGTGAAGTATTCTGTTGCGTGCGGTGAGATAACTCTAAAAGGAATTCCACACATACATTAACTTCTCTCTTCTCGATGTTGACAAAGTCCAGCTCGACAGTAACTCCATTAAAAATCAGCATTAACGGTTCAATTGCGATGTGTGGAACCGAAGAGACAGCGGCTTCAGGAAATAAACCACTGAAAATCCTCACCAATAAAATAATCAAAATGACAACAACTCTCCATGAGCAGTCCTGATTAAAAAAATTCAAGAGCTCAAGGTAAAATTAAACTTTTTCAAAATGAAGTTAATGAATAATTTGTGCTAAGTAAGACATTTTATTGTAATTATTTTTTTTATTTACTTTTGATCTGTTAAATCAGTTAGTAATGTCATGTTGAGAAAGTTAATGCAATAAAAATGTGAAAATGGGGATAGAATTAAAGATATTTGATGTTAAGTCGGGTTTATTGAAATCAGAGGAAAATGTTGCTGTATTGGTTCCGTGATAGAGTCATAAACTATTAAAGTGTTAATGATGAGAGAATTTTATGGCTCGTACAGATGTAAAATTCTAAAACAAGCATTAAGAAAAATAAAGTATTCTCCTAAGTGTTCATTATATTTGCCTTCTTCATTATATTTATTTTATCGAAATAATTTATTAACAATTCAAAACAAATTCAGGAATTAATGCGTTATCATCCCGGGTAAAAAAAATTATAATCGGAATATTTTTTCCAAATTTTTTAAAAATTTAGAAAAAATATTCCGATTACAATTTTTTTTTACCCGGAATTCCAAACAGAAAACAGTTTATAAATAAAATTTCCAGGACTATTAATTAATTATCATGGACAATGAATAATAAAATTCCGGAATATTGCTCCTAATAATTGAAAAATATTGCAAAGAGCGGTTGGTATTGGAGAAATTAAAAGAATATTTGCAAATAAATTCTGCCATAACTTATTTCGTTGACATTATGCATAAGAAAAATCACCATTCAATGGGTAGAATGTCCTCACCATCCCACGCACGTCTCTAATGGCTCACGAAGGACATAAACACCTTTTGTCAAGCTATTGTTCAATTCCCAAGAAGTCGCTGGCGGTTTCCTTGACACATCGAGCATCCACCCGCTTCTTCAAGCTTTCAATTTTATTTTCTCTGCTATGCGAAACGCCTTCAGGAAGATTATGCTATCGATCAATAAATCAAGACTCTTTTGGGGCGAATTCTCTATCGTAAGTGACGAGATAGTGGATAAGTGGTTACATATGTAATCTAGGAATTAAAAGTGCCACGGAAATGGTAGCACATGTAATTCTGACGCAACTCATTACGTCAACGAGCCCTACAAGGCCTTCTGAGAAGTCGTCAACCTTCCTGACAAGATTCCCTCAGCCAGAATATTTTATACTGGATTCTGGTATTTTTTATGATGGTTTATCCCATTAATCCATCATAAAATCGTATAAAAAACGTTTTAATTGATAAATGAAATGACTCATGCGTGTTGGGAATTAGAATGGAAATTCTAACAATTATTTATTAACAAATCATTTAATTTCGTGAATATTATAGTCATTATCAATCATCATTATCAATCATCATATCAAAATATTATCAATTATTATAATTATCAGTTATCAACACGAATAATTGGATTCAATGAAAAAATAAATAAGTACACAATTAATTAACGCGGTATTATAAAATAAAATGAAATAGCTATCGGTTTAGAAATAATTCTCGCCATTGGAAATAAAATGGTGGAGTGACGAAGTGAAATTGAAATATGGAATGGCGAAAAAGGGTCGGTACATCCTCAATCATCTGATAAAAATCACTAATAAAAAATGAATTATCGGAGATGACAACTCGTTGGGATTAGCAAGCGGGAATAATCTTCACCTCGTTCTTGCTTTTGACTCACTCGCATTTCTCGAGTGAAACCAGAAGAGGACCCCATCCCTCGACCCGAATCCCATGTCTTCCGGCGATATAAAAAATTTGATGCTCTCATTTAAAAAATATGATTGTATTTATCTTCGCATTAGGCGGTAATTCCTCGAGATCGGATCGACTGCAATTTTTGTCTGTCCCTTCACCAGGAATTTTTTTTTTCTCGATGTCATTTACATTTTTGGAATTTTACGCATCTCAATATCGGGGGAATTCCACTCAGTTCTCACTTTTTTAATAGTCAAATAAAAACACGTCTTCAGGAATATCTGTCTGTCCGGGTAAAAAAAAATTGTAATCGGAATATTTTTTCCAATTTTCAAAAAATTTCTGGAAAAATTTTCAGAAAATTTTTCTTTTGAAATAAATTTTGAAAAAATCAGGAAACAAAACAATTGTATTTTTGGGAAATGTTTTGAAAAATTTTTCAAAACCTTTCCAAGAAATAAAATTATTTTATTTTCCGTTTTTTTTTTGCTTCATAAAAAAATTTTTCTGAAAAGTTTTCCAGAAATTTTTTGAAAATTCGAAATAAAAAATTCTGATTACAATTTTTTTTACCCTGGTGAGTGACGCGGGAATATATTCACTGAAATCTTATCTCAGAACCTTGAGGTGAGCTCGACGTATCTCGTTTTATCGCTTTGTGTTCGTATTGTGAATGACACGTGCCAACTTCTAATGTTGCTCTCAATGGTTCAAGATAAATTTAATTGTTGAATATTTATATACAAAACGAGTTGAAGTAGTTGAAAATCATTAACGATTGAATTCTCGATGATTTGTAGAAGTGGATTGGCCGAATTGTATTTTTCCGTTGGCGAATAGTCCACCGATCATTTATTATTTATTTCGATTTATTTTTTAACAAATCAAAACTCATTCTTCTAACGAAGTAACTAATTACCCCGTTGAAACAACTGCACCACCGTGACAAAGAGAATTAGTTGCAATTCCAGAAACAACAAAAAACCACAACATTCACCCACTGATCTGATTCGCTCAACGATCTGTTAATGATGATCGCGTTTTCTTTCGTCGAAATGAAAACGCTCTCTACACTTTTTTGCCCAGCGGCATTCCCCATTCTTTTCTTCTGCTCGTTAATCCGAGAGACGAAAAAATGGAGGTAAAAAATTGGCAAAAATACCGCGCGATCTCAAGCAGAGCGTGATATTTGACTAAAATCATTTCTCATCTTTCAGTTTCATTTTCTCAACTCCAAACAATCTCCCGATCCCATTTTCCGACCCAGAAAAATTCTATTGAACTGAAAAAACTAAAAATACTGCCGATTTCTAACCGATTTATTACCGATCTCCTACCAATCGAGTCCCAGAAGCTTCGGATTGCTTTAAAAAAATCGGCACATTGCAGTTAATCAATAAATAATTTCCACTGATATCGAAAATCGGCATCGACATAACGGCACTCCGAATGCTCTCACTTTTTCCAAAGCTTTCTTATTCTCATCCGCCAAACCCCAAAGATAAACCCCATCCATAACCATGGCATTATCATTAAAAAAAAATTCTGACAATAGGGCCTCCGGCAATCGGCGAATACCGCGATCGGTCTTCTCATATCGCCGGCAATCATCAGGTCACCAACATCACAAGGCGCATCGGTACGAAAATTCAAAACTTTCACTTTAAGGTCCTTGAACTTCTCCTGCCAAACAGGTGTGTCTCGCACGCGCCACGTCTCCGACAAGTGAACTTGATACATCCGATGCAAACTGCAATCTAAATATCCCGATAAGATCTCTTTGCATCCCCCCTACCTCCTCCCACCCCCCTAAATCAACCACACGAGGAAATGACTGTACCTGAATTATCGAATTAGCGTGTGCCTGAACTTTCCCATTAATCAGATCAGAGAAATCGGCTTGAACCCTGGACTCAGCTAATTTTATGATTAAATCCATCACTTCCTCCCGCAATTATCGCACTTCCAATTCCTCAAATTTTCGACTCGCCAATTATAAATAATAAATTTAATTATAACAGAGCTAACCGAACCCATTCATTAATTCCCATAAAATGTCCAAATAAACCGATTTTCAATTAAAACAAAAGTTTTAGAACAACAATTAAAAAAAATGATAGGGTATTTCATAAATGTTATGTACATCACATCATTGTAATGACATGATAAATAAATCCATAAAATTTTCTACTCTCCAATTTTCATAATGGAAAAATATGACTACTCAATGTGAGAAAAAAAAATTGAGCGATAAATTGGCGAGAATCCGCAGAGCACCGGAAAAAAAAAATACTCATGTGCTGCAGACACTCCGGCACCATGTCTGACCCAGGACATTCACCCACCTGTCCCCCCTTTCCCCGTTGCGAATTTTTTTCCACGGGTGAACACAAAACCTGACAATGCATTGACAATAAATCAGACAATTCCGCGAATGACCGTGAAATAACTAGAGCCAGGTTGACATAAGCCGCCACATGACATCACATTGTCCCGGTGAAATGAAAAAAGAATAAAAAAAAAGGAAAAGAAAAACAGTACTGCAGGTGTAACGGTCCCCATTGTTCATTTATTATACAATAATAAAAATGTTCAACGAATTCATTGGCGAGCCCCCGTATTGTTGAATATCCCGGGTGATATCGGTGGAGGACAATCCAGCAAGACAACTCGCGCGTTGGGAGGCCTCAGCAAGACAGCAAAGTGGGTAAAGTGGGTCAGTGAGAAATCCACTGGTTCATGTCTCGATTGGTGTGTGTGAGACATGAGAAGTCACCAGCAGTACCGGGTAACCGTCAGTTGTACGAGACTTCTCCGGGAGTCAACAGGTGCCTTCTACCTTCCAAAAATTTTCACAATCACCAGAGTATAAATCACGTGCCATGATCGCCCACTCCATCACTGAGGACAATAATTAAATCGATTAATTAAAAATAATCAATCACCAGAGGAATTAACGGAAATTAATAGCGACATGATGTTCAAGGTAATTGTATGAGGAATCGAAATGTGATACTTGTTATACGAGATGTATGTGGAGAACCGGCGGATGAGCTTTGGCTTTGGATTGATGTTAATTGCGCGATTGCCTCGGGGAAATTATGTAGAGCGGAAATTGTGTGAAAATGTGCGTGATTTTGTTATGGCGATGGGTTTATTTGTCGAGGGCTTTCATTTCGATGGGAGTATGAAGTCGAATCGATGGGGTGGATCGATTTTTTGGGATCACTTTTGGGTGAATCGTTTTAGGAGAGCTCGAGGAATTATTGGTGATTAATTGGAGCGAATGATGAAAGTGCGGGAGAATTGCCATGATTTTATTTTAATGTGGATAAGACCACTGGTTCGCCGGTTTATGTCCATTGGGGATGATCTGGTGGTAGAAAGTAAACCGACCAGCTGGAGGATTCCCCGGGTTTTCTAATGTCCGTTGGAACCCAATCGTTCATAAATAATCCATGCAAAAACTATCATTTTTCGAATAAAAAAATACGCACTTTGTGCATCAAGGGGGCCATTAAATTTCTCCGAGATCATCAGTGTGATTCAGCTATTTTATACTTCATTCATGGTTTTATTATCCTCGTATTTCTTCCTCATTGCACATTGTAATTGAATGAGGATAATCATAAATGAGAAAATACCTGTGGAGTCAACGCGATTTCGAAAAGTTTAATCGTGTCGCTGTCTCTTTATAATTTGAATAAACTAGTTCTCTATTTCTCCGATTCGAAAATTCAACATTGGAAAAATTCAATTCAATTCAACATTTCCGGTAGACATTCCTTGAGATTTTTTTTATTCGAAATATTCCGAAAATATTTGAAATTAGAGTAATGTTTCGAGATAAATTGAATTTTAAAGTTTTATTAAATACCGATTGATCAAAAAAATTATTAATTCTAAAAGGAAATATTGTGCAACAGCGAAAAGAAAAATTAATTAATTGCTTCCGTTTGCAAACGGTAGTTTTCAAGATGGACAGATTACTCGAATAAAATTAATTCAACCTATCTCACTTTTTATGTCATAATTTTTTTTATGTAATTCTTGTGTACTCTTAGCGGTATCTATGATGGACTGTTAAACGTTTCCGGATTTCATCTTTTGACTGGTGATCGGGACTTTCTTCACGTTTTTCTCTGTCACTGATATATTTCGACACCTTAATGACAGACGAGGGTCTCCCCGTTGAAAATTCATATGATTTACGCTTGTCGATCTAACGGCCGAATTATCCGTCATCGTTAATAATTTTTGATTGACTGATTGTGACCGGTATAATTATCAACATAACATTAATATCCGGGGCGATCCCAGAAATTCTCAGCATTTGAGTGCCGGTGATTAATTTTATAAATTCAAGAAATCTCGGTAAATAGAATATAAACATTTTTTTCATATGATAAAGATTCTTTGATTAAAGTGAATACAACTTATTTATTTTAGTATTGATTCATTGGTATTGATTGGCTAAATTAATAACCGATATTTTATAAATCTTTTTTTATAATTTCAATTTCAATTTTCAATTGAAATTAGAGTAGACTCTGCCCGTCAGTAATTTTCTTGAATGAATCTTTTCGACTCTCCACTTCCGATGCTTACAAAAAAAAAATTAAAGAACGTATCGACTTCTCCATGCATATGCATTCAATCGAAAGTATGCAAATTGCCGAAGCCATTCACGTATAACCGCCTAATTATCATAGAAACTCGACCGGAAAGGAAAGTCCGAAACTTCACCTTGAGCCATTTTTTCCAGGCGATGTTGTTGCTGGCCACGTGCCTGGTGATTCGAGGGGAGGTACCAAAGCCAAGTTACGCGAGAACGATGTTAAAAGTTTCAAGGAGTCTCCCAGGTGAGACCCAAGAGTTGAAGGTGCGAACGAGTGAAGGAAACGTGGCGACGCTGATAGTGAAAAGACGAGAAAAATCGGGGAATTTGAGTCCTTCAAGGCCGGAGAACACGAAGAACACGGAGAACACGTCGAAGACGGAGCCACCCAGGAACGAGCCGACGTTCTTCAGATTGAGTTCCCAGTCGTCGGAACGCGACACCTGGCGGCCCTTGGGAGAGACTCCCACAAAGCCCCAGGAGCCGACGACGGAGTCCTACCTGAGCTGGAAGCCCCTGCCCCCGGACACCACCAGGGCGACCACCGAAGAACGAACCAACTACGGCCTCGTCTTCGCCAGGCACTTTCAGGAACGCGATGACCGTACCCTCGAGCCCCAGGATCAACGGAGAACCTATACTGTTCTTCCGCACTCAAGGCCACCCACACGCACAAATATAGGTGCGAACCTGGGGAAAAATCGGGGTGGAAAGAACGTCCCTCCTGAGGTGACCGTTCGATCCGAGATCAACGTCAAAAGCTTCCCCGACAGGACCCCCATGTCCATCGACGCCAACGGCACCCCCGTCATCACTGGTAAACGCGTCCCAGACGAACCCATCGATCAAATCCAAATCTGGAGGAACGCCCGCGTCATAAACAACAAATTAGTTCCAGACGCCGTCGCGAGTGACGCAACCAGCGTCGGTGACCCCGGCACCGAGAGGCGCCGGTTCGAGAGATTCTTTCAGGATGTAAATAGAAGGTGAGACTGTACTTGTGGGTAAACGGGATTTCTCTTCATTGGAATGACATCGAGATGGTCAGAAAAATCGGATATGAAAATTTAGTCGAGTGGATTTCTATCTGAGATGAAAAATTCAGGAGAGAACGGTTTTTTTTTAGAACGGTCAATGGACAATATGGAATGAATACAGAGAAATCTATTGATGTTAATGGATTTGATATTGAGATTTTACCTTATGCTGTTGGAAACTGGATATTTATTGACGATGTCCGAGTACTTCGATTACCCATTTCTATTCAAATTTCAATAAAAAAATGTAGTCATTTGTTTCTAAATTTTATTAAAGATTTATTTATATCTTCAAAGGTCTTCCAAGAGTTTGAAGATTGTCAATTAATTAATCAGGAGTAATAGAAAAAAATGGTTTTAATGATTCTTCGTGAAATTTCATTCGACCGAACAAGTAAATGTACTGGGAATCCCCGAAATTGCTAGATCTATGACAGCTCGACGATCCAATGAAGAGAAGCCCTAAATCCCGAAATAACCACAAATAACGAAGACAGACAGACAGACGTAAACCCTTATTTTAAACACAGCACCCACCAACAGGCGTTAACCCCGGAACTCTGGCTTCGCAGGTACGGCCGAAATTTCGACGATGATGGGCCAAACGTCTACTACGAGTGGGATCCAAAGACCCACCGAAACGTTCTCCTGAATGCTGATATCTACGAAACGGGCAACGAGCCGTACCGCTCAAACATCCAAAAGCGAATGCTTCATCCTGACTCCCCACAGACCTATCCACCCTCTCAGATGTACACACCAGAGAGTCAAAAGATAGCGCCTTTGACTCTAAAACCAGGTGCAAGAACGCCAGTTCTTCAGTACGCGCACCCTGAGCTCGGTGTCCAGCCCGCAAAGATCTTGAAGATCGAGAAGAAGCGACCGGACAATTTTCCGGAGAATCAGAACTCCTTCACGGAGCAGAGACACAAGAAGAAGTACGTGCTGAACGACAAGAACGTCATCGACTCGTACAGCGCGAAGAATTATTATCCAAATCAGCACTTCTACGGATTGAAGCGGCCGTCGGAGCCTCCGTTCTGGGTGAAGATATCGGAGAACCTGAGGAATCAGTTCTCAACGGGAGTTGAGAAGGTCTCGCAGTTCACGAAACCGGTGTTTGATCCTCTGGTGGAGGCGACCCAGAAGATATCGCAGAATTTGGGGCTGTCCAGGGGTCAGGAGGCCCAGGAGAAAATTGGAACGGTTGCAGGAGCGTCGATGCTCATTCCAGCTCTGGGACTCGTGGCGTCTGGGGCTGCCCTCGGGATCGGTGCTGTGGCTGTTGGGCGATTCCTCGACGTCGAGGTAGGGAAGAGGTCGAATGATGAGAATAACGAAGAGCTGGAGAATGAGAGAGCTCTACAAGCGGTGGCTGATGAACAAGCTGGAGGGAAAGTCACGGGTGAGAGGTTGAAGAGGAGTTTGGATGATCCTAATCTTTTTCCTCTACCTCTGGAGGAGCAGGACGACAGGAGCAGGAGATTGAGGAGAACTGGAGACGATCTGGGCGAGTTTATCGAGGTTGATGTCCCTCAGAATGATGTTCTTCTTCTTTTTGAGGAGAACAGCATTCTGGAGAATGAGGGCGAGACCAGGAGTCGCAGGAGTCTTGATAGGAATCTCGAGGATGCCCTCCAGAATCTGGAGAACGCAGAAATCTCTGAGGTGGCACATGTCAGTGGAGACTGGACACATACACCCTGCTCTAAGAGAATATTCTGCGACGCCATGATTCAACAAGGAGATGACGCACATATCCTCATGGAAAAGAAGATGGACTCACTTCTTCGTTCGTAAGTTTTACCCGCGAGAAAATAGTTTTTTGAATATATTAGTATTATACGTGAGAATTTAATGTAGAGACTTGAATTTCAAGACTCAAATTGAGATTTTTTGGGACAAAGTTGCAAATGAAGTTTTTACAGAGTCTCAATGAGTATTTTCAAATCTCTAGTCTAGATTGTTTTTGGTATAGCATCTACGAGGCAGTTATTTTTCCCACGTGAATCATGAATAGTCATTGCCGGTGGTAAATGATTCTGGAATGATGCAGCGGTTATTCGTACCCTCTAATCCATCAATATAAAAGTCTGAGAGAAACCCTCGACTCGTTTCGCGTAAACAATACGACTTTGATTATTCCTAATTCTCCGAATGAATGGCAGTGTCCGAATGAATATTTTTCCGGTGTTTTTCATCGGTGTGGGTTACTGAATTGACTCTACCACACACGGATAACTTTCTTCTTCTGCTTTCGCCCGCACACCGCACGTCCCACTGACTGATTCAACTTTTACCTCTTAACACAGTTTCACTGCGTGTTGATGAATGATTGGGAAGGGGAAACCAAGAATTTTTAAACCAATTCGACCTTTCACTGTTGGTGGTCATGAATTTTTGGGGATTTAGGCGGTAATTGCGCGGGTTATGTCAGATTTTAACGCGGAGAAAAAAATTCTCACTATTCAAACCGAGACAACTCAATACATTAAATATCTGCATAAAATTCTCATTTAAATTCTTTTCTCAAACAAATATCTTCTCGTAAATTTTCTCCGTGGGAACACATTTTTTTCTCACAGCATTAGCAATAATTAGAAATTATGATCGGTTTTCTACGTTTTAGGGAGAGTTTAATCTTTTTAATAAATTTGAAGAATAGGCTGAATTGACTGAATAAAATATTGATGTCAGTGCAATATGTTGCTATTAAATATTGCCGACATATTTCTAGCACTTACTTCATGACTTTTTACAGGATTCAGCCAGAGGCGGCAGCTCAGGTGTCGAGTCATTTCCACGAGGTAATGGACGCCGTCAGAAGACACGATTGTTCAAGATTTCTGTGCCCACAAGCACGACCCGCCAATGTCTTCTTCTAGACGACTTCTAGATCCCCAAGATTGTATCGTTACTGGAACACAAAGGGAGCATCATATTATTTTCTTGTGGATACATTAAATGTTCCGGGGAATCCCATCGATTTTTTTGAGATGTCAGCCCGGGAAAATTCCCGCACAAATTAGCGTAGTAACGCCAGACTGCAAAAAATGGGCACACGTTGCTTTTATATTGATATATGTTATTTTATTATTTAATCATTGTGAGAATGACTGGTACTTGTGTATTTATTTCATCCTCGGTTCACGTACAGAACTGAGGGATTTATTTCAATAATTTTTATTACGTCGGTATTAATTCACGCGTACGAGTGCTAACAGAATAGTTCAATACGAAATAAATGAATTTTTTTCTATCGAAAATCCGACGTTTGTATATTTTATTACCCAAAATTGTAATCGAAAATCCCATGCAATTAAATTTACAGAAATGTTTCCTGTGAAAATCTGTGGAATTTTTTACTTCAAATATTTATTGACACTCGATTTATCTCACTTTCAGCCTTGAAATATAATTTCTCAAATAATTTGGGAATTGAATGGATATTTTCCATTCGTATCCGCACAAAAATTAAAAAATCATCTCGTCGAATGCTGGGAGTGACTAAAATCGCGTTTCACCGGTCTCCAGCTATAGATTCCACTTGAATATCGATTACGCGTAATGAGAATAAATTTTAAGTGAGATTGCAGTTCTTGTTTGAGAAGAATTTGTCTATCAAAAATTCAGGCGTGCTGCCGGGCATGCGTGCTTTTTGCCGATTGTAAAATATCGGAGGGCGTCAGTCGATGAAGTTCAACGCAATGACGAAAACGGGAGGAAAATCGCGAGTGAATGTCCACGATAATGCGGGTAAAAAGGGCATTCTTCGGTTTTTCGGGATTTCGAGGAATTGATTTGCCTATTTTTTCTAGATTTCGTGTATTCGTACGGATGGAATCGCACGATGATGCACGCGATTGGGGGCTGGCCCGAGGAGAACGACAACATCATCGAGAGGAATCGAATATTTTTCAATGCTTTTGCATTAATACTTTTTGTTGTGCTACCGCAATCAGCGAGTTTGTCAGTGTTTTGGGGAGATCTCAATGCTGTTATCGAGTGTTTCTCTGTGACTCTGGCTATCAATCTTTCCCTCTTGAAACTTCTCTGGCTTGGAGTCCAACGACCCAGTAAATTCAACATTTTATTTTACTCCTGTCGTTTTTTTTATGATGTTAATTCGATAATTAATTACTAGCTGTTCAGAATTTGCTGGAAATGATGGCGCAAGATTGGTTGGAACCGAGAACACTCGAGGAAAATGAGGAAATGATGAAGATGACTAAAATTGTCAGATTAATCTCGTCTTTAAGTTTTTATGGGACGATCAGCCTCTTCGTGGCGTACGTTTCTGTGCAGGTGAATTATGATCGTCACCTTGCTATTTCCGATCGGTCATTAAATTTTAATTACTCAATTATTTCAGATACTCATAGGGTTTGAGATGAGGAATGATCCTAATGTCGATCCGAGACTATCAATTGGCTTTCTCTACACTAGTGTTTTTCCTTTCGATACTTCTTCCCTATCTATTTTCATTCCCATCTGGATATTCCAATTTTTCATGACATACGTGTCGATGGCTAGTTATTCATCACCTGACAGCTTCATAGGAATGTTTGTGTTCCATCAATGCGGTCAACTGAAATTGCTACGACGTAAATTAGAGACAATTGTTGATAAAGAAACGATTGAAAATCCCCAAAAATTCTGGAAAAAACTCGGAGAAATAGTCAAGAGGCACGAGCATCTCAATGAGTAAGAAAAAATAGGCTATTGCCTCCCCGATTTTTACCGTAAAATCTCTCATAAAAACAAATTATATTTTTTTAGACGAGCATCAGATATCGAGGAGAATTTCAATAAAGTTTTTCTCGCTGTTACACTCGTCAGTATTTTTGCAACTTGCACTCAAGGATTCGCGGTCATCACGGTGATCATTACTTGTAATTATTTATTCATGAAGAAGATTGAATTTTATCGTCACGATGGGGGTTTTCTGGTTGCTCTAGTTGCTGCGAGAGACTGATGGAAATTTTCCAGTCCTCAAGATGATATTTCTACTCGTCTTCACTACTTATGATTTGGGCCATTTTTTCGTCTACTGTCTCGCCGGAGACATTTTAATGACTGAGGTCAATGAACCACGTCTCAATTATAACAGCATTAATTTATAACAAATAAAATCTCATTTCAGAGCTCGAATTTTGGTGTCTCCCTGTACAACAGTCGATGGTATGATTTATCTCCGAAAGAAGCGAAATCAGTTCTCATCTTCACAAGTCGATGCATCATACCCCAGCAAATAACCGGAGGAAAATTCGTGGTTCTATCTCTTCCTCTCTTTGCAACAGTGAGAACAAATGAATGTTAGAAAAAATTATAAAGCCATGGAAATGATAGAGAGGAAATGTTTTTACAGGTTGTCAAGACATCAGCGAGTTTTCTATCAGTACTGCTTGCCATGAAGATGTAACTTGTCTCTTGGGTTGCACATACCAAGAATTTTTCGTAGCAAGATATTGTTGACAAATATTCTGACAGTTTCTGCTGTGAAACTGACTTTTTAGCACAATTCATCGATATTGCCATGTAATTAAATAAATCGTTTAATAGAGCAACTCGTGATTGGTGTTTATTAAAAATAATTAGATGGATAAATGGACAGTAGATTCACACATTTGGTATTCCATCTAGAATTCTATGATTGAATTTTTTTTTTTCACTCCGAGCGGAATTTTTGCGGTTACAAGTAAATTATTTTGATGTCGGCGGTGAGAAAAATTGTTTATTGTTTATAAGTACAGACGTGGCGTACTCGACGAGGAATTTTTATCTCTGCGCAAACACGTCCATCAACTGACGCACCCCACGTGAAAACCCCCACCTCCTTCGGGTCTTTAAGCAATTTGCATATTAAACGAGACGTTCAATTACGCCCATTTACCTCCAGCAATTACAAACAAGTACAATCCGAGGATATAGTTAGTGAAGTTTCTTTACATTTATTCCCCGATTTATATCGTGCGATATAATTCACGATGAGCTACACCCAAGGTACCCTACGTCAGTCCAGTTCAAATATTCCATGTCTACATTTTGATAACTATAACTTTTATTTACTAACTTTTTTCTAACCTGAGATAAATCGCTGGAATGTATTTTTATTGTTCATTGAACTTGTATTTTTTTATAAACGAATTTTATTTTTTCACGTGGTTGTGAAAAAAATTGTGTCTCTCGAACCTGAAATCCGGGATTCAGATTTTCAGTACGCGATCGGTTGGAACCGCTTCAGCCTTGACATCCTGGGTGCATGGCCCCGACGAAATTGCGGAATAATTCATAGAGAGAGATCACTAGCCTGTGCAGTCGCCATAATAGTGCTGATCTACCTGCCGCAATCAGCCAGCGTCATCGTCCACTGGGGCAACATGGATGCGGTGATCGAGTGCCTGTCGGTGAACGGTCCGGTATTCCTAGCCTTCGCCAAGCTACTTCTCTTCCGATACCGCCGAAAAGGTTCATAATTTCAGAATTATCTACCTCCCCATGTTGCTGTCACTCTTACAGAAATTGTGGATTCCGTGAAGAACTGAGAATGCTTATTGATTCCATGAGGGATGACTGGGAGACTCAGAGGAACCTCGAAGAGCGTCAGGTGATGCTGAAGACAGCGAAAATGAGTCGAGTGATATCACTTGGATCTGGAGTTATCACTCATACTTTATTCGTCGCCTATATTTTTTACAAGGTACCTGAACAAAGAGGAATTACACCCTTTTAACTTCACCATGTTGCAGATATATTTTGGAATAGAGGAGATGAAGCGCACGGACCTCGACCCCCGACTCGCAGTGGGTCTTCTTCATCCCGCGTGGCTTCCCTTCGACACCAAAAAACCCGAGTACTTCATACCCATGTGGATTGGCCAGTGCTTCTGCACTTTCTTTTCAATGACCATGTACGCAGTGTTCGACTGTATGATCTCAGCAATGGTCCTCCACATTTGCGGACAGCTATCAGTAATTGGCCTTTCCCTGAGGAATTTAGCCGACTCCGATGTCAGCAGTCCTCCGAATTTGTTCCGAAAAAAATTAATCCCGATCATCAAACGCCATGAGAAATTAATTGACTCGATCGCTGTCATCGAGAATTCTTTCAGTGCTATTCTTCTTCCTCAAATGCTCATCTGTACGTTCACCTTCTGTTTCCAAGGTTATGCACTAATTGCGGTGAGTCTAGGCCTCGAAACATGAAATTATAGGACACGCCGCACGGAAAGTGCAACAAGATGCCATCAATTCACTTTTTAAGCCACTGCGCACGGCTTCGCGCGGGTGACGCATGCGCGCAACGGATTATTCAGTGAATGTTGAATTTCAGAGTTTGCTGGGGTCGTCATCTGGAAGAATAACTTTTCTCGAGACAGCATTCTCCATCACATACGTCTTTTATACCGTCCTACACCTCTTCGTCTATTGTTACATCGGCGATCAACTTCTTGTGGAGGTAATAGAAGAATAATTTCAATTATTACGAAGCTCTTGCACTTCCTCCAATGATTCTTCTATCCAGAGCTCATCAATCAGCTACTCAGCTTACGACAGTCAATGGTTCAATCTCCCAGCACGTGATGCACGATTTCTGCTATTCGTGGGATACCGATCATATCGACCACTGAAAATCACCGCTGGAAAATACTGCGGGTTTTCGAGAAATCTATTCATCATCGTAAGCTGAGACTTTCCAATGATCAACTAATTATCGCCAGTCTGAGGCGATTAAAAGCTGTTCTAATTTTCAGGTCCTCAAGACCTCACTAGGGTATTTGTCAATGCTATTGACGGTCAAACAGCGGATGATTGATTAAAAATTTAATAATCGTCTCAAGAGGAACAAATGGGTCTATACAAAAAAATAAAATACGGAAATATTACAAATTGGCGTTATCCATCAGCACTTCCCTTTCAAGTTCATTCTCCCACAATCGAACCATCATTTGGACGATGAGAAATTAAAAAACCTTGAAGCTGTTGAAATTCACACAATACTTCCTCGAATTTTCAATTGATGAAACGATAAATTGCATTTGTAGTTCAATTTTTACTATAAATTTGAGACTAAAATCTCTATTGCAGAATTGCCAAAGCCCAATTGTTTTCTTTTTTCTCTCAGAAATTTAATAACCATTTTCAATTGAAATAAAATTTAGACTCCCATAATTGGAACGTCATGAAATTACTCTCAGAGCAATGCTCACGAACAATACCAGAGCCCCTCCCCCACTTGTCAATTCCAGAAGAAAATTTCCCTCTCTCCGACTTGTCTTTCTGTCGTCTCCATAATTAATGCGACGCGTAATAACTCGAGAACCATTAAATTAGTCTATAATCATACTCCTCGAAGTTTCTCCCTATCTTTCCGACGACTGCGTCTCCACCATGAGCTATAGTCGAGGTACCGTCCACCGCAAGGAATTAAAATATCTGACGACTGATATCTAGACTAAGTAATTGAACTATCCCATCAGACTTCAAGTACGCCATCGGCTGGAATCGCTTCAGTCTGGATGTCGTGGGTGCCTGGCCTAGACGTCACGCTGGAATTTTCCACAGAGAAAGATCTCTGCTGTCTGCATTAGGCATCCTAGTTCTCATATTCCTACCCCAATCAATCAGCGTAATCGTCCACTGGGAAAATATGGACGCTGTCATCGAGTGTCTGTCTGTCAATTGTCCAGTCTTTCTGGCATTAGCAAAACTCCTGTTTTTCCGTTATCGTCGAAAAGGTTCAAGACAATTTAAGATTGCAAATTAGAAATTCATACCAACGATTCAGTTACATCTGCAGACATTTCCATTTTAATTCCTTCCAGAAATCAGAATGTGTATTGATTTCATGAGTGACCAGTGGACGATCTCGAGAGCATCTGAAGAACGTGAAGTCATGATGAGTGCAGCGAGGACCAGTCGACTGATATCGATTGGATCTGGTGTGATCACCAATGCTTTATTCATGGCCTTCATCTTCTATCAGGTATTGATTAATATTGCGTCATCTTCTCATCAAAAACGAAACCAGGACGAAACAGGTCTTGTCGTTTTTCAATATTTCAGCTCTACGTTGGTACTGAAATAAAAAAACTCGATCCAACTCAATCAGTGGCTCTTCTGTACCCCGGATGGGTTCCATTTGACACCAGAAAAATCGAATACTTCATACCCATGTGGATCGCCCAGTGCATCACTACATTCCTCTCGATGACGATCTACGCTGTATTTGACTGCATGATCTCGACGATAATTCTTCACATATGCGGACAGTTATCCGTCCTGAAACTGGCGCTGAGTGGTATAGCTGACAGCGAAGATCCTCGACATCCTGAAAAATTCAACGAGAAGTTAGCTGTCATCGTCAAACACCACGAGCAATTGAATGGGTCAGTCTGTCACTGAATTCCATCATTGAAAATTATGAACTCTGATTTGTTCTTGTTTCTTCAGGTTGGTCGCGGTAATTGAGAATTCCTTCAATTCCATTCTTCTACCTCAAATGCTCGTCTGCACCATGACCTTCTGTTTCCAAGGTTTTGCGGTCTTCACGGTGAGTTTTGAAATGAGAAAATCTGTGATTCGAATTAACTAAGCCAGAAGTGAATCCAGAACCTGTTGGATCCCAACGCCGGGAAAATATCCTTCTTCCAAATGGCGTTCCCCATCACTTTCGTATTCTACACTGTCCTGCATCTGTTCATTTATTGCTACGTGGGAGATGAACTACTGATGAAGGTCTTCTGGAATTTATTATCAGTCCTTTATTATTTATCGGTTTTTCTGGGTGGAAAAATTCTAAACCCTAGCTTATAGATTGCTCAGCATTTGGAACTCGCTGCAGCTATTTTATCTGTGTAATGCATATTATTTTCTGTGGGTAGAGTTCATCGCTTAGCTATTCGGCGTATCAGAGTCAGTGGTATAATTTATCAGCTCTTGAAGCTCGTTCTCTACTAGTCGTGGGATTTCAATCATTCAGGCCACTCCAGATCACCGCCGGAAAATTCTGCCCCTTTTCTCGCAATTTATTCATCAAGGTCAGCAAAACGGTCTTTTTTCCACATTAGAGCATGAAGAATTGAATTTTTTCAGGTTCTGAAGACATCTATGGGGTATTTGTCGATGCTTTTGACAGTCAAACAACGAATGAGTAATTAAAATTCTGGGAATTCGGGGTCATGATAGAATTAGAATGTAAAAATATACTTGCGCACGCATAAACGATAAAAATACTTCAATGAATTTAATTGAATCGGAAATTCAAGGACAGCCTGAAAATACGATAGTATTCATCCGGACTTCAATTTAATTGTGTTTTATTTTATTAAACGGTGGACAGCGAAGTGATCATACAACTGGAAAATATTTCATACATTTTCTTCAAGTGGGAGAAAATTGTATCTCCATACTAGACCTGTGCGACTGCACTCTAGTCTCAATAATTACTCTCATAAGTAATGAGAGAAAATTATTTGCAACTCTGTGAACTTTTTAATCATCCATTATTATTGCAAGAGAGCTCGAGAGGTGAGGAAGAAAATCGATAAGACTGTAAAGTATCTTCAGTCTTAATACATTCGTCGAGTGGTGACAACTCCATTATAGTTGTCAGTGATAAAGAGTAACAGAGGAAATTACTGAGAGACTATAGAGAGGGAATCAATTTTTTAAACAATGAGAATAGATTTTGAGTACTCTTGTGGTTGGAATCGATTGCTGATGGATTTGGCTGGCTTCTGGCCAAAACCTCGAACAACATTTATCGGTAAAAACTGGGCATTCATCAACGCCGTGCTGGTGTTGATCGTTATAATTATCCCTCGATTCGCCGCGATGTTTCTGTTTTGGAATGAAATTGATGCGGTTGTTCAATCCTTTTCTACGCAATTAGTCTTCATTGTTGTGTTCTTCAAGCTGATGGTTCTCCAATTTGGCAACGAAGGCAAGATTTCGTGCACGAAAATTTATCGATCGAAATATTTTCCAACGCGTACAATAATTCTCAATCGAATATACGGATTGTGTCAGTTCTAGTGAAGTTATTGATGATGATGAAAGCAGATCTGTCCGCAAAACTCACGGAAGAGCATTACGAACCGGTCCTCAAGGCGGCTAAAGTAGCCAGAACCATCTCCATGTTCATTGGGACCTGCACAATCTGCGTTATTATCACGGGCGTCGTATCCCTGGTAATAAACACTCCGAGATAATTAATAATTCATGTCTGATGTCTAGTTGTTGCTTAGAAATTGTATCATTTGGACAGCTTCTACATCAAACATCCAGATCCTCGATTGTCCATGAATTTATTTTTTGTGGCATATCTCCCCTTCAACTCAACGTCAATCATCACCTACATGACGATCCTTTCGATTCAGTTTTACGTCAGTGTCATCTCCACTGGCATTCATCTCGTGCTGGACAGTTTTGTCGTGATGCTTGTTCTTCACGCATATGGACAGCTTGGAGTCCTGCAAGAGACCCTTGCAGTAATGACCAAGGACCAGCCGGGAATCGGTAAAGAGAACTTTCCAACCGCTTTTCGAACGATTTTGATGAAGCATCAAGAGATTTGTTGGTAAGCATACCAGATATTCAGGCTTTCAGGTCTTTTGAATTTCTATTAGGATATCATCAAATTTTCAAGATGAATTACAAAATCACGATATCGAGAATTCATATACATCTATTGCAGAGAATTTATTGCATTGAAAATGCTCACATTAAAAAGGAAATTTCAGTTTTATTAGGAATTTGGATAATTTATTCAATTTCACGTGGTTCCTTGAGCTTTTCAACTGCACATTGACGTTGTGTTTCCAGGGATATATCGTTCAAAAGGTGATATTAACATTACATCATCGTCTAGGCATTGATAATCACTGGAGTTTTGTTTTTGATTAATTGCTCTTTGGCGTAGCTCGTCCGCAGGGATCAGTCCAGCATTTTGCAGATGGGTTTTCCATTATCCACTACATTGGGTCTGGTAACGCAATTTTTTCTCAACTGTTGGGCCGGTGAATACCTCACATCACAGGTAATTCCATCATCTTGAAAAATATCAGCCTCGGAACAATAAATTTTTGTTATTTATCAAAGAGCGCTGAAGTTGGCTATGCGTACTATAAGAACGAGTGGCACACACTGAAATCCTCGGATGCTCAATTATTCCTGATGATAGGCTATCAAGCAACTCGACCCTCGACTTTGTCTACGTGGAAATTCTCAATATTGTCCCTCCGACTTTTCCTCCAGGTAGAATTTCTCCGCAATTCATCCTTCACCGATAATTACGTTCCTTTTTATTCCAGGTGATGAAAGCATCCTTCAGCTATCTCTCAATGCTATTAGTCATAACAGATTCTTAGATAAATCGATAGTAATAAAAGTTGATGTACATTTTATATTAGAGAATGAAATAAAATACTCAGATAAATAAATCTGCAGTCAATATCCTCCAACATTCACTAAATTTCAAAATCTCTCTTTATTCTTCTCGTATAATAAATAATCACACATATATTTTGTTCAACCAAATCCCAATATTGCATGAGCATCACCGAATTCCACAGTGGAGCCGCTCATTCCATCCTCAGAATATTTCTCTTCAAACTAACAAAGAAAGTCGTTCCGAGCTGTTAATCCACTTTATTCCAGACCCCCGCCCAACCGCACTCTACTATTTAAAACTTATTACACGGGATCCCGTAATAAACTTTCTAATTTCCCTCATTATTCTTGCACGAGCATAAAAAAAATCGATAACACCCTGAGGTACCTCAGTCTTAATCCACACACTACGGCATTAACATCTCAGAAAGACCAATTAATAAAAATTGACAAAAGCAATACCTGGAGCGAATCTCAATGAACCATGAGAGTAGATTTTGATTTTAGCTGCGGATGGAACCGATTTATTCTGAATATGATGGGATTCTGGCCGAAAAAACGATCGAGCCTCGTCGGGAGGTACTGGTCATTGATAAATGCCGTTCTTGTTCTGATCGTCATAATTTTACCGCGATTCGGTGCTATGTGTCTGTTCTGGAATGAAATTGACGCATTCATTCAGTTTTTTACAACTCAATTGGTGTTCATCAATGTATTTTTTAAACTGATAGTGCTACAACTCGGCAATGAGGGTAAGTCGTTGTACCTCATGAATGCAATCATGATGTCTCTCATATTTCTGACAGTTCTCGTTGATTTGCTGTCGATGATGAAAGCCAACTTGAAGAGAGAATTGACTGGGGAACAATATCCACCGGTAATGGCATTCGCCAAATTCGGGAGAACTATTTCTATTGTCGTGGCACTCAGTTTTGTCTGTGTCGTATTTACTGGAGTTGTTGCCATGGTAATTATTTTTTTTATTCTTAAAGATATCCGAGGTCTTTTGAACTGGAACGAGTAAAATAATCCAATAGCTATAATTTTATTTACACTAGTTGAATGTTCCAGCGATTTTTTTTCATAATTGAAAGCCCTCGGATATTCTCGAATTATCGATTTATGGAAACTGAAAAATCGGACTGACATCGCGTTATTTATACCAGAAATTATATCATTTGGACAGCCTCTACATAAAGAATCCCGATCCTCGGTTGTCAGTTGACTTTTTTTTTGTAGCTTACTTGCCATTCGACGCGACTCACACCGTCAGTTACTTGACGGTCTTCTTATTCCAACTTTACGTCTCTGTCATCTCAACCGTTATTAATCTCAATCTTGACAGCTTCGTGCTGATGCTCATATTCCATATTTGTGGGGAGATGGAAGTCATCGGGATATTGTTATCGAATTTGGGAGAGAATGCTGTCACAGATGGAAAGATCATGCAAAATGATCTGAAGATCATCGTGAAGAGGCACCAGATGGTTTGTCAGTACGTCCCTCGATCAATTCACTCAAATATATATCTACCTCATATTTTATATTCAATAATTTTTTAATATACGTTTTAATGAGGAAAATATACTTTCTGTTTGATGAGAGGCAACAAAAAACTTTAAAGTTTATAACATTAATATTTTTTAATGGAAAATAACGAGTCATTTATGGCAATTCTCTAATTGTGAATCGGTAATGATTATGGATTTCCACAGGTTTGTAAAAAATCTCGAGAAATTGTTCAACTTTCCGTGGTTCATTGAATTAGTCAGTTGCACCTTGATATTCTGTTTCCAGGGATATAATGTACTGAAGGTAATTGCTACTGTCTTAAATTTTAATGTCTCAGGGTTTAATTTAATTCCGAACAGCTTCTTCATACCAGACAACTCGGTATCTTCCAATTTGGATTCATCATGTTCTCAACTTCGGGAATCCTGACGCAATTCTTCCTTAATTGTTGGGCTGGCGAGTGCATCCTGTCCCGGGTAATCTATAATTTAAAAAATTTCGGGATTGTCATGAAATCTGATTAATCTTACCTGTCCATTTTCAATTAGAGCTCGAAAATTGGATACGCATTTTACAAAAGCAAGTGGTATGAGCTGAGGAGTTTGGACACTCGCTCGCTGTTGATGATAGGTTTCCAAAAAACAAGACCACTGACACTTACAGCATGGAAATTTTCCGTTTTATCTGTTAGACTTTTCCTTCAGGTAAAATAACTGTTGTGACGAGACAGGAGAGACTATTGATCTTCTTTTTTTAGGTGATGAAGACTTCGTTCAGTTATCTCTCTGTTTTATTGGTGATGACCAATTTTCAACATGAATAATTTGATGCGAAGATTGTTGCTATTTTAAACAATAAACGTGTGCTAGTGACATATTTCAAGTAAAAAAAAATACTTTGATGTGCAGCGCAAATGTCAATTAATGGGATGAAGTAAGTAGTTGGTAGGAGAAATTTTATAGCACGACTCGGCCAACCAAAATATTTTCAGTCAATCTAAATTCCGATTACGTCTTTCTGTTATTAAGCGATGGACAGGAGAGTGATCATACAACTGCGGAAAATTCCATATTAAAGTGGAAAGAAATTATTTCTCCATATTAGGCCTGCGCCTGCACTCTAGACTCAATAATTACTCTGATATGTAATGAGAAGAAATTATTTGCAGCTCCGTAAACTTTTTAATTGTCCATTATTATTGCAAGAGAGCTCGAGAGGTGAGGAAGAAAATCGATAAGACTGTAAAGTTTCTTCAGTCTTAATAGGTTCGTCGAGTGGTGACGACTCCATTAAAATTATCTGTGATAGAGAGTAATAGAGGAAATTATTGAAATAGAGGGGCAATTAATTTTTTAAACAATGAGAATAGATTTTGAATACACTTGCGGTTGGAATCGATTGCTGATGGATTCGGTTGGTTTCTGGCCGAAGCCTCGAACGAATTTTATCGGCAAGAACTGGGCATTCATCAACGCTATGATAGTCTTGATAGTTATGATTATCCCCCGATTCGCGGCAATGTCTCTGTTTTGGAATGAAATTGACGCAGTAGTTGAATCCTTTTGTACGCAATTGCTCTTTATTGTGGTGTTCTTCAAGCTGATGGTTCTCCAGTTTGGCAATGAAGGCAAGATTTCGTGCACGAAAATTTATCGATCAGAATATTTTTCAACGCACACAATAATTCTCAAACGAATATACGAATTGTGTCAGTTCTAGTGGAATTATTGGCGGTGATGGAGGCAGATCTGTCATTAGAACTCAGCAAAGAAAATTACAAACCAGTCTTCGAAACAGCCAAAATAGCCAGAACTATATCGATCTTTCTAGGGACGTGCACAATCTGCATTCTTATCACTGGCATATTTTCCCTGGTAATGTACTATTTGAGATAACTGATAATTCATCACTGATGTCTAGTTGTTGTTTAGAAATTGTATCAATTGGACAGCTTCTACATCAAAAATCCAGATCCTCGGTTGTCCATAAATTTCTTTTTTGTGGCATATCTACCCTTCAATTCAACGCCTATCATCACCTACATGACAGTCCTTTCCGCTCAGTTCTACGTCAGTGTCATCTCCACTGGCATTCATCTCGTGCTTGACAGCTTTGTCGTTATGCTTGTTCTTCATACATGTGGACAACTTGGAGTCTTGCAAGAGAGCCTTGCGTTACTGTGCGCTTGTGGGAATGACAAATCGGATTTCGGGACGGGAAACTTTCGAAGGGCTTTTCAGAAGATTTTTATAAAGCATCAAGCGATTGGTCGGTAAGCGCATCAAAAGCTAGAGCTTCCAATGAATTTCTTTGACAGTTTAAGTTGAATAAATTGACGTTTTTAATAACGATAGATTAACGATAGGAATAATCGAAGAATTAGATAAAAATTTTCAATAGCGTAGGACAGAATTAAATTATTGGAATAATTATAATTTTAGGTTCACTAGGAATTTGGATAGCTTATTTAATTTTACTTGGTTCCCCGAACTCTTCAGCTGCACCCTGACATTGTGTTGCCAGGGATATATCGTTCAAAAGGTGAAATTATCATCATGTCATCGTTTAGTCACTCATAGTCATTGAAGGTTTGTTCTTGACAAATTGCTCTTCGCTGCAGCTCGGTCGCGGAGATCAGTCCAGCATGTGGCAGATTGGTTTTCCATTATGCAGCACATTGGGTCTGGTGACGCAATTTTTTCTCAACTGTTGGGCCGGTGAATACCTCACATCACAGGTAATTCCATCGACTTGAGAAATATCAGCCTCAGAACAATAAATTTTTGTTATTTATCAAAGAGTGCTGAAATTGGCTATGCGTACTATAGGAACGAGTGGTACACACTGAAATCCTCGGATGCTCGATTATTCCTGATGATAGGCTATCAAGCAACTCGACCCTCGACTTTGTCTACGTGGAAATTCTCAATATTGTCCCTCCGACTTTTCCTCCAGGTAGAATACCTCCGCAATTCATCCTCTCACCGATAATTACGCTCCTTTTTATTCCAGGTGATGAAAGCATCCTTCAGCTATCTCTCTATGCTATTAGTCATAACGGATTCTTAGATGAATCGATAGTAACAAAAGTTGACGTACGTTGTATATTAGAAAATGAAAAAAACAAATACTCAGATAAATAAACCAGCAGTCAGTATTCTAAAAAATTCACTATTTCCCTAAAACTATCTTTATTCGTCTGTTTAAACAAAAAAATCGTCGTTACACAGAAAATTACTATTAATAACTAATAATAAATTATTACTCGAATATTTCGTTCCCTCCACTCGCAGGATTTTTCATTCAACCCTCAGTCCAGGATTCAAAACTTCTTACGGGAATTTTTCTACGTATTCCGAACGTAAAATATACTTCTCAATAAAATTCTGAAACCAACCACCTCTTGAGGTACAATAAACAATAAAAATACAAATCGTTCATCGAGTCTGTAAAATACTCCAGACACAACCGTTTGATAAATTCTCTCCTATACATTATTTTAAATTGCCCCGATTAAATCCCTCACGTTAAAATTTCTTTCTACTTTTTAATCACCCTCATTATTATTGCACGACAATTACAAGCGCATGTCACAATCGATAACGCTTGCAGTCTCAATGCACTCGTGTGAGTGATAGCATCAAATTAAATCGAGATATTACCACCGACAATTATCCCCTTGAAATAATAGTTGGAAAATCCCTCCATGAGCTATGAAGATACTTCCCGAGTACAGTTACGGTTGGAACAGATTTTTTTTGAATTTGGGTGGATTTTGGCCGAAACGTCAGTCAACATTCATCGGAAAGCACTGGCCCTTGATAAATGCAGGTCTAGTTTTCGTCGTTATAATTATTCCCCGATTCGCCGCCATGTCCCTATTCTGGAATGAAGTTGACGCATTCGTCCAGTCTTTCACGACTCAATTGGCATTTATGTCGGTGTTCTTCAAACTCATAATTCTGCAACTTGGAAACGAAGGTAAACCATGATAAAATAAATTAATAAGTAATTTCTAAGTAATCCCGTCATTGACATTTGGATTTTATCCGATTTCGACACCTCATATAAAATTCAATGTCTTCGTTTCTTTCGACTTACAGAGAACATGTAATTATGTTTTTACTCGATTTGTTTTGAATTAATCGATGGGTTGATAAATCTAAACTAGAGAAAATTGATAATTTTATATTTCGCTGTCTCCCACATTATTTCAACAACACGTTCATTGATTCCGATAGTTCTAGTCGATCTGCTGTCAATGATGAGAGAAGACTTATCCACGGAATTGACTCAAGAACAATTTGCGCCGGTGTTAAAAGCTGCTAAATTCGGGAGAACAATTTCGACAATCGTGGGAATGAGTTTCGTCTGCGTTGTAATCACCGGTATCATCTCGCTGGTACTATATCAATTCTGATCCACCGATCAATCCCCTGAAGTATTGGAACTTACATCGAGTTATTCACCAGAAATTATATCACTTGGACAGTCTCTACATAAAGAATCCCGATCCTCGGCTGTCACTTGATTTTTTCTTTGTAGCATACATGCCATTCGATACAACACACGTCATCACTTACACAACGATATTATCGTTGCAACTTTACGTGTCTGTTATGTCCACTGGGATTCATCTGATTCTCGACAGCTTTGTGGTGATGCTCATACTTCACTGTTGCGGACAACTAAAACTTGTCGAGCTGTCATTGACCCAATTGGGGATAAATTACGTGAAAAATGGGCAGAGCTTTCAGGTTGTCCTCAGGCACATAGTGAAGAAGCATCAGTCGGTGTGTCAGTACGTAATAAACAATAAATAATTACAATTGTTTTAAAATCATGTGGTAATTGTGCGTTACTCCCACAGGTTTGTCAAGAGCCTCGAAAAATTATTCAACTTTCCGTGGTTCGTTGAATTAGTTGGCTGCACTTTGATGTTTTGTTTTCAGGGGTACAATGTGTTGAAGGTAATTATTGATTGATTAATTGATTATCTGGTGATCAATTGATTGATTTAAAGTGTGAAATTCCGTGGGTACTTGATCCTCTTTGATTTAGCTTCTTCATGCTGATGGGTCTGGTGTCTTCCAAATAGGTTTCATCATTTTCTCCACGTTTGGTATTTTAATACAATTTTTACTTAACTGCTGGGCTGGGGAGTGTCTCATATCGCAGGTAATGATGCCGTGTCTTTTGACAATCTCGCACATGAATTCTCTCCATTTTTTAGAGTTCGAAAATTGGATACGCTTTTTACACCAGTCAATGGTACACCTTGCGTCCTTCAGATGCTCGTTCCCTGATGATGATGGGGTTTCAGAAAACACGACCCCTCACTCTCACCACCTGGAAATTTTCCGTTCTCTCCATCAGGCTTTTTCTCCGGGTAAAATTCTCCTTTCGTTATTCGTTATTACACTAGTTTACGTTTTTTCGGTTGTAGGTAATGAAAACTTCGCTCAGCTATCTGTCAGTGTTATTAGTGATGACAGATTTTTAAAAATAAATATTAACGAGAGAAGGAGGATTACCTGCCGCAAATTTCCTAAATTGAACGCGTAAAATTGATTTCCGATAAAATAAAATTTTATTTGTCGATGACTGTTCATTTTCTGGATTATATAAAACAAAAGATCTCCCGAATTGATTCTCCATTTTACCTTCGCTGACTAGAGCACGATATTTCGGAAAAAGAGTATTATTTCTCTCATGCCACTCTCTAGTGATAATCCCCAACACCCTACAGGTACGTCCTGAAAATGCAGAAAATATTTCATGCATGAGACCCATTATTCATAAGATGAAATTGCCTGGAGATCGTTATGCAAAGTGGGCCGATTGGGCTCATCATTATTGCAAGAACATTGGAGAAAAAAATCAATGCCAGACTGTTGCACTCTCTGACGAAACGTCCAAAGAGCACACAGTAAACTCCGGGAAAGCTAGAAAAATTTCCACACTCGTTTCCATGAACTATGAGAATAGATTTCGAGTACAGTTGTGGTTGGAATCGGCTGGTGATGGATTCATTTGGATTATGGCCGAAGTGTCACATGAATTTTATCGAGAAGAACTGGTCATTGATCATAGCGATAATGATTTCAATTGTTGTAATTATCCCACGATTCGCCGCCATCTTTCTATTCTGGAATGAGACAGATGCAGTTGTCCAGTCATTCTCCACTCAATTGCTGTTCATGACAATAGTCTTCAAGCTGTTAATACTACATTTTCGAAACGAAGGTGAATAATCTACCAATCATTTGACCAGCGACTCCTAAATCTCCACTATGAAAGTATTAATTAATTTGTTACCTGAAAATTATCAACTGAAACAATGAAAACAGTTTTAGCGGATCTCTTGACAGCGATGGAAGCAGATCTATCCCAGAGATTAACCGATATTAAATACCTGGCAGTCCTCAGAACCGCCAGAATTGGAAGAATAATTTCAATCGTCCTGACATCCGGCACCTTCTGCATACTCATCACGGGCGTCATCGCCACGGTACTAAATCCCCAAATTCCCTCAAAATCTTAATCCACCTAAACGATGGATGATGTCTACAACCCACATAATATCCAGAAATTTTATCACTTGGATAGCCTTTACATAAAGAATCCCGATCCCCGACTATCACTGAATTTCTTCTGGGTCACCTATCTTCCATTCAGCACGGAAAATACCATCAGTTACGTAACAGTGTTGTCCCTGCAATTGTTGGCTTCTTTGATGGCTGGATTTTACTTCATCTTCGATGGTTTCGTTGTAATGCTCATTCTCCATGTGTGCGGACAGCTGCAACTCATTCAGATATCATTGCAACATTTGGTTGACAATCTCCCTCTCATCAGGGATTTACGTGTGACCCTGAGGAAAATTATGGAGCACCATCAAAGGATGCATCGGTAATATTTTTAAATTCGCAGCTGATCTGGATTTTCAGTGATTTATTCCTGTCACAGATTCGTCAGCAGCATCGATCAATGTTTCAACATGATGTGGTTCCTTGAATTGACCAGCTGCACACTCACCTTCTGTTTCCAGGGTTATATTCTCCTGAAGGTGCATAGATCTGTTATTTTTACTGATTACTCCATTACGCTCTTCTAAATTCACGCATTTTCATCCACTTTCTCAGCTTCTGCGCGCAGATCAGTCAAGCACCTTCCAGATGAGCTTTCCAGTCTGCGCAGCCATTGGTCTGCTCAGCAAATTTTTTCTCAACTGTTGGGCTGGCGAATACCTCATCTCACAGGTAACCTCAGGTATCCACAGGTATCCATGCAGATATCGTACTTCAGTCGAAATAGAATAGCTCGGGTGTTGGCTTTTTTATATAGAGCTCAGAGATTGGATCCGCATTTTATGAAGCTCAATGGTACAAGCTGGTACCATCGGACGCTCGTTCATTGATGATGATTGGCCACAAAAAGATACGACCATTCACCTTGAGCACCGCGAAATTCTCTGTTCTATCATTCAGGCTCTTCGTTCAGGTTTCCATCTAATGCACATTTCAATCCATTTTATTTCTGGTGAATTAAATTATTCGTTTGTTCTCAGATGCTGAAAACTTCGGGCAGCTATTTGTCAATGTTATTAGTGGTGGCGGAATCCTAGAACAAAAAATTTAACGAGTCATACAGGAATAAAATCTACTATAACTGAATCACCAACGAGACTTGTCACTTTTCAGACGGGCTTTCTATTTAAAGAATATTTCAGCGATTCCATTATTTTGCCGGACTGAATTCCCATCATTTCATTTCGCAAATTGACTTATAGAAAATTTCTAATGTAGACGTATCGTCATGATGAACGAAAAACAGTTCCATTGTGTTCTCACATAAAAAATCTGAAACATCAGTCACAGCTGTTGGTAGACTGACCGATCATTCTTCCTCTGTTCCACGGCGCAAGTCGTGCGAACAGCAAAATCGATTGTTCCATCATCGTTAATGCGCGCAATTTTGAATAATGGTGAAGGAAAATTGACCAATATCACTCCGAAGCATTCCACAATTTCCATACATCATTGATATCGATCAATGGAGCACGGGACAAGCCTCAGTCCCTAGCCGACCACCTCAATGTTCAAACTGATGGAGAGCACTCCAGGTAGATTTTTATAAATTAAATTCATACAGTATTTTCGTTATTTTCACACTCTCGATTGGATTCATCAGTCAAATAGAATTCGACGTCCTACGATTAAAATATCTTAATTCAAGATTATAAATAATATTTTGATGTCTTGGCAGGTTTCAAATATGCTTGCGGCTGGAACAAATTCAATTTCGATCTTCTCGGAATTTGGCCTCAACAGAATGTTAATCGAATAAAAAAATACCGGGCACTCATAAACGCAGGTTCGATATTATTTATTCTCACTTTGCCCCGGTTAGCTGCGTTGTCTTTATTCTGGGGTGAGATAGACGCGATGATCCAATGTTTCTCCACCCACATGCCATTTGCTATTGGAATCATGAAATTTACGATACTCCATTTTCAACGAGAAGGTAAGTCATTTAATGATCATTTTTCAAGTCACAATTAATTAAGCGGTGAAGTGCCATCGAGGATAAATCGATTGAAATCGATTCAAATCAACTGAAATAAATCGAAATCGATTTTGACTATTGACGAGTCTTTATCGAACCTCTCGGTGTACCTCGGGTGGGGGTACGTATAATTACTCCAACCATAAAGTTTAATTACCTGCAATAATTGCAGTAACTACCAAAAAAAAATTCTGCCCAATTAATTAAAATTTTCTAATTAAAACTGCATATAAATATTCACATTCAAATTGTGTGGATTCTCTTGGAGTTAATGAATTCACTCGGCAGAAGTAATTTTTCCTCTTAAATATTACATCGATTGTTGATATATCGTTGATATAAATAAATGGCAAAGTGGAATCGATTTTACAATTACCACTTTTCAACTGAAATAACGTTGATCATAACAGTCCTAGCGAGATTTTTGCAAGCGATGGAAGTTGACTGGAGTCTCGTAAAAAGTGAGAAGTATTTCGAGAGCATGATAAAAATGGCAAGAATCGGCCGGATTATCTCCATCATCTCTGGATCCATGGCGCACACAGCCAATACCTTCGGTTTCGTAGTCCAAGTACTTTCTCTCATTATTTTTTTTTTACCGAATAACACCAATCCGTTGTTCAACTGCTAGTACAATCTTTATTAGAAGTGGTACAATCTAGAGAGCTATTACATACAAGATCCTGATCCTCGATTAACCATGAATCTCTTCTGGCTCGTCTATATACCAATTGATACAAGCAACACTGCCAATTATATCTGTTTACTATCTCTTCAATTCTACGCATCGTGCATTGGCTGTGTAATTTACTGCTGTTTTGACAGTTTTGTTGTTATGCTGGTACTTCATCTGTGTGGACAGCTACAGTGTGTCGAAATATCAGTAGCAGAAATTGGGACTCATGGGTCCACGAACAGCTGTTTCAGGACAGATTTGAGGAGAATTGTTCAAAGACATGAAAGCATCATGCGGTAATCAAATGAAATTGTCCGTTATAATATAAATAATATAATAACTTTAATTCGTTTGTTCAACTGGAAGGAACAGCTTCAGTTGAAGAACTCCAACAGAAATAATTTTATCAATGATTTTTGGTATCAGATTAGCTGGTGACCTTGAAGACTCGTTCAGTCTGGTATTGTTACTGTCATTGATAGGCTGCACCTTAACATTCTGCTTTGAAGGATACGCTTTGATAAGGGTAAATAGTTGTTAATAAAATTAATCAATCATTGAGTGATTCAATATTATCACTAGCTTTTGGACAGAGGACAGTTGGGCTTCTTCCAACTTGGATTTTCCATGACCGTTGCATCGGGGGCATTCTTACATTTATTCTTCTGTTGTTGGGCCGGCGATTTTTTGTCGGAACAGGTGCATTGTCATTATGAAATTCAATTAAACAATCCATTACCGCTCGTTAATTTCAGAGTATGGCCGTGGGGAAAGCTATTCACTGTAGCAAGTGGTACAATTTATCGGATACCGAAGCTCGGACGCTCATGATGATGGGTTTTAAAGCCTTCGTACCATTAGAATTAACAGCTGGAAAGTTCGCAGCCCTTTCCCTCAATCTTTTTGTTAATGTAAAATCATTTTTCAGAGTGGGGAGTCAGACGAAGTGATTATGATTCATTAATGCTTTTCCTTCATCACCAGGTCGTCAAAACATCAATGAGTTATCTATCAGTTCTATTGGCATGTCAAGGCAGTAAAGTCTAGGCGTTATTGAAATGTATTAGTTTAGTTTCTGGAAAATAAAGGGATTGACACTGACTGTTGTTCACCGTTTTACTGAAAAATGAGAGATTGCGTTACGTTTCGCTCTCGTCGTTTCCTTCGCAGAGCGCATGCTTGTGATTTTCCCATTACAAATGGAAATTGTTGTCCGATCAGGAACAATTACCGATCAGATAATGGTTTCGTAGCTTCAACGAGTAAATGCTTGAGGAGATCAATAATGACATGGGGTGACTGCCGATCTTTAGTTTGTATGTCGCGGGGAATCTATGGAAACCAATTCAGGTATGTGAAAAAATAAATAATAATAAAATAAAATAAATAATAATAAAATAAAATAAATAAAGGCTATTTTCGTGTAGGTTTTGACTATGCTCGTGGCTGGAATAAAATCAACTTCATGATATTGGGGATGTGGCCCAAAACGAATCTCAGGGGCTTCCGAAAGTATCATGCCCTATTGAATGCTATCACAGTTTTTTCTCTACTCACACTCCCACGATTGGCTGCACTTTATTTATTTTGGGGTGAGGTTGATGCCATGATTCAATGCTTTTCCACTCACATGCCATTCGCCATTGGAATTGTAAAGCTCGTCATTCTGTATCGACAACAACAAGGTAATTATTCAAAATTTCATGAAGAGTCAATTCGAACCCGAAATCAACTCCAATTAAAAACAATTCTTTCCATCTAAAATCCGTCTCGTCAACACCTTTAATGCAATTAAATGTTTAAATAATAAAAAGTTCAGATAAGTCATTACTTGAATTTTTAACACGTTCACGGTTTTTCAGGGGAATAAATCCAATGTTTAAAAAATTAAATGATTATTCAATGAAGAACTTTAGAATTTTTCAGATACTCCATATTTTTTTTTCGTCGTGGAGAATTTCAATTTTATTATTTGGAGTTTAAAGTGTAATTATCTGACAAAGAAAGGCGATTGTTTAATGGATTAACTATAAGTATCATTTCGGGTAATAGCATTGGGTGAGTTTATGGAGGAGATGGAGTGTGATTGGAGGAGTCCTCTACCGAAGAAGCACCAGGAAATGATGATGCCGATGGCGAGAATGAGTCGACAGATTTCCATTTTCTCTGGGCTAACAGTGTACATGGCAAATAGTTTCGGTGTTGTGGTACAAGTACTATCAATATTTGCTGTCAAATTAGTTGAAGAAATGACTTAAAAATTAATTTTCAACTAGAAATGGTATAATTTAGAGAGTGTCTACATACAACAGCCAGATTCTCGATTGACACTGAATCTCTTCTGGGTGGTTTTTTGGCCGGTGGATACGAGCGAAAATATCAATTTCGCGGTGGCTTTGCTCCTGCAATTGTACACATCTTTCACCGGATCACTCGCGTACTTTGTGTTTGACAGTCTCATCGCAATGATGACTCTTCATCTTTGCGGTCAATTAGAATGTCTTCAACAGTCTTTTGGAGAGTTGTGCGATCATAACAGTTCCCACGAGGCTAAAAAATTCGAGAGAGATTTGAAAAATATTGTACAACGACACTATAAACTTATCCGGCAAGTCGCCACTCTGAAAAATCATTACTTATGCCAATTAATTTCACTTGGCGTAAGTTAATTTATTTAAAAAACGTAATCCTCTCGGTAATGTATTGTTTATTATAGATTAACGAACAATCTCGACGACTCCTTCAATTTCGTACTCTTCTTGTCATTCATCGGATGTACCTTGACATTCTGCTTCCAAGGATACGCCATAATAAGGGTGATTGCAATAAAAATCACGCTACGACTGATAATGGAATTGACGGTTTTTCAACAGCTCCTGGATGCGGGGAAATTGAATTTTTTTCAAGTTGCTTTCTCCGTGACAGTCACTCTAGGTGCGATATCTCATTTCTTCATCTGCTGCTGGGTAGGAGATTTTCTGATAATTCAGGTATAAAAATATCGAAGGAGTCTTTCATTTTGAATACCCAGTGGATACTATATTTTATTCCATTTGGAATAAAATTGATTCTTTGAACTCAGAGTGCAGCAGTGGGGCAAGGGTTTTACAAGAACCAGTGGTACAAGCTGTCGAACTGTCAGGCCCGATCTCTGATGATAATTGGTTTCAAGAACTTCAGACCCCTGCAATTGACAGCGGGGAGATTCGCCCCGATCTCCCTCAATCTGTTCCTGAACGTAAGAGACAACATTTTTCATTCTAACTCTCTTTTCATAACGTCTCGTTGTCCAGGTGATCAAATCATCCATGAGTTATCTATCAATGCTGCTGGCAGTTCAGAATAGAAGAGTTTAATATATTTAAAATAATTTTTATTCCGAATAAATGGTTAATTTGAAATTTAATTATTGTTATTCACTCGCGTTTGTATTAATTCACGAATAGCTCCACGAAGAATTCTTCATTCGAAGTGAAATGCACTACCCAAACTTCAACATCATTCTCCCGCTGCTTCACACACAGACCTGAGTGTAACGCGCATGTCATACCACTGTAGAATATATTAGTATGAAAAATACTCTGCAATCTAGGATAATCTGCATTCAATTGATAACTGTGGGGGAATGAAAAATTAATCGATAATAATAACCACTGGCTCGCAGTGTTTTTTTGCTCGTACAGCAGAGAGGAATTCCTGAAAATGAGTTCAGGTATATTCTGGAGTGAAACGAGGAGCTACTCAACTCATGATTGAAATCATTTCGAAATTACATTAAAATTATGTTTAATTACACGAATTACACGATAATTACACGAATCGATGCGAAATCAATGACTTCAAATCTCTGAAACTATTAAAAATAAATTGCAATCATGAAGTCTCATTAGAAATCACTTGAAGTCATTGTAAAGTTAAATTTCGAAGTAATGGTGTCACTCAATCAGGGAGTGAGGAACCCCTCGGGATGTAGCGCCAATTAAATAAAAAAATGATTATTTATTTGAAATCAGGCTTCACATATGCTTGTGGTTGGAACAAACTCAACTTCATGATCATGGGCATGTGGCCCAGAACAAATCTCGTTGGTTTCCGAAGATATCACGTCCTTCTCAATGCCTTCGCCATTTTCTCGATCCTCACTGTTCCTAGACTGGCCGCATTGTATTTATTTTGGGGTGAAATCGACGCCATTGTCCAATCATTCTCCACTCACATGCCATTTGCAATGGCAATCGTCAAATTAATAATTATATATCTTCATCAACAAGGTAATCAATCAAAAAATTATTGTAATGACTCGGAAACATCGATGTGCATATTTGATCCTTCTCCACGTTTCATGATTCATTTTCAATAATCTTTATAAATTGTTTATTTTAATTATGAGTTAATTTTCTGACGACAGCATTGGGCGAATTTCTGGAATCAATGGAAACGGATTGGAAGACACCCATTTCTAACGAGCAATACGTAACAATGATGAAAATGGCGAGAATTGGGAGAGGAATTTCAATTTTTTCCGGAGTCACTGTTTACGCTGCTAATATTTTCGGGGCTGTGGTGCAAGTACTATTGACTTCCGTTACCCCATATTATTTATGTGATAAGCAATTAGAATAAATAAGTATAATGAATTTTTAGAAGTGGTATAATTTAGAGATTGTTTATATACAGCAACCGGATCCCCGGTTGACCGTCAATCTGTTCTGGGTGGTTTATTTGCCCGTCGATACGAGCAAAGGTCTTAAATTTGCTGTTGCTATTCTTCTTCAATTTTACACATCTTTCTTAGGCTCTCTCGTGTACTTGGTTTTCGATAGTTTTGTAGCTATGACGACTCTCCATCTTTGCGGCCAGTTGGGAGTCCTTCAATTGTCATTTAAACAATTGTGCGACCGTCATTGCGTGGAAAAGCCGCGAATGTTTGAAAGACAATTGAGAAGTATTGTACAAAGACACAACGAACTTATTCGGTGAGTTGTAAATCAAGAGCTCTCGTATCAAAGAAAAACAACGAATTACCAGGGAAAGGGTATATGAGTTTTCTGCCAAAAGAGAAAAAAATTTCTTGGAAGTGATTGTTGTAAAATAATTGTTCATTCTACAGGAGCAAGATGACACCAATTGCAGGTGATTCGATTGAGATGAATAATTTTAATTGATAATCAAAGATGCGAGGTGGTCGACAAGTGTGAGCGCCGCCATTTCGCCTCGGCATTTCTCTCTCCGTTGATGGACGTTCCAAAGATGGCGACGTCCACTTCGTATTTGTAAATAATTATTAAAATTATTCAGCCTCTTTCGATCGAATTTGAATTTGCGACAATCTGTTCCTATAAAATGAACAAATGTTTAAATCCTTTTTCATAAATACTTTCATTCACTTTTGACTGAGGATTTGTGGAGAAATATTCTTCGCATTTCGGTTGTTTTTTTGAACCCCGATTTTTACCGAGGTATTATCTAAGCCTGGAGTTAGCCTGCATGTTTAACATTTAAAATTGTTAACAAAATGACATTCTTTGAGACAAATACAAATAAACGAGGGTCGAACAATGGAGACTTAAATAATACCTCGAGAATTTTTTTCTGCCGGACAACTAACTCAAGTATTGACTCATCTCTTCAGACTGAGCAAAACCCTTGATAATTCCTTCAACTTCGTGCTTTTCTTGTCACTCGTCGGATGCACCCTGACCTTCTGCTTCCAAGGATATGCAATACTAACGGTAAATCATGAGATCATAACGAGAGATGATTCACGATCATATGATTCAATTATTAGATCAGCTTTTAGGAAAAGGACAGTTGAATTTCTTCCAAATTGCTTTCTCAGTGACAGTAACTATGGGCGCAATATCTCATTTTTTCATCTGCTGTTGGGTGGGAGATTATCTAATAACTAAGGTGACTAAAAATTCTCAATGTTATCCATTCGAAAAGGCGTCTACCCATTTTTTCCAGAGTTCAGAAGCAGGGAGAGCATATTTCACCAACGAGTGGTACAAACTACCGTATCAGCAGGCTCGATCTCTCATGCTGATTGGCTTCAAAACTTTCAGTCCCCTGGAACTGACAGCAGGAAAATTTGCAGCGATGTCCCTAAATCTGTTTCTCAACGTAAGCCTCCCTAAAAAATACACTCCATTAATTCGCTTCCATAATTTACCGAAATCCTCTCAGGTCATCAAAACTTCTATGAGTTATTTATCAATGTTACTAGCTGTCCAGACTAGAGGACTGTGATCAACCTAAATTGTTACAATATACGGTGATGACCTTGGAAATAAACACTATTATTCATCAACGTTTGTTGTCTCATTTTTTCCACTGAATTCTTGAGCACAAATGATCCTTCAATTGCGGTAATGCAACGCAAACGTCTTCAGAGCTTCAACACTCGCGACTTGCATTTTCTTCGCGAGAATTCCTCATCTGTACTGCAGAAGAATTTCCTTCACTGGGGACGAGCCTCTCAAATATTCCCGAGAGTTTAAATAAACAATTGGTTATCATGAAGCTGTTGAAAATTGCAGGGTAATCATGACAATTTGTCAGTCGAGCCACGAGAATGCGAGACCAATCGATAAATCCGAAGGCAGATCGTCAGTCTTTCGCAGACCTTCATCAGGACAACATCGATGGGAATCAATTCAGGTAGGTGACACTCTCCTCTGGAAAATCATGAGAGAACAGTCTCAGGTAATTATCCAGGTTTTCGTTATGCATGTGGCTGGAATAAATTCACACTGGACATTCTCGGGCTGTGGCCAGTGCCAAAATCAGCATTTATCGCTAGAAATCGTGCCCTGATCCACGCTATCGTAATATTCGTGGTCATCACAATTCCTCGATTAGCTGGAGCATTTTTATTTCGCAATGAGATTGATGCTCTCATCCAATGCCTTGGTACATACTTGCCCTTTGTAATTGGCATTGTCAAATTGATGACTCTGCACTGCTGCAGAGAAGGTAATCAGTGGTGTTTAACCTGTCCTTACGAGTATAAAATAAAAAAAAGCCCAACCAGCACTAGGTGAGTTCTTGGAGACGATGGAGAATGACTGGGCAGTGCCCCTTTCCGAGGAGCGTCTCAACGTGATGCTAGAGATGGCGAAAATCGGCCGTAGAATATCCATTTTTTCGGGATCAATGGCTTATGCTGCCAACACCATTGGCATCGTCGTTCAGGTGATTAATATCTACCGTAAGATGTGATGTGATAGCTGATAGCTTTGCCACGAGTTGAATCTCCAATGGTTTTGCAGAAATTGTACAATCTTGAGGCCCAACACATACCGAATCCCGATCCTCGTCTAGTCACCGACCTCTTCTGGATCGTTTGGCTACCGTACAATACGACAAATCCTATAAGTTACGCAGTGTCTTTTGTACTCCAGCTGTACAGCTCTGTCTATGCTGCTCTCTTCTACTTCATCTTTGATAGTTTCATCGTGATGATTGTGCTGCATCTGTGCGGACAGCTTGGAGACCTCCAGATATCGCTGCAGCACTTGCACGAAAATGACATTCATAAATCAACATTTCAAGTTAGACTCAAACGAATTGTTCAAAAGCACGAGAAACTCGTCAGGTAGGGACACGGTGGATGCGTTTGACAGATCATTCCAGAAATGATTTCAGATTAGCTGAAGACCTCGAGAACTACTTCAACTTCGTTCTTCTCCTGCAGCTATTGGGCTGCACCCTGATGTTCTGCTTTCAGGGATATGGAATAATCAGGGTACGCACTCTTTGCATGATCTGGAAATTTTTTGTGTTCAATATTTATTTATCTCAAAACGATCCTCGGCTTTTGTCCAGCTGCTCACCCAGGGAACATTGAATCTTTTTCAAGTGGCTTTTGCCATTACTGTCGTATTCGCTACAGCTGTTCATTTCTTCTTCTGCTGCTGGGCTGGAGAGATTCTCGTATCTCAGGTGTCATATGACCTAGAAAAAACATGAAGGCAGGAGGGAAGAGGAGCTCGCTGTCCCTTTGGCAATCGAATGATTGGTAATGGAAATTTATTTGTTTACAGAGTACGTCCGTGGGACTCGCTGTTTACAACTGCCAGTGGTACAGACTACCTCCCAGTGAGGCACGTTCACTCGTACTAATCGGTCTCAGTAAATTCAGGCCGTTGAAACTGACGGCGGGAAAATTTTCAGTTCTCACTTTCAATCTCTTCCTTCACGTGAGTGGCTTTTTAGTAAATACAGTTGATATACAGAAAAAGAATCCTTAAGTAAAAAATTTTAGAACTCGAGTATTAATTTGAGACTTTTGAAACTCACGTAAAGATTTTGCGTCATTTTCCGTTGTAATTATTATAATAATTGATGATTAATATATTAACAAGTAAAAGTACATTTTTATTGTCAAATCCGAATCGAAAATCCGGAAATAATTGGTTTTTCGACCGATTGGAATTTTTTACAGGTACTGAAGACGTCAATGAGTTACTTGTCGATGTTACTAGCGGTGCAAAATCTTTGACTTTGAAAAATCCGGAGGAATCGGCAATTAAATAAACAATAAAGAATTAAATCATACCTTTTTATTCATGACTTACCCATCACGCTGTCCTCATCAGCACTTCCAGAAGGCCAACTACATCGATGAATAATCAATGAAAACCGAGTGATTTCGATGCTCTTCAAAATTTTCTCATCGACATATTAAAATACACGAAAAATAGGCACAAAAATCCAAAAGACGTTCGTTTATACTCAGATGTATTTAATAAATGCTGAATAAATAAAATTGTAATTATTGTTATACTGATTAAAATTATTAGCACTTGTCCTGTCCTCGAGGTGATTATCAATATCGATTGATTAGGTATCTGGTCATTGGGGCATTGAGTACCAGTCAGGTCAAGTGCCGAGCAACTTGTGATTTGCGCAGGCGTTCACATCCCCTCTCCAGCGGTATAATCCCCTCCTCTCGATCGTCTGATGATACTATTCGTCGGTGGAGCTGATAATCCCCGCCAGTAGCAGAACGAGAGCACTGAGACCCCCCAGGGGCTTCGACCAATGACAATCCACCCTGTGAATACCTTATGAGTACAAATACTTCACGAGGACTCGAGACAATGTAAAATCCACAACCCATAATAAAGGCATCGATGAGGGTGAACAAACAGCCAAGTCTCATTATCTAGACTTTTTTTTTTTTTAATAAAACACCCGAAGACGCCTCGGTGTCTAGACAGTTGCTCTCGTTGTTGCTCGGATAATTCTGCAAATTGCATTAAAATACTCGAGTCCCTGAGAACTCTCACGAATTTTTCCTTAAAAGATTATGCAAACGAATTTAAAAAATTCCCTCTGAGCGAATAAATCCAATGATTTCATGTCAATGAAATGTCATGGATAAAAGTTATGAAAGAATTTCTGGAGAGTGCGGGTAAATGAAAAAGTTGGGGAGAACTATCGGGAATTACTCGAGACATGTGAAAAAAAAATTTTGGATAGTTCGGGAATATATGGGTCAGTGGAGCATAGCCATGAGGTAGTGTGAATTCACATCGAAAGTTCACGGACGCAAACTCCAGAGGATGGGATGATGACAACCTATCACGGAGGGGTATTCGGTTGCGCATGAATGGTGGGATCGTGACAGGTACCTCCCATTGACCTCGGAGATCCTAGGGATTAAAGATCAACGACACTGTACCCTAGGGTAGCTTTAGAGAGCCGCATCAACCTCGGAGGGGGATCAAAGACCGGTGACCCTGACCACCAGCAGGGGAACATCGCAATCATCAGCGCGAGCTTTCCATCAAGTATTCACAGAAACCGTTGCCGAGATGTTTAAAAATTCATGACAAGCTTCCACTCCAGACGAATCCAGACGGCATGTCTCGCCAGGCTTGTTATTTCAAACTTTCTGGAATGACGAAGGGCGCGCTGAATTTTTTTTCGCTCACTGGATCGCAATCACGCATACAATATTAATTAACAAGCCTCCCTCCCTTGCTGGCACTCTGGGGGACTCCAGGGTCTCGGGAGAAAATCAATTTCCGCTGGTCTCAGTGGAGACGTGCCTTTCAGTTCGACTGCATCGAGAACCCCCAGAGGAACGTGCGACATCAATCCCAAGATAAGACAGTTGCTCAATTCTCGCGACACACATCGTGAAATTAACTCATACTATTGTTGTTCTCTCAGTGATTGCTCTCATCTGGCTCGAAGTGTTCACGCTGCGATGCACTGATTGTCGGTGATATTAATGCAAAGTAAAAGTGCAAAGCTTTCACCTTTTATTTCCGTCAGATCCTCCAATTGACAGTTGGACAATGTGGAATCATTGCGCGACACTTGTGACAATAGAAAAAAATATGAAATATAATGACTGCAGATTTTCAAGCTAGTTACACATGATAATATTCCGAATCACTTTGACAAACTCACTGTCTTTATAAACCGCATCCGAAGCACGACACACGCAGTCTTGAATCAGCCGCTTAACACTGTCCATTCATTTTGAATGAATAGGATGCAGCTCTTCGGTATTGCGATCTTCGGGATTGTCATGAGCCTCGTGTCGGTTGAAAGTGGTGCAAATGTGGTTTTTGAAAAACAGAGTCGACAAGAGTCGAGACCAATTCTCAAGGAAATAAGACAGGAGTTGATGCAAAAATCGAGGAGCAATCAGGTACGTGAGTGAATCATCAAGTCTCCAGTTACTGTCAATCCATCAATAATTTTTTTCAGATACTCAATTTGAATTTATCCGCTGTTCTGCTTCTCCTACTCTTGAAAGCAGCTGCACTCGGTGCAACATATCTCGGGAATTACGACCGCTACAAAGGCCGGAAATTCCGGGAAGGTGAGTCTATCTTTCTGCATTTTTCATTTAATATTCTGTCCTTTCAATTATTACGATCAAGTAGATAATCTCGTATCTGCGGACGAAATGACATTGGCACTTGGATATCTGATCGGTGACAGTTGTCTGTACCGCGCAGCATGCGAAGTGCCAGAAACAGCGAAAGAGTACCTGGGAACAATCGACATGATCACGGAAGCCATGAAAATAATTCCTCAGTAATAATGAACTTTTACTCATCTCAAATGAATTTAAGATAGTAAAATCACAAGGTCAGTAGAGCGCAATTACCGTACGATTGTTTTTTCAACGATTTCAGAACATCTATTGACAATAAATACGAGAAAAAGATATCAGAGTTCCGCAGAGCGATTGAATACGGAGAATTAAACAGCTGTCCGGCTGAATATACTTGCCAAAAGGAAAGCACCGACTATCTACAGCCTGAGTGAGAGCGATTTTTACGATGTCATGAAAACTTGTTGCATTATTTTCAATACATAAATACCGAAAGAGTATCCCATTATTTTCAATACGCTCAAACATTTATTTGTGTTACATACATTTCAGAGACAGATCGACAACTTAAACTAAGAATTGATTTGCAAAATTATCAGACGTTAAAATCTGATTTCTACGCTTCATCTTAATTATCTCTTATCAATACACGTCTTTCTGCAGTCAGGGATTTCCCATTTTAATTCATTAAGACAACTTGAAAAACCTGGAATGGATCAAAGACTTATGTACATTAATCTGATCGTATGTAAAAAAAAAATGAACACTCGATAACTGCCAAAGCCAGGGGATACGACTTCCATGCGCAGGGGTTTTAAATCCGGTGACAGCAGTAATCAATTGATTCCGTGAAAATACTTTGAATCACTCAGAGTAATTCATGAGTGAAAATAAAATATCAAGGGTGGACTACAGATAAATAATACAGAAGAAAGCTGAGGAGATGCGCTAATTAATCGAAATAAAATCAATTGCAAGCTTTGCAATCGTCATTTAATGCCGTCGTTAATTTTTAGTATGTGATCATATGTACTTGGTACGTGTGAGGGCACTCCCGCCCTTCGTGGGGTCCATCATTCTATTCCAATTTGTCTGGCCCACAACAAATCCCACAGCTCGCATTTTTTCCTGCTCTTTTCGTTCCTCCAAATCAGCCCATCGTACCTATGAAGTATTTCTCTACAATGAACGATGTGTTCCCTTCCAAGAGGATAATTTTCAATTGACTAATCACTTACCCGTTTTTTCCCCGAATTATCCTCCATGTCGTAATAATCGGGAACCTGGAGGAAGTCCTCCATCGTCTGAGGCTTTCCATCGTTCTTGCGTTTCAACCCATCCAGTCGATCTGGAATTCATAAGAATATAGATTAATGATTATTGAATTAATCCCTTTAAAATGGGTAACCGCTCTAAATAACACGCAATGATGACGTACACTGGAAAACATCACAATAAAAATAGTCTAAAAATTATACGATTTAAAATATCATGGGGTAAGACAACAGAAAGGAGAATAGGAATTAAGTGTGCGCCATTTTTATCCATTGAGATTAAGATCTCTCAGATGATCAGACATTGTTATAATTCGAAAATAAAACTTACCTAGCTTGTCCTCTGCCTCCATTTTCTCCCATTTGCTGACGCCCTAAAACCAAAAGATAACGATATTACCAAGAAAAAATGCTATCGTAAAAACATAACGTTAACCTGGTGACCCTTACCGTCGACCCTGAGCCATCGTCCTGGCTATCTTGACTGTCATCATTCCCCTCCCCTTGGCGATTCGACGATGGGGCTTCTTCCATCTGAACCTACAATAATACCCAAAGAAATTACAATCAAAATCATGAATTAAGTGATAAATCCCAGAATGATTATCGTACCTCTTCGATAGCGTCCTCCTGCAGAAGTGAGGAAACGTCCAATTTTTGATGATAACTGGGGGTTGGCTCGAAGTAATCGATGATTCGATTTATCTCGTCCTCCGTACGATTGTGAACATTGCGTTTCAAGCAGACAGCGACATCCATGTCCATTTCACAGACGTACACCTGAATAATCACCCCAGTAATTAAATGAATATTCTAAACACTACAGAGATTAATAATTAAACACTACCTTGAAACCCTTCGTCTTGGCAAAACTCCACAACTCCTCGTAATCCGATATTTTTTCATTGATAGCGTCCAGAATAATGAAGTTGAAGAAACCGTCGGTGATGTTTTTCTTGAAAGCCTTGACTAGTGACGTTACATAGCTGGGCTCCATAGCCTCTTCATACTCGTATACCATTTCCTGTTTTAAATAGTATTAGTCAATTAAGCCAATGATTAATTACAAATAACGAGTGTAAAAGAGCTGATGATTTACCTTATTGATAACCCTTTTCCCATTGTCATCCTTGGTTTCCACGTCCTTCTCGACGAGGAAATAATCGTCTAGGCTGAGAATTCTAGGTGCGGATCCACCCTGGTCTAATTCTTTGTCCTAAGATTGGGTGGATAAGATTCATGAAATGTCAGATGGAGAAAAGACTGAAGTAAATAATCAGTCGGCTGAAATAACTATACGATATGCCAAAATAGTATTCAGGAAATAAAAAACGAGGATATTAAGGACTACCTTGATGAGTTTAGCGACGAAAGATTTTCCACACCCTGGAGGTCCTCTGAGGATGATTGCTATCTTCGGCGGTCGAGTTTGCCGCCCGGGACAGCAGAGTAAATCATCCACCATAGTATAATTCGGTGTCTTCCCCAATTCCAGTGTTTTCGGTGGACCGTCATCATTTTTGCAAGTTGAAGTACTGTAACAAAATAGTGAAAATATGAGTACCATACCACAAGTAACTTCAAACTACTCTTTCCGCGCAACTCGTCGAATTGAAACGCGAAAAATCGAGTCCTCCGTAAAATTTTGGGCGAATGATTATCGCTCGCAATCGGAAAATACGTGCGACGTAACGCACGACGAAATAAATTTTAGTCAAGATTTTACGAGTATGAAATATTACTCATTCGACAATGACATTGAATCGAGCGAATTTCAGACGATTCAAGGAGAAATAAGTGATACGTAATTAACAGTTTAAAATATCTTCACTAATTCCCAATCACGAGGAATTGAAAGTGATAATGTAAATGTGCGATGTTTATCATACATTGGTGTTAAACATGAAAAATCGCAAGATAATTCCCAAGAAAATTCTATCCTGAGATATGACAAATTCTAAAGATTCAGGAATTGCCATAACAATTTGTTAGTTTTTATACCGCGTCTGCGCGCAACGCGCTGCAACGTTAAAAGGTGTCGACTAATTTTTACAGTTATTATCAACTAAAAACATTGAAAAAATTTCATTTCACGCGTTGAAATCAGAAATACTGTTCCAACAATACCGAAACACTGGTACTCGTATCTCTTAAATTCACGCTCATGTAAAGATCATTTTGGCTGATGGATTTAAAAAACTGAAGAATTAATTCATACCTGGAGTCCTTCGGAGGGGATGATTCTGTGGGAGTCTTTGTTGAGTTCTCCTGCCGGCTAACATTTCCTTTAGATCTAGTAAAACCGATACACATTCATTCATAGTTTTATAATTCTCAGTACACAAAACGATTCATTCTTTCATCTCCACCAAATTCAACGACTCGTTGAAAATACCGATTAATCGGAAATTCAACATCAGTCAGTATCAATTCAGTAAAAATGAGGACAAATGTGAAACTCGAAAATGACAATAGCCACTTCTTATTACCTTTCGTCATCAACGTTAAATTCAGAATCAGTATCCTTTCGAGATCTCTCGTATTTTTCACGTGTTCCGTCTGTTGGAAGAATGGAAAAAAAAAACAAACTTCATAAAATCATCATTCAAACACCTGAATTTATAAAAACATAAGTGCGAACTGCTGGTAGAGACCAAATCAGGATTCCTTAGAAATTACCTTTGCTGGCGCTTCTACGATTTTTCTCGTCACGCCGTTGAACAGAGTCCCTCTCCCAAGATCTCCCCCTTCCCCGTTTATTCCGCGAATCCCTCGAGTCCATGAACTCATCGTGATCCCTGTATTCCCTGTAATCAGATCCTCTGGGCCCGGCACTCCGTCCCGAATCAGGTTTTTCCCACGATGGATAACGACCACCAAAGTCCCTCGGCCCTTCTCGTTTCCAGCGATCATCCATCCTCGGCTCCATGCGCGCCTCAGGCTGTCTCAACATCCTGGCATGCTTTTTCCTTGACTCATAATCCTTCATCCCCTCGTCGTACTCCCGGAGGTTGCCGTCATTCTCTACCCAGTGCTTGAAATCCAACTTCGGGAAAATCTCATGATCGGGTGCTCTCAGCTTGAACTTACCGTGGGAATAATCAAAGGTTTGAGCTGGTGTTGCATAATCCTGCATTGCAGGTCGCCTGATGTGGCCATAATCAATGACCTTCGACGGAATGTATTCGGTGAAGACCTGATCAGGCACACCACCACCATGATTGTAATTGAATTGCTTCTCAACGCAAAACTCTCGAATGGGGCCCTCCCGTCGATCACCAGATGGAACCTGATCGTTGCGCCGTGAGAATGCATCCCTCGGGTCATCAATTGGCCCATCAAAATTCTTTTGCATTGGTCCAGGTGGTGGCCGTCCTAACGGTGCGTCGTCAGGTCGCATAAAAGGGCCCCTATCATCTCTGTTCATAAGTGTTGGGTCAGTAGGTTCGCGGTCCATGTTAGGCCTTGGGAAATTGGAACGCCGATCCAAACCCTGAGGACCACCGATGGGCGGCCTTGAGTCATCCATGGGTTTGTTTAATGATTGATTAACCTCGTCCCGGAATCGATCGAAAGGTCTATCCCGATCGATGCCTCCCATCGTGTTTCCCCTCGATTGGTTCATCGGTCCATCCATGTTTAGTGCAGACAGCGGTCGCGGCCCCTTGTCATCTGGCCCAAAATTCGACCCCAATGGCCTAGGCGGTCCAAAACTCTCGAAAGGCCGAGGCATAAAATTGTCCCCGGCGATCGGACGATCGCGCAGATCATTTGGTCCACGCGGACCGAAATTGGGCATTCGCTCGAAACTATCATTATCATTGGGCCGAAAAGGGGCATTCCCCCGGGGCCCAAAGTTGTCACCCTCTCGTGGGCCAAATGGTAAATTACGAGGGCCGAATTCGTCATTACGAGAACCGAATTGAGAATTCGGTCCGCGGGGAGCGAATGGTTGTGAAAAATTTGGTCCACGTGGGCCAAAGCCCTGTGAATCCCGGGGCCCAAGCGAATTGGGCCCTCGACCACCGAAATCGTCATGTTCCCTACCAAATGGTGGATTACGCGGACCAAATTCATTGCGACCCTCATTATCTCGAGGCCCAAACGGTAAATTTGAGGAACGGGGACCGAAGTCCTTGCGAAAACGGTCTTCCATGCTGGGCGCAAATGATCCAGGATTCGGGCGAGGCCCGAAGGGACCGTCAGGTGGACCACGCGGGGAGAAATTGGAGTCGCTCATGTTTCTCATGCCGAAGGGAGGCTCATTGGGCCCCCGAGGTCCACCTTCATATCCTGATGGTCCCCCCTGAGCCATTCCTCGATCACCATCCATTCCTCGATTTCCAAATGGACCATTGAAGAAGTTCGATGGACGATCAAAAGAATCGCTGGGCGGATTCGACTCCAACGGAGGTTCACTCACCATTTGATTAGTCTGCTTGACCGGGCCCAAATCTGGTAGTTCCGGTGGCGGCTCCATGTTCAAGTCCTCGGGTTTCGGATCGTTTTCTCCCATGAAGGGCAGCCCGTCTGGTTTCTTCATCAATGGCTCAGGAATCGGTGACGATGACGCATTGGGATTTACGCCGGGCTTGTCCTTCTCCGCCAGTTCATTAGGATTTGAGACGTCAGGCTCCTTATTGAGATTCTCACTCTCGCTGAGGCCCATTGGACTTTTCATCATGTTCGGGTCTATCCAAGGCGGTACCTCGAGTGGTGGAACTTTCTGCGGAGATGTGTCTAGAAGTGGCGGCCCCCCTCGAGCCCCAGCATTGCCTCCTCGCGATCCAAAATCATCTGAATGCGGGCCCATATCTTGGGACTCAAAGTCCCCACGAGATCGGAATGTGTCACCTCGAGAGCGCAAGTCGTCGCGGAATTGATCAGGACCGCCGTCTGGCCCGCTATTAGGTCCTCCCGAAAATGGCGGCCGAGATAAAGAGTTGTCCGAAGAGTTGGGCCCTCCACTAAATGGTGCGTTGAATGAAGAATTATCGGGTCCACTATTAGGGCCTCCAGAGAATGGAGGTCTAGACGAGGAGTTGTCGGGTCCACTATTGAGTCCTCCAGAAAATGGCGGTCTAGACAGGGAGTTGTCGGGTCCGCTATTGGGACCTCCTGAAAATGGCTGTCTAGACAAAGTGTTGTCGGTTCCGCTATTGGGACCTCCTGAAAATGGCTGTCTAGACAAAGTGTTGTCGGATCCACTATTAGGTCCTCCGTAAAATTGCGGTCGAGATAAGGAGTTGTCCGGTCCACCTGAAAATGGAGGTCTCGAAGAATTATCTGGTCCGGTATTGGGCCCTCCAGGGAATCCAGGTCTAGACAGGAGAGCACTATCCGGTCCACTATTAGGTCCTCCCAAAAATGACGGTCTGAACGAGGAATTATCTGGTCCGCTGTTGGGTCCACCAGAAAATCCAGATCTAAATGAATTATCGGGTCCACCAGGAAATGATGGTCTAGATAAAGAAGTATCCGGTCCACCAGAAAATGAAGGTCGGAACGAAGAGTTATCCGGTCCACCAGAAAATGGCGGTCTATACGAAGAATTATCCGGTCCAATATTGGGTCCACCAGAAAAACCAGATCTAGAGAGGGGACCATTGTCTGGTCCACTGAACGGTCCAGATCTGGAACCCCGATCACCTGGTCGATCCCTCGGCAGAAAAGGTGCGTTCCCCGTGATTTTCCGAAAGCTCTCACCCAGCGATCCAAATGTACTACCACTTTTCTCAGAGCTCAGAAAACTACCGGATGGTTTAAACACATTGAGAGCTGCTCGTCTTTTTTCCATGAGAGCTTTCAACTCTGGTGACATCTCTGGAGGTCCATCAAAACGATCGGACTTGCCAAAATTCCTAGAATTACCCCCGAAGTTGTCCCTCCGATCGTTTGAATCAGTTGAATCAAATCGGTTGATATTTCCACCGAATCGATCACCAGATCCCATCCTATCGTCAGACACAGCTCGATCCCCTCCAAATCGATCTTTGTCATCAAATCGATTATTCCCAGAGCCGAATCGATCATTCCCACTAAACCGATCGCCGCCAAATCGATCCTGCGGACGTTCGAAATTCGATTCGAATGCACCCCTATTCCCAAATCGATCTTGCTCCTTTGGTTTCTGGTCGTCGAGTCGATTATCAGTAAAAGATCTCTCACTGAATCGATCTTTAGGTGCAAATGAATCCGATCGAAAATCACTCCGACCGCCGAAGTCCCGTCCATCATTCCCAAACCGATCATTCGAAAAATCGCCACGTCCATCCCCCTGATTCATACCCCCAGAGTTAATTCCTCTGTTGCCATCACGATTGAACTGATCATGTCCCCGGAATTGATCATTGGTCCCTCGATCGTTGAACCTGTTCTGCTGATTCTGATCGTACGAGTCCCTTTTAAACGGCATATTCGGGGGTCCGTCCTCCCGCCTACCTGATCCTCCCTGATCCCGAGAATTCTGATTAATCTGAGGATTAGGTCCAGGAAAGCCTGAGTTGAAGCCAGGCGGTGGCTGCGAGAAGTTGGTATTGAGATTAGGAGGTGGATTGAATGGTGGCATGGTCGATGGCATCATTGGTTGATTGCCAGGCGGAAGCAGAGGTGGCGGTTGAGAGAAGTTGGAATACCCTGGCATTGGCATATTTCCCATGTTGTACTGTCCCGGCCACTGCTGACCACCCCAAGGACTCTGGGTAATATCAGGCATGTTGGGTATAGGTGGAGGCTGTGTCTGCATTGCAGGTGGACCCAGAGCTGGTGGTGCTGGTCCAGCTGGTGGAAACGCAGTCTGAGGTGGTTGTCCTTCGCCAACATCTTTGCCAGTCAATCCCAGGGTCTTTCCAATCCCCAAGAGATTATTCAGTAATCCCTGATTCTCCGTGCTGGACAGAATATTCAGAATTTTGTCACCACCTGGCATATTCTTCTTCCTCTCTGCCTCGATCTTAGCTCTTTGAGCTTCTCGCTTCTTTCGCATCTGATCTCGTCGTTCGATCAACTTCTCTCGCCATGCTGTCCACTTTGCCTCGTACTGCTTGTACTGTGCCTGAAAATAATTATTACTTTTTGTTTGGATTCATTAGGTAATCGAGTTTATTTAACTGTTTCATTGCGTTAACGAGCAGCCGAAGAGAAGTGGAGGATAAATATCAATTGTCTTCCGATATTGTAATTTAATATCAACCTACCTTGTCCGGATGATTAGCATTTTGTTGTTTCCACTTGTTAAATTGTTCTTCCCACTGTTTAAATTGTGCGTCAAACGTTCTCTCGGCTTCCGTGAGCTCATCCTCTTCGTTTTTCAATTTCTTAGCACTATCAGTTACAATATCAGTATCAGCGCTCCTCTTCCCTGAATTCAAGCCATCATGAGCATTATCAGGGGGTGGAGGTGGTGGACCGAGTGGTAAAGGAGGATTCGCATTTTTAGACGGAAAAAGGGGTAAATTATTTTGATGCGGTGGTAAAATACCGTTAAAACCGTAGCTCGCGTTATCAGGGGGTAAAGGGGGTTTCGCGGTTGAATTCTCCTTGGGTAGTGGAGGTGGTTGAACAACTGGTGGTACTCCACTCACTCCAGCTGATGACATCTGCTTCATCGCATCTTGATACTGAAAATAAATTCATTTTTTTTTTTGGTTTCGGCATTATCCACGTGGTGGAATAGCTCCACCCGGTCGATCCATTTTCCGTACCTTTGCACCGTATTGGGCCTGCCACTGTTGATACTGTTGTTGCCACTGCTGCCATTGGGCCCAATTTTGTTGTTGAGCAGCTGACCACTGCTCAGCGGTATATCCACTCGGTGCCTATCATTCATTTCATGTTAATATCACGAAAAATTCCCTCAATTCTTTGATTAATCATGCGCATTCCTAATTGATTTTTTTTTTTTTACAAACTCCGGAAAACTTCAAATCTCAACGGAGAAAAAAGTTGGAAAAATTCATGATTTATTGTCCGTCTGATTGATCAATTAATTCTGTAATGGGTGTTATTGTTTGCGCCTTATTCGTGTGTTTTACCGGATGACACTGCAAAGGATGAATTTTCCAAAATATTTATTCGTCATTCCAAAATATCAGAACCTTCTCTGTCTCGTGGTGACATAAAAGGAGACAGAGAAAGAAAAGGAATTCGTTTTTAACATACGTATGAGAGAATTTCATAGAAAGTTGCACTCTCTCTGAGAAACTATCCGAGTTGTATTAGAATTCTTAGAAAAAATTCGATTTCTTCTCTTCTTGCCAATTCCATAAAAAATTTTATCGCATCGTCAACGCCATGTACATAACTAGACATTTGTTTATAAACAAATGCATAAATATATCGATGGTTTTATTTATTCCATCAAGATTTTTCCCATAAAAATTCGTCGGCACTATTTTTCCATTTTTTTTCTCTTGAAATTTATTACGAAATACAGATATAAATGCAGGAGAAAAAAATCGAAAATTTAGGCGCTAAAATTCGAACAGAAAAATAAAAAATTATCATGTTTCTATGAAAGTTGCATAATTTACTATAAAAACGCAAAAGAAAAAAAACCAAAACTAAAATTAAACAGAATTCTAATAGAACATGAAGATATTTCTTACAGAGTTCTAATAAAAATTTAATAGAACTTAGCTATTAATTTTGTTAAAAGCGAAAACCAGGAGTTGTTTAAATAAAAATATTAACCCTTTAACGTGTGAAGGGTAATATCAAGACTATTTTCACGTTGTGTGTAGAAAAAAAATGGTCTCCGAGTGTGAGAATATCAGTTGTAGAACTTACTGGTTGATTATAATATTGCATGTATGCCTGCATTGTTGCCATGGGATCTGCCCCGGGTGGAGGATAACCGGAGCCCCCAGGAGTCTGTGGCATCGAACCGGTAACAGGAGTGGCAGTGGGTAACTGCCATGGGTTCCAGTTTTGCATAGTATGATATTTTTGTTATATATCTCGTTAGTTCAATAGCATTTAAATATCGTCTTGAACTACAACCAGATCATTAGCTACGGCATGTTGAGGGCGTAATAGGGCTCTCGGATTCGTTCAGACGCTATTTCAAGTTCAAACAAAATTCTTATTACTAAATTTCTACGTGTCTACCTTACAATTACGTTGATAAATCAAAGTAACAACAATCCATTGCTCAATTATAAATAATTCAATATAAATTACAATAAAATCACATTTATCGGTGTCGCCGCGGGTCATAAATTATGAGGTGCGGTAATTTGATGACCCTTTATAAATTCAATCAGTAATTAAAATTTCGTAACGCATCGCAGAATCAATCGACAGACATCAGCTGTGCATTTTGATAGTCGGTATCGATAATGTGAAAAAACAGATTCATAAAATTATTTATTTCATGAGACTGATAGATAAACAAAAAAAGCCGATAAAATAAAGTCCGCATTGCTCATTTTTTAATATCATGGGGTCAGAGTTTTGTAACGTGAGAGTCTGGCAGTTTGATAAATTAAAATACCATAAGCTTATAAAAATAAATAGAAAAAAAACCTCTGGACTCTGGCGATTGCACTGAGCCAGTTAAAATGATGATTTTATTTTTCTTCTAGGGTTTATTATAGAAATCCAGGAGAAGTGACTGCTGAACAGTTCTGCAAACAGAGTCTTGAGGTTAAGATATCGATTTGTCGTTCAACATCACAATCGGGTGATGCCTCCAACCGTAAAATAGTCATTGCAATTTCCGTTGTTTTATGGAGTGAAAGACGACGCGGATGAGAAATCTGATGGTTTTTTTTTAATCAGTGAAAAAAGTAATTGGTTTATTCACGAAACAAGATGGACGGTGTTCAGCGTACTTACATCAATACAGGAGAGTGAAATCTTCAATGGGGTTGTGCCCGATTTCGACGAATTGCCGGACGATCGAGTGATCAGTTTTTGGGTTAATTATCGAATGATTTCAATAAACACTTGGTCAGACATCTGCGGGAAATAAATTTTCACGACGGACTGGGCGACTGAGAGCGACTGCGCCTGTGAAAATGACGCCTGAAACTCTTGGGCAGAGAGGATTGACTAAAGTAGAGGCTCAGTTCTGGGGGTTTGAGTGACCCCACCGGAATCGTAATACCTCACCCCGAGGGAGAGAGGACGCCACACGCAATGCTGGGGTGTCTGCCCGTCAGCCGACTCGATAACTGCCTCAGTAGCAAACCCGCTGTCAGAGGGACCAGTCGACGGGGTGAATAGTATTTTCTGCGTAACGAAATTGGTATTCACTGGAATTGGAAAATCCCAAATTTTCAAAAAAAATATCAGGGAAGCATGAAATTGGAGGAGGTATTCACTGAAATGTAAAAATTCGAAATTTAAAAAAATGAAAATCGAGGAGATTTTCACGGGAATTTGAAAATTTGAAATTTTTAAAAAAGTATCAGCGGAACATGAAAATCGAGGAGGTATTCACTGAAATTTGAAAATTCGAAATTTTTGGAAGAGTATCAGGGGAGCATGAAAATGAAGGAGGTATTCACGGAAATTGAAAAATTCAAAATGTTCAAAAAAGTATCAGGGAAGCATAAAAATCGAGCAGGTATTCACTGGAATTTGAAAATTCTAAATTTTTGAGAAAGTATCAGGGTAACATGAACATCGAGGAGGTATTCACTGAAAGTGAAAAATTTTAAAATTTCAAAAATGTATCAGGGGAGCATGAAAATCGAGGAGATATTCACTGAAACTTGAAAATTCAAAATTTTTCAAAAAGTATCAGGGGAGCATGAAAATCGAGGAGGTATTCACTGAAATTTGAAAATTCTAAATTTTTGAGAAAATATCAGGGTAACATGAACATCGAGGAGGTATTCACTGAAAGTGAAAAATTCTAAAATTTCAAAAATGTATCAGGGGAGCATGAAGATCGAGGAGGTATTCACTGAAATTGAAAAATTTTAAATTTTCAAAAAATAAAATTTACCCGATCAATTGATCCCTCTGACAGCGGGACTGCTACTGAGGCAGTTACCGAGTCGGCTGACGGGCAGACGCCCCACCATTGGGGGCGGCCCCTCTTTCTTTTGGGGTGGGGTACTCCCGCAGAACTGAGCCGCCCAGTGAGGGTTTGAGTGACCCCACGAGAAAGAGGGGGTCGCACCCAATGGTGGGGTGACTACCACTCAGCCGACTCGGTAACTGCCTCAGTATCAGTCTTGCTGTCGCCCTCCCTCTCTCGGGGTGCAGTACTACGATGCCGCTGGGGTCACTCCAACCCCCAGAACTGAGCCTCTACTTTAGTGAATCCTCTTTGCTCCTGATGAACAATCCGCCATCCGTCAGGGATAAGCCACGGTGTCACCTTCAGAGGGTAAAATATCGACAGTCATTATCTTCGAGATAAAATATTTATTTCTTTCACAACAATTAGACGATGAGATTTGATTTACAACATTCAAAATTTTTCCGTAAATACACATCTGAGATCATTAGAATTAAATATTATACAGTTTCAGGGCAGAATGGAAACTTGAGGATGAAATTTGACAGAGAATTCTCGCTGTCTTAATTTAAAAGGGGATGGATTTAAAAAGCAATCGTTTTTCGATATTCCTTTTTTTTCTTGAGATTCTCTCTGTGGAAATTAGTAGTTCTTCCATTTTTTTTTGTGGTTTTGAATTTGAATCTCTTCTTTAAATCGAATATTCAAAGAAAAGAATTGAAAATGAAGAGTCCATTTTGCCCCGCTTGCTTATTGCGCTATTCATACACCTTGTGTCTCCCGACTTTTTCGTTCGTTGTTCTCAGCATTCAAACGAATCAGGTGTCGACAATCACAATTTTAAAATACAACGCGCAAAGTAGAAAGATCGACACAAAAACCCATCGCGCGCCCTAAAAAATTCTCCGACGATCTCCCCAAATTTTTTTCGATAAAAAATTCAAATGAAATGATAAATTTCAGTTGATAAGAATAAAATCTAATGATTTTCCCTCTAGAAAACAAATTTTAGAGTCAACGAAAATTCAATGATAAATTAAAGAAGACGCGATAGCTTTTTTATCATGCGTTCTCACACCTATGGCAGCTTCCATTATTCTTTTACGATTGGAATATGTACAAAATTAGATTCCTAGTAATTATCCTCTTTTCCATCGAAAGGGGTTTTCACGAAGTAGGTTGTCAAGGTACCTTTTCCCTTGACAAAGGTGGGCCCTCGGCAGATGAGTTCGTACCCAGCGTTAGTCAATATTTTCGCTGTATCCTCTGTCACCTGGAGCCGCCCCATTTCGCCACAGCTATCCATCCTGGAGGCTACATTAACGGTATTTCCCCAGATGTCATATTGAGGCTTCTGGGCACCCACCACTCCAGCTATCACTGGTCCATGATTGAGGCCTGCCATTAAAAATTAATTTAATAAAAAAATTAGTATTTGAAATCGTCGAATTGTTTCAAATCGTTTCAAATCGTTTTAAATTATTTCAAATTGTTTTAAATTGTTTCAAAGTGTTTCAATCCCATCGATAATTTGCCCGAACCATACTCACCCATTCTCAGTTTAAACCTCTGAAAGGATTCTCTATTAATCTGATCAAGAATGGTCATCAGGGCGATGGCAAACTCGACGAGGACAATGACATTGTGTTCCTGCTGTTTCGTCAAATCCTAAACACCAGCAGAATGCAATCGTTAAAGTGTACAATCCCGAAAGCGACAATTAACGTACATTCCTCAATTAAAATTAACTCGAATTTTACACCTGATATTACGCGCCTGACGTTTTCATTCGGATTATTAGTCATTGCGTTGAAATCTCACTGATTACGATGCGAAAAATGTTTAACGTGGTTAATTACATTTTCCTCTCGTTTACGATAGAATAATTTGGGTTAATCCACACGGAGAATATTTTAATTGGATTTTCCATCAAGAAATGAAAAACGTAATTTTATTTTTCGATAATGCATTTAAAGCAAGTGTTCGATGAAAATCAAAATGAAATTGTCAATGAATTCTAAATATAGTAATAATTTTTAATTGAAGTGGAATTAAAAGTCACGTAATTAATAATTAATAGGACATTGTGATTGGGATTGAAATAAATTTTGACCTTTTCACTGATATCTTCCTTTCCAGGGCTGAGGCCAGCAGCAAGCATATAAGTGCTCCCAATAGTCTTGATCTTCTCGATTCCCGAGAATTTAGGCTTCAGCAATAATTTATCAAAATCACAAATAATTTCATTGAGTAATCTGAGACACTCTAGCCCCTGTTTATTGATATCAGTCTCATCATAAAACTCCTTGTAATTGGGTATCGATGCAAACATAACGGCGATGCTGCTGTATCTCTCGTGGTACAGATCCTGATTGATATGAGTTGAGAGGAAGTGATCGGCCACATGAGCAGGAAGAATATTCTCCAGGAGAATCTTGTTTATGCCGCGCATTGTTTCCACTTCGTCTTGCTCGACTCGGAGCTTTGTCTTCCACAAAAAATCCGTTCTCGTTGTGAATTCGATTTGTCGGTCGAGTACGTGGAGGAGTAGGGCGATGGTGCAGAGGAGGAAGCCAATTTGAAGGAGATGGTGTATTCCGGTGAATCTGGGGAGTGGTTCAAAATATAGGGGAGGCCTGTTTTATTCAATTTCTCTTCGATCAGACTCACTCGTTCTGGTTTTCGTAGTAGTATCCGATCATCGGGGTCCAGTGAAACACCACGAGGATTGACAGGATCGAGAGGAGCATCACGAAGAGCTTCAGGATAAAACCAACCCTCAGGTGAACCCATCCTATCACCAGGGCAAGAGCTGCTGAGTGCACATATGCCTGGAGCCATAAAAAATCTCATAAAATTTTATCTCATTTGTCCAGTAAATTTCAGTTGGTGGAGAATATTTATGAATATTTCCGGGGAACTCACGGATGCGGCTCGCGGTTTCTTTTCATCGTCGTCGATTAGGCTCATCAGTCCTGAAGCAACACCGAGGACTGATGTGATGAGATAGACAGAGATTCGGATGCAACGACTCAGGACCACAGGATTACTCGATTCCTCCCGAACGAGGGATATCCTGTCGGCGTACCACGAGATTCCAGTGAAGAAAACCAGGGAAATCACACCGATTGAGAAACATCCGTAGACCGTTAAACTGCTGCAGGTTTCGAAACTCATTTTAATCGGGTAATTATCTTATTTCTAGGTATCTTCAATTTTTTTTATTGAAATTCCCAACAAAAGCAATGTATCAGTAAATAAAAAATGTAAATTGTCAGTAAATGAATTGGATTACTTGAGTTGAATTTAACAAATTAGAAATTGAGTTAATTATTGGGTAATGAGACGAGTACAGAAGATCGAGATTTTCGGAATTTTAGAATTGAAATTATACAGGTAATTGTGATTACCTGGGTTGATGGATAACTTGAATAATGAACATTGCGAAGTACAGAATGGTGGACGCGACGACGTACCAGGGATACTGCTCATCCCGTTGGTCTCTGTACTGAGTCTCTTGGGTTTTATCCTTAAACCAGTACGTGGTCGGCGACATTCCCTCGTTACCAGTGCAACATTGTCTGTCAGGTGAGGTTCATCGTATTAAATTCATGGAACTTCTCCAAGTTCAGTAATTAAATTGAAAGCAACCTACTTGATGTTCATGCAGTTTGAGGTATTCGACAGAAGGTTCGACTCGATCATCGCGATGCTCTGAAATTGTTCCCTCATTCTTTAACACCCACATGTACGATAATTATTATTTTTTCATTCATTTTATTTATTCCATTTTTGAATTAAAAGTGAAATTACGCTCAATTTTGTGGAGAAGTATTTTGGATTTCTATGGAATTTTGGGGTTCCCAGGAATTTTATTGAAGAATGGATTTTTTTGTGAAACCTTTCACAAAAATTGAGAGAAATTAGAATAAATAAAAGGTATAATGAATTTGGTGTGAATTGTTTGTCCGGATAAAAAAAATTTCATGCGAATATTTTTTCCAAATTTTCAAAAAATTTCTGGAAGACTTTTCAGAAGTTTTTTTTTATGAAACAGAAAAAAAATCGGAAAACTAAACAATTTTAGTTTTGGGAAAGGTTTTGACAAATTTTTCAAACATTTAAATAAAAAAATTCTTTTTATAATCTAGATGACGTATTTTTTGAGAATATTAAAAAATTAAAAAAATAAGAAAACAACCGTATAATGAAAAAAAAAATATATCCACCAAAATTTCTAGAAAATGTTAAAAAAAATTCTCCGAAACAAATATTTGAAATACTTTTCAAAACATTTCCCAAAAATACAATTGTTTTGTTTCCCGATTTTTTTTTTAATTTCTGAAAATTTTTCTAAAAATTTTTTGAAAATTTGGAAAAAAATATTCCGATTACAATTTATTTTTACCCAGGGCGCGTGGATGTAAATTCGTTTTGTTTATAAAAATTCACTCTCCCCTCGGGGATTTAAAAAGTAAGACTTGAATAATTAACGTAACCTACGGTTAAACCAATATTTTTCGCTAATGTTGACTCAGCGATGTTGGCAAAGGGTTTATCCGCCCCCCAGCACTCAACATATTTAGTCATTTTACTGCTGGGCCTTGACCTGGATGGCACTGGACCTGGCGTTTTACCATTTTCCATTTCGACCTCTCCTTTAGTTTTCTGGGAAACAAAGAGATACAGTGGCTAGTTTCCTCTGTTACGACCTTACTGCACCGTGGAATTTACCCAACAGAAATAATTCAGTGGGTGGTGGATTTGGAGAGGGAGAATCGCAGTGAATAAACGGGAAAATTGTGGCACTTGTTTTAGGGATGATAATTCACCTCTGGTGGTATTATGAGATAAGTTTCGATCTTGTGGTCGGCGAGATAACTCTCACGGGAGTCACCATTTCCAGGTTCAACCTTGAAACGATCACCAAGTTGCTCCAGGGTTGCTGCTGTTATGTGAACTCTCCTGTTGGGGATCAATAATAACTTGAACAATCTCGTTATCCTGAAGGAAAAGCTGAATATAATTGAACAGAAAAAAACTTGAATCACGAATTTTATCATAATTCCCCAGCTCTCATTACATTTCGTTCCATTTTCCATTTGATTTTTTTCATTGCATTGAATAAACTCGTCCAATCAATTAAAAAAATAGTGGTGAATTTAGAATAGAGAAAAGGCGAAATGAAGAGCTGAAAATAATTGATGTTCCAGGTGGAGGAGCACCAGGTGAACAGAACAGATCAGCAATTTGCATTAATTACATAGTCACTCGTATCGATGGAAAGTCGATAAAAAATACTCCCGTGAGAGGTGGAAATATTCATCTTGTAACGAAATTAAAATGGCAATACGGAGGGTGGAGGTCAAAGAGTCCGCAAGTGGTGTCATTAAAACTCACCCAGGTAATCCACCACTCTCCATATGATTGGCGAGAGTGACATCGTCACTCCAAACATCAAATTGCCATTTTCGAAGGCCAAGTACACCACAGAGAACATTTCCCGTGTGTATTCCAATTCTCATGTCCACGTTGAATCCAGTTGCCTCTCTCACGAATCTTTCAGATGAATTAAAATTCTCTTTCAATCACGGATGATGAATTATTTTGTCAAGCTCTAAGCACTCGTGGTACAGTAACTATTCTATTTCAATTGTACTTCTATAAAGGAAATGAAAAGATATTTCCTCAGGAATATAATGCTGTTATATTTTTATGACTTCATTTCATTTTCTGAAAACTCAAAAACCGTAAAAATACCATTTTATATTAAAAAAATTATCGCCTCTACGAGTTTTAGAAAAAAAAAATGGTTCTTAATGGAAAAGCTAATGGAATTAAATTGAATTCACTTGCAATTCTGGGAGCGTAATTATTAATTAGGGCATTTTGTTAGCGAATGCTGAAAGTTACGAGATTTCTCCACACGAGGAGATGAAGATGAAGGTAAAAGAGGAGTAAATAATTTCAGCTGAGTAGTCGGATAATATATTTTTAATTTTTCTATGCAAATCCCGGGATATTGCGATGGTGATGTGGATATTCGTCAGCTAGTCCTGGAGGGTACCCCGGGGATACTCAAAGTTCCTGAGGACCATGTACAGAAGTTGCTATTGTGGCAGGTATCACGTTAAAAAATAAATAGAAATAGAAAATTACCGCTGACTGTCAAATTGCTTTTTCTCCCAACGATCAATAGACTATTCAACCAAACTGTTATTCCAAGTGAATTCTTAGGCAATAAAATTTTTTATGAAGACCCACGGGAAACTTGCAATCCAGAGATTCTCTCCCACCCATCACAATTTCCACGGAGATGTTCCATCCCCTGGAAATTCTTATACCGTAAGTTTTGAAATAGGTCACGCATGTGCACTCTATCCCCGACAGTTGACTTTAAATTTCTCTTGTTTCAGAACTTGGAAATGATGATGAAGATTCTGGACATTAATAATGAATTCATAAGACTCGGGGAGATCCTGAATTCGTACCTGATGGTGTCGATCATCTGGAGTCCCATATTGACGCAGTTGTAGGCGTGATTAGGTCGGGAGACAGGAAGACCAGATACGCAGTAGTAGCAATCCCCCAGGATTTTTATCCTCATGCACTGATTGTCCTGAAAAAAAAATTATTGAACGCGTCCACTGAATTTCTCCCTGAAACCGAATTAATTCATCATTTCCCGTAAAAAAAAAATATATATATATAATAATATATTCAATAATAATAATTTAATAAATTATAGAATTCCCAGTAATCAAGATCTTCTCGATCTCTCAGAATTTCCAAATAAATTAAATACAAAATAAATATTTAAAAAAAAATGTATTAAAACTGTAGATCGCATTTTTCCCGTCTTTGAGATAAATCGAAAAATCGGCCACATGGATCGATCCAAAAATCGACCTCGACCACAACCTTTCAGTCCCTCATTGACTCACTACCCTCCACTCGTATTAATTTGCCTGAGCACTCGGGTAAAAGGCAGTCTAAGAGGAAAGGCGCCCCGAGGTAAACAAGAAATTGACAGGCGATAGTTAGATCGCCCCTTTCACCCAAGTCTTCATTACCACCGTCAATGGACACTCCAGATAAGACCCGAATAATTAAAACGCGAGTACGTAAAGCTTATCAACCCGATTTTCCTCTTCCAGATGGAGTCGGTGTGCTCAGATACCTGATGGAGATTCCCCAGTATTTGAACATCATTTTCATGACTACCTGACGGAATATTGTTGCATTTAACGTGGAATAAGTTGATGGCGCCTGGGGGCCAATTAAATTATACAGCAGTTGCAGCCCTTACAACTCTTCTATTCCTTTCATCTAACGCTTCAGAGCTTTTGGACTCATTTTCTGTGGTCTTCTTCGGCATGTATTTATTTTTCATTCTTTCTTATAGATTTCTCTTTTATTTTCTGGTATTCTCTTGAGATAATTTTTATGGGATCTCGTCGGGTTTGAATTTTTAAACTATTTATCGTTTTTTTAATCAGAATAATTATTCGATGAAGCGAGGACTCGATGGGAATGAGACTCACATGCCCTTTTGTCGATAAAATATTTAGGTTCTGCGTGATAACTCTGGTATTTGATGTATTCCATAAGGTTGAGATAGCCCACAATTATTGCTATTTCCGACCATTGGAATTTAGTCTGTTTAAACCGATGCTATTCCTCTTGGAATAGCTCCACGTCTAACGGTATTGATTATCGAAGCACTTTGATGTGTATTTCGATTGAGTATTTCAGTCAATAAAAAATGTTAATGTGACATCGCGTTTACAAACGATCTGGATTAATCCCAGGTGTTGCATTTTGTACGTTACCAAATGCACAGGTTAATATTTATTTATGATTATTAGAGCGGGGAATAATGAGGTGTGGTGGGTGGATCTGGTCGTATATATCATGGATTTCTATTGGATTAGCGCCGGTATTGGGGCCATGAATGCTTCGCCAATGTTTTTCCTGGGTTTGTTATGGGTTTTGCGATTGAATTATTGAAGAGGTGGCACGTCCTGCCTCGAAAATGCAATTAAATTAATCTACACTGAAAATGATCTATAAAATCATTTTAATATTGCTCTTTTCTCGTCGATTGGTCCGTGAAAGTTATTCAAAATTATATACACATTAAAATATATTATTAATATATATTATTAATATATATTATTAATATATATTAAGTATATTAAAAAATAAAAATCGTTGTGGAATCGTTTTGAATTCGTGGGATTCTCTCCCGATTGTTTATCAAATAAGTAAAATTTCAGTCTCATGACATTAAAAATAAATAGTGTCGTATTGTGTGGGGAATTTTTAGGAATTTATAATAGGGGATTCCCTATTGATCATGATTATTTTGAAATATCCATTTGATTCAGACATATCCATCGAAAACTGGGGATTGAGTGAACTTAACTCGTTTCAACACTTCCGTATTAAATCGAATTTTCTCATCATCAAAGTTGAAATTGGAGTTTTGATTGGCCGAAATGTTGGTATAGGATTGCCACTTTACGGGCAACCTGACATTTCCTTTTGTCAATATGAAATCCTGTAACGGGTTTCATATTCTGTTTACCAATGTTTCCTCAGAATTTTCCGGCTGTGATCCTCGGTCAGACTTTTGGCAACAAATCCTTTGGGATCTCCTGATGTGTGTGATACTGAGGGGTGGAATATAGAACCATTTGTTCTCGCTCACTGATATCTTGCACGTGTATTTGATGGTCAGGGAACCGTGAATATTAGGGGCTCGTGGGGCACAAGTGGGAGCATAAATCGAGGGTTAAGCCAGATCGACAGATATTTTTTTAGTACGAGACAAGGGATTTTTTTTCTTCGATATTCATTACTTCTCTATCTTTCCATTTTTATCGGAATATCTCATGAGTGTTCATCCATTTTGGAACTGAAGTTTGAATTAAAAAAATTTTTCTGAGAATTTAAAATTCATTCATCCCATAATTTTCTATTCATAATTTCTTCTGCTCACGATTTCTATGTTCCGAATTCTTGAAAAAAAAAGATAAACTTTTATTCAGTAATTTAATAACAATTTTTGATAACCAGAATTAGTGATTATACAATTATTATTAGCGGAGAAATTTGTTTGATTCACAGGGAAGAGAATCCTCAGAAAATGGCGTGGATTTTGAAATGGAATTTTTTCGCGTAAAATTTCAAGAGCAGAATTTTATGGGAAATTTTACGGGGGTAATGGTCATTTTTATCTCGAATCTCGAATTTTTTCAGTGTTTCCAGATCGATCAGGATTCGTTGCCCCACAATACTAAAAACTCGAGTAGATGTTCCTCATCAAGATAAAATCCATCGAATGTCGGAGGATAACTTTGCAATTTCGTAAATGCCAGGTCCTCCAGATAAAACGAATTTACACGGATGACATTGTGAATTGAAAATACCAAGGGACGCTAATGATATCAGTATTCCACTCTCCCGAGATGATCTCAATGGAGGAAAATCAGTAGTTATGCTCAGCTCAAGTCTGTCGGATCGAAAATCAATATTCCATTTGTAACTAGGGTTCGGCGGTTCAGAGAAAAAGGCGGAACCTTTGTATCTCCTCTTGATAATTCCCCTCTGTTCTCATCTCGAGTGAAACACCTAAGAGAAACTCGGTTTGCGAACACGTACGAGAGAATGGAGATCATTGAGTGGAAGAAATTCAATTACGCTGACTATTCTCAAAACACAGTGAAAGAAACTTGGAGGATTCACCCCCGACTATTTTCGCACGTATGGAAAAATTCAATAGAAAAATCCCAGTGCATGTTGAGAAAATTCGACGTACGTAGAAATTTCCAAATTTTATTGACACTTATATTATTTTATATTATCTGATGGGAAAAGGGGAAAAATTCATCTCGAAATATCTCGAAATATCTGAATGAGTGTAAGGGTAAGACCCATAAGACAAAAAAATCACGAAAATTTGGACGTTAAATGATTTAATTAACAAATTTTTAACTTCCTTTAAACAGAAAGGAAGAATATGCTATTTAAATGATCTTTGCAATCAACTGAAGAAGAATTCGAAAATATTTAAATCGATTTCTTGAATGATTGAAAGGATAATTGAAAAATATTTCATTTTAATATTTCATTATTCTCACCTGTGCGATTTGATCAAACCTTCCGAAGAGTTGGTTCAGTGTCTTAACAAGATCCGAAGCTGACAATTGTTCGGAGAGAGGAGTAAAGTTGACAATATCTGCATAGAGAATGCTGCAAGTTGAATGATAAAGATAAAAAAGTGAGGATTTGCTTTGAAATGCAGAATGATGCGAATAATTTTGAAAACTTTGAATTCCGCTGAGAACTCGATGCTGAGTGTCTTCAACATCGTCATCATCAGCATCTCCAGTAGTGGCGCAATATCAGAGAATATCGTGTATACCAATTAATCCATATAATGGCTTGTAATATCTGATGCTCACCTGACATTATTGTGTCGTTGAACATACATCTCGTGAAAGCGTGTCTGCTTGTGCTTGCTCACTTCCTGACAGGCATCAGCCATCTTCAGCATAATACTCCGCTTCACCTGTTCATTATTTCCACACAAATTTGGTTAATCAAGTGGACGAGTCAAGGGAATCCATTTCCAGAAGATACTAGAGTATGTAGCTGGAGACATCAAATCAGAGAGGAATACTCAATGAAATCCGGGTGAAAAAAAATTGCAATCGGAATATTTTTTCCAAAGTTTCAAAAAATTTCGGGAAAACTTTTCAGACTATTTTTTTTATGACACAAAATAATGAGAAAAATCATTTTATTTTTGGGAAAGGTTTTGAAAAATTTTTCAAAAATTTGAGGAGGAAAATTTCTTTTATAATTTAGATGGCGTTTTTTTTTTGAGAATATTGAAAAATCAAAAAAGGAAAAAAACAACAGTATTAAAAAAAAATTATATTCGGAAAAATTTCTAGAAAATAAAAAAAAAAATTCCGAAAGAAATTTTTGAAAAATTTTTCAAAACGTTTCCCAAAAATACAATTGTTTTGTGTCCCGTTTTTTTTTCAAAAAAGAAACATTTTCCGGAAAGTTTTCCAGAAATATTTTAAAAATTTAGAAAAAATATTCCGATAACAATTTTTTTTACGCGGGAAACTGAATATTAAAATTCAATTTTTGGGAAGAGAATTCAGAGAGGCATATGCCGTAGAAAATTTGTGGATTATTCTCAAAATCATTAATTAATTGTTCTAATAATTATTAATGAGGTGAGAGCATTTAACCAGAGAAATGACAAGCAGAATTATTTAATAAGATCTTGATACTCAATTCTCTCAGGGGAAATTTTTATATCAGATCTCCGAATGTTGTTCTCTGACATTTTCTTTACGTTTTTTTACGTCTCACTGCTGGTTTATGAGAGGATTAGACTGTGTGGAAGAAGATGAGGGAAACAGATACGGGATTTCATCGTGACTAAGTGCCTGATACTCTCGGCCATTGAGTGGAGTAATGAGAGATCAGGCGGGTTGTTTTTCCCTTGTGTTTGAGTTTCTTCTGGACCTCAAAGGATATCTCAATGTTTTTTGCGGTCAATGAACAGGGTTCTGTTAAAAAACCGTTAAAATAAAAATTTCTTGATTCAAGAACATTTTTTTCTTGAATCCGAGTGAAATGGTATTTAATGGAGACTGCAGGGGATGAATTATTAGAAATAACAATTGATTTAATTAATTATTCATGAGAAAAGTTGAATAATCATTGAATTCAGGCGAATTTTTGGTGGAATTCCCCGATTTATTAAATGAATTTCGGAAATCACCTCTGCTGCTATGTAGGCTGGAATGACGCTGAGCAACAGTTGCTCCTGCTGTTCTCTCTCGCACTCGAGTTTAACCCGTGATTTAATAACAGTTTTTGTACCCGAGAATGTCTGTTTGTGTGCCCTGGCTGTTAAATTCCGGTAGTGAATTCCAGCGAGAATGGCCGACAGCAGAAGAACAGCATCACTCATCACCTGTGAAAAATTCGAAATTCTGCAACTAGTGCGAAAATTATAATTCCCATTATCGATCCGTTTACAGTAATTATGTAAATAATTAATTAGAAAATGAATTGACACCTTCTGGGTGCAATTTTTTCTATGAAACAAAAAAAAAATCAGAAAAATCATTTTATTTTTGGGAAAGGTTTTGAAAAATTTTTCAAAAATTTGAGGAGAAAATTTTTTTTTATCATTTAGATAGCGTTTTTTTTTTGAGAATATTGAAAAATCAAAAAAGTAAAAAAACAATGGTATGATTAAAAGAAAAAATTTTATTCGCAAAAAATTCTGAAAAATTGTAAAAAAAAAATTCCGAAATAAAATACATAAATAAATTCCGGGTTCCGTTTACTTCTAGTTGGATTTTATTAGTCTACGAATTTGTGGGAAATTCTTTGCACAAATCCCGGAATATTGGCAATTAAATTGTGAGGCTGGTGATTCCTGGGACATTGCGTCCAATTTACTCGGACAAACGAACCGCTTTGATGGTCCGGGTAAAAAAAAAATTGCAATCGGAATATTTTTTCCATTTTCAAAAAACTTCTGGAAAACTTTTCAGAAAAATTTTCTTTTCAAACAAAAAAAAATCGTGAAACAAAACAATTGTATTTTTCAAAAATTTGTTTCAGAAATTACTTTTTATAATTTTCTAGAAATTTTTGCGAATATAATTTTTTCTTTTAATTATACCGTCGTTTTCCTACTTTTTTGATTTTTCAATATTCTCCAAAAAACGCCATCTAAATTATTTTTAAAAAAATTCCTATTCAAATTTTTGAAAGATTTTTCAAAACCTTTTCAAAAAATAAAATTGTTTTGTTTTAAGATATTTTTTTTATAAAACAATTTTCTTGAAAAGTTTTCCAGAAATTTGTTGAAAATTTCAAACAAAATATTCTCATTAAATTTTTTTTTTACCCGGGGGGCTCAAAGGGAACTGACTTTTTATTCTCGAAAATGGTTTGATGGAATGAGGGATTACCTGGTGGAAGGTTGCTCCTTCGTCTATTATGTACAGAACAAATCCCCGTGCAATGTGGACAGCAGCAATAACGAGGCCGACCACCGATGGTCGGTGCCTCCTGATTCGGGGTAGAGTTGCAATTGTTGTCAGGGTACAGGCAAATACTGGTAATGGCCCAGCCAGCGCTAAAACCGCGGCACCGAGGATCAATGAGGAAGTCAGACCAACGGATATTCTTGCCCGGGTCGACGTCAGGGTTGACGGGAATTGAGCGACAGTCAGAAGACTCAAAGATGATACCACCATCATCGCGAGAATTGATGACTCCAGGATCACAGCCTTCGGATCCTGTTGCACAGAAAAAAATTGAAACATTTCCAATGTTTTTAGATTTACCAATTTCTTGAACCGCTACTTCATCCAAATCGGTAATTACACAATGATTTCTATCATTTTAATTATTTCGATTTCTCATTACCGATCAGGTGGTAAATTAATGCTTTGATCGAATTAAGGAGGAAAATAATCCATGAAATATGGGGATCATTAAGCGATCCTGGGGGGCGATCATTGTTCTGGAAAAGCATTGTGAATATCCTTTTGATCGGGGGGACAAAAGAGGAGTTATTCTCTAGCTGGTGATCTGAACTCTCATATTGTCCTCTTGATAGCGAGTTTTAGTGACCACGAGCAGAATACCAGCAACCTTATATCCAGCTAGTGGACATGTGAGCGACAGTATGCGAGATACGGCTAGCTGCATGCATTCAAAAGCCCAGAACCGTAAATCAGGATCAGATGAGGATGAGGGACAAAGGCAGGCCGGAACTCCTCCGCAATAATAAAACCGTTATGTTTTTTTTCTTCATCGGTTTACGCAGGGTTTCATGTAGCACTCAAGTATACATTCAGGTTTACTGGTTTTTATGTCTCCTAATGGCGGTGTCATTTGATATTTTCAAGTGACTCACGAGTTTTCCCGGGAATTTAAAAAAAAATCATTTTTATCCATTTTTGAAAAAAAATATTTTCATCGATTTTCGAAAAAAAATTATTTTCATCTCTCAATTGAATTCAAGCTGTTTTTGGATTAATCGAGAGGTCCGCTACTCATAACTCACGAGTTTTCCTGAGAATTTTCAAAAAAATTCATTTTTATCGATTTTTGAAAAAAAAAAAATTTCATCGATTTTCGAAAAAAATTTATTTTCATCTTTCAATTGAATTCAATCTTCCTTCGGACTAATCGAGAGGTCCGTTACTCATAACTCACGAGTTTTCCTCAGAATTTTCAAAAAAAAATCGTTTTTATCGATTATGAAGAAAAAATATTTTCATCGATTTTCGAAAAAAATTTATTCTCATCTCTCAATTGAATCCAATCTTCTTTTGGACTAATCGAGAGGTCCGCTACTCATAACTCACGAGTTTTCCTGAGAATTTTCAAAAAAAATCATTTTTATCGATTTTCGAAAAAAAAAATATTTTCGATTTTCAAAAAAAAATCCATTTTCATCGATTTTCGAAAAAAAAATTTTCATCGAATTTGAGGGTCATGACTACTCTCCCGTGGACTAATATTCTACCAGTGGATCCACGAAATTCGATGGGAATCGAACGACAGCATGTTCAACAGGGTCAGACCAGTGCTCAGGGGAGTGAACTATTTCCGAGGATTGATTGGAGGAAATTAACTGAGGGTGCATTTTATTCGCAACGTTTTTCGAAGATTGGGGGCGTGAATTCGGTGAGGAGTTCACGTGTACTAATTAATTCCCCTCACTTAATGATGCGATAACTGCAATTGACAGTTGATGGAATTCTCCATTCCAGAAAATTAATCAATTCCTTTGATGTATTTATTAATTTATTTACTCCAGCACCATTAATTGTAAATTGTACTTAATACCTAAAACATTATCTTTAATCAAATAGATATAATTATTACTATTGTCCATAAAAAAATGTGCAATTTTACAAAATTCAATAGAGAAATTGAGAATTCAGAAAATTGGGAAATGTTTTTTTTTCCAGAGGAATAGTCCAGGGTAATTGATGCGCATCAGTCGACGATTATTTCCTGAAAATAAATCGCTCACGAATCTTGAGTATCTATGGACTTACATTAAAGTGAAGTACACAGAGTGCAACAAAAGCAATGAGGGAAGCAGCTCCAGCGACAGTGAGAGTACCAGTGTAGAGTGATGCCGTTACTTTTCCCTCGTACCTGTCCCGGAGCTTTTGCAGCTCCTTGACGCTTCCATCGTCGGCTGCGTTGTCACCGAGGCTCTCTGCAAAAAATAAATAAAATAAAAATGAGAAAGACCGAGGAACAACCTGACAAGACAACTCCATGAAACGTAACTCCCAAGGAATAACTTTTAACGTATTATGGAAGAGCGTTGAAAGCGTAAGTCTGAATTTCCGTTGAACGGTTTTACAAGCGAATGCTTTTCTCCGCTATTTTATTTTCCTCCACCGGTATTCCAATATTTTTTCATCCGGTGATTCATTCAATCCCGATTCTCTTCCGTGAACTCTGCTGAGAGTGCGTGACTCTGTATTCAATCCATTTCCTCTGTCATATTTTTGTTTTTGTTACGGCTCGGCCAAATAATTCATCGCAGTGATCTATTGCCTCTCTATAGCTTTTATCGGTACACCGGTGGAAATTTAACTGCGGAAATATTTTCCGATGAATTGACTGTGGAGTAATCGAATGATGTGAGGAATTCAATCGAACAATTCTATTTTTATTATAAACGGTCACTGAATTTCTCTCGTTAAATTCGTAAATTATAAATAAATTCCCGCAAGGAACGGAAAATCCAGGGAAATTGTTGCTGTTTTTTTTTACATTCTCACGGTTTTTCAATGACGTATGGGTTTCAGAATTGAGAATTACAGGAGGAGCGTCAAGGAATTATCGGATTTAATTTCAAGTTCTCGATTTTTTTTACTTGAAAATTCAATTTTAATTTTCCAACAGTTTTCTGGAAATTAGAAACGAGATAAAACAAAAAGCAATTAATCTTGGTATTAAATAACTCGACAATTCTTTCGTAATTCAATAACAAAGATGAGAAGAAAATTTTAATATCCCACGAACCATTCGCCCCTCTGTCCTCTAATTACATCAGCTGTAATTCCCGTGTGCCTCGAAGGCCGAAGGACACGCTAAAATCTTCAACTCTAATTAATCCAGTGCAGCATTTCGATTGAGGATCCTATAATTAATCTACACGCAATCTATTAAGGATAACAGAAATGCAATCTGGAGCACAAGTGGAGAGACCGGACAAATAGTCAGACATGGCGACATGATGAAACAAAATTACTAGGCCGAGAAAAAAATTGCAATTGCTGCGTTGCGCAATTGTTACCTCAATTTCCAGTTTAATTACCTTTAATATTCCTCGCGGTGGAGATTAAAAATGTGAATTATTATTAACAACCAGTCAATAATTCGTTTGAAGTTCAAAATTCAACCCGTAATTAAGGTTTTTTATCGCGTTAATTGGGGACGCGCGTCGGGGTGAGAAATTGTTGATATCAATTGCAGATCCATCGGGATTAATCGAATTTTCACGGTCTTCCGACTGCTGGAGTTAATCAAAGGTGCTCTCGTCGAAGTTTGACGTTGTCCTAGGGCTGTGGAATATTCACTAGGAGCTCTCCAGGGGCCCAAGGTGTAAGTGGATAATACAAAGTTAACCATGAGTTTCAGGGATCGTAAAGTTTTGTTTTGATGTTACAGGGTTATGAGTTTCGGCGTTATTTTGTCGTTTACTTGGATCGAACTTCGACAAGGTGTAAATCGAGCTTTCGTTTTTATTTCGTCGTTAAATTTTAAGTAATTAAATTTGTTAATCAATTCGCAGGGTGCTTGTCGGATTTAATACGCCACGGATAAACCCTCATCTGAAATTATTTATTCATTTTCCCTTCCGAATTTCGAGGGAGTGTGAATTATTATTTTATTAATCGATCGCTGATTATTTATTCACGGAAAGCGGATTTATAAATAATGAAGCAATTGAATTTTTTTCAAGGAAATTACAATAATTCAATCAGCATCAGAGAAAATAATGTAGGTAAAAATTGTAACCGGAATATTTTTTTCAACTTTTCAAAAAATTTCTGGAAAACTTTTCAGAAATTTTTTTTTTGAAATCCAAAAAAAGTCGGGAAACAAAACAATTGTATTTTTGAGAAATGTTTTAAAAAATTTTTCCAAAATTTGTTCAGAAAATTTTAATTTATCATTTTCTCTTTTAATTATACTATTGTTTTCTTACTTTTTTGATTTTTCAATATTTAAAAAAAAAACGCGATCTAAATTATAAAAAAAAATTCCTATTCAAATTGTTGAAAAATTTTTCAAAACCTTTCCGAAAAATAAAATTGTTTCGTTTTCCGATTTTTTTTCATAAAAAAAATGTCTTGAAAAGTTTTCCAGAAATTTTTTGAAAATTTGAAAAAAATATTCCGATTACAATTTCTTTTTTACCCGGATTATTAAATAAAACATATTTATCGTCATAATTTGTTGATCGCTCTCTCAAGAATGCAGATATTATTTTTTTTCAACAGTGGAATAAAATTCGGGAAAATTACCCTCGGAAAATCAGACGTTGCACTCGTATACTAGATTAGTAATCTAGACTCTGGCAGAATTCCAGGCGCAACAGCTGTCACCTGTTATACCCGACAAGATGAAAAAATGGAAAAGCCCGCCGAGACACTAATTACACATGAATGCGTGTAATTAAATTCGAAGGTCGTGCAAAGGCCGTGGAAATTGAAATTCATAATCCCGAATTTTATTGGCTTCTCTAGATGAATACAGATTTTTTAAACAACACAATCTTCAATTAAATAAATCCACATAATTATCAGAATTCAATGGCGGTTATTTCAATAAATTAAATGACAATTTCCATTCCAACTCGTGTTGTTTTTCAAATTTCGCATCGCTACTGAATTTAATTCGAGAGGATAATTAATTTTCCCATTTAGTTCTGCCGATTTCTATTCAATTTTCGTCATTGCGTAATTAGAATTTATTAATCTAGTTCTAATTAATTAGAAATTATTCGAATTTCGCTGTGAATCAGATGAAATCATGCGGACGTTGTAGATGTCATGAGTCTAATTGGATAGCTTCGACACTTGCGGATGATACTCATCAAAGTGAATGTTAAAGTGCGGCGATTTTCCAGTGGTAAATTTTCCATAATAATGGATTTACGTGACAATTCAATGAGCACTATAATTGGAGATTCCGTGCTGTATGATGCGGGTATTGGTGTACAAGGGGAATATTTGGGGCGAATCACAATTGAAATATTCATCGAAAAGGTGAAGAGACGAAAAGAATTTCAAAGGAGAGGAGTGGGTGGAGATGACGGGATTCTATCACGCACTGATTTTATAAATAGGCAGGCGATGCTCGAAATAAAATAGTCGCCAGTCTCAGTTAAGAATAGGGGAAATTACAATAATCCGACATTTTGGTTAAATAATTTGCGTGGAGCAATCAAGGTTAATGATTATTTTCTCGGGCGAGTCATATTTCCGGAGTTGGGGTAAATTATACTATTGTTTTATTCAATTTTTCGTGCTTATTTTTTTACCCTATTTTATCGTACTTGAGCTCGATTTCCACGTCAGAAGGAAAACATTGTGATTAACCCTCGAAAATGATAACGAAATCGATTGTTAATTAAGAAAATAACACATATAAATCGAATTTAGTAGTGAAGTGGTAAACCAGGGTAATTGCATTTTTATCGGGGCTAGTTTTTAGCCGGTATCTCAGAATTGAAGGGACATACAGAATTTTTTGTAAAAATATATTTTATAGGAAAAGTCGAGAGCTACGAAAAAGGTATCAATGAAAATATCACTATCTTCCTTCAATCTCGAGAAATCGGGTAAAAACTGGGATTGGAAAAAAATCCCTTTACCATTTCCCAACGAAATTCCTGCGACTGAGTATTTTCAGGGCCTGAATTTCAGTGAAATCCGAACCCCGCGTAATTCCCGACAAATAATCATCCGGATTTCGAATAATTATCACAATAAAATGCAATTACTCGCAATGATGGATCGAAAAATAAATAAATTTCGCGGAGTACCGCCACGTGGTGTTCGCCAAGGCTGGGGGCGATAATTTTCGCACAGTTTATTTGGAAATTCTATGGCCCAAGGTGGTGTGGAGGATGTGGAGAACGGTAATATCCACGATTATGGAATAGAGCTTCCGGGGAAGGGAATTTACGGAAACGAGGAGATATCACAGGGCACGTAAAAAAAAAGGCAATTGCTAGTCGTAAAGTGCGAATAGTGGGAGGCCAGTAATGTTGCATTTATCCTCATGTTCAAAAGAAAAAAAGCAGAGATTTCAGAATTTTCTGCAGAACCTCCCATTATAGGATTTTTCCATCGACTCCTGTTCTCCAACATTGAATTATCAATTTCCGTAATCTTCCGACGCAAACCAAAAACGCTACAATTGTTAATAATTTTCCTATAAATTTACCACACGAAATGTGCAATATTTGCTTAAAAAATCGGGAAATACTGAATTTTCCATTTTCTTGATCTCTATTTTTACTCCAAATAGACGAGAGATGATTGACAATTATAAACAAAACATCTAGTCGAAATTTACAGCCGGAAAATCCCTCAACAATCCCTTCACCTCATAAACACAATAAAATAATCATAACCGGTTTCTGGGAATCTGTAACAGTTTCTATTTCCACGTTCTCTTCCGCCTCTACATTTCAAACATGTAAACAGAGGTATTGAAATTGTCAGTACTGAGTTTGTCACAGCCAAACGAACTTGAACCGGAGTTAGAGACAATTGAGTTATGACCTTTGGTCATAACATCTGGAATGATCGCAGAATAGGCCGGATCAATTATCGGTAATACAGCTGTTTGAGCAGTGGAGAGGAAACCCATCAGCAATTTCATCCTCATTAAAACCAACTCACGACTTACGGAATTATTTCAAGTACCAAATCTTCTGGAAATTCCATTGGTCCTCTATTTTTTCCTCCGAATATATTAACTCAAGATATTCAACAGAGATTTATCGATTTGAATTCGTCATTGAATCTCAATTCTAATCTAAATTTATTATCCAATCCTGTTGACTAAAATTTCTCAATGCCCAAACGTAAACACTAAATTCCTTTCTACGAATAGTTCTTATAATAATAATAACAATTGTAATAATAGCATAATTAATAATCCTGTGTGCCATATAGTTAATCATTTCGCCGACAATACCTCACGGTAATGACAGCCAGGGGCTAATTTCGAGTTGTCATCCCTTATGACAACTTTTTCCAGGGGCTGGAAATGTAATGTGTGTCTCCGAATGTGGGACACGCGTGAACTTAATGTGTCGCGAGTCGGGGATGAAAAAAAAAAGATAAAGAGTTCTAGCACGTGTTCGTATCATATTTCGCGGATTGAATTATGAATGGGGTGTGGTGCTCAGGGATTAGTGGCCATTTCTATTTTTCATTTCTCCATCAAACGAATTACGACACTCGTTTTAGCTGGTGCTCATACCTGCACCCTCCATTTCTTTTTTTAGTGATGAATTATTTCCGTTACTCAAAAATTTTCTTCTCATTTCATTTTATTTTCGTTATGCTTTTATTTATATTGCAATTCTGTTATTTTCCCAACGGATTTGTTGTTCTCTTTTATTAATAAATGCGTGAAAATATTTGGAGAATATTTTTTGAAAACGCGCAGTCGGGGGGAAATGAAAATAAAGCCTTCAGTGAATTAATGAATGAGTAATTGATGGAATTATTTATGGAATGACTGGAAAATCCCTTTAGCGCAAAATATCTCCAAAAAGTAAATTCATTCATTTTTCCTCGTAAAACCATAAGCTCCAACGTGTGTTTTATCAAACAATTATTCACGCTTTTAAAAAATAGTCTCTCTGGAAATTTTCCATAGATACCGAAACCTCTATCGCGACCATGGATGAAACACTGTCTCTTTCCACTGGCTTTTAATGCGAAAACACAAATGGAACGCTCAGCTCGCATCAAGCGATATCGGTTTTCCCGGAGAAAACTCGCTGACAGAATCCGTCTGAAAACTTTAATACATTCCCTCCCCCACCCGCAAGCCCAACAATTGTTATGGTAATTACGTGTGCCTTTGTCTCACGAAAGAATTCTCCAACATAAATGACTTTACGTAATTCTCTGGTGCAGCATTAAAACGAGATAAGTCGAATTTTTTCTTTAATATCTGTTGTTCATAAAAACTACTGGTTTTAGAGGAAAACGAGAAAAGATCTTTTTTATCGGGAATTTATTCTGCTACAAAAAATTCCTCTACCACTTCCACCTGAAACCTATTGGTTTTCAAAAAAATCGATAATACTTAAAAAAATAATCAAAATCGATTTATCATTTTATCATTTAGTTATTTATGATGAATTTCATTTTCCGGAAATTGAATTCATAGAAAATATGAGTTTCCAAGAATTCGAGTGGTTTTACTTAATTATTCACGAGATAAATCGATATTTTTTCCTTTGATCAGATATCGATTAAAAATTTTCTCCGAATTCAAAATTTTTACGAAAAATCCTTGTGGCATTTCCACCAGGAGTCAAAGATTGTTGAAAGAATTAATTATTAATCAATAAAAAAATTCTGGCTGTAGAATTGATCTCATACCTTCTTCATCCATTAGATCTCGAACCCCCGAACTTCCTGAATACCTTTTCCTCCTGAACAGTCCCTCCGACTACTTCGATACTCAATCCTTCCCGTCCACCAAACCCATCAAATTAATCTCCACTTTTGATTCCACAGCCCCCAACCCGCGATTTTCTCTACCACCCAGCGAAAATTGCGCGACTTGACCGAGTTTTCTCGATGCTCGAAATAAGCGAGACTTCATAGAGTTCTGTAATAACAATTAGACTTATCCATTCCCCCTCCCTCATAGATAACAACCCCGGAAATTACTGAATTAATTAAATACCCCTTATCAATAATTTCAATAATTTAGATGATTATCGATTTATCAATTTTTATTATTGATACTATTCGTTGCACTTTAATTATTATCAATTGTTATTAATTGTGAATGATTTTAGTGAACCATATTTTAGGTTTTGCCCACGATTTTCCTGGAGAAGCGCGTGTTCTCGTCGGCGCGGCGCCTGCAACTGGTGGCTGATACTGCGTGGAGCTTGTCTCAAGCTCAGCCCATACTGCATTCACCGTAACTCACGGCAAAATAAAAGGGCGATGGTATCGATGGTGGGGATCAAGGGAAAATGAATTAAAGGGAAAATATGGCCCCAAGGGTGTTGATGAAAATGAACATGCACAGCATTACTTCCAGTCAATTTCTGCTGCGCGTTGTTTTCAACCCTTTTTTAGTCATCTTCTTCCTTTCACATATCGACTTTTGCATCGCTTTATGATACCCCGTGTACCCCGGGTTGGGTATGTTATTACGGTGATGAGGTAATTAATTAATTCAACGGGTGATTAATTGGGCGGGGAACAGGATGATCTAGTGGGAATGGTTTAGACAGGTGCACCCCGTCTTTCCACGCAAGGAAATTTCTACTTGCGCGTCACGGACTTCAAAATTACTGCCAGTTTAGAAATTATTGCAATGCTTGATTATTTCTGCTTTTTCAATAAAAAATTGTAGGGCAGTAGATGAAATCATTAGGAATGGAATGAAAATTTCGGAGGGTGTTTTTTTTTATAAATTTCCGTTAGATAGTAAGGGTGGAAATTTTTTATCGATTGACTAACTATAACTTCTGCAAAAAAATTAATAGATAACGATCTATGTTTGCCCTTAAGGGATGAGGGTATCCCGAGGTATAAAATAAAAAGCTTTTTATTATTATTGGTATTATCGCCTAGCGTATTGAGTTTGAAATAATTTTTACCCCGACTTTAGGGTGAATAAGACATGTCTAGGAAAAATAACATTTTTGGGGGAAACAGTCGCATGTTAAGATTAATATAAAATTGCCATGTTATAAAATAATTATTCAATGTTTCGATGGGAACCTCTCCTTTATATTACCAGGAATTTAAATTGAACGTGTAATGATGAATGAGAATAACGAGAATCTGTAATCAATTTTTTTTTATTTCATATGAAAAGGAGTAAAAGATAAAATATATAGGGTTCGGTTTCTCAGGGTTTATGGGGTAAATAGATCACGTGAATCATAGGTATTTACAACATCTGGTGAAGATATTTCTCCTCGATGATTCAGAGGAACTCCATCTCACGCTCGATTCCAACAAACTTTAGCTGCTCGGTCGGTCCATATCTGCAATCAAACGATTTTCCTTCGTATAAAATTCCATTTTATTGCCGTTTCCATCTGCTTAATTAATGTTTTTCAATTCTAGGAAATTATCTAATTTATCCTAAAAATTCTCGACTCAAAACGGAAATGTAATTAATTTTTTTGCGACTGATTCAATTTCGTATAAAAATGGCAATTTCAATAGGAGTCCAATTATATTTTTTATTCATGAGTGGAATCAGTAGAAATATGAATTAAAATAAATTTCCTATTAAAAACCCGATTAGAACGACAAAAAACTCACCTGTAATCGAAAAACAGTTCCTCCCCGGGCTGAATAGCTCGTTTAGCAAAAATTCCAATCCTGTGATCGCCATTAACCATCATGACCTTGGCATAGCAATTGGGATTGATAGAGTGATTGGCAAATCGTATTTTGTTTCCCTTTCTCGTGGCATCAACGACAAAATCATTATTAAGATTGAACAGAAAGCTGCACATGTATTTATCGTAAACCTTGCCCCTCCTATCAGCCTCGTCCTGGCTGATGATCTCCCCGCAGTACTCAGATATGAATTCATTTTTGGCAGCTGATTCCTTGAGAAAAATTCCCCACCCAGCGACATCAGATGGTGCCATAAGCAGGTGTTTGTGGAGTCCCCTCTGGACACTGACATTTTTGCACGATATCTTGGTGATGTGAAACTGATCAGCACCACATGTCTGACACAAATCAGGATCGCACTCTCTGACAGCCAAGTAACAAGGACACTGTTTTGTATTGCACTGTGCTTTGCACCTGCAGCCAGGAAATCTATTCTGGCATTCGGTGCTGCACTGGCAGAATTTCTCACAGAAATTTTGGGCCTGAATGCAGGGACAGGAGTTGTCGCAGGCCCTCCCAGGATGATCGCAGGGGGCAAAGTTGTGCACGTGATTGGCACCCGAGTCCTTCTTCAGTTGAATTTTTCTGCAGTGCATGGACCAGAGGCGATGCTTCTTCTTCTTTTTCCTGGGTGGTGTGAAGTCCTTCATGCTCTCGATAGCTGGAATGTCGTGCTCCTCCTTCTGGGCGAATTCGTACACCTCCTGGCAGGTTTTAGTGAGCATTATCTGGGCTAGAGCACAGGGATTACCTGGAAATGCCTTGTGGAGAATTCGGAAGAGACTCTGCTCTGAGCCTGTCCATGAGTATTCACTTTCGGTTTTTACTCGTTTGTTTAGACCCAACAGGGTGAAGGGACTCTGGTGATCTGGCTGCGCCTGTTCCTCCTCCATCTCCTCAGGTTTTGAGTCTTGATTCACATTTTGCTTGAAGTCTTGACAACTGCCACCCTGGCTGTACTTATTACTATCATTACTGTCCTCACTACTTGCCTCATTACCAGAATCAACACTCGCTTGTTTACGAACTTTACGAGGACGCTTGTCATCCCCCTCCTCGTCCTTGATGTCAGCTGCCTGAGCTGCCAATTTCTCCTTCATTCCTTCCAAATGCATGTAACACTCAGTACCACAGGGATCCGAAAATGGTTTGAGATCAGGGCCTTTCCTCTTTTGCAAATTGGGCCCAGGGTGACACACTTGAAGCCCTAGAGAAATAAAATATCATTACAAAGCTATAAACGTCCTCGAGACAAGCATTCCATGAATAATCGAGCGATGAAACGGTGAGTAAATTGTGATTGTGGAGGTGAATCCTTGATGACTCTGCGCTATTAAAAAAAAAAAACAATTGGACAATTCTGAGCTCTCGATTACCTTGCGGTGAGGTCCCTCTGGCTGCTTCATAAATCAAGAATCACAATATTTTTGCTGTTAATATGGGAAGAAATACCCGAGGGATATTACAAACTATCAATTTTTCTTTCGAGTAGAAATTCAATTCAACTGAAAGGATTGAGATATTCGGATAAATTTCAATTCGGTATGAATTAAAAAGTGAAGAACTTACGATGGAGAAAACAGTCGTATTTGAAACATCTCCGACAGAAGAGCGTGTGGAAAGAGTGCATCGTTTGCTCCCTAGGTACATTCTTTGCATTTACTCCGTCGATGTTTGGAGTGCATTCTGGAGGCAGTACATTAGGATCAGACCTCTCTGTCAGCTCGATGTACTTCTCCCGGAGCTCTTCTGGTCTCCCTTTATCAGAGAATTGACTCGAGATCGCCTGAGAAATAAATCCAATAAATTTAATGCGCAAATTTGAGGAATAAATGGATTAAATTTGAATCTATCTTCGAGAACTCTCAACTCACGTTGAAGACCTGCATCGAGGGAAAACGGGAGATATCCTTATCTTCTTTTCCCTCCTCTGACTTCTCATGCTTCACATCGACCTCTTTCTTCTCCTTGTCGTCTCTAGTTCTCCTTGGTGCTTCCTTCTCTTTATCATCCTTCTCGTATTTCACGAGCTCGTTTACCAGATCGACGAACAGTTGGTCATCCATAAATCCAGATTCTCTGTCTCCATGAACCTAGAGGTGAAATTACATTTTCATAGGATGAGCGATTGAGTCGACTAAATTGCGGTGGAAAAACCGAAAAGATTCGGAAACAAAAAATGATGAGAGGGTGGAAACAATTGAATTCACCTTTCCATCGTAATTTTTTATGAGTTCCTCAATGAACGTTCCGTCCTGATCTAGAATCTCATCCCCCATGTACGGTATATTATGGAGAACGGTTTCGTCCTCAACCATGAAATTCTGCTGTATGGGAGCCCAGGTGTACATTGTCGGAATTGGAGTGACGGCGTTGATGATTTTTACGGGAAAACTCTGGACATCTCCATCGGAGCTCGTGACTTCACCCTTTTTCATGCAGGAGACATGAGCTGGAACATCCTGCATCGCCAGCCACATTGCTTTGCCATCAGCCCAACGTTTCTGCTCAGCAACCAGGAGATCTACTTTGGAAATCAATTAAGAAAAGGCTCATCAATTTTTATTTTCCCCAGGACGATGCATCAACTGAGTAATCTCGAATCGCTGGACAATAATTCTTATCTGAACTGCTTCAATGACTCGGAATGAAAACACATAATTACTCAATTAATTCCAAAAATCGTAAGTCATCATTATATATTTTCTTAATAAAAAAAAACACTGGGTGAAAAAAATTTTACCAAATTCGCGGAGACTGGAAAAATAATTGCATGAAAATAAAATAAATCTTACATTTCAAATTACTTAAATAATTAAAAAGAAAATTCAACAAAATGGTGATTTGGAAATGAAATTTCAATGGAGAAAATCACCCCAAGACAAAATGAAAGAATAAAAAAACAAATTGAACTGACCCGTCATAACTTTTCGATTCTGGTTCCACGCGATTTTCACCTCATCCGCTCTTTTATCCCTCTTCTTCTCCCTCAACTTGACATATTCCAACTTGACCCGCTTCTTCCACTCCGCCGGAACTTTGGCCTTCGACATTATAAAACAACTAATTCCTCAAAACAACAATAAAAAACCAGAAAATTTTATAAAGAGAACAAAGCTCGACAGACGCGTGCCGCCATTTATCGTCAACTCAGTGATGCCAGATGTGAACCATTGCGCATCTCTACCGACGCACACTATTTAGCGCTCCATTTGAATTCAGTAAATACCTAGCAACCTGAGAAAATCAGCAAAGACCACTGTTCATCAAAATCGAGAAAGTATCTTAACAATTTATTAAAAAATCGCATGACATACGTCAACAGAATGTATGCCTGCAATTATAAAAAATGGAGAAAACGAAGAAAATCAGAAAAATCGGCTTTTGCCGAACGGAAGTGACTTGTGGTCAATTTGACCTATATCCCAGAGCCATTACACATGTAATTAATCTATCCCTTGCTAATTACTGATTTGGCATTTCCTCGAAATATTTTTTATTTGATGGGATGTCTTCCTACTTGTTCGTGTCGACGTCCTCTACGTCCACTCCTCTCTCTCTCTCTTCTCTCTCTGTCTCTCTCTCTCTCTCTCTTTCATTTTCTCCCCTTTCCCTTGATGTGTGCCTTCTGCCGTTTATTCTTCCAACATTACACCGATTCCGTTTGCGCTTCCACATTCGGTTTTCAGTCCAGCTCGGCACGTCCAACGTGCCAGTTCAATAAGAAATTCTCCAGGACACCCGGGACACCCAGGAATCATTTTTTATCAAACCATCCGATCTCATTTTAAAAAAACAGCCATTCCTACCTGTCAAATGAAAGCTGGCGACCTGAGGGAGTGATGACGTGAAGAAGCCCGTATTTTTTTTGAATTTTCAAACGGTGAGTTCGAATTAATAAAAAAATTTGGATTCTCATTTTTTAGTAGAACATTAGGGCAGGATAATTACGATAATGTGTGTGCACTCATACAATCATTTCTGATGAATTAAATGTTTGAAACGAGAAAATAAAATCGGGTTTCATGTTTTTATAAATTTTTAGTCGAGATTTTTTTTGGAGTGTACGAGAATTTGTCGAGAATCGATTCGATAATTTGGGATTGAGAATTAATTTTTTTAAGGATCTCCAGTAATTAATGATTCATGAATTACATTTCCCCTGAAGTGTAATTGAAATGATGGAATGACCGAGAGATTTCATTTCTAAACATAAAACAAAATTTCGTTCTGCTTCTTCCGCAAACAAATCGGAATGCGGAAAACTTTTTACAGAAATACGGAATGCGGTTGTTCTACAACTTCATGCGGGCATTGTCTATTACTATTTTCTATTTTACTTTCGATCGTCTGCGGTCACCTGTTAAAAATTTACAAAAATGTCAATCACAAAGTCGCAAAATTTTCAATTACATGATTTTAATTTCAATATCAATTAAAACCAGACAGTAAATGTCCCATCATTTTGTCGTCGTTAATTTCAATCGCTTGCTTAAAATTTCAAATAAAATTTATCTCATTACATTTTTCATTACTTTCATCATTTTATTTATTTATACTCACGAATGAAGTATGCGTTCATTAATTCCTGGATTGCGTTGAAAAGAACTTCACCACTTCTTTAACAGTAGAATTGAGTCCCGGTGGACTTTCTTAACCGTCATCTTCATGAATAATGCATCCTGGGGGCGGAATTCTTCCATTTCACCCTAACATGTCCTTATTCCATTGTAAAATGGTAATAAAGTATCGAGAAATAATTCAGCAATTTCAGTTCACTTAACTCTCTCCCGAATTGAGTGCCCAATTCATGTCTCCTAATCATATCAAAAATAAAACCATAACACCACATACCCCTGATATTTCAGTCACAAAGTAATTTCAATTTCCAATTACATGAATTTGAATTCAATTCTCCAATTACCACCGCTCACTAAATATTTCATTTGTCTATTAAAAATTCGAGAGAATGACAAATGCGATTGAATTTCCAATAAATAAAAAAGTCAGTATAATTATTGCTCAAATTTCCAATATTTATTACAATATATTTTATATTAGCAAAATGGCGTGAACAAATTGACGGATTCAATGAAAAATTAATTTATTATTCGATTATTACCATTATTTTTTAATTGTTATTAAAAATTTAAAGGGTAATTTTCTACTAGACTAGGTGAGAGGATTGAGGTGTCGATTTTGTTAGGGATTTATCCCAAATTTTCGAAGATAATTTCCATTGTTGTTAAATCATAACTTGACGGTTGTACATGTGCGTTAGTTTGCTCCCCACGTCCTACGCAGTCGACATGTTGCCGGAGGGAACAAATGAATCTTAAATAAAAAAAAGTAAGGAATTATGAAAGACGATGGTTCGTCTGTCCATCATCTCCCCACACGCGACGCATTCTAATTGCCATGAGCGTTTGCCGGGCGTTAAATGATGCGTGTGCACGCACGAATTACGCGACTTTTTCCTTCATGCGTACCAATCAAAGGGGAAAACGCTCTAAGCATTCTTACCATTGACTCAGACAAAGAACCCAAAGCAGACAGAAATATTCACTCAGAATTACGCAATTTATCTGACCGTATCGTAATTTTTCACGGACAATTACCATGGAAATATTGGGAATGAAATAATATGGGAATAATGCCGTGTCATTTCATTTTTCAGATTTTTCCATTTTCTCTAGTTCTCCCTCTTTATAGACATTTTTTTTCATGAATCTATTCATCATTAACAATTATAGTATACAATTGTTTATTGTTTATTTTTTATAAACTTCTGATATAAATATTTTGTGAGTGTAAAATAACAGAAAAATCCAGGAAATTTAACAGGTAATTTAATATGTTTTTATTTTGAAGATTGAAGATTGAAGAATTCGTTAATTAGAGATAATTAATTTTTTGGAAAAAAAAATTCTGCAGTATTTTAAAAAATCGGGAAGTGAACATTTTTTTTTTTCATGAACGAAAATTAATTTTGTAGTTATGAATTATTAACTGTTAGTCATCGAGGAAGGGAGACGAAAAAGGGATTGTGTTTAGAGATTGAAGAGAGGGAATCTCCGGTGCCTGAAATTTTTTCTGAGCCCGAACCGTCACCCGGTGACACATCGTTCAACAATGCGACCTAGAAATGAAAAAATTTGGAAGAAAATAAAAGATAATGAGATAAAGATAAAAACACTAAATAATTTGATGTCTAGTAAATGGAAGAGTCCTATCTAATTTCATGTCCGAGCAGACGCTGGAACTTCCGGTCGCTTCTCCGGCGGACACATTATTATTATAAAAAAAAAAATTAAAAAAAAGAAATAAAATAGGCGGAATAAGTCTCGCCAACGCTCATCGCTAATAATAGCAATGCCTTCCACACTTGAACAGACAAAAGAATTCACTGAATTTCTAATGTCAATTGTCTCAATTTTTATAAAAACTTTATCAGAATTTGATAACAACAATTGATTATCCACGAAATTCAATTCAAGTCATAGTGACGAGATGAATCTTGGAATGGACCGTTGAAAAATTTCGGTCGTCTAGGAGATTTCATAAAAGGGATTTCATAAAAAAAAAAAGTGTCAGCCTCCAGCTGAGGGCTGTATGAGAGCAATTAATTGTGGTTAATCTGGATGATTGATGGATTGAGAAGTCTTGTTTATTTAATTTTCTAAGAACCTTCCATTAATACCCCTGCAGATCTGGTACTGTTTGGAGAACCAGAACACATGCCATAGAGTATGTATTAATAGTAAAATCAAAGTTGATGGGATAGCTATAAAATGCTGAATAAAAATCAAATCATCCACGATTATTCGAAAATTATGATTGAATAATTGAAATAGAACGGATTAAAATACTATCAATATGATTATTTGATTTGATTTCATTTAATTTGAGATAAATCGACATAAAAATATTAAATTATTCCGCATATCGCACATTGGGGAGATAAAATAATTTCCCAGCTGAAAGAGATAGGTAAAATGATTCATCCGCAATCTTTAACTGAAACTCATTATTCCATATCTCATAATTTCTCCCAGAACAATGAATGCCCATTTATTAAAAATACCAACCGAAATACGGATTTATTAATGATTTATCTTAATAAAAAAATATGAAAATCTAGTTCACCTTGATATTACCTTTAATTATCATTCCTGAACCGAGTATCATCCATTCCCATTTTACTGGATGAGAAAATGAGGGGGAGGAGAATGAGAGAAGATGTTGAAGTAACAGAGTAAAAAGGCATGAAGTGGTATGCACTTGTGGACTGGAAAATCCAGGTGAGTTACAGAGAGGAGAGATTCAAGAAACTCGAAGCAAATAGAATCTCTCGACACGCGATAAAATTCAGCATGTCTTCAATAAGTCAACAAAAAATTAGTGCGAAATCAACGCAATTTTGTAAATTTAATTGCGCTCATAATTCATTAACGCGAGGAAATCGGCGACGATTTTTTGACTGATTTATGTAGACCCCTGATTTTTTTTCTCGCGATTTTCATAGATATTTTCTTAGATTACGGACGGTGTGATGCCTTGACTGGTCAGATAAATCGATGCAAATCGGTTTGCCTCGTTAATTCGTCTGGGTGAACCCATGGGGTTCGCCTGTTGATTCGAAGTCATGATAAATCGCTCCGTGCGATAACATCGCTCGATGGCAAATGAATGCTCTTGAGTTGATTCAAAATGTCAGGGGAACAAGAATACGTAAAGACCCATAAAATAAACTTCATTAAAAAATCCATCCGGAAATTTGAATTGAAATTCCTAGAATCTCGTGTATCTGAATTGAGGGAAATTTAATTTGGCAATCGTGTGGAGAACCGGTAGGCGGGGAATAACCGATTTTTTTTTTGCGACCAATTTTTGGGGAATATCTCGGAATGAAAGAGAGATAGCGATATTTTTGATTATACATTTTTTGTAGAGGAAAGTGATTGCTATAAGAAAGGTAATTATGAAAAAATCGATATTTTTCGTCAATCCCGAGATATTTTGAGGAGACTGCTATCGAGAGAATATGTATAATGCAATATTTCGATATTGCACCAATAATTGGACATTTTATATTTATCTCGACGGATTCCACCGATTTCCAATTTTTTACTTCCATTTTCATGATTATTGCACTCAGGATTGAGAGAAAAATATAATAAAAAAGGGTCAAGCCCCCTTTCGGTTAAAATCGATTCGTTACATTTACCGCAACATGAAAGGGAGTTTTCTGCTCTCTTTTCGGTGGATAGGTTTAGCAGTGGGGGGACAAGGCTGATTATAGTTGGATTGCTAAAAAGGAACCCGACCATCGACCATGTGCCATAAAGTGGAACACGGTCTGTTCCGAACTTCCTGGAATCATCTCAAATTATTCGCAGTTGTTATTTTGCTCGTTTCACCGTCTTTCGGGGGAATATTTTCTGGTAATTGTAGGGTTTACAAATTCCCACGCTTTCAGTACGAATTTCGGGTAAAAATAATATTTATCATGTAAAAATCGAATGTTTTTTTAAATTATTTGTTTAAACCGGAACGCGAAGGTTGAGTTATTTACACTATTTTGTCCTGCATTTTCATTAGATAATTTTATTCTGTTGTAGAGATAAATACACTGACGATGAGATAAACCAGACTTGAGGACAAGGTGGTGGCAAGGATGTGTTATGTGATAGTCACCGGGCGCAGCCTCTTGTGGTCCCTGCTGTCCCTGGTTGCTATGATGGCTGTACTTTCTGCTGTCATTACTCCAAAGTGGATTGTCGGGCCGCCAAAAACCAAAAATACTGGTGAAAAAAGCCATCACCCATTAAAAATTTAATCCTTCCAATAATAAAATCGTTACCAAGAAATTTCTGAAATATTGCAAAATCATTGGAACATTGAGGCAATTGACAATTATAATGACCGAATATGACAATTTATTTTGTTTTTTTTAAAACAGAAAATGGTTTACAACTGGATTACCCAACGGCGGGCATTTTCAACCGGTGCACTCTACTCCATGACAAAATGAATTGCGCAAATTTTAATTCAGATGGTTTGGCTACGGATCCATCAGTTTTCCCCAGTTGCTGGAAGGCATCGCTCTTTTTTCTCTCACTTGGATTATCGATAATGGCACTGACAGTCTTTGCAGCACTCGTTGGCTGCTGCGTGCAGAGTATCGGACGTAAAAGTATTTTCAATCTTGCTGGAGTAGCGCAGACTGTCGCTGGAATTATTTATTTATTCGGAATGATACTGTATCCAGCTGGATGGGGAGCGGAAAGGGTCCTAAGAATATGCGGCCCCGAAGCTGGGCCATTCTTACTTGGAGACTGCAATCTTGGTAATGAAGGGGAATAATTCATATAATTATTGGTAATTTATTCATGAACCTATCGGTTATTTTGTTATTTTTGGATTGTTTTTCAAAAGGTTGGGCGTTCTACAGTGCAACAATTGGAGTAGCTCTGACATTCGTATGTGCAATGTTGAGTGCTCAGGCTGAAAAATCTACAGCAAGTGACAAAGTCCAGGACAAAATGAACGAGGGAAAGACACTGATTTGCTTGGCCTCGTGAATATCCCAATATGTAAAATGAAACAAGAGAGAAAACCCTGGAGAAAAAATCCAGAGAACTTACGAGATAAGTTGAATTATTTTTTCATCGAGCCACTGGAGTCGCATTACGCTCTTCGGTAAATCCATTGTATTCCTGGATACATTTTTATCCTCCAGACTTTAGCGGAAGCTTTATAGTGTTACGTAAAATATTATATTTACTACAGTCATTTTTTACCCAATTTTGTACGTGTGAATATATATCTGAAAAAAATTTCTCTCTGAGATTTTTCATTCACCTTGGAACACAATTTTTCACGGTTTTTTACGATTGGAGTAAATAGAGCTGCAATCCAATTGAAAAGGCAATTTTATTTATTTTTTATAAGAAGTAATGTTTATTTTTCGTGTGAATATAAATTACTAAGCAGATCGGTCGACAAATGAAGATTTAACGTTACAATAATAGTCACAAATTCACGGACTTTTTCATTCCTATTTTTGATGAATTTTCATTCACAGATTTATAGAACCAATTTTCTCTTATATACAAATTCAGTTGTATGCTGTTCTCGAGGACGAATATCCAAAACCAATCTGTTTGAACATGTGTCGTATTAGAAAAAAATTCATTAGTCATCTCAGATTTTGTTCTTCGGTACATTCATAATTTTTTGAACATGAATTTTGAGGCAATCAATTTTCTAAAAGCAATTCACTGAAAAGGCAATTGCATTCGTATGTATTACATTGTCTTGATGTCTCAAAACTTTGAACTTGATCCAATGAATTTCGATCCTCTGTGATTTCCCTATTTTTACAGTAAAAAAAAAGTCGCTGGCTTATGAGTATTAGTTAGGTATGTGTTATTTGGTAGATAAGCTTTGAAAGCCATCGATTCAACGTCATCAACGACTCAACGTAAATTTCAATTTCTAATTACAATTTCTCAGTGTTCCTTCTCCCATCTTATTAAAAAAAATTAAATCAATTATCTCATGACTTGTATGTAATACTTAAACTGTCAAATGCTTCGTATCAATAGTTAAAAGAGAGAGAGATGCCCGAGGATGGGCGCAGTCATGGACATGAAGCTCATTTAAAAAAGGAATAAACATTCTTGCAACGTCAGTCATGACAAATTATTATTGAACTATTTACATACACAGATATCACGAGAAAACCAGGGAAAACATGTAACTTATTCAGTCGCACATTTTTAACGAATTGTAATGGATTTCTTCATTTAATTCTTAAGGTTTGTCAATATTTCTTGTAGGCAAATATTTTTAATAACTTTCGGTTATCATTGAAATGCCGAAGAGAGATAGAAACAACATTTTTAGTTGATATTTCAATGATTTATTCAACATTTTTCAATTTCTAAAATGATGCAAAGTGATGTGAAAGATTAAACAATTACCGAAAATTAATAAAAATAAAGATATCTAGCAAAATCTATCACGCGCGAATCCACGATTCAACACTGCAAATAACTATTTTATGACTTTCGTTCACTAACTTACGTAATTATTCAACTTGATCATCGATTAAAATCATTTTCTCCTCCCCACTTATTTTTTTTCATTGAGTTTGGATATCTATGAGCGTTTAACAGATCTGGGATAAAAAACCGCGGTGTCTCCATTGTTTGAAACAATATTAGTAACGGCCCTCTGTTATGTCTTTGGCGCAAAAATCTCTACAGACTGTTGTATCTGGGATTTCATGGCTTTTCTACGTTCCTCCATCATCTGACGACGAGCGACTTCTCGTGCCTCACGGGCTTTTCGATTTGCCTCTGAATTTGCCGCGGATTTTGGTTTTTGCGACACAACGGTACGTCGCTTCGCACTCACACCATTCTGCCCTTGTGTAGCCGCCGATTTTTCCGGTGGAATCTGAAAACAAAAAAATTTGCAATCATCTTAAAATAAACAAAAATTTACAGTATGTCTCAATTAAAAATAAAGATTGAAATGAAAATAGGAGTGAAATTAATAAAGTTATAACTCAAACAACAAGTCACACCTCTTGCCACTGTGAACGCTTGAGTTTATCAATATGCTCGAACAAATCATTGACTTGAACAACCTGAAGCATAACCATATCCCAAAATCCTGCAAGATCTTCATTAGTCGTTGGAAATTCTTCTCCAGGAATTTGATTCTGCAATAAAACAGAAACAAACGATTAAAACTCGCTCAACATTTTCTCCAGATCATCAGACATAATGAAAAAATTCCATTACAATATTCTTATGACAGAGCCCCTCGAACTGTTGCATTTTCTGTGTCGCTAATAGTCTAGCCTTTCCCGCAGCAGACCTGAGTTTTCCAGCAGCTTCCTCTGGCAACTGCTCTCCACTCTCGAGTACTTCTTCAGCCGACACCGCAAGCTTAAACAATCTATCGATCTCAGCTTTCAATAATTTCATAAAATAATGCCCATCCTTCTCCTCAGTTTGACTCTCCTGCATTGATTTCAGAGCCTCTGGAACACTCGTGGCACTGACACTTGGCTCCAGTACAGGTAAAACGACTTCCAAGGCTGCTGGCTGTTGATCCGGAATGCTTGTGACACTGGAACTCAATTTGAATGCTTCGTGATCAGAAATCTTGATGGATGGAGGTGAGACAGTTGTTTTCCCATCATTTTTCCCCACAACTGGAGATATCCTCTGCAAAGGCTTGACCTGCTCACTGCCATCAGTTGCTCTCCTTGGGCTGACAACAGGCAATTGAGCCCTGAATTCTGGTCTCAGATGTCTCAGAACTGGCAGATTCTTCAGAGACTCCTCAGTATTCGCATTGTCTATCAGAGAATCGTTGTTATTACTCGATTTATTAAAGCTACTTTCACTAGATGTTGACTGATTCAAGGAACGTTTGAAGAAAAATCCCTGGGCCAGTGCACCAGGCCCATACAGCCTCTCCACCCTCTGCTGAATAAATGACTTCTCACAGGATGAATTGAGCGCCTGATTATCAGTTTCTATCGCTGAGCCATTCGTTAAATTACTCTCGTTGAGACAATTGCTTGGTAAATTACTGGTGTTCGATGTCTTGGGTGATGAGACTGTTATCGTTGATGTAAATGTTTTAGTCTCTCTGCAGGTTGTAATCTGCGTCATGCGCTTTGGAGAGCCTCGTATTGGACTGATATCGGTGAATGAGTGAATTGGCAAACCTCTGTCAACCTCTGAATAACCTTGACAAGTACCCAATGAGCTTCGAGTCTCAACGAATGTCGCTACTCGGCACTCCTTGTTGCCATTGCTGAAGCCGTTTTGACGATCCATTGCCAGTGGAGATATTGATTGGCTTTTTGCCGGAATTCCAAGATTTTCACTTGACCTGGTACAGAGGAAATATACAATACGCATTCAGGATTAATGAACCTCTTTAAAACAATCCGCTATTGCGACAAATATTTTTTCGTCGAATTACTATTTTCACCTCGACTATCAATAAATTATCAAAAAATAGAATATCAGAGAATAATTTATTATTTCGATTTTTCTTATCGTTAGTGAAGTGATCAATACCATGGAGTGATGTTCATAACATTTATTTAAAGTTGATCTAGTCGTAGAGGTCGAGGAATTGATTATAGAGTTATTATCAATTTTATCCTGAATATTAGAATGTATGAGTTTTTCAGGTTTATTGGGGAAGATAATAATTTCTTTGGGTATTTCACCTGAAACCTGCAGGGCTTGTTTCCCTAGTTATCAGTCTTGATCCAGGACTGCTGTCTCTCGATCTGAAGCCCTCCCTGAGTTTGCTGTCGTACCTGGTGATCCCTGAATATCCACTAATACTGCAAGCCAACCCAAGATAACTAGGTTTCTTAGCTGTCAGCTGCTCAGTCTCGATCTCGCCATTTAGATTGTCCTTTTCCGGTGTTTTTTCCTTGGTCTTTGAAATCGTCTCGTTACTGCCGTTAACTGGATTATCCGTGGGTGACGCTGTATCGCCGTTCGATAAATTTAAACTGTGAAGTGTTCGTTCCGATATCGAGTCCACCGTTGCTTCTGAAAATTAAATTCATTTGATTTCCACCAATTGACAAGGGATAGCTCTCCTCAAGAGATTCCTCTAGGAGGCATTTAAAAATTTTTCAATAACCGGTGAATTATTTAGCTCGGAGCCACAAAATTATCTGAAATCGTTGAAGCGCTGAACCAATCAGACTGAAACGGATAATTTTCTAGTTCATGAATTATCTAAACTACGTTTCAATTTTTTTTTTGTGCGCGTACAGTAAAATAAATAAACCCAGATTTATGAGAGATTTTTGGCAATCTGTTTGCGGTGATACGTTAGAAAGATCAGGGATATTTACTACAGAAAAAATAATGGAAACAGTAGGTAAAAAGAAACAATAATTTATCAGGGAAAAAGGATTTCTGGAATTGAATTATTTCACCTCGAAATTTCTCAATCGAATTGAGCGTCCATATACGAGAATTACAGAAGAAACAAGAACATGGCTTGAGGTACTTTCTGAATTTACCATCACGTAATTGAGTGTGATACATCGATATCCACCTAGGGGCAATCCATGATTAATAAGATAGCAATGCTACCGATGAAATTGATTGATAGCTATCTTTGGTGCGTTTAACCGAAAGAATAATTTATTATTTATTCCCCAAATTTGTGATTGAATGAATTATTAATTACTGATTAATTGCAACTCCCAATTTTCTATGCATTTCCGAGGGGGCGACGATATTTAATCGTTTGGGGATTCCTAATGAACTGATATTGAATATTCCAACCTGATCGGTCAGAGGCGGATCGATCGACGTCGAGGCTGCAGCTGCCTATGGACTCCTGGCTAGTCATATTGGGATGCTTGATTCCACCTCTTGAAATGGTATCGGGATCCAAGTGCTGATAATTTAGCGGTTGGACAGCGAGTGACAGTGGCCGGTTACGACGATTCGATGACCTGCCACTTGACCCGCTGCCACCACCGCCTGGTACCGCTGTCACCGTCGTATCGCTGCCGTTGTCCTCTTCAAGGCCCGCCACTTCGCTGTGACAAGTACCACTCTTTGGACGTGGACGACGATTGTCCACACCTCGTTTACGATCCTCGTGGACACTGAGAACCATTCCATCCATTCAGTCTCTCTATCTCATATATATTTTTCTTTCTACAATCATTTCATCATTCTCTAGGTTGCGTGCAGGGTACCAAGCTTACTAATTGGGCTGTTTTATAGATTTCTCGTTTGAGTTTTGGATTTTGATTTTTGTGCAAGTGCTCATGTGCTCATGTGCAGCTCTGCAGCTGTGCAGCTGTGCAGGACGACCATCGATCGATTTGTGAATTATGGGTTGTGGTATTGCGAAGGGTATTAATGTGATTTTGTCATTTTTTTTTGTATGAGACAAGCGTGTTGGGCATTCCATGCTCGGTGGAATTTATTCTTTGTTTAGGGAATTTTTCATCGGAATTTTATGGCCGAGAAACCAATTATATTGGGGTATTTTTATTCCTGAGTGTATGAATCAGTCGTTAAGTCGAATGAGAGGACTAGAATTTTTTGTCTGGTTTAGAGAGATAATGTGGTGATTATTCTGCGCAGGGAATTTTAGGAATGGGAGAAGAATTTTTTGATGCTTCCAGGGAGTGAGGTATTTTAGGATTATATCTGAAAGATTATTTCGATTGATAAAAATCATTTCCACTCCTATAATTCTATAATGGAGAGTAAATATTCGTGGATTAAACTATTTAATTATTTATCAGAGATTCGATACTGAGTCGATCATTCCGAATTCGCGGATTCACTTTCATGCGTTAATTTTCCAGTTATTCGATTCTTTTTAAAAGTCGAAAAAAACACGCAAAAAAATATTCGCGCGACCTGAAAAATTTCGTCAAAAACAAATTTACAGAATTTTATGAATCACTGAACACAATAAAATACCTGCAACGCCAGTGCTTCCAGATAAAAAATTTCGATGCCCCCTTTTTATTCCCCGAGGGATTCACCATGTAAGTTCCAGTATCGAGTTTCAATGGCATTATAATAATTATATTAAAATGCCTCGAGTGTTTTTAACAAATAATGAATGAACGATATCGAGAGTAATCGATAAAAATCACTTTCACGATTTGACGTGCGGGTTTGATAATCGACTTGGGGCGAATGAGTGAATTGAGATCCTGAAGCTAATGAGAGGCTAGACTGATCTCAACTCGAGTGCCAGAAGTGGAGTGGGACCTGAGAGCATTTCCCTCAGCTTTTCTCCAACTTTTTTTTTTCAAATTTCTCATTCTTTCATCTTTCTTTCAGCTCTCCGTTCCCTTCCTGGTCCAGGAACGGGGGATCGAATGAGATATTTTGGGACGTCTTGAGGAGGCACTCGTGGCCTCTGGCACGCGCTCGTTGACGAACCCGACAATTGTATACAACTTGACAGATAATACCTACCCATCTCACACATCTAAAATCATTTCACATTCCTCCGACCATATGAAAGAGGTTGCACTGGGTCAGATATACTTGTCAACGGATAATAAAGATTCATTTTTTTAAAAGATATATTCAAGGCAACGTCTGGCTCGCATTTCATATTTCGTTACATCTTTAAAACATTTATTTTTTTCCAATTTACAAAAAAAAAATAAAATATGTTCAGAGAATGCTCTTTGGACGTTAAAATTTCGAGAGTATTCTAGAAATTTTGGGCTGTGAAGAATTTCTACCGTGACATTCCAAATTATGAGGCTTTTCTCAGATCTTGAGATTGAATTCACATTTACGTGAGAAGAATTCCAAGTATGGCCGCTGATTTTACCATAACTCCAGCGAAATTAGACTCTTCTGCTTGCAGCAAGCAAAATATCACCTTCGCTCCTTATCGAGAGAGAGACTACATCACCGCAAATTCACAACAGTATATCAATCAACAAGATGAGCTAATGGCAAGACCATGTCGACAATCTCCTGATCGAGAAGTCATTTACCCAATCATCAATTGAAAATTCAATTGATAATCGATACATTGAAATTAACGAAATTACCGAATGTGGAATTTCCATGATGATTTATTTTATAATAAATAAATCGGCCTCGGTGCATGATCATTTTACATTCCTCAACAGTCCTTCCATTATTTCATCCCCATTAACGATCCTCTCAACTCCAGTGTCTCCACATTGAGAAAAAAAAATGAGAAAACCCGTGCTCCAATTCTGAAATGTCTCCCCTATTTATTTTTTCAACATCGACAATAAAATTACTGCTAACATGCACCTTCATCTTCAGACTTTCATCCCTCATGGATACTCTCCTTGTAAATAAATAATATGCATTTCCATATCCGTAAGTAAAAAAAATACGATCGTTTCAGCCAGTCGAAACGCGTTTCACATTTGAATTCATAGCTCTTAGCCACTTCTGGCTCTATCCAACATTGCATTCCCAGACAGTACATTTAGTACTTCACATCCCAGAGTCGAGCTTCTCTCGTCCACCAGCAAGTCATTCGCTTCAACTCGCAACTTATTTATGTCCTTTCCTCTTTTAGTCTTTAAAAATTTCATTTATTTCACTTTTAGAAATTCCATCCATCCGACATATCCCCGCAAGTCATTTCAACTGATGAGAGATTGACATACAGCACTGATGAAAATCCATCAAGCATGAGGAATCTTGAATTTTTATTTTCCCATTTTTTTATTGCGAACCACGAATTTTAATGCTCTGCAGCTCATACTGGCTTTCCCTTTTTCAATATTTAACATCTTGTATGGAATTAACTGAGGAAGGAAGTAGGGAAAGTGCAGTGACATCGCCTCTCTCCTCCCCCGGTATGTTCGAAGGCCATAAGACCCAAATTTAGCCTGGCACAATTTTTTTTCTCTTTTAGAACAAAAAAAAGAAAAAAATCCACATGCACTCGAGGAATTGTCTCCTGCGCTTTTACTTCTTTTTTTCATTTAACTTGTTTTTCCGTTTTTTATCATCATTTCTGAGAATAATATTTAACATGTAAATGTATAAATAATAATAAGATAGATAAATAATCGTAGGAGCATTGAACGAATTTGAAATGAGAAATGATTTCAAGTTTAGGTATTATGATTTTTTTTTTGGAACTTTGAACATGCTCTTTGATTTTCAAACAGCACCCCCGCGGACATAAATGAAAATCAAAGCGGAAAAGCCATGTACCCCACAGAGAAAAATACCGGCATTATAAACGGTACATGCACGTCTGTGTCACGGTTCAAGAACCACCGTGGTTTATTTGGGATTTATAAATAGGAAGGGAACCGAGGAGAGTTCGTACGATGTCACTTACCCTTCCACTGGGGCCTCAAATCATCAATCTATTTACGTGTTTCCGGAAACATCTATTTTTTCTCATTAATCACATTCGTTGTTCCTATCATCAACGAAAATTACCTATCAAGCACCAAACATCATCTGCATGGAAAAATACATAATCGAAAAATCCGTAGCGAAGTGGTACCCCACAGTGTATTTTTTTCGAGGTCATCTTTTAGCCAATACCTCGGAATTGAAAGAAGATAACGATTTTTTCGTAGATACCTTTTTTCTAGCTCTCATCATGTTCTATAAAAAATATTCTCGGGAAAAATCCGCTAGGTTCCTTTAATTCGGAGATATTGGGTACAAACTGGCCTCGAAAAAAAATTCACTCATCCTGGTTTACCAATTCGCTTCAGAAATTATAACTGCGATATTGTTTTTGGTTGGAATTATATCTTGAATGCATCAAACATATGTTTTGAATATATCTTCAGTGTGAGATGATGAAATTCGAAAATTTATAATATTCCAGCTTTTACAATTGAATGTATAGCGGGAAATACCCGACAAAAAGTCCGTGACGCTACCGGATGTAGAGTAACCAATACATATCGTCCATTAAAATGCTCGGTTGCACATCACGAAAGGAAACAAAACGTACATGAGAAAAAAAAAATAATGATAATTTTCCCCAGGTATCCCCGTTGCACTCAGTACTTTTCGTCAAGTCATAATGAACAAAATACCTCGACAAGTTCCTCTTACTTTTGTTCTGAATATTCTGGGGACACGATAGTTGCCTTTAACAATCCGCCCACTACGAATTTCCGTCGCTTAACATATAAACTTGGAGCACGACAGACACTGCCAACTAAATGACACAGGGCACAAAAAATTCCATAAAAGTCCTTCACAGCCAAGACCACTCGGTCAAATATTCATTCTTTTTTCCCCAATGCGTCTCTGATTTGCCATTTTTATTCTACTCCCTAAAAATAAATCTGCATTCCCCACAGATAATGCTGCGTATTTTTACAATTTATTTTGACAATAGATTAAAAAACATGTGAAACACACATTTTATATATTTTTAATATATAAAAAGGACTCGTATAATTAGAGCAATAATTTGAAAATAGTAGATCAATATTTGGGCAATCTTATAGAATGTAAAAACTTCCGGAGGCTATTGCGATTGCTTAAAAATCACAGAACGAAAAATTCCTAAATAATTTATATCTATTTTCAGTACCATAAAACTGGAGGAACCGGACTTCCAAAAAAGGTAAAAACCGGACCAAGATGCAGGTACGTCAGAGGGTTTACGTGTGTGTATCGATATCCCACCCACGCAATTAATTGATTCAAGACTACTATTGAAGTGAGGTGATAACCGTCGCAGAATTTGTTATGTTAATCGTGCGTTGAAAGCAGCATGATAGACTGAAACTAAATAAAATACTAACTAAGAAACTTTAGATAAATTCAATGCTTCAGTATCTCGGCATTTAACTTTTCCCATTTGCCTTTGCACTTCTCTCCTATTTCTCCCACGTGGCAACAGACACTTCGATAATTGCAGACGCTCGAAACCTAATTAATCATCTCGTTGAATCCCAATTGCAATTACAGATCCCATCGAACTGCGAAGAATGAGACGAATGAGGGAAACGGAGGAATTGAAGCATTGCAGCCCGAGGGGTACAATTACTCCTAATTACTAGGAAATTTGTCGGGTTAAATAATATGCGTAAATCGGTGAGATCCGTTTGAGCTTTGAGACTCTTCAATTGGGTAATTCCAAACGATTACCTATCATCCACTCGTGAGAGAATTCATGTCAATTTTTTAAACTCAAATCTTACAATATTCCATAATATTCTACAATTCCATGAGATAATTCAGAGATTATTGAGGACTACGAGAAAGTTATTCCAAAAATTCCAGGGTCTTCCTTTTTTTTGACAGAAATTAAAAAAAAAACCTATCGATGAATTGAATTATTATTTTATTCCGTCATGACCGAAATTATGTAACAAATGGTACAATAGTAAAAAAATTCGATATAAAAATTGTTCGAGTGAGAAAGAAAGGAAAAATTGCAGTTTTTAAGACGCGAACAATTCATCTTTCAACAAATCACTCCTAGATATCTCGTCAGGGCGTGAAGAAAGTACCGTTCAAGGTCGACACGATTCAACCACTCGATACACCCATAACTTGTTGTCTCTTCGATCAAACACCGTTATATTTGTTCCATTTATTAAAATCGCCTGAATAAATAGAGAAATGTTGTACGACTCCGAAATTCATCGACATGAAGAAAATCTCCTGAAATTTCCTTACGACCTCTCCATCTCCTTTCTCAGCCATCAAATTTTCTCAACTCAATCCACATCCCTCATTCCTCTCCTAATACCCATAATTACCGTCTCAAATGATGAAAGGAGAAATCAACAGACAATAGTCAAACTTATGTGAGTCACGAAGAGAATACACTCACCAGCTGTACGTATCATGCGCAGGTAATAACAGGTGACGTACGTAATTGAGTGCAGGAATAAATTCACAGGTAAGTGACACAATTAGAATAAAACACTGGATTCCAGGTAATTCATTGAACCTCACCTCAACAATCAGCTACAACACTCAAAAAATAGTAGAAACTTTTGCACATGAAAAAATTACGGCAATTTCCAACGATTTACTGGAATTTAATTAATATCAAATGATAATCAACGATTGAACGACAATGGCAGGCGAAATGGATTAATTAGGAATCGATAACACTCAGCACAACTCGAGTTCAACGTTTGAATATTTAATTAGTGATAATAAAATAGTGAGGATTAATCATGTACGTTTTTTTTCACTTTCTGTGGAAATACTGAACTGGTTCGAACCGTGATTTTTCGTTTATCATTCCACAGACTAAAGTGTATTGTCCAGGAGGCAAATCCCTGGTGCACACCGCAATACAACGAGGAATGAACCAACGGTGTTTTTTAAGGAACCGAGTGGGGAGAAAAGAGTAGTGGTGGCAATCCCAATTCTTTCTGCATTCCCCTCGAATATTTTCCTCTCACGATATCCCAAAAATTTGAAAAAAAAACCCATTGCCAAAAGGTCAATCGATCAATCCACTGAAAACTAATCTGTCACAAATTTATGGCATGATAGTTCAACTTACATTTCAGGTTCTTCCACGTTACGTGATTTATTTGCCGCTTTTTTCTCGCTCTTGTAACACTTGACGAGTTGACACGACACCTGACAGTGACAGTAGAGATTCGCGTGTGCTGTCTGTCAATTTTTAATAATTTTTTTTTCAGTGACTATTTTATTATTATTGGTGAGATTTTAAATCGAGGGTGTGACCTCGACGGTAGTTTTTTCAATCACTCACACGTTTATCCGTCAATGAAATCCGTCAAACGTGGGAAACAAGTCGGCCATCTTGATAAAACTGACCACCGCGAAATACAAAACGAGTGAAGCGACATCTCATGGTTTTTGAGAGATCAATATTCATTTTACAATTTTTGTAGATGATTCACCAGTCAGTGAAGTTGAGATTTTCCTTGTAGGGAATTATTGAGAAATATAATAACAGTTTTGTTGAATCGTCGATTTATCCTCATTTTATTAATTTCCCTCCCTCGAGATTCTTGTGACAGAATTAATCCCGATTTACTTCATGGGTGTGATTTTTTCGATGAAGGTGTCGGGGGTGCCGTGATCCCTAGACTACAGACCTGTTTCCGGTGATTTAGATAAAACTCGATGTTTTCAGTGAGGATTCATTCATGCAAATCAAAAAATCTGAATAGAGCGGTATTCATCGTGGCCGACAATAAAAAATAGACAAGGTTTGAAATTTTATGATTGAGATTTAAACTTCGAGTTGAGTAGTCGATTGGTCACTTGAGAATTGATTGAGATGAATTTATTTCAGAACCACGTGGAGACTCATCTACAGGAGCAACTCCTGGAGATTATTTTCTTCACAAAAGACAAAAAAGAGTATCTTGAAAATCGTCACGTCAAACCAGCCAGAATTGATAAGATACGTATTGCTGCCTCATCCCAATTATCAAAGGAGAGATTTACTTGAAAAATTTCAAACCAAAATAATTTAATTTAAACAACTCACAATTTCTCTGATGAATTGTTCGACGTAAAGAATTTTTTATGAGACATTCAATAGTTTGCGGTCTGAATTGACGATTGCAACTCTAACCTCACAATTTCTCTTCAAATTCATAATGACTGAAAACGAACCTAAATCCAAAAAATTCAGGGCTTCAATCCTCAATGAATCCATGAATTCCATAGCCATTCAATTTCTCTTCAAAAGTTGGTGGCATTCCTATTCTCCCTGTAAAGCTACCGCCTTGGAGGTGATTGTCTTTCCTTTTCGCGTCTGCAAGATCTCGAATTTCTTGAAGTGTGAAAAATTCCTGGAGAATTTGAAGAGCGAGCTCTCAGCCATTGAGACCAACAGACTAGAATCAGATCTCTTCAGTTTCGAGCAGACGTCAGACCTGGCAAACGTAGACACAGAAAATATTAGACAACTCCATCAGGTGTTCGTGAACGATTTGAGACTCTGGATAAAAACAAACACAGGAATTGACCTGACGAGAAAGATTTCCATGTCATCAACTCGTTATTCAGACACGGATCATCTTCTCTGTCACGAGGACAACCTGGGGGACAGGAGAATAGCATTTATTCTCTATCTCTCCGAGAGCTGGACAGCAGAGGACGGAGGAACCCTCGACCTATTCAGCACAGACTCTCATGGACTCCCAAAGAAGATCGTCCGCTCCTTAATCCCTGAGTACAATTCATTAGTCTTCTTCGAGGTCTCTGATAACTCCTATCATCAAGTAGCAGAGGTTATTTCACCTGATAAACTCAGGTTGACCATAAATGGTTGGTTCCATGGTCCCCTTAAACGCAGCAATCGACCCCCCAGGCCAGAAATTGAATTAATCCTCTACGAACCATCACCAAATGACGAAGCTCTCAACTCCTGGGTGATGCAGTCGTACCTCTCTGAAGATACAAGACGGGAAATTCAGAATGAAGTAGAAAATAAATCCTACACTTATCTCGCCAATTTCTTGAAGGAAGATGCCTATAACAAGATTTCAGCAGAGATTACGAGTGAAGGGATTAACTGGAAGAGGGTAGGGCCTGCAGACTCCAGGAACTATGAAGTAGCTGATGAAGAGAGTCTTCCCAGTGCCTTGAAAAAATTCTACGAGCTATTTAAATCCATTGAAATGTTCAAACTGCTGAAAGATTACACAGATCTCGATCTTGTACCTGATGGGAAGGATATGAAGCCGAAGATGCGGATTGAATTGCAGAGATGGTCTAAAGGCTGTTATACTTTGATCTCTGATAAAGATACGGAGGAACCGAGTAAAATTCATGATTCAAGCAGTCGAAAAGATAATGTCGAGGTAGAAAGTCAAGGGAAGGACGTGGACAATTCGGCAGACAATCCTGGAGAGGAGAAAAGTCAAACGCCGTCTGATTCTCCAGACTCCCAAGGAGTGGAGATCGAGAATTCTTCGCCTGATGCTTCAGGGAATGCAGGGAGTGGTGATGATATTGATACGTCTGATACCAAACTTGGGACTTTGGATGTTATCATCCAATTCAATACCACTCGAGTACCTGAAGACGTTACTATTAATTATGTTTGTCCTGAGGAGCCCGATGGAACGTTAGTCCATGTACCTCCTGAAGATAATCATCTTTGTTTGGTTTATAGAACAACTGATACATGCAGAGTGCACAAATACGTGAAGCATTACTGCGAGGGATATTTTTATAATCTTATATGTAGTTACTATGAATCAGAGATCCCGGTCGCTGATCGATTCAGATGAAACAAAATAAATCGTTGGAAAAAATTATTTAAAAAATTATAAAATTATTTAAAAAAATTCTAGATGTGGAATTTCATCATTTATTTCGATTTTTTAGAAAAAATTATGGGACAAGAGGAAAGGCCAATGGGTTATATTTTTTTTGGAATTCATGCGATTTGATGAATGAATATGATTTTACGCATTTTTACTGGATATCTAGAAAATATGACTAGTCATTCGATCCTGGATTTAAATGCCGGAGTTAAAAAAAAATAGAACATTTTCCTATTTTTTTTTTTTTAGGATTGCGACAGATTTGTGAGCATTAATAACAACAAAAAAATCCATAAAAATGACTCTTACGATTGCTGGTCACCGCGAACAATCTCGACTGTAATGACATTCTTCTCAGTATTCTCGTTAATGTCCAACCGCCCATTACTGACTGCCTCGGTAATAATCGCCTGAAATATCGATTTGAACAACGAAGTTTAACGAGACAATAGTCAATATAATTATAAGAGTATTAACAATCATCCTCAGTGCGTTTTACAATTTGAATTTCGAACGATCGATTGTCTGATAAAGTGCATCCATATCCTCGTTACGCTTCATCAGAGAATAAATATCGCCGGGTTAAAATTACAAGAAATAAAATTCAATTGCAGTTGAATATAATTTTACCTGAGATTGTGAGGACGAGGGTGAGGCAGTGGCGATCCTTTTTCTGAGGTCATTCAATTGTAACTCATGCTGAAAGCTAACATCGGTTTCCTGGGATGTTTCACGACGCCAATCGCTCATGGATTCGGTTGAGTACTCCACACGGATCCACGGGCATACAGTCGATGAAGAAGGCAATAAATTTTTGCTGTTTGGTCTTGGAAGACGAGGAGACAGTCTTCTAAGCAGTGAAACTATTTTTGATCTGTTGAAAAATGTTTTGGAAATAATACCATAATGAAATGAACCAGAATGAAAATGCAATTCGCTGATTATCAACAATAATTCAATCTCGACTTTTTAAGACACTTTTAATTCCGTCATAATTATAAAAATCATGATTGACAAAAATTTACTTAGCAGAAGGAGTTCTCAATCCAAAAACGCTGATATTTGTATTTCTGGAGTTTAGGTGTTCTGCACTACAACTGATATCCTGCCAGTCTGAATTTATTCGGCGACCTATTCGCCAGTCTAGACTATTACTTTGGCGAGGATCAAGATCTGGAATGGATTGAATATTTAGCTGCATGAAAAATAGGGAAGAAAATGATTTCAGTGGAAATCACCTGCATTGGTCGGACTCTGGCTCGAATGCCAGTCCAAAGACCCATTATTTCTATTAACGTTATAAATGTTATCACAGGATTTAGTTGCAAGGCACGTCCCCTGATGACGACGCCTTAGCAGTCTTGAAACTGGTCCCAAATTTCTAAAAATCAAAATCGTAATGATTCCTCTCTCGTCTATCATTTTCTCCATCTCTCAGAGGAGAATGGGAAGTAATCGGTATAAAAATTCACTTTCTTTTTAAATTTACGTCCTTGATTTGGCGGTTTATTCTCACACGGTGTGAGATCCATCTCAGGCTCTGGGCAGTATGTACCAATTCTCACATGACTGTATGTCGCACGCAATTGAATTCCATCGAGTGGTCGAAAATTTCTCCTCTCCACCGACGATACCCTGACGATTTCGATCTTCGGGCGATTTGCCATATCTCAGAAATGACTTCCTTCAAAATTTCATAACTATTTCATCCCTCAAAACGGGGTTTACATCACAAAGAGTCTGATCTCTTCATCTTTTTTCTCCTTTCCATCACGAAAAACCTCTCATGCGCCTTGAACCAAAAATCAACATTCCGAATCAATTAAACTCAATAAACCCCCAATTACACAATTAAACTAGCATTTTCTGCTTATTACACAAAAATTAATAAAAATCAAATCAAGTTCTGATATATTCAATTTTTATAAAAATTTCCACAGGATTTCCGGGACCTAATAATATAGAATCATTGAATATACAAAAAAATGCGACTGTTAAATTGATTTCTAGATGAATAATTCCATTTCGCGCCGCCGATTAGCCAGTAGGTTTTTAGATCACTCAAACGAGTGATATATAGAACAGAAAAAAAGATCAAAAGAGGGTATGATATGAGCGATAAAAAACTTAATTAAACCCATGCCCATCTGATGGCCCGTATGTTATTGTTACGCTCAGACGAACATCGGGGGCTTGAGATAGACTACAGCATTCCATACCTTCACTAAAGGAATTAATATCAATTCCACCATTCATATTCGTCCAATAATTGTAATTATGATTATTAAAATAATTAAAATAAAATATATACAACAGAAATAAAAAAAAAAAGATAAATCCCAAAAATCGAAGATCATCCGTTTATCAAGTGAATTACCCTTGACATAATTGTAATCCATAATTAGTGGGATAATTCGTAACTAGTGGGATAGTACGATAATACCAGAGATTGTTTAAAACAATTGACAATATGCTTGTCATCCTCCTGTCAAGAATGACTAGTCAACCTGAGACATAACACGCAATTAAGATTACGTGTTCATAATTAAATGTCGTAGTAATATACTTTTGTTCGCCTTGATAACGTCCTTGGGCAGTTATACGATACGTTGCACGTTGTCTCATACCTCACTTGATGTTCTACTTATCATATGCTTTATGAGCATGGACAAGCTCATCCCCTTGATATAATGAGAAGTACCTCTTATGCGTATTTCCCGTTCTGTTTTTACCCCGAGTTTTCCCTCCACATTTTTTTCTGATAAATTCAGATCAATATGTAAACAATATAAAATATATATTATATGTTAAATTTATGACAACCGATAATCTCCGTGTCTTCTACGTTTTCTAATATTAATTAAACTGCGACAAATCACTTTGATCTTTGGTTTTATCTGTCATGTCTGGGGTGTGATTTTTAATTAGTCATTTGTCGGGTAATTAGCCATTCGGTTTTTAAAGTATTCAGGTCGAGAAAAGGCTTCCTATTGATTCTGATTAATGACTGGTGGATTAATGTAATTAGTATTTTACAGATCTTTGATTCGTCCGGCGCAATTTCTTTGACTCGGAGTTTTCATTGTTAATTGCGGGATAATGAGACTCTTAATTATCGGGGAGTGAAAAAATGGGGCGAACTGGCTGATGCATTGTGCGCATGACGTACATCATAATTTTCCATTTTTAATTACGACAGTGAGAATAAGGGGTGAAAGATGAGGAGGAGTCATCCGTCAATTTCGAATGTACGTCGAATTTAATTTGACGGGATGATTTCGAATTGTCTGTAAAAATCACTCGATAAACAATTATTATAATCCAGTCGGTAATTTAATGTGTAACCGCAATAATTATCGCAGCGAAGGCCACGACGAGTGATGCTTTTTATTTTATAATTTTTCAAAGACAAATTCCCGCGGACTAAAATTCACATTTTTCCTCCGAGATATTACAATTATTTCTTAATCATCCGGAAAGTTGTGAATTGATTTTGAATTTTCATAAAAAAATTCTAGGGATTGTATCCGAATCCTCAATAATTAGATCACCATTATTTGATAGGCATTAGCAACAACAATAAAAAGCAATGACCATCATAATAAAGTCAGTTTGAAAAATGACCTTTCACCGGACACATCAACCCCTTGACAATCTCATTACTCAGCCTCATGAGATCTATCCAGAGAGCAATAAAAGCATAAATCATTGAACTCATCACCGAATAATGAGAAAATCCCTCGAATCCTCAGTATTGTTTATCAAAAACGGCGATGCCATTCCTCAATATTCCATAATTTTAACTTCCTCTTTAGTCTTAATTCCACTTAAACATCAGAACTGACTTCTCCATTCGCATAAATACTGTTTCATTTCCTCTAATTAACTCATATAATTACAATTCCATAACAAAGTTGTTTATCACTTCGAGTTGGAGATGAATTACTAAAAAAAATCGCAAGAAATAAAAATTATCTTACCTCTTTATCCAGTGGAATTCCTATTTTTCCATAATTGACATAATTTTCAACTTCCTAACTTTAAGATGGTTCATTCCACTTTATCACCGAAGATCTTCCAGTGGTAGAGATCTGAAGATGTTGATTGCTTCACTCACATTAATCCAGTACTTCTCGTAATTGACTCATATAATTAATACCCTGACATCGGCAAGTTTATCACTTGTAGTTGAAGATCGAGAAATATAAAAACGAGAAATAACGAGTACTATCATCTTACCTCTTTAGACAGTGCGATACCGTCGACTGCGGATATCTGACAAACAGTGCACGCCTTCACCCACTCTATCAATTTTCTATCTCATTTTGTTGCATTGCATTTACCACATATTTCATCTTACTCTCTCTCTTTACTCCCTCGCACCTCGTAGCACAACGAGACCTGCGCGATGAGCGAGGTATCTTTTATTTTTTATTTTTCATTTTTTTATAGAGCACCGAGCAATCGTGAATACCGCCGTCAATATTTTTGCAATCTTTAGGAATAATGTGGAAATTACGAAGTTGGGAATAATTGAGTGAATGGAGTTCTGATGATCGAAAACAATCAATTAATCGTACAAGGAATTGATCGATGGAAATAGGGGTGTGGATTTCTCTTAGAAGTTTGATAATTGTATTTTCATTTTTTGACCGAATGATATTAAAAAAAAGCATTGAAACTGGTAATAAAAATTTATTAGCACTCGTTTACAGTTTGATTGATCTGAATTTTTTTTTTCTGCGTGTCCCTTGTCACCGATCGCATTTCCCTCGAATCTGAAACATAAAGAATTGTTTTTCTCCCCTCTCGGTGAAACTTACCCCCTTCTCGATGGAATCCAGCCCCAATTCACCATGAATCTAAAAAAATCCCTATTTTTATCCCAAGAAGCACCGACACTGGAAATCACGCCAAACTGATATGTCTTCCTTCAAAAATGTCAACTGATTTTCAATCACGATTTCGTCAAGATATCACCAACTCTTCCACCATTGAATAATCGAACCAACGAACAAAACATTTTGACTGAACAATCACGAAAAAAAGATCAATATCACTTTACACAAAATCCTCTAATGTCAAGAACAAAAAAAAATTTATCCAAATATCGATACTGTGACTCTTCAAATTGTCCGTTTGAAAAACTCAACAATTAATGGACTCATTTGAAAAAATTTTAAAAACCAATCACAACACAATTTCATAATTATCGATGTCACAGCCGAGTTTGTACGAAAAATCACTGAAAATATTATATCGAGAGAAGCTCCACATGGATAATTGAAGGAGAAACATATCCGCATGCAACAACTATTTTCATTGAAATTCAACTGAATCCATTTCTTTTCAATTCCTTCTATTCTCAATTCCTCCATGAAACTTCACTGCGCACCAAAAGATGACCAACAGAACTCCAAGACATTTCTTCAATTTAACACCTCATCAACATGATTCATCTGCATCGAAAGTCGCCTCATCTCCTCCAGTAGATTATTCTCGGAATTTTTTTATGGGCGATTGAACAAATTAAACACACAACCATATCATTTTTATCTGCTGCATCTATTTTTCCATAATGATAAAGATTTTTGCATCTTTCAGACACACCTGATACACTTTTTAAATCCACTGCACCTTTTTAATGGCTCGTCGACGCTCGTTGGACATCGGGGCACTTCACAAGTTACAAAAAAAAAAAAACATACTCATTAGATATCTCATGTTTGAAAACACAATTCAAATTCATCATTTTGGTATACACGGTTCCCGATACCTCTGAGACGTCGACGAGTGCACGAACAATTCACTTTTATCAAATGCGTTTTCGTTTTCAATTCGTTTCGTTTTGTTTTTCTTTTTCTCAATGAATCATTTTTACATCACTTTACACAAGAATCGCAACTATTCAGCTGATGCTTTAATTTTCATTTCGTTTTCTCTTTTTCGTGTTTAATTTCATATTGAAATTCTCTCGATTGATCGTCAAATTCAGTTATCCACGTACACATCGACTCTGCACTTGAACCACCATATTCGATAATTTAAAAAATCTTTATTCCCTCCTCTAATCATGTGGACATCGCTGTTATTTTCCTCATGAAACGAAAGAAATATTTTCTTTTATCGGGCTCTTTTCGCGTCACAATTCATCAGGTTCTAACTAACTTTCAACATTCACCACCACTAGGGCCACAGTGTCCGAAAGAAACAATTGATTATCTCCATTAGTCTCGATATCATCGAAAATCCACAGTTTTCCTCATATTTCGTTCAACTAACCCGAAACTTATTCACATTATTTCTCAAATGTTTTTATCTCATTAATGACACAATCACTTAACTAGTTTACGTCACACATGTGTAAATCTTCCTATAATGAAACGACCATGACGAGGGGGAGAAAAAAAGGAAAAAATATATATGTTGATTAATCATTAAACCTAATGAGATAATTAATTAATCAATAGCAGATTAGTTCCATGTTTTCCTCAATTTTCAGGCATTCTATCCCTATCTTATTTCATATATAAATGTACTTTATATATAAGTGCCTTATGATTTTCTACTTTCTAAATGAATCAAGGCCAAGTGCCAAAACAATTTTACCACTGGTCCAACATTTTTCCTCGATTTTCAATTAATTAAAAATTTTTTAAGTCAAGAAAAAATCCGCCCCATCTGCGATACCTACATCTTCCACTTGAATAAAAAAAAAAGAAAAAAAAATATATATGTATATATAAAATTTTTCATTACGATATCCTTCACCCCTCCCCCCAGACACACGAATGAATTTTTCCAAATCGTCAGTTAACCGTTCTCCGTCCCCCCTAAAAATTTGGAAGAGAATTCAAAATAATCACATCGATTCGTGTAAAAAACTCCAATGTAGAATTCCAGGAAGACTGGATTTCCCCTCAATTTATGCGCTTCCCCCCTTGACAACAACGATAACGAGATGATCCTCCTTGAGTCCCTCTTCACTCAAACTTGGACAGGTTCTCTTCAATAATTCAGTGGAAAAGGCACAAGGAGGAAAAGCATAGAGGACCCCAGTCCCCTCAGTATCCTTATTAAGCAATGAAATAACCCCAGCAGCTTCTTTTTGCTTGAGATAAGATACTAAATTTCTGAGTGGTCTTGTCTGAACATTGGCATCCTCATTAGTAACAGCACCACTGGATCCAGCGAGTCCCAAGAAAATTGCGTGCGAACTGGAGGTTTGAATTCTCTTAGAAACATCATCCAGCTTTGGCTGATCGAGTCTGAGCCTCTGGGTGATTCTCAGCATGTGTTTTCCCTCCTCGTCCTTCATGAGTGCCTCAATGATCTCAGTGTCACCATCCGTGAGATGAAATTTGGCAGGGAAGAGTGAATTTTTTAGAATTAGAGCACCTGACCAGACGCCAATGGCTTTTCTTGCAACTTCAGCCAGTGTTCTCGATGTTGACAACATCCCCGTCCTCGTCGTTTCAGAATCTGAGTCCGAATCAATGGGTCGTCTCCTCGGAGATCTCGATCTTGATCTGTCAACACCTGGCTCCCTGGATATCGATCGTCTCAATCTTGGTGTCTCATATTCAATATCAGGTGGTGGTCGCCTGCTAGGCCATTCTGCTTCTTCCCTGACGTATCCCTCCGGATAAGTATTTCGATAACTTGCACTTGATCCACCCCTACCACCCCGACGTTCATGCCATCCACCTCGTCCACCTCTGAAGCCCCTAGATCCATAACTGAACTCTGTCTCTCCCCCATAACTCTCGTATGGCTCATAATCCACTGGCCTCTGTCTGAATTCACCGGAATTCTCCTCTGGATAAGGTCTTGGTTTGAAGCCAAAGCCAGGTGTCACGTCGGCAAAGTCCACTCTGAGTCTTCTATCAGGTCCTCCCAGGGGAAATCCCCTCATCTCCTTAACTGCAGCTTGCGCAGCATCAATAGAATCATACAAAATGTAACCATTACTGTCACCCTTGATGTAATCAATTTTCTTGATTGCCCCAAATCTATCGAACTCTCGCTCCAGCTGAGGCACCGATGTCCACGGCCCCAGTCCACCCACCCAGATCCTAGTCGTGGGTGTAGCTTTTCCATAACCAATTTTGCACTGAAATTTGCCAATGTATTGACCAGATAATTCGACCTTGCAGCGATGGGCCATGTCGAGAGTTTGAAATCTGACGAAAGCGTAAGCATTTCCAGTGCCAGGTGGTGGTCTTTTGATGTCAATATCATCGACAATACCATATTTTGAAAAAATTCGGCGCAGTTCCTCCTCCGTGATATTAATCTCGAGATTCCCAGCGAAGAGAGTTCTTGTGGCCAATGGATCGTCCTCAGGGGAGACGTGATGGAGATAATTTGGAAATTTGTCCTTTTTGTTTTCAACCCTCTCAAAACCATGAACAGGATGACGAATCATCATGTGACGAGGTGGGCCGTAGTGATGGGGTGGACCACCTGGATGATGAACGTGTGGTGGTCCATGATGCATTGGCGGACGTACGAAGTCGTGATGAGGTGGAGGAATAGCCTCTCGACGCATTTCTCGGTGTGGTGGTATTCCAACAGGTGGACCATAAACTCTCTCGTAGCGTTCGATTGGCCGGTGACGTTCAGGACCTGGTGAACGTGCATAATATCTGTCGTACTCTGGAGGACTGATTGAACGGGCTCGACGATACGTCTCTGGTCTCTCGTACACTGGCTCCACAATCGCTACTTTGTCGTAAATTATTATTCGAGGTTTTGCATGCTTTGCGTCTCTGGCATCCTCTGAGCTCCTGAAGCAGACGAAAGCTACACGATCGTCTAGCTCGTGAGAGATACGAATTGAGAATTCACCAAATTTTTTGTACTCTCGGTAGAGGGTGTCTTTGATTATCTCATCGCTGGCTTTTTGGTGGATCGACGAGACACAGAGAACTTTGTAGCTATATTGACGCTCTGGGGGTATTTCACGAGCTGGCGGACGGAGATAATCATCTCGGTGGGATGAAGATTCAACGTAACGAGCGTGGGATGAGGCTCGGGGTGGAGGACTTGGGCTACGAGCTCCTCGGCTTCGACGACGAATTCTGTCTGGTGTTATACGCTCGTCGCTCGACTCATCGTACCTGGGGAAATAGAAGAGTTTGTGAGACTGAAACTCACTGAGAGGAATATTTCTCATATTTTTTCCTCATTTTTTTTGTACTATTCTTTCTCCAGTTGTTCGTATTCTACAATTATTTCCTTTAACAATCGGAGTGACGTCAAAATCATTATGGCAATTTTTCAATGACTCAGAAAATGAAAAGTCTTTTTTTACCTCCTCCATCCATTCTCTTGACTAAAAAATAGAAAATATTCCGTCGGAGACTCGACATCACAGAATGTAAACACAACTTCACACGAATAAATCAAACAAATGACTCACAGATAGTACTATTTCGGAGCAGTATCACATTTTCAAAATAAACAATACAAACACCAAAATTTTTCACCACAATCAAACATTCAGTAATACCTCCACGTCGGTTTACCTCAAAAAATCGTTCGGGCTCACGATTTATCACAGTAAAATAAAATATTATAAACCAATATTTTTTTGTGTAGCACAGCATAATTCCACAATAAATAAATAAATAAATAACAATTGACACAATAATGATTCCATTCTGGAGTATTATCGACACCAGTATTATTGAAAAACAAATAACTGATTGAAAGAAGGAAGCCACTGGAATAAATTGATGAATGGGTGAAGCCAAAGCCCAAGGGTAATGGCGTCCCTAAAAAAGGCAACTCCCACACTTTCAATTACCTTCCTATCGATGATCTGCTTCGTTTAACTCTGGGTGGTGGTGTATCACGAGATGAGCTTCGTTTCATATTATTATTTCGGATTTTAACCGTAATTTTATGTCGGTCGTCCCGCGGAATTCCAATCATCAACGCTGGTTGTAGCACCCTCCAACTGTTGGTTTATCGAACGGTTGTATAGAAAAAAAAAATACAACTAAAGGAAAATGTGGTAGGGGAACAAATTGGAGTTGTCTCACAGGGTGGGAGGAGTGAAAGGAGTGATTATTGTCTCAATGTTTGGATGATTGTTAGGTTCAACGTGGAAGGATAAAAATGACAATGATGATGACAAGAGAACGCGATAATTTTGTAGTTTTTGTCGGACGGTCACTGATTCTCTCACTTCGACTTCTAAAATGGCGACCGATGATGCCACTTTGCGTGGCGTTCCCCTTTCGCTCCGCTTCACGCCGAAGGGGATTGGCTAAAGTAGAGACTCAGTTCGGGGGGTTTGAGTGAGCCACAGGAATTGTAGTACCTCATCCCAAGACAGAGAGAGCACCACATGCTCCCCTGGTACATTTTTCAAAATTTCGAATTTTTAAATTCCAGTGAATACCTCCTCGATTTTCATGCTCCCCTGATACTTTTTCGAAAATTTTGAATTTTCAAATTGTCGGGGATACCCCCTCAATTTTTATGCTCCCCTGATACTTTTTCAAAAATTTTTAATTTTCAAATTTCCGTGAATCCCTCCTCGATTTTCATGCTCCCCTGATAATTTTTGAAAATTTTGAATTTTTTATTTTCAGTGAATACCTCCTCAATTTTCATGCACCCCTGATACTTTTCCAAAAATTTTTAATTTTCAAATTTCCGTGAATACCTCCTCGATTTTCATGCTCCCCTGATACTTTTTCAAAAATTTTGAATTTTCAAATTTCCGCGAATACCTCCTCGATTTTCATGCTCCCCTGATACTTTTTCAAAAATTTTATTTTTTCGTGTTCAATCATATTTATTCAAAATGTGGAATGTTTCCACTCAATTTTTTCATGAGAATGAAATTCATTTTTTTTCCATTATAATTTTCACTCATTTTGTACAACACTTGATGTACCAGGTCTATTACCGAGTGATGTACCAGTTGATAAATTGTCTGCTGGGGAGTTTATTGGGTAGAAACACTCTGTTCATAAATTCTCAGGAAATCTTCTTTGCCTGTTCTGTAACGACATCATTTTCCGTCTATCCGCAAAAAAAATCGATCCGATGCGAGTGGACTCGCGATTTACTAGCAATTCTACTCTTCCAATTTTTCCCCGCGAACTGCGAAAAATATAAAAATGAAATTTTGTAATGCCTCCTCGTGATCACAATTAAATTTCCGGTGTTCCAATTTTTATAATCAATTTTTGGAATTTCAGCGTCACACCGGATGCTGAAAAGAGAAAATATTCAGTATTTCAAAAACATCCGATTTATTTAAAAAAAAAAATTATTTAACGAACGATTTGTCGCACAATTATCCCGACAATCATGCCGCGGAAAAAAACCCTTGAGAATAATCTGGCAATAGAAATGAAATAATTAAATTATCAGAAATTCAATTCAAATGTGACACTTCACATTTTTTCTCGCAACCTACAACGTGACATAATGCATTAACCAATCGAAATATGAAAATTGAATATTTCAACATTCCTCATATTACCATCATCTAAATGAAATTCGTATCCCCTAGGCGTAAAATATAATGGAGAAAGTAACACCAGATGTGTATTACAGCTTTCGATGTAAGATGAAACGACCTATTGGATCAAGCAACCATTCTGAAAAGGTTTGATTCCCAACGAGCATCTGTTTTATTACCCAGATCAACTTCTACATCTCCACCGGTCCCTGTAATTGAATATTTAACTGCAATCTACGTAATGCAATTAAAATAATTACACCCTCAATTATTTCCACCGAAAAAGTGTGGAAAGAAATTGGCTGTCTGACCGGACGTATACACCATCGTACCACTTGTCACAGTGACTGATATTTAGCATTAAATCGAGAATAACTTCGTCTATATTTACCCAATCATCAGGAAAACTGTACTTTGACTCTCGCCCTTTTGTCACCAAGAATACCAGTGGATAGATGTCACGTGCTCATTTTATTTCCTGCATTTAAAATAGCCTGTCCTCGCAGTTTATTTTTATATAGAGCTAATTGAATTAATTTCCAATATTTATGATATATCCTATAATTTTCATCATCGATTTTCAACGTTATTATTTTTAATATTGTATTTATTCATTGATATTGGGACAAAAAAATTTTTGACGGTCCGTAATGTTCTCTCAGTCTTGAAACCGAATGTTAGAGGAATGTTGTACATAAACTTTGTAATTCTGCGTTCGTTCTCAACTCGTATAAAAGTCAATCATTCGTTGTAGAGGAAACATTCAATCTGCATTGCTTTGATCATCTGTATTGGTGTTCTTCCTAGCTCCAGTCACTTGTGCCACCGACTTTCCCTTCCGACTTCTTCATCAGTATCGATTTCATCCCATCACAAACAAATTACTGCTAGGGATAGTCTGTCGTTTCGACACGTGAGTCATCAATCTTTAATGAAGTTTTGATTCCCCCGTGCTGTGTTGTCTCTCTGAAAAAATCAAATTTGTTTGCAATGAAATGTTGAAGGGAGAGTTTAAAAGGGAAATTAATTGTCATTTGTTGTCGGAGGTTGAATTCACTAACAACGGAGAAAACCGAATTTATTGAATGTTCGAATTGAATTATAAGTTCATTTATAATGCTCAACTTGTCGGAATCCGGGGGGATATATATGTACTGGCTAGATTCAAAGTTTTGCCAAGCTCCAATAGTTAAACGTTAATTCTTGGTCATGTAATCCCCCAGGGGGTGCTAGATCGACTGGGATTTGAAATTGGGATTTTGGAGATTAGTGTCCCGGGTTTAAAAAAAATTGTTATCGGAATATTTTTTCCAAATTTTCCAAAAATTTCTGGAAAACTTTTTAGAATTTTTTTATTTGAAAAAAAACATCGGGGAACAAGACAATCGTATTTCTGGGAAATGTTTTGAAAAGTTTTTCAACAATTTGATCTGACATTTTTTTTTTAGAATTTTTAGAAATTTTTGCGAATATAATTTTTTTTATTATACGGTTGTTTTTTTAGTTTTTTAAATTTTTCAATATTCTCAAAAAATACGCCATCTAAATTATAAAAAGAATTTTCCTGTTTAAATCGTTGAAAAATTTTTCGAAACCTTTCCCAAAAATAAAATTGTTTTTCCCATTTTTTTTCTGTTTTATAAAAAAAATTTCGCGAGTTATCAGATAAATAATTCGAATCATGTTTCATTATTATTATATCAATTTCAATAGTCTCTTGAAAATCGGTCTTTCAATGGTTGCTCCCCCCTCCTGTTGATTGAAACTTTATTTTGATTCCCGAAGCTCGAGTTGGAGTACAAACCTTAATAATGGAAGATTGATGTTTCATTTTATTTTTCTTTTTGTAAAATACAATACAGACTATCATCCATCCGTTTCACCATCTCGACAAGCTCGGTCGAAACCGCGTGTGATGTACCACGATATGGCCTCGATAGGATTCTATCGATCCTACGTGAATCGAACAAAATGGTCTAATCTTTTTTACTCTACACCGTTATTATCCGCCCTTTTTAATCCCCTGACACTGGAATTTTCTCACCCTTAATTGGGTAATTTTGTTTTCCTTGGAAAATTCATGTATTCTCCTCTACACCACCAGGATTTACATGCCCTGTGTTATCAAGAGGATTAATTACTCTCTGTACTAGAATCTTCGGAGAAATAAAGCTGAAATAGTCGACAAAATCGGATTGGACCCTTTCACGGAAAATACTGCACTGTGGTTTATTATTCGGTTGAATTTTTTATTGATAAATTATTCGACGGAAAATCCGCCGGGGAAGAATTTAATGTCTCTGAACTCCGGACATGTGATAATCATGCTGCATTGTTGGAAAATTTCGTGCAGAGTTTCCAACGGAAAAACCGGAAATTTTTAACAACCCTTTACTGAAGAATTATTTAATAACGTGAACATTCTAGTAATTCTCGATTGGCAGAGCGATGAGGCGCGGAAAAGCCGTGAAAATGTGGGAAATTCGAGCGGTAATTTCCCTGAATTTTCAATCTACGGAAAATTCAATCACATGTGATGATGAATTTCCGGTATGTGAGAAAAACCCATTATTATTAAAAATTGAAGCCTTAATTTCCTGGTATTTTCAGGATAAAAAACAATTTGTTGTTTTAACATTTACAGATTTAAAAAAGTCCGTCATTTCCTCACACTTAAAATTCATAAATTCCCCCATTCAAGTAATAAATATTAAATTTCCAGTGGCATAACCGCAAGCTCTCAACAATTCTAGTTTCAAACACTCGACATGAAAAAGAGAAATATTTCCATCACGCAACGTTAACCGTCCTTAATCGCATACGTGACGAATATTGCTGGGCATTATTATCCGTTAATTCCGCGTCGATAATCTGCTGTCAGTCACGTTTTAAAATCCCCCGCGAGTTTCAGTAAAGTTTGTTCGTAACACATGATTATTTTAACAACAATATGCAATTCAATATTGAACCTCGACGTACTATCTTACATTAAATCATTTGCAATTAGCGCTTCATGGAGGCAAACATGCTTCTATTTGCAAACCATCATCCATCTCACTTTCGCCGAATGTTTGATTTATATATTTAGCTGTGACATAGGATAGGCGGGTTTAATTACGCAACTATATGTACAGCGTAATGCAATCGGTGGACAACTAGTCAGTTTGTCTAAGTCTTCATAGTACCGGGTAAATAATTTGAATAATTTTGGAGAGAGAATTTTTTTAATTCTCGTATTTTTATGAGAGCATCCGGTTTGTAAGAAATTATGCCTTTTTCCAGGAAATAATGACTATTTACTGACGTCGAGTCTAGAATAATTTTACTCACACGTTTTTTTATCTCAAAATTGTTGGGAATTTATTGCTCATGGCTTTCTTCAAAATCTCGGAGTTTTTACTGGAAAATTTCACCTCCTGATTAGGTACAAATTACTGTATTATTCGGTGTAATTGCATCAGTGAAAACTCGCCGACTACCGCTAACTGCATTTTACGCTTTGGGCGTTAACTTTCAACAAATTTATGTTACAACCCACTGGTGAAACAAATTACTGGAATTAATGAAATTTGTTATTTGGCGTTGTGCAACCTCTTCTGGAACGAATTCAAAGGGTGATGTTACAGATTCAGTGAATCGAAGAACTGGTTAAGACTATAAAATATTTATTATTGAACCTGTGAGAGTCAATTTTTTATAACTAATTATGCGATTTGATTTGTTTCCGAGAAGAATCTTGCGTTGAATTTTTTTTTACTCGTTTTAAGATGGAATGAGAAATAAAAGTTGAAAACTTCAACAGGAACTCAAGTACTTATGCACTTAATATTGAACATCCAACAAATCCAATGTTTACTATTTATAAATTAAAGCTAAGGGATTTCAAACACCAAAATTTCTGGCTAATTATCTCTCCCCAGATATGACTTAATTAAGAGTCTTGAATTATATTGATAAGAGTCGATCCAAAACTTTGATGCAGCTCTTCAAGTCGTATTCCGTAGAAGAACCGGAAGTTTAAAATTGGTGGGTTGAAACTCGATAATTACTTGAAATTCGTAGCTAAAAGGTTCTTCAACTTTGTTCATCCCTCGATGACGTCAGTCAATCGTAAATTTGGAAAAATAAAAAGAGATGAGGTGAGAATAATAATATTCTAGGTTCCAGAGGAATCCTCTGGGGGATATTAATCAGGATGATCGCCGAAAATTCAACGGCAATTAATCAGGAATACAATCAGGGTATCCGGGACATACATCACATGTCCGTGAGCTCCAATAGTCTTTTTTATCAAATTATTTTGTTTTTTTTTGTACGACTGCTGAGGCTGCCGTGTAAGAGGGTAATCCTTCTATTTTTTTGGATAAAGCTCAAGAGCTTCTGATTGTTTTTTAGGATAATGCGGTATCTGTGGAGGCAATTAAGTGGAACATGTCGGGAGATAATTTTTTTCCATATTTTATTCTCGCGAAAATCCAAATAAAATGAACAGTCGACTTGAAGGTAATCCTCAAGTCTTTGTTTGCTGTATTTGTTTAAATAATCATCTAGTTCTTTAAATTGATTTATATTATATTTAGATTATAAATCAGAAGAAATTTAGAATAATGGATTTGTTAATGCAGAATTTATAAAAAATCATGTCAAAGATTTCAGATTTTTTAAGTTGAAAATTTGAAGTGACATTTTTTAATGATATATTATATTATTATATCCAATTAATATTTTATACGCACTGGGATTATCACTGGTTTAAAGGGATTTCTTCATTATCTGAGAGATTTTAATATTGGCGTCTCCTATTTCACGACTTTCTGAGGCTTTTCCATTTACGGCCCTCAGGTCGTCCTTTTGATCTCCCCTTGTGGACGGCATTCCATTTTTCTTGTCATTTTTGTTTCCAAACCTTGGGTAACTTGGAAATGATCACCCTTAGTTCTATTAATTTTTACGATCGGATCAATTCTACTCTTAACGATTACGTGGGGTGAAGAACGCCTACTCTCATTATGATGACGGAGTTTTTCACATTCTCGACTGCTGTAGCACATACATCTCCGATACAATTACAACTAATTCGAGGGAATCGTCAGCATAGTTATTCGATTCAGAAATTATTGTTGTAATATTATTCGATCTTTTCCAGTGCGGGCAACAGCTCCAACGTCTTTGCTCCGTTCGACATTTTTTAGAATTGCTTTTGGGATTTTTGGAAAAGTTCTTTCACATTTATTTATTATTTATTTAATAAAATACAGTGTATATATGCACAATTATTACAATATTCATAATAGCCCGGGTAAAAAAAAAAGAATCGGAATATTTTTTCCAAATTTTCAAAGAAATTCTGGAACACTTTTCAGAATTTTTTTTTATAATTTAGATGATGTATTTTTTGAGAATATTGAAGAATTTAAAAAGTAAGAAAACAACAGTATAATTTTTAGAAAATTATATTCACATAAGTTTCTAGAAGATTATAAAAAAAATTTTCCGAAACAAATTTTTGAAAAATTTTTCAAAACATTTCTCAAAAATACAATTATGTTGTTTCTCAATTTTTTTTGTTTAAAAAGAAAAATTTTCTGGAAAGTTCTCCAGAAACTTGAAAAATTTGGAAAAAATATTCCGACTACAATTTTTTTTTACCCGGGTAGACTTTTTAATAAAAAAATATTGAAGACTCACGCGCAGACTAAAAATTCATGAATCAATATTAATTAATATAATTAATGAAGTACAAAAAATATGATATATTAGAAGGATTTGATTTTTTTTTCAAGTATCTGTCAACGCTTTTCCATACCTCTATTTTCAGGGATCCGGACTCGTGAACTCAAGTGGATAGAATTTAAACCTCTCTTTCGTCGCGTTAAGCTCCACTGAAGTTGGAGGATGCAGGTTGGAGTAACTTGGTGATTCGCGTGGAGCAAATGGTTTTACTCAAGGGCGAAAGACTGAGAAAGTCTCCACGAGAGCTCATTCAACTTACCTAGGCTATTCGAATGACGGTGACTCCAACTTCTTGCCACTCGTCTTCTCTACTACACAGTACACAGGGTATGAACTACTTGTACTTAGCCCATGTACTTCTCATGGTTGGTACCTCCCTCACTCGGGGGAGTAATTCCCCGTAAACTCCACGTGCCCTTCTTTACTCTCTCTTTACTCTCTCTTTATTCTCTCTTTATCCCTCTCTAGACTACATCGTGGATGAGAACATACGATATCACTCTAACGTTTTCCTGTCACGTTTCCATTTTTTAAAGTAAAACTATTGAGGGAAATCATGGATATTGTTATGGGGTTGCTCGAGGTCTGGACGATGAAAGGCTTTCTTGGATTAAAAAAAAAAATTAAAGCCGACACTAATTGAACATTGGTTCATTCGGAATTTTTAATGAGGGGAATTTCGCGGAGTTGTGGAATGGGTTTTTCATTCCCGGGTAAAAAAAATGTAATCGGAATATTTTTTTCAAATTTTCAAAACATTTTTGGAAAACTTCTCGGAAAATTTTTCTTCTCAAAAAAAAATCGGGACACCAAACAATTGTATTTCTGGGAAATGTTTTGAAATATTCTTCAAAAATTTATTTCGGAAATTTTTTTAAATGATTTTTTAGAAATTTTTGCGATTATAATTTCTTTTATAATTTCGTTTAATTACACTTTTTTGATTTTTCAATATTCTCAAAAAAGACACCACCTAAATGATATGAAAAAAATTCCTATTGAAATTTTTGAAAAACGTTTCAAAACCTTTCCCAAAAATAAAATTGTTTTGTTTCCTGATTTTTTTAATTTCATAAAAAAAAATTCCTGAAAAGTTTTCCAAAAATTTTCCGAAAATTTGGAAAACATTTCGATGACAATTTTTTTTCACCCGGGTATGTAATGTGGAAAATAAATTATTGAGTTGTCATGCGTGATGATACGATTTTTTCCAAAATCACAGGCTCATAAATTCTCACTGAAAATTCATGAGGCTCTCTGTGAATTCATAAAAGCAATTCAATGCTTTAGGTCTATATATCTGTATTGATCGCAAGCCCCCAGACAAATTTTCCTGAGAATTTCATTGTGTCATCAACGAAATTGACGTATCCCAGGAGAAAGTCACGGATACTGATATTCTATTCCAGTCACAGAAGCACAGAAGAGGCCATGAAAGCACACCGTTCTCCGACTGTTGATTTTTCCTCACATATACTAGTGAAATTTTTTAAAAGGCGCCTCATCTCTTTTTCACCCTCCGAATGATGCATGGCATGTCCAGGAGTTAACGAAAACCCCGAGTACATCGACACTCGCCACAGTGGAAATAAAATTTCCCATCCGTTACCTCTAGGATATCGTTTAGAATTCCTATTTTCCATACCCACATACCCTTCATTCATAAGAGATGGAGATCCCTCTAGTATCTCCGGTTCGCTAGTTTTCTATCGTACATCCCCGTTCCGCTTTATTGGACATTTCAATACATGAATTATAATGTAAATATCGTGACTCTACGAATCATTTCATGATAGCCCGTATTTAACATTATAATACTCCACCCAAAAATATAATTCTCAATTCGAAAATCTCGGAAAATGCGCTGCAATTTGCGTAAAACATTTTTTTTTTCAATTTAGAAAAAAAAAGTGACATGACGTGCCCGGAAAAAAAAATTGCAATCGGAATATTTTTTCCAAATTTTCAAAAAATTTCTGGAAAACTTTCAGAAAATTTTCCTTTTGAAAAAAAACATCGGGAAACAAAATAATTGTATTTTTGGGAAATGTTTTGAAAAATTTTTCAAAAATTTGTTTCGGAAATTTTTTTTATAATTTTCTGGAAATTTTTGCGAATATAATTTTTTCTTTTAATTATATTGTCGTTTCCTTACTCTTTTGATTTTCCAATATTCTAAAAAAAACGCCATCTAAATTATAAAAAAAAATTTCCCATTCAAATTTTTGAAAATTTTGGAAAAAATATTTCGATTACTTTTTTTTTCCCGGGTGCATTGAAATTTATTTAATTAATCGTTTTCATCTGTGAATGTGGACTTAAATTGAATTTATTCATAAATGCCAATGAGAATTCAATTTGTTATAAAATTTTGGAAATATTTATAACATTTGCAATTTCCAAAAAAAATATTGTTTTCCTCATTCGAAAAATTATTAATCCAAGGAATTTAATGGGGATCTAAAACATGGTGATGATGTTTAATTCCAGTTCACTGAACAATTCTTTAACATACATGAACTTCACGTAAGAGTCTCCTCATTTCATAAATTTTATTTCCATTTAAATATCGAAATAAAAAAAAATTATTCGCCTTACCATTCCAATGGATTTCCTCAAGAAATGAGTTCCAATTGTTTCAAGCGCATGACCGCATTGCAACCATGATTACAAGCTGCTTGAAATTCCAGTCTTGAATAAAATATTCTTATTCTGAAATCATAAAATCATGAAATGGGACGATCAAAAAAGAAACTGCATAACAGTTCAAATATTTTCCCTTCGCAATTACCAAAGATCTCGAGTTTGACAAGTATGTATGACAAGTGCCAATTGCATGGCAAGTACCAAACGGGAAATAATGATAACTAGTACAAAAAATAACAAATACACACCAATATTTTCCCATGTGGCCCCAGAGTTTAGCTGCAGAGAGTATGACTGTCCATAAACCGTTGTTAGCCGATTGTTGCTGAGTGGCGGTCACTGGAGAGTGTACATATATACACATATATATACCCTCAAGACCGAAGTTGCATTTGCTTGACCAAAATAAACTCGTTGAATCACTATAGTGCCACAGTGAACTATACCAACAGTTTCCTGGGCGAGTCATGAACAGCTTGCCGACATCCCGAGTGCAGTTCGACAATTCCGAATGATTCATTTACATAATCTCATCCAAAATACCGCCCAGACAAAGCCGAATAATAATAACAAAGATGTTGCATTATTCTACCACAACAGAATAATAATACCGCGTGAGTGGTGAATATTTGTTGGCTTTCGGGGATTCCCCCGAGTACAAAATTCACTCTTTTTAAGTTTTATTTTCTCATTTAAGTAATTTTTATAACATTTGAATATTTCTAAAATACATCTGACCAGAAGAGGTCGGAAAAAGGAAAAAGGAAATATTTATACTTATAAAAGGGGATGAAAATGATATTGTAATACTTCTTCAGTCTTTTATAGATATTCATTGTGTGAAGTGCCTTTTGTCTGTCAAGTCTTACAGATATGCAAAGTTAAAATAATTTCTGAAAGTTAACAAATGTGTTTGCTTATTTAATACCATAATCCAATAATATTTTTTTACAATTTTCGATTTACTATAAAATTGATTGATCGAGCGATTCAAATAATCACTTTGTTGTCGACGAGGGGCGAGGGCCAAATTGTCGTCTAGTCTGATTGAAACAGAATCACGGGAATAACCCAGATAGAGGTTCGAAGGTAGAGCTTGTCTTTGGCTCCATGAAATGCGACACTATTAATTCTACTCGGCAAATTGAGGAGAACTCAATTCGGTCAATTTTGTACGGTCGAGTGCGATTGGAAAACAGAGACGAGAGTATTGTATTGAATTTAGTGGAGATAGTGGAGATGTGGAGACGTGAGGATGAAAGCTAGTCAAGAGTATGACGAGATTTGTTTTGGGAATAAAATCAATTTGGGGAAACCGTAACGAGAGAGAAAAAAAATCTGTCTAGTACTTTGGGTACTTTGGCCTTCAGCGATGAAGTCTTCATGAATTATTCATGGGATTGTTGTAGCCATGAGAGTGACAGTTCTTGCGTCTCATTAAGATTCCACCCTTTTCAGATTCTAGTCGACATTTCGCTGCTCTGCTTTCTGGTTTTTTTTTACATATTTGAGAGTTGCTGTTCGACATTTGACACTTTTATAGAAAAATTATTAACAAGTCCTTTGATTATTACGAATTTATCAATGGGGAGGCTAGATATTAATTTCAGATGTTGTCTCAAGGTTCTACAATGGTATCTAATTTTTTCCTCAATTTATTGCGCACCGAATTTATTTCAATTTTTTTTTATTAAAAAAAAATTTTTTTAATTCATTCTTTTCAAATCAGAATCAATAAATGCGCGGGAAAATCTCGTAATTTTTTCAAAATTTTCATAGGTGATTGCCAGAAGGCAATTTTCTTGCGTTCCAATAATGCATTTTTATAAATAAAATTTCTTTCCATTTTCTAATTCCACAGGGAAATGACGCGGGATGTGAAAAATGGAAGATTGACAAACAATATTTTTAGCGAGGGTCACAATAATATATATATATAATATACATCCATATATATCTGGAGAACCAAATCTGCGTCAATAATTCCGGAGTATTTGATTTTAAAAAATGGAATTCTCAATCTTAATTAGTACCGATGAGATACACTCACCCGAGTACGACTTTTATTTTTTTTAAATATATTACCCTCTCACATTGTTATACCAATTACAAATTAGAAAAACCGACTGTGACGTCTCGAAGTTTTATTCGCTGTCAGGTCAGCTGTCACTGTCACTGGAGGATATTGCCCTCGAGCTGAACGGTATTTTCGCAAAAGTCCTGGAGGACTGTAAAAAAATGTCAGTTGACTTTAAAAAAAAGCAGGGAACATGCCCCCGGTAATTTCACGTGATTCATTTAATCCTCCCCCGAAAAAAAAAAAAATAAATAAAAAGCTTGAGCCTACAAGGCACCATTTCCCCTGAAAACTTTTTGGCATTGGAAACTCGAGATTTTTTCACAGAACGAATATTAATATTCACCAGCTCAAAATTGTCCTCTCGTGATATTTAATCCTCATAAAATTGATTGAAAGATAATTAATTATATTCAATGATTTCCTGAGTTCCTCATCTTTGATAAAATATTTGTAACGCCTATCTGGAGTACCTAATTAATTGAAAAGAAATATTCTCGCAGTACTTCCGTTAAAAATCATTAATCCTTATGAATTCGAAGACGAGTACCGGCAATTTTTACCCTTTCTCCTCAATCTTTCTGACTGGAAAAGACGTAAGTAATCCAGAATGAAAGAGCAGCACGTAATTGAGGGTAGAGATGTTTTTACGTGATTCAATTCTTATAGTCATTTGGAGGGCGACGTTATTTCAATTGCAACGACTTTCATTAAAATACCAATTCAATTTTTCATAATGAAACCCAACGACATTCTATCTCGGGGGCGAGTGGTAAGACAATGTGTCGCATTGTTCCTTCTGTTTGCGTAAGCTCTATCTTTCTAGAGCAGTTGGAACTTCTTCGGTGTGATAATACGATAAAGAATTGGCCACACAAAGTGCAACAATTGGGACACTTTAAATGGAAAAACTCGGTTTTACTAACTTGGTCGATAATGAAAGTTGCAATGGCTAACCAATTTTCAATCGATTGGCTTTTTATTTTCTATACTAGTCGTTCCTTGTTCGCGATCGTCGTGTACACTGGACCCAACCAGCGAATGACTCCAGAAAAAAAATAACACTCTAACACAGTTTGTCGATGTACAGCACTTCCCAGGAATAGTAAAGTTCAATTTAAGGTGAAATTGTGAAATAAATTGCTGGCATTATTGCGTCTCCGTCGGACCAATGATTTCTTGGAAAATTATGTTTTTTTTTTACACCCTGAGTCTTACCCTTCGTACGAAATATGAGAATAAATGACATTTCAATTTTCTGTGTGAATAATCGCGCGGAATTCTCGCTGGTAGAGAAAACAAAAATTGAAATTTGATATTACGGAAAAAAATCTCATTACATGTTGAAAAAATTTCGGGTAAAATGAAACCGAAGAAATTTCTCTCGTATTCGAATTTTCGATGAAAAAAATCTACTGAATTGAAATTTTTTTTTCATGAATTTCACGCGTGTAA